TGATTATCTAATATCTGACTCATCTGTGTGTGTGGTGTTCTCTCTACTGCATTTTAATGGTTACGAAGACGTCGGAGTGGGTTGAGTTGTCTGGATCAATCTCAAAGTAGTATGTATTTTACAATAGGGTGCCTGAACCTCGCATTCCTGCAAATATCGAATAAATTCACTGCATAAAAATAGACAGTCTGGTATTCGGGTTTTGAAAAATATTTTTCCCAAGTCCCCGATATAGTGGGGACTCAAGTCTGGGACGCACTGCTCAACCCATAAAATAATCTCTTTTTATTAACTTTTTCAATTATGTTTTTTTCAATAAAATGATTAAATTCAGATTGCATGAAAACATCTAGTTCATTGCATAAATTTGTACACAGTTGGATATAGTTGATGGGGAGAAATTCATTTAGGCAAACCATTTTGAGAGCACTTTTTATATTATATTTTAATATGCACAATTTAAAACTCCGGATTTGAAAAAATATCATAAATAGATGAAATTTTATAATAAATTTGTAAATATCAGACTATGAGATGTTCCGCGTACCAAAAACTTTTCACATTTTCTGTCTATCTTTTACCCTATACTTGTACTTCTCACTTGAATTGATCCCATCCTTTTCTAAATACATCTTTGTCTATGTGCCGATCCCACAAGTGTATCATATTCAGTAGCCGCTTCAGATACGCCTTGCATTTCATTAATTTTGGATGATGAAATGGAATATTAACTCATGCGGCTCCTGCTGTTGCTGGAATGATATGTAACTAGGAGTATTACCGAGTACTTCTATCTCTCCGTCCGTTTCTCTCTGCTTTTGCTCGTATTAATTACGCCATCGAATACAATGTTCAGTGTAGGTATCGAATAGAAGGATCAGTAGTTGAGCGATGCAAGGCTGTGGAAGTAGACACAGCACCGTCGAGGCAGTGAGGCTTTTCGGTCCTGCCCATTTCTCATTTAACTTCTGTATCTGATCTTTGCTATATCACCCACTCCGTGGGTAGTCTTTCTTTAACGTTTACATTCCAAATATGTCACTTAAGTTTGTCGAACGATGAATGAACCGATTGAATACTTGCTTTTTTGCCTATAATTGGGCTCGGTGGTCACTCACGTGGTTTTTATCAGGCACTCTTCTTGTGGCTTCGATAAACTCCATATCATTAATGACTGATGAAAATGATTACTGTTGTGTACTACTTATCAGACAGTGTAAGAGATTGTTGCTAAAATACAACGTACACGGCTGTGATAAACGTGGGTTGTGGATAGAGTAAAAGATTGAATAAGAGACAATATGAAAATACAGTGAGAGTCAAATATGAGATGATTTTTATTGAATGAATTCACAACCCTTTATATACTGTTGAAGATGGTGTCTAGACTTCCGTTTAGATGAACTGATGAATGGATCGCGGACATGCCGGATTTCGGATGTTTCAAAGATGAAGAAGGATGGGAAGGTTGAGTTTGTCGGCCATGATAATGGACGTTGTCTTCCGATTGTAAAGAGTCATCTTTGCCGTGATCAGTGGGTTCCTTGTTTGGCGAAGTCTCACCTTTGTCAGTGCTGGACTTGGTATCCGCTCTTTGACAGGTACACTTCGCTCAACTCAGATAAGCTAGATTCAAAGGAAGTGCTGACTAACTCGAGAATAGGACAATGTGTATACAATGGTTGGTCCTGAGTTATTCTCGATTGGTAATCCATGTTTGAGAGATTATCGGTATGGTGCTAATTATGTAATAATGTGATTCATCCGTGTGTGTGGTGTTCTCTCTACTGCGTTCTAATGGTTACGAAGACGGCGGAATGGGGTGAGTTGTCCGGATCAATCTCAAGTAGTGTGGTTTACCACAACGGCAGGGTTACTTGAAATATGGGAGACCTTCATGGCTCTGGAAATAATCCCTGTTCACAATGTAGCTATATAATGATTGGTGCACAGTTGCAGCCTGCTGCTGGCCAGCTGAACCGATGAGGTTGGCACAATACAATAGTCACAAGCGTCGCGTAATCCACTCATTTTACCCATCTCTCTATTTTACACTTTTTTCTGTCTTACCCAGACATCGACTTGCAGCTCCTGGTACGATGCTACCGTTTTTGTGTCCAACACGCCTTTAGTACGATTCAGGACCAGGCTTCCATCCGCTCACTGAAAGACTCGGTTGTTTCCTAAGGACCAATAAAGCTTTGAAGCATCTAGTGGACAATGGACTGGCATGCGTTTCGTCAGTTTCGCACTTGTTCTTATTCTTCTTGAAGCATTGCGACAGTATGCATCACAATTCTAATAAGTTTGTTTCGGAATGTATGTTCTCATATTGGAGTATACGTGCATGTGATATATTGTATTTTACTAAATCAAAATCACTGTAGACAGCCCTACCAAAGACCGTCAGTTAGTATATTGCCAATCTCACAGAAAGGCCAATAAGCCAAGCCCTCGCTACCAATATAATCAAACCCAAATTTCGAGCAAGCAGCAGTAGTACGAATGTAGTGTCTAGACCTACTTTGCAAACTACTAGATAATGGGCTTTGTACGAATTCGCACTTAAAACTCCATATGAATAGTATGTATTCATATGAACTGGGTACTTTAACTCTGTGGCTCATCAATATTGCTTTTCATTAAAGTGCTGCACACAGCCTCATCCTCAACTTGGCCGATCCCCGACTAAAGACCATCTTCATCGCAGAGCAGATAGAAAGGCTCGAAAGCCACAATCTCAAGCCTCTACCCAAGCATCCCGAGAATATCTCGACATTTTTTGAGAAATTTAAGGGAAAGGTACTATTACTTGGGGCTAATATACAAACGAAGGTGCAAGAATATTCAATTCTCAATCTTAAATGTCGGAAAAGGCGCTTGACGATCTGTGGGAATTAGCGGATAGTGCGCGTTTCCATCCTGTGGTAGAATTCGACTGTGACTAGGCTAAAAGAAGCATACTAAGCGTTGTGTCTGCGTATCGTTGGGATACGTTATCAGCAGATGTCAAATCCGTCTTGTGCTGGCGCAACATTGACTCCTGCTTATAGAACATCCAAGTGCAAACATTGCGGTAGGTTCGATTCATTCGAGCCGATCTTTTTTTCTGAAAAAACCTAGTATACTGATTAAACTACTTCTTCTTGTTTCTATGAGCGAACAGCATACATTATCCGGATCCGCATGTGTCAATGAAGGTCGTTTGTCGTTAGATGGCTCCATCCATCCAAAAGTCCATGCCTTGAAGCCAGACCTGATACTGAGAAACGACCAATTGGAGTACGGCGTGGCGGAGAACGGCTTTGTCGATGAAAGCAGTGTCGGAGAGAAAGAGCTCCATGAAACATTCATGAAGCTCCCAAAAACACTAAAAGACATCATGCTAAAGTTGATTGCCAAGGTCGAGCACGATGAAGAGAGTGTCCGTTCGTTGCGAGTGGTAGGCATGGTCCATACACGTAAGTCTTCAGTTCCACTGGGACAACCAATCCGTTTCGCTCTTGTTAGACTAAAGACCACTCGTATTTTCTACCAGATCTGCGTATGAAGACCGAACGGAAAACTAGACAGCATCTCCAACAGTATATAAAGGGTTGTGAATTCATTCAATGAAGATCATCTCATACTTTGACTCTCACCGTATTTCCATATTGTCTATTATGCAACCTTTTTTCTTTTATCATCTTTCCACAACCCACGTTTATCACACCTATGGATATATCTGACGAAGATGTCGATATGGACGTCGACAGCGATTACGACACTCTGTACTCGGCTCATTCATTACCAGATATGGATGTGGACAACGAGATCAGCTGGTACGATGACGAAGGAAGCGCATTGTTTTCGGACGACGCTTCTTCCATTGATTATCAGGCGTACAAATGGACGTTCCAGATAGATACGTGTGCCGTATCCGGGAAGTCAAACAACAACAAATTCTTGATACATTGACCGACTTTTATGAAACCTACATCCCGTTTTTAGAAGCAGTACTTTAGATTAAGGTAACATCGCGTTTCATTTCCTCTGCAGTGCATTTACAACTTCCGCTCACGAGAAACTATCAGGGAATCGTAAAATCGACCATGGGATGTAATTGCCAAGCCAAAGGAGAACCGATCAGATTTTATACACATCAGTGTAGAAAGGACATAAAAAGCGAGCTCGTAGACTCCGAGTGTTAGAAGCACGTAAACACGCATTTGTAAACGTGCACCAAATTGATTTCAAAAAAGAACTGCAAACCACACTTGTTTATTTCTATTCTTGCCACAACGGGTACTATTTTATGTATATATTTATCATTTCACCATTGTTTATTATAAGCCTCAAAAATACCCTATTATACTTTGCTAGTATACAATTAATATTATCACAATCACAAGAGATGATAAAGGAGACAATTGATGTCTCTTCATAGCGCCGCTCCCTTCACGATCTTACTATCATACTAGAACCAGAGTTCAACGGACATAATCACCATTAGCAATCGAGCTACCAAGGTATACATAAGTACGACATACGCTTATGCCGTTACCCAACTACCTGGCAAATCTAGAATTCGGCGTATGGTGCGTTCGCCTTATAACCGTCAAAACTTTGTTTTGTTTCAATTTGATTCTTAAGCACTAAAACTTATAAAATGTTTGAACACTAAAGAACAATGAATTGAATAGGTATATATGGTGAAACATAAAAATGTATAGGAATAGCAATAGAAAAAACGGCGTATACCCTGAAACTGGGCAGTGATTTTTCCGTCAGGCGCACGCGTCCTTTTTCGGATGGCCTTCTGCTTTCGTTTCAATGGCGGCATCTTTCAAATGAAAGGAAAAAAAAAGACGTGTAGGACGTAGGCGCTAGGCGAGTATATATACGTATAGGAGTTGTTTACTCATTCTTGTTTCAGGTACGTGAGTTGTTTCAAATTTCTGCCGGCCAAGCTAAATTGGGAAAAACCGGCAACTTTTGGCTTCCCATAGTTTTTTTATTCTTCAATAGCGAAAGCAAACGAGTTAAAAAAAGATATCTTGAAGCACGTTGGACTGTATAATTGCCTTTTGGGGACGTTATAAGAGAGTAAAGCTGAGGTATAAAATTGACGGTCATAAGGCGAACGCACCATAGAAATCTTCTATATCAGATTAGCTTCGAAAATTATCGCTATAGTGGTACCGAGATACGTGTTAAATCAGTGATAACGAGGAAGCTATAGCATCGTAATTTTAATAAACAGCCTATACTGCTGTTGTGGCGGCAGTCGCTGTCACCATAGTATTAAACAAGAGAGCATCGAACGCCACACCAATGAACCCGGCAACTAGCTAGAAATATACATTTCGTATGTATTCATTCGTCCATATTGCTTTTTATACAGAACTAGATATTATCCGAGAACAAGCGCGTCATCATCAATTCGTTATAGTGATCTCCATCGCCGTTCAAGGCAACTCTCACGTTACTGTAATTTTTGGTATCATGATACAGTGAAGCGCCCAAATATTCGCTATCTCGTGTTTCAACGCGCAAATCAAAGTATTTCGATTCCCAGTTCTTTTCGAATACACCATTGACCAAGTCCAACAACATGACACCGGCTATCGAGTCTAAGCTAGAAGAAAGGGAAAAGGGTTGTGTCAATTACGACAAGGTCATGTAATAAGCCTGATATAGCCTGATGGCTGTGCACTACAGCATAATAATATATCATGAAAATCTTATATGCGCCGGAAAAGCATATGTACCTGATCATTGCTTCACCATTCTTTTCAAGGTGCTTTTCAGGTTTACGAACGAATACTAGATCTAACATGGCCGTACTGAGTTTACCAATAGGCGTGTCTAACTTCTTGATCTGCTCGAAATAGTCTTCTTTTGTGATGACAAAGTTGCCTTGACTGACTAATAGAAAGTGAAATTGTTAATGGGTGAGGCAGTGAAAATGCTAGCGGCTTTTGCTTACTATCCAAGGGTAAAAGTACAACTTCCATAGGTGCCGATTTGCCCTTCTTGATCAATTTGAGTCGGGACTCATGCATATCCTTTGTTGCTTCATCGAATCCTTTGGATGTTCCGAGAATAATATTGGCAGCAGCCGGGTCATCGGCAAAGTTAAATTCAGCATACGGCGTGATATTACCAGAACTCGTCACCGCTCTACATGTACAAGTTGACAAAGTTTTAAGAGTTTAGTGACTTATTAAATAGAGGAACCTTGATGTGTTTATGCAATCAAATTATTATGAATGCATATAATTTTTTTTTCAATCAAGAACTGTGAGGTACTTACCCTCCCATAATGACAATTCGCTTGGCACGACTAAATGTAACAGGGTCAATATTATATGCAGTTGCAAGGTTTGTCAACGGACCAACAGCTAGGATCGTCATTGTCAATGGCGGGGTATGCTTCAACTGATGAAGAATTTCCTTGGGGCCATTCCGAGGGGTGCTTCTGAAAAACGTGCCATCCTCTCCATTGCTCTCGTATGCTTTGGTTCTCCAGTCAATTGGAGGATCGTACATGCCCTAAAGTTGTAATTTTTAGAACTGGCTTTTTTTTTAATGAAGTGAAAGGTTGAGACCATATATGTTTACCAGAGTGAAGATGTCACCGATAGCGTCTTTTCCCATAAATCCATCCGGTCCCATTGCATAATCCGGTTCCAAAGCCTTGCCTGCCCCTATTTCGAACATCAAGAAAAATACGGCAAAAATGATGGCGTTATTCATTGCTGATATGTTTTCATCGTTGATGATCGTGCAAAAGGGGCAAGGGATAATTGACACTACTTGCCGACGGCTAGGACTGACAATCCATGGGGTGGTGGAATACGTTGATGGAAGTACTTGTATTGCTCATACACAGTTTGGAACGCAGTGACGCCGTTTCGCGTAGCGTTTTCTATGTCCGCATTACCACGGACCAAAGTAATGGCTCTCACATCCACCTCTGGCGACAGTAGCATGAGCAATATGTTGAGCACATCATCCACGCCCTGTCAGATGTATATGGTAGTTATAAGGGTTTCAATCAGCTTTTCGGCAAAAAGGCAGATAAATTACTTTGTTATTCGATATATAAATTGATGATGTTCGGTTTTACCGGATCCGTGTCGATAATAATCGGTTCGCCACGATCAATACCAGGCAATCCACGTCGCCCAAGTTGTTGCTTAGGCGACGAAGCCAAAATGTTGATGTCGTCATGCAGCAAGACGTTTTTATCGAGACGTTGTGGCTGCTGAAGAGCAGCAATAGCTGTGAACGTGTCCAAAACCAAAGCTGCCGCTGCTGCCATTGATAACCAATACTGTGTGATTCGCATTTTTTACAAGCTTGTTGCTATTCGAGAAAAAAGAAGGGGAGAAAAAGCACAAGGAGGAAGAGGAAGAAAAGATTAGGAAACATTTACTTTGAGTTAGAATCTGGCTTTTGAGCGCGGTGTTATCCTTGCTGCAGGAACTAACGTTTTCCTTTGTTCTCAAAAGATTGGACTTGACTCGTGCAACTCAAATTAGTACAGTACTGCGCGAACGCACTACTTAAGACCATCCTTTTGATATTTTACCAGCTTTTTCCGCAGTTTAATTTTTATTACTATTTTTAGGAATTTTACGGAATGGAACTATAAGATGATGTGGTACGTTGGAAATTCCTGGTGACGGCAAGCCGATCGCAAGAGGCCGTTTGATATCGTCATCGCACGAGAAGTGCCCGGGCTTGGCGCTATTAATTACCATTAATCGTGGCTTTCCTGTATGTTGCCTCCTGAAAAATTTTCAATCCTTGTATAGCATTCTTTAGTACATTTTGATCCTACCACCCCCTTATCATACTTTGCACTCTTCACTTTTTCCTTTGTTATACTTATGCGGTGGTGAGATCATATATAAACTGTCACACAATAATAGCACACAATGTGATACATAAGCATGATTTCTAAGCGGAAAGGTCTCTCACGATAGTGGTTTAAATTCCTAATACCCGCGCGCTCTTCGAATACATAACCGAGGAAGAAAATGTGCTTTTACAACATCATTTACATTTCACCCTAAGATATATCAGTGAAGTCTCTGATCAATACTAGCTTAATAAAGCGTCTTACGGAGAATGAAGATAGCGCTTCTGGATTTGAGTTATCTGTCTGTCTGCTGTCTCCTGGTTGCCACGGCAACAGATTGAATGCTATAATAACGACGTAGGGGTTGTTGAAAGTCAGCTGCAGAGTACTGGGCTGTGTATATTTCTCCTACTCGAATTTAGCAATCATTGTATAAGTTGCTTCTTCGTTTAAACACACAGACACGGCTAAAGATCCCCGTGAAAACCAAGGAACCGAGTCAAAAGTCGGGTCGGCTCGGTCCATGGAAGAATCGAACCGGAACCTACTCGATTCTCTTTGCGTAGAACCGAGAACCGAGTATAGAACTATAATGTCAATGCAATAAGAGCATTAACTGTAAGAATAATTTTAATGAAGAAACGAGTTGAGATGTCGTTTTCAAATTGCAGCTTTATAGTTTTTCATCTGGGAAAATTGATATTTTTATAAAGTTTGTAGCTATCTATATAAAAGAAACGGGTGGGAAACAGTTAGAGAAAGGGACAGAGTTGGGAAGAACAAAGAAGAAAAGAGAAAAAGCTTGAAATTTTGTGATATATAACGAGGAGCCAAGAAGCATTTGCTTCATGATGGTTTCCTTGGACAACAGGTTGTTGCTGAGCATGCAGCATTCATTACTGTGAGCCAAAGGCACACCAAGAATTTCTTCTCAGCAATTCATGCAAACAACATCACGTAAATGGTCCAGTAATCTTTTATCCGGCAAACCCTCAAGTCCCTTTACCAGATCATCGATTAGAAAACAATTCATACTTAACGTTCAACCATGAACAATCATACTGTATATCGACAATTGAAATGAAGCACGTCTTTTATTCACAATATATACTATACACTACGATTATTCCGTCTTCCCTTCGATGTTACACAATCATTACTAGAATCGTGAGTAAATCCATCACTTTAAATGCAGTCGAAAACTTGGTTATAATCTCGGTTCGGTTTGGTTTACTTCTCATGTACACCCTTCTCGGGTCGGTTCCAGCAGAGAACCGACCCGGCACGACCCGTGAGGTTCCTTAGCAACGACATCATCAGGGGGAAATGTGTACATACATAAAAAAATAGCACGAGTGTGCTGTGACAGATTGCCATTGTAGATGTAATCAAGGTAAAACCTACCAAGAATGCGTTTGGACGTCGCACCAGATATGTTATATATCCGGAGTATTATGCTCCAATTGAGCACGCCACAGACGTGCTATCTTTAAAGTACATGAAAATCACGGTCTGAAACCGGTTGCTCTATGAATAGAAGACCGCCTATCATATGTTTGTTTACAACGCCATTTGTATTGACAGTCTGGCGATTAACCAATACCATTCAACCACTTTTAAGATATATACTTGCTCGGATATCCAAACTCCACTGCTATCCGTGTGTACTGTAGTTCCGTGTAATTAAAACAGCATCAGCTCGCACGACAATCAATACAAAGACGGTCATGAATTTGTTTGTTTCGTTTGTTTGGCTTGTACTATCTATCGTAAGGCTACTATATGACATTAGTGCAGATATTCCCAAGGTACTAAATAACAGGATACTTATTTCACTTCCATGATCGAACTTGGTAGTTTTCTGTTGCCTAAAAAGCTTCCTATGTGCTCAAGTATGAAAAGACAGTAGTGCTATTGTAAGCGTAACAGACATATCATGAACGGGCAAACTTGCTCTCGATAACTTTAAGCCGCAACTATTTTCACACATAATTTGATAGTTTATACGCTGTGAAACTAACGAGGGGCTACTCCAGACTCATTCAATCGTCGCCTATATATTGCTAATTAAATGAAACTGTATAACTCTTTGTTGTATCTTTCACCGCACGGATTGTTATTGACAAAGAATAAGGTACTTATATCTACTAAGGGTTATGTAGCACACAACAACCTTCTTATAGCAATACTTTTTGTAAGTTGTCAGAGCAAGTCTCCGCATTGGACGGAGTATCTTCAGAACCGATGCTTGTCAAATGATTGATGCTGTATGGTCAGGAGCGTCAAAGTAGGCAGGAAAAAATTGACGTCAACGGACGATGTGCTGTAGACGAATGGTGCAGCTTATTTGGCTGCAAGCATTATGATCTGTGCAGTCTGTGTAATATGCAATGAAATGGGTGATCTTAACAGCAAAGGTGTTCGAAATCGCATTATCAAAGACAGCTTAGGATTAAATAATCTTATAAAAGTCACAGTACATGCACATTTTTCACACCTTCCAACGTATATAAAAACGAGAAAGATGAAGGGATGGAACATGGGGATTATGTTTACCCACCATCACCATCATCTTATTCAAACGATAAGTTATGCAAGGGAAAACAAAGTGCCGGCTTATCTTTCTTTTTACCTTGGCAACTGCCACTTACGAATGAGATAACTTACTTGTTCGGAGTCACAATATACCTCTTTTCTCGCCCGTTTCTCTTTGTATAGTTCCACATATGCTATCTTATCGACTGCTATCCACTCTCTTTTTGCTTTACCTGCTTCTGTTGTTCATGAAGTGACACACACATTACCCGATAAATAAAATTTCAGTATGACTTGATCCTTGTTTAGTGCTGATTGGTGATGAGACTCCCTATGATACTTATCCATTGTAGAATGCAATCTTACAAGAATTCTCAGACATTTGATAGAGATCTGTTATCGTTATCAATGTTGATTGGGAAAAGAGAAGTCAATGACTGCTCGCAGGCAACATAGCGATGATGCCGACGACGACATGCATGCATGCATGCATGCATAAAAAAATATAAATACGGTAATGCTTATTACTTGCTCAGCCCAACTACACTCTACACACGTACTTTTCAACCCAAAAGAATACAAAATAAAGATGGTTTACCAGCTTCCTGTTATCGATTTCAGCGATTTTTCGAACCGTTCATCAACTATTGCGCAAGAAGTTTTGTATGCTTGCAAGACTATCGGCTTCTTCTATGTGATCAACCATGAGATTCCCAAGGAAATGGTTGACAATGCATTTGCTTTGGTAAAGATGCTGCCTTGTATTATGTAGTAACACTAGTAGTGTATGACAAAAACTAATTTAATCAATCCGTACTTTATACTATACGTTTCCAGTCCAAGAAATTTTATGATCTCCCGCTGGAAAAGAAAGACAAATTTTACATCAAGAATAATCGTGGCTACACTGGTCTTTTCGTACAGAAGTGAGTCTTGTTTTGTTTGACAAAGAACGAGTAATCTATCATACGAACGGCGGGTCCAATCTTTTGTGAGAAGCATTCATCAACCTACTGTAACTTATCAAAAATTTAACGGGTTGTTATCAGACTTGATCCAGATACGCAAAAGCAAGGCGACCACAAGGAGTAAGTTTCTATCTCATAAAAGAAGATAACACGGAATACAAAAGGAAAAAGGATTGGGCCTTCAACCTTATTAAACAAAAACGTCAGAGCATTCAATTTTGGCCCATTCGTCAACGGCGAGTACAACTACCCGTTGCCAGAAGTCTTTGAAGAATCCAAAAGCGAGATTGAAAGCTTCTCTCGCGCATGTCATGGAACCATTACCCATATCCTTGAAGCCTTTGCCATTGCATTACAAGTAAGTTACCTATTACTTGTTTACTTGTGGTCGGTCATGAACATCAATCACTCACGTGTGAATTTTTTGCTTCAATTTCTAGATTCCCGAAGAAGAAGGAGGCCGCGAATATTTCTCACGTACTCACCAATATGACGAGCCCAAATGTGGCGAAACTCTCCGCTTCTTAAAGTATCCCCGCGGAGCAGAATCCACATACAAAGAACCAGGTATTGAAAATCATCTATTTCGTTATCATGTACAAACTAGGCTTAATAGCCGCTCATCAGATTAAACCTATCAATTTTTATTATAGTTCGAGCGGGTGCTCACACAGATTATGGATCTATCACCTTGCTTTTCCAAAAAGATATCGGTGGTCTCGAGGTTCAGGCGAGCCGTACTGAATGGATCTCGGCACCAATCATTGATGATGCTATTCTTGGTGATGTATTGTTTACAACCTCATTACATACTTTTTCTTTCTCAACGACAAGGTGATACTAATTTCTTTGCTATTCGATACTGTATATGCAGTGAACGTGGGTGGAGTTATGGAATACTGGTAAGAACGATTTATATTCAAAATATCAACCTAACAAGAAGATGAGGTTTCTACCGTAGCACTGTTTTTACTGACTTTTTGATTGCTGTCATCAAAAAGGACAAACGGATTGTTTAAATCAACAATGCACCGAGTCTGCTTTATGCCCGAACATCAAACAAACGACCGCTACTCGATTGCCTGCTTTGGCCAGCCCAAGAGAGATGTGCAATTGAAAGTTATTCCTAGTAACATTGTTCCCAAGGAGCGCCCGACTTTCAAAGAGATTCCCGCACATTTGAATGACAAGTTGCTGACCTCTGCTGAATATTTGCAGCTTCGACTGGATGCTGCCTATGAGAACAGCAAGCAAGACCTTAAATAAAAGTATTGTTATTGTTGTTTTGATGCACTCATTTAGTGTGGTGTTTTGAAAGCTGTCCATGTGTGATTCGGTGCATAATTGCATGCATTTGGAAACGGTTTTCTTTCATTTGGTCAGAGTTGTCTTTATTAAGAAGAAAGTTATTTCAAGCACAATCTTTTTTCGGTTACCACCCGGCTTGTACTAGCTTCCAGTAGTACATACGGACGCCTCAGTTGCAGTGAGGCGTAATATAGACGTTTAGTTCCGAAGCGATTAAATAGTACAAAACACCGCGAGTGATACAGGATGGACCCCTCCGCCGATGTAAGGCAAAAATGACAGAGAGGAACAACTATAAGTAGGACAGGTGAGCCAAAAAATATCGTTAGTGCCGATAAAACCTGTTGCAGAGGTATTTGATTTAAGCGCGATTATTATATGTTTAGAAAAGATACTGCTAGCTCTTTTATTTATGGGAGACGCCACGTAATAGCCAGAAGAAATAAATCAGGTTTTGCTGTCGCTTATTATTGCGTAACATGTGTCTATTCTCAAATGTCATGGCGGTGGGACCGATTGTCATTTTGGCGTGGTACAAGGAACGGCGGCACATGTCCGTAAAGTGCTTCACATTTTGCCATGTGTTTGAAAAGAGGATAAATCTCCACATAACCATCACCCTTTTGAGCACAGGTGCATCAAAGAGAAGGAGATACAAAACAACAATAACAATAACAATAACAATAACAATAACAATGGAGGGTGGGGGAAAGGTTCGTGTGGATGTCGTCGTGGCGAAATAAGGCAATTGTCGGGCCTGTCGCGGCGTATCCGAAATTCAGGGCCACGCTCTCTGCTACGAACTACTCGGTCAATAGTGGGGGTTGTTGAGGCAAAGGTTATACAAGGCCCATCAACACTATATTTGTAGGACAGGTCTGCTCTAAATAAAAAAACGTTTTTTTTTCTTTTTCTTTTGCTTTCTCTTTCCCGCTTTCATTTTTTTCTTCGTCTTTTCCTCTGTAAATCTCTGTTCTTGCTTTATTTTATAAATCATCTTTAAATCGGCGAGCGAGAGAAACAAACCACATCCCATGTCCGCATCAGTCGCTGGCCCAAGTAGACCACCAACGCAAGTACGGGATTGGCTATTACCATTGCCAGTCGAACTTTCAGCAAATGATTCATTTTCAACCGATCTTATTCGGCAATTCGACAAGAAACGTTCGCGGTTACGCGTGGAGCTGAAACTAGAGGTAACGTGGGCATAGGCTATAAAAGGCAATGGTGGTCTATATAAAAACCGCATTTTGGTTTGGTTAGCATCACGCTTCTGATACTGATTCTGTATCAACATCACGCGTGGCAACTTCCTCAAACAGTCAAACGAAACAGCTTCATCATCGTCATCACCCTCTTTGCCATCACATCCATCGCCTTCACCGCCAACTGCTGGAGCGCCTGCAACAACTAGAGTTGCCGAGACAGCCCCTCCATCCATCAGTAGTAGAACAACGACAGGCACGGATAGAGGAGCAGGAGGCAGCAAACGCCGCCGATCAGCAGGCGATTTACTGCGCCGCTCTTCCGCCTTTTTACGGGCAAAGATCGAAGCATTGAGAGGCACTTCTCGATCGCACGATAATCTGCAGCGCAACTACCATGACATGGAAGACGACGACGACGAACGACGACATTCAATCCCGCCACCAAGCAAGATTGTAGTCAACACGACCATTGCTATTCCTCAATTCAATACCACGGCAACACAGCAGCCAACGACGAATCACCATGGCAACCGGCTTCTGTCACCGGTGGCAGCTTCGATCCAGCCACCTGTGATCACACAATACCCGCCCAAGCCGTTGAAGTACTCGCCGGTTGAACCTGTGGTATTGGAAGAAAGCACGAAAAAGAGTCTACATCACCGCATCTCGATGCCTGTGCTTCGTAATCATAATGGCAGGTCCACCTCGACGGAGCCCCGGCGACGTTCGGACGTCGGTGTCGAAAGGATGGGATCCATAGGGAAAAGGGCACGGAAAGCGCTGGGTAGCTGTGCAGAGTTAAAGAGCAGAGGTGTCACCAGGAAGGGAAAAGAGCGTGCAGCTGGCTCGCCCGCATCAACCACTTCCTCCTCCTCCTCTTCTGCTCCTGCGGCCATTATTACAGCAACAGAAACAAGCACGTCGGCTATACTGATGCCACCGCCGCCGCCACCTCCTCCTCCATCTGCACTTTTGCCATCATCAGCCAAGGCATAACCTGTTTTTCTTCATTAATTATCAACGAGTATTATACTAGTATCATAGACATTTGCATTCAATCAACCCTTTATACCTCGAAGAATTTGTTTACCTCGTCTCTATGTATTTTGTTCTTCATTCTGCAAAACATACACACACACACACACACACATATATATTACGATTCACAAACATGCACAAGACTATACTCAACAATAGCTACTACCCCTCAAGCAATAATTATGCCATCCGTAGATACCCCCTTGTTTTCTTTACTTTTATGCCTCTCTTCGCTTATGGTGTCATGGGCGGATTATTATTATTGACAAATATAGAACAAATTCTTTAATCTTTCTTTTCGCTCATCCTTTGCAATGATGTACATCATGCATGGCATATCGTATATGTACTTGATTATGTATATGATGATGCATGAGCTACTACCAGTGCATAACATGAAATGAATGGGGATCTAAATTTGGGAGACAGGCCGCTTGTACTTTATTATACTAGATCTGTAGGTCTTGCAGCTCGGTGATTCTCTCAAAGTTGCTTTTTGTGCCAAAAATGAAAGTTCAAGCCATTCTATCATAGTCGACGCTGACAGGTATTGTGTCCATTCGAAGATTGTTTTGCCATTGATGTTGCATTGCTCAGTATAGTCCGAGGTTACTTGATGCGGTAGCAGCAGATTATGACATCAACAGAAAATATAGACAGCAAACCTTGTTTTGGTGCTACAAAGACGGAGATGTCTGTTCATCCTACTCCGGCTTGTGGAAAAGTATGTAATAAAAGAATTGTTGATAGTAACATGTAAGAACTTGTGTAGAAGAAGCTCTATATTGTATGTCATCGGGCCACTTCTTTGTTGATACCGGTGTTAGTTGGTGATGTACGTCTGTTGTTAGGTGTGGCCAACTGACATATAGTATCTTCACTACGGTACATTGCCACACTGCTTTGCAGAACGTTCAGGTATGATTTCACCCAGAACTCGCTGACACTTGGCGCTCGCCCCTTGTATCGCTGGTTTTGTTGTTTGTTGGGTGGATGGCTGTGTGCAAAGTTGACCAACCTGGTGGTATGCTCAAGCAATTTAAGCCCCCATCTACTTCTGCAATTGCTCCCCCTTCTCCCCTCTTACTGCAACGCTGGTCTATATATAAAAAGTTTACCTTGCCAAAAATGTTTAGCATATTGCATCAATCCAATAAAATGGTGGCATAAGTTCGTGGGCTTTTTCGCCTCCACCGAAAGAGCGGGTCATGTCAACGTCAAGGTATGGGCATCATCATTTTTGACATGGACATATTGCATGAGAATGGCCCAAGTCATGCTGGAGTCTTTGAAAATGCACCTCCTAATACGAAATTTTCTTGAGCATCCATTCGACGAAGAAGCTTGAACATTTCCTCCATATGTATACCTCCCCTCCCCTATTGTGCCAAAAAAGCGGTTGAAATATATACTTCTGAAAACTCATTTCGTTCAACTTTACTATTGACACCTAATCAGGATTGCTCAATCGGATTCAGTTCAGGGGGGAGAAGACAGTATCGGTACTGTTCTTTGATGAAAGTCTGCTCACTCCAATCTTCAAGAAGCAATACTCGAGTAATTGAGGGCACTGAACCAAAACGACTGTGTCCCAGTCCATTCTGAATATTGACAACAGATAAGTATCTTTACAATTACGCGATTTTAAAAGTCGTGGCGCGCCACTGCTTTCTTAATTGATGGGTAAAGTGTAATTTCAGCCATTGGCAAATTATCTTTTGCTATGGACGCAAAATATTACACAGTGTACACGCAAAAGGTTTCCGCAAAGAGTGTACAACGTGTTTGGATTTGATAGAATGACGATATATGTACGTTACTTGTTATTAATATTGTGGGCGAGTGCAGATGGGCGTATTTGTTATGGCTCTTCAAAAGCTGGATGGTTGGAAGGATAATTCTTGACTGAGTGTGTAGAGTCAATTCGTCTACATGATGTGAGCACATAATTTTCGCCATTATGATTCGGAAATTGCAATAGTTTGCGGCGTTATGCGTGACAAATCTCGTTTGCGAAACGGATGATAGTGTCGGTGGGAAGATAATTGATAATACAGTGGAGTATTTATAAGACATGTCCACAATGATATCTTTTCCTTGAGGATGCGTTGACTGTTGATGCTGCGTGTCCTCTCATTGAAACTGCGCTCTCCTGCAATCGCCATCATTATGTTTTAATGGAGTGACATGCACTGTCGAATAATTCATTGAAGACATTGTTGCTGCTAGTGTTCTTGATCCTACAGGGACAGCAGGCGTGACCACCAATATAAACAAAACCTAGAGCCCTGTTGAGCACAATTATCTACTAATTGGAAAAGGCTCGTGCCACGTCATGACAATGCTACTACTGCTCGCTTCCATTGTTAGACAAACTCGTTGCTGCTTATTACAATATCGATAAGCCTTCACTACTAGTTTCAACATATAGGATTTTAGTTATAAGAAGCCGCTGATACTTATTTTGTTTACAGTATAATGATCTCTCTTTAGTAACGTGTGTTTAAAGAACCTCCTTCTGTCATCTTCTTTCCTTACGCATATAGAGGCAAGGGGAGAGAGTTAAAAAACCAAGAACGTTACACAACAGCTCTTGAGGTACTGTAGATTTGGGTTATTCTAGCATTTCTATTATGGTTTTGTTATACAACGCCATCACCATTGTTCTGTGGTTGATATTAAAATCAAGGTACAGAACGCATATCCGTACTACAGCTTTTATTTCTAATACATCGACTGCATGGTGCAGCATGGCATCACATCAATGATGCTTATGGTCCTCAATTGTTACTCTTATTGAAAATTTCCAAACGGATACGCATTCTTCGGTACAAGCCTGTTGTGTCTATTTTTTTCAGCTAAACTATAATAGAGCATACGCCGATGTTTCGTGTAAATCGATAATGTGACAACAAAAGCTTATCAAGTATATAAGATAATCTCTGACTGGAGAAGTCTGAAAGCAAATTGCATCAACTGTGAATTGTGCAGTGTTATTTACTGAATCAATTTTGGACTAACGAGCGCACCTGGCGTCATCACCATTTCAGAGTACTGCACCAAAGAATCATATGTTGCAAATGAGCTACACAGATAATAGGTTACATTTTCTTTTCTCAGTGGCTTACAACCGACAGTAACAACCCCTTATAATACCGGGGATAAGAATTAGGGGGTGAAAAAACTGAATTAAAAAAAAAGGAAGCACCGAAGAAAGAGACAAGCAGAATGAAAAAGGCTGTGCTCCTTTCTCCTTTCCATTATGCCCGATAGTACTGTAGCTTAGTATTTCAAAGTAGTGTTAGCTTGATTATACTCTCAAGACGTGGGAATGATAGCTAAAAGTAAATAGAAACATGCATACAATCTGTGCAAAAACAGATCATGACAGAAAAAAACCTTCTGTATTATCACTGTGGCTTGATTATAACCCGTCATGATATGGTTTAAAAGAGAAGCATAGCTTAAATGTATGTGATCTACGAACATTACAGTATTGTGAATGATGGTATAACAAAGTATGCATATATCAGGAGAATTGACGAAAATTTGGATGTCAACATATTACTCATGAGTATGTGTCTAGTCAGCGCACGAGATACTATAGACCAAGTAGTATGTGGAGAGATTTGATAAATCAGTCAATCCATAAACCTATGTTGCCCGCGCGCGCTGTTCTATTTCATTATTCAGGGCGAAAATAAGGAGTGCAACTCGAAAATGTATGTTTTAATATGCACAATTTATGTATACTTGATTATTTTCTCTGTATGTATGATATCCACCATTATCATCCTCATCGCATCTTAGAATCAGAACACCCCACCATAAGTATGTGTGATAAACTTTCTGACCAACATATGGCCAATCAGCATCTACCTTTGAAAAAAAAACCGAGAGCTATTGTGTAAACTACATCCATACGTTAACATAATTGTAAATAAAAGGATAATGCAAATCTTAATTGGCGAATAGTATTCTTTGCCGTTTGTTACGTTCGAGAGAATTGCTCTTGATATTATAAGACATAGAACCTAGTACTAAATGGTAGTAAATACTAAGTTGTATGTAATTTAAGGTATCATATGCAATGCAATGCAAATTGAATATAGCTAAACCGTTTGTGTTATTATGTGTCGTCAAAGCAATAAGGTTCTGAATTTTTGCGCTATTACATTATCGATAAGCTTCTTTTTCCTCGTGTTTCGATCTGCTGCTACTTCTGACACGCACCACCCATGTACACACGCGTCGTTACTGAATTGTACTACTACTAAGATTTTGCTGTGTTTCGCATCTACATCGTCGCTAATACTACTAGTTGTTGCTATGGAAGGATACATTAATAAGCAAAAATATGATATAATTTTTGGAAAGGCGGGTTAGAGGAGAGGAAGAAAGAATTTTTTTATATAAATGCCGATAAATAACAAGAAGTGATACGTACGTAGTACTGTATAGAGCGACTTTATACAAAATATCTCCACTACGTTTCCAAATCAGTAGTCAGTTTTGTAGAAGAAAGGGGAGGATGAAGTCGAGGAGCGTAATGGAGGAAAAGGGAGTATGTACTACCAAGTAGAGGGGTGATGGCGGCTGATGGGAGGAGAAAGAATGCTTTTATATACATGATGAAATAAAAGAAGCTTTAAGATTATAGATTATGTAAGGAGTAGTATGTACATTATTATGCGGATTCGAAGACTTGTCCTTTAACGAAACCTCGTTATCGTCACATGAGGTCATCATGGCCCTGGGTTTGGCCAATTACTTTTTTTTCTGTAAAAGGAGGAAATATTATATGTACATGGTTTTTTAAAAAACGGGAAGGTCAAAAGAACAACGAAGATGTACGAATAATAAAGTGACGAGAAAGAACGAAAAATAATGAAGCACAACAGAGCTATCTTCCTTTTCGTAATGAGGGTGAGGACGCAGCACCGGATGGCGGCGGGGATAGCGAGATGGAACAAAAACACAAGAGTAGTATGATAGTGTAATAATACGGGTGATAGCAATAATAATAAAAGTAGTAGTGGTAGTAGTAGTATGTAAGTGAGAGTAGAGGGTTGTTTTTTTGAATTAAAGGAAATGTTGATGGGTGATAAGTCATGAGCATTGTTGCAAGGTAAAATGTATAGGCTTCGTCTGCTTTTTCTTATATGCCATTATCGAGGTGTTTTTTGTACATGGTCCATCGCTACTGTCAACCCAGTCAGCATTTTCAATGCGACATCCAGCTCTGCAAATTGCGGATCGCTACGATCGGTATGTTTCATCAAATCTGTAAATCGCAGCGGGAAAAACAAAAGAGAAATGCCTTATTAGCTTCTTTCTATCCAAATAGCTACCATCGGTCGATTGTATGCTCTATCTCTAGATATTTATCATTAACTTTGATATATACCGCACCTTTTATTAGAAGGCAATAACGAGGCACACGTTGAAAAGGTGCAATCAAATAATCGGCAATGCCCATTCGATTCGTATCCTTGCGAGTTAAAGATTCTTGTTCTATCTTCAAAAACAATACATTACTGCATGCGCGTCGGATCAGTTTGCTATGCGCCTCATAATGAACGGCATATTTCAGGAACACCACCATTTCCTGCTCGAGCATCTGAAACATTCGTCCGATGCGGACCAAAGAAGGTGTGTTGTGAAAACGGCCCTGTGGTAGTGGTTCGTCTTCAAAACACTGCAGAATCTTTCCCGAAAGCTGAAGCATCTCTGGCAAGTGGCGAAAGAGAACCGGTATGTCGCCTTCTTTGACCAAAGGCGACGCCTCTTGTGAGGCGGCAATCATCGGTTGCATGTAGCGTGTCTGGATCAATCTGAGCAGTCGATGATAAGATTTTTCTGTCGTGTATAGCTCATTGATGATAAATTTGCAGAGTGCGCGGTCTTTGTTTGTAATGAGCGATCCGGCATCGTTGTAGCTGCTCTTGCCGATCTGTTTCTTTTTTACAAACAAACAATCCACTTTGGTTATTATATGTCATTCTCTACATATCTCGCGCGAGCCACAGCGTGTACAATGTGCATCGCAATAGTAGCATTCACTTTACAGCTTTTTGTTGTTACATACCTCATCGTCACTGTTAACGTTGATGTGTCCATTATCGGAAGCAAGCAATAGTTTGGTTACTGTTTGACGCCAAACAGATATTGCTTTGACTTCTTTTTTATGTACACTGCCAACAACTGCAAACATGGTGCGTGCCCGTGTGGGCTTCATCATAACGACACGTTCAGTAGATTCGGTCGATGTCGGTAAAGTTTTGCGTCGAGGCGATTCAAAGGATGGATACATGGAACTGCAAGACACGACAGGCGTAGGCAGCTGTTGTTTGTTGTTGTTGTTGTCGCACGACATTGGTGCGGCATGATAGGAGTTATTGTTATTGTTGTTGTTGGGCTGGTGTTGCTGGTGTGCTGTAGCTGCCTCGATGGATTTACTGCCTAATTTCGACAGGAACTTTGATTTAGCCGGGTCATGCGCCAATGTCCGAACAGACGATGAGGAAGAACTTGACGAGGACATGGATGATTGTCGACTGACAATACGAGAATGTAGGGCTATGGTCGTTGCAGACGAAGGTAAACTTCTTCGTTGCCATGGTGGCAATAGCTCCTCGTCCTGCAAATACGTTGGCTGTTGTTGTGCGACGAGTGATGTTGGCGGTGACGGTGGTAATTGAGATAACGGTCGCTCTGACAGTGCTACGGGTTTAGTTCTTTGATGGAGTGGTGCTGGCTGATGCGAAAGTGGACGCTTTTGCTGCCGTGGCTTGATGGGCTCGACACATTCTTGTTCTTTGATGTGTACATGTTTGGCTGCCACGAGCAAGTTCCGCGATGTCGGGGGTGCATACAGGGACTCTTCTCTATTACTATTGGCGCTACTATTACCACCACTAGAAGCACCACTGAAGCTAGTGATACTGGTAATGATGCTGTCCACTCGATCCCTTTTTTTTGTGGGCGGCATGCGGATCGGGGCGGATCTCCTTTCGTCTTGTTTCTGCCGCTTTTTATTGACAAAGTTTGTACTAGTAGCTGCATTGTTGCTGTTGCTGTCTGTTGTTGTTGTGCTTACAGTCTTAGTGCTAGCTGCATTGGACGAACAACGCGGACGACGCCGTGACACGGATGCAAACAACGTCAATCGGACGGATTGCAATCGACCCTTGGGCGGTGGTGGTTCTTGCTGCTGCTGCCGCTGCTGCTCTTGCTGTTGTAGTTGTTTGTTACCTGTTACTGGCGGATTTTGATCATGGCGAGTCAATGGGGGTGGTGATGGAGGTGGTGATAAAAAAGGCGTTGATTTCGATAACTTCTGTGGTTCTTCGAGTGGCATTGCAATGTTGTTGTTGTTGTTACTAGCATGATTACTACGATGCTGATGATGATAATGGTGTGGTTGGGCTAAGCGTTTGAGAAACGATTGTCGCTTTTGCTGCTGCTGTGCCTTATTTGCGAGGACAGAGGGTGCCGGGCTTGCGCCATTTTTTGACATGGCGGTTCACTAATTCTCTGTGCTGTGTTTATGGGATGTAAGAAAAAGGGGTGCGGGGTATATTGGATGATTGTGCTTTGTAATAACACGGAATGCAAAAAAAAAGAAGAAGAAAGTGAGAACAAAGGGAAAAAGAAGACAAAATTCGATTTCCTGAAGGTGATGGACGAATGATGAATCAGAAGAGAGAGAAGAAAAAAGTAAAGGGGGAAGAGTGAAAAGAGCAAGGGGAGGGAGTAAGAATTAAAGAAAGAACGGAACAAGAGTGTTCTGTAAAGTGATACGGTATATCACTCTTTTTTTTTTACCAGCAGCTCGTGGTAGTACAGCACTATGTCTGTCTTATGGTACACACACTCAGATACTCATATCAAACGAACAAGACTCAAAAGCAAGTGTCAGAAAGCGGAACAGACAGAGGCGTTTTGGCAATAGGGACAACAGCCCGAAACTCTAATAGCAGCACAGTAGTTTAATCTTCCATTCAAACTACTAGCACTACTACTAGCTAACGAACCAGCCATTGTACGTATCCTCCCTCACACAATATTGCTTCCTCAATCGGTGACTTTCAAGGGATGAGCTGTTTGTAAGTGTGTATGTGAAAACTAGAAAGGAAAAAAGCAGAGGCATATTATGTGCCTGATGGAATCGTACATCTCATCTACTACTAACTATTTGAGCGCGCGCTCTGCTTCAGTATGAAGAGCTAGAGAGGCTCAAGTGTGATGGATGCTCAGTACATATTAATCATGAAAGGGAGTATAGGACTTTTTTTTTTGCTTGAAGGGCATGCACTTCATTAGGGCAGAATATGTACGCCGAATGTGTCGGCTCAGCTATCACTAGAGAATATTTTGCATATACATACATACATACATACATACATACGTATGTCTCGGTAGAAACGACAGCATGGTAGCCCCCCTCTACCGATATTAAACAACAGCGTAAAGTTACATATTGCACTGGTAGCTTACTATTTACTAGTGTGAACCGTCGTTTTGTTGTTGCGATGATTTGCATCAACAACAACATTTAATAATACCTTCACGGATGACGCACGGACAAAAAAACAGTACGGTAGTAAATATCATAAGTGCTTGCTTTGCTGATTTTGTGAGCTTATCAATCGATTAAACATACAAATCCAAGAGAGGGAAACAAACATCATTGCACATTGTTTTGATTTGCCATTAGCCACGAAATGAAATAAGGGGGTGCACTTTGGTAACACACCCTATTCCTTCTGTTACTATGGCGTTTTGTTCTTTACTCGTGCCTCATTCAAATGATAATGAACGCAGCAGCCACAATATGAGCACTGAAGTGGCACCACTATTACCTGCTACCAGACCATTCAGCGCACTTGTATCGATAACACACCGCACTTGAACTGTTGAGAGAACGTGAGGCCCGACCGGAGACTTCGGACCGACAAAGCGCTCCTTTTGGCTCTTTGTGCTAGTTGTCCCCGCTTTAGTACTTACTATCATATATATACCTTTATTGAAGTTCCACACACCCACCCACACACCTGCTTCTTTCTCCTTCTCCTTCTTCTCCGTCCCCCACCCGCACCACACCCCCAACACCATATTGCTCAGAACACAACAATCACAAACTCAATGTTGGATTCCATTCCCGGCCGAGTGTTTGTTGTTGGCGTTTCGTTGTTGATCGCCACCATCGCCTACTCATCGCAAGCTTTCATTTTCTTGCCGGCCATGGGATGGTGGTCCATTAAGGCTGCCAAGTCATTGATCCCATTCAACCTGCTTGTTCTCATGATCTATTACAATTATTATTTGGCTTGCACAACTGATCCTGGTCCAGTACCTCAAGGATGGGTAAAGTATATTTATCCCGGTTTATACATATGTTGCTACACAATGGCTCCGAAGCTATGACAACTCATAAACGTGTGCTTATATAACAACAGGAACCACCTTATTCGACCTTACAACCTCAAGAAGGCTTATCAGCAACCGATACGGGTATTACTGGTCCGCGATACTGCAAATCATGTAAAGTGTATAAGCCGCCTCGAACACACCATTGTCGCTACTGCCGTCGCTGCGTATTGAAAATGGACCACCACTGTCCCTGGATTGCCAACTGTGTTGGCCACGACAACTATCCCCACTTTATTAGATTCATTCTCTTTGTCGATATTGCTTGCAGTTATGCACTCGGTTTGCTAGTGTGGCGAGTACGATCTATCATGAATGATATTCGTCATTTTCGGGTAATGCATCAATTCCCGGTATCATTGTTACTCGGATATAAAAGACTCCAAGATTGATTGATTGCGACTGACTGACGGCAAACTAAAACTATGTAGTTTCGAGCAGAGCCAACAACAACCGAGATTGTGTTTCTAGTACTGAATTTTATATTGGCCTTTGTCGTCTTGTTCTGCGTTGGCATCTTGAGCATATACCACATGTACTGCATGTCAAGGAATCAGTCGTCTGTCGAGAGTTGGGAGCGAAGTAAAGTCAACACCCTTATCAAACGAGGCAAGATACTACCGGTAAACTGTCGTCTTCTTTGTTTTGAGCGGCGAGCATGAGTTATATATAAATAGAAAATCTGGGAACTAATAACATGATAATCTATAACAGATCAAATACCCTTTTGATGTTGGATTCTACCGAAACATATGCTCAGTATTAGGCAACAATCCGTTGACATGGCTATGGCCCAAGAAACCTACAAGTGATGGTTTGGTATTCCCCACACGAGCGGGAACAGATCCACGATTACCTTATTGCTGGCCACCACGCGATCCTGATGATTTACGACCATCCATTTTCTCCAAACGGTATCGACGGCATCAAGACCGTGAAATACGCAAAAATAGAAACAAACTGGTGCGACGGGATTCAGAAGGTTATTTGGTGCGCGAAATAACAGTGGAAGAACGTATAGGTATGCTCGAAAATCAGCAACAACAGCAGCAGCAACTGCAAGAAATGGAATATGATCAATATGAAGCACCATATCATGGAGGCCAAGAACATCTGGAACACTTGGATTACGAGGATGATAGCGGCGCCGTCGATGACGCACGGTCGGTTGATTCAGTTGAAGACTACTACGACTCGGGCAGTTGTGTCAGCGACGACGGCGAAGAAACTGTACCAGCGCGTCCCGACGAAGAGTATCAAATGCGACAGCAGCACTATAACGCACGATGGATGGAAGATAGAGTGCTTGACTTATCGGGGGGCGATTATTATCATTCGGATGGGTCATCTTGGGAAAGCGAAGGAGAAGATTACGACGATGACAACAGGCCATTAATGCCGCCACCACCGCAACTATCAGCACACAACCGTGCTACTGTTAATAATAGTAATCATCATACCACTTCTATCACTACTACCACTACCACCTCCCCTCATAATCGACATCATGTACAGAATAATAAAGACGCGAAAGCGGATTAATTTTTGCCAACACTTGATATCATCTGAGATTTTTGTCTTTTTCTCTTTTCTCTTTTGACCACAATTAAAGTATGCTCGAGCCTGAAGTACCGTATGACGCAGATCATGGTGTTGAAGAAGACGAAGACTGGCGCGATCCCCAAATCGCGAGTGGTGATGCTGCTGCTGCCCTTCGTGTTCAAGAACAAGAATGGGGTGGTGACGATGGAGCCCGTGATGCGCAAGGTGGTAATGTCGGCTATGATTACTACGCAGCACCACCACCTATTACTGAATCGCAAGAGCAAATGCCCGAAGACTGCTGGATGTTGCCACCAGAATACACTCTGGTCGATGTATTGGGCAGAAACAAATCCAAGTTGGACGAAATTCGCTTTGAAACGAGTACATCTCTGAAGTACAATGAAGCCAAACACCAAGTTGACATTTGGGGCGATCGTGAGTCTGTCTACCGCGCAAAGCATTTATTGGACTTGATTGTGCAGCGTCTGCATCGAAGATCCGAATCGTCCCGCCGCAAGACTAAAAAATGGGGCAAGCCCGAGCGTGAATTGACAGAAAAGGAACGTAGGCGTGCAGAACGGAAACAACTCAAGGCAGAAGAAGAACGCACTTTTCATCGTTTTCCAAATCAACCACTCTCATACAACGCAATTGTGCCCATTCCTAACAATAGCATTCCCATGAATCAAGTATTGGGTTTGAAGGAAGAGTTCTTGAACCGGATCAGAGCAGACTGCAAATGCTTTATGAACTACAATCAAAATACCAATGTTATCAATGTCACAGGTGAGAACGAAGATAAAGTTAAGGAGGCAGCATCGCGAATGCGCAACCTGTATCTCAAGAACGCCCGCTCGCCGCAATATGCCACATTGCGTTTGCTCAAACAACCCAAAACGAACATGATGGTCAAGTATCGAAAACTGCCTCAAGGTTATATCACGCCGCGGTACGCCCTACCTGCCGAACAGCAAAGCATTCTTGCAAACAACCGATTGTTGGAAGGCATGGTCACTGGTGTGGTGGCGCGTATCACGGAGCGCCAAAATCTGATTGACTTGGACGATGATCCACAAGACAACGATGCCAACGCAGATAGCGGTTTGTCAGATGAAATGCGACAGTTGGACGCAAAGAACGAGAAACAAATGATTAACGCGCTCGAAATGGGTCTGGCCAGTATACGGTTGTGCCAATACGAGATCAAGATGAAAATCAGATTCGGCCAAATTGTACTTACGGACTATCCGAACCGTCAGGATACCATTCCGCTCGAGGATCTTGCGAACAAGTTCTTCCCGCACCACAAGTTCAGAAGCGTCTTAGCGCCCTGCATTGGTCGCAGCATTGAAGAGCTTCACCCATTGTTCGAATGGCTATCCTCGAACTGCATCCAGTTTACTGATTCTCCGCGCACGTCTTATACTGTTGAGGCGGACCAATACCCACAGTTCGTACAAAGGCCATCCGCTTATGCACGCCGTGATCAGCAGACAGCCCCCATGGAACAGGACAAGTGGCGAACAACCATTATCGCAAACTTTACCGGCGAACGACGGGTTGGTTTATGGAACCTGATTGCCGAGGGCCAAGATATTGTCACTATCAGCAGCGCGGATTTGGAAAACGACTACTCGTGGGAACTCAAACTGCAGAGCGCACAACGGTTTAGCTCCATGGACGACATGGATACACCACATGGCCAGTTTGTAGAATCTTTAACACTCGATCCAGAAACCAATCGACTTATCCTAGTGCCTAACACACGAGACTATGAGCCGCATTTGATCACGCAAAAGACTAAATGGGTGTATGCTTTGGACGATTGGATCATTGAAGTCGGCCGTGACGAGGTCTGGGATATCCATCAGATTGATCTGTCGGACGATCGTCGTGATTTGCCTGTCAATCTGTCTAGCTTCAACCCACATCGTGTTATCCTCAAGTTTTCAATTTATCGCGAGACCTGGGTCAACCGCTTTGCCGAGAATTTGTCATTGCAGATTGGTGAGGCGCCTAACTGGACTCCAGCACAATTCTTGGCCAACGGCAATGAGAATATGCACGAAATCATCAGTGTAGCACAACAAATGACAGCCATGCTAAGCAAGGAGGTCAAGCCCTACTACGAGTCTCTTGCTCTGTAAAAAAATATTCCACTGACCCTCTCTCCTTCTTTACATAAAAAAAAAATACATTGTAATCATTGTTTTCTAGCAATAGAAGGTCAAAACGTACTCGTAATCCCTACTTGTCTTTTTCTGGCTTTTTAACGCTTGTGTGTATGGTAACAATCATTCTGGGCACAGTTTATCCGAGCTAGGCAAGGTTAATGCACACCTATACGTTGTCCTGCCTTCTCTCTTGGTGTTGCTCGTGTCGTTGCCACGCGCCAAATATGACAATGTCGATCCAAGCATTATTGAACACTTCCTTTCCCTTTTGTTCGACTGTTAACTCGAAGATGTTTAGCAGTAATACTCTGAATTATGAAACTACATAAAACACCATTGCAGCAGGAACAGACTTCATCAACCTGGGATTCCCCGTTTCCGGCACGCCAGTGAAAATAGAACAGAGATAATTATTACAGGCTTTTTAAAAATAGCTGCGCCTAGCAGAAATAGCGTTTTTATACAATGACATGAATGAGAAAATGTTGGTAAGTTGGAATAGTGTTTACAGGAACGAAAAAGAACAAGGGAGGAAAAGATAAAACATGATGGTTGAGTTCTAAGTCATGCTGTGCTACTATCTGTCATTGATTTGTGCCTTTTGTTTTGGAGCGTGAGGGATCTTCACCACGTTTGCACCTTGAGTTTCCACGAACTGAAAATCTGGCTCTTGTGTACCTCGATCAATCGTGTATTTTTCCAGAATTGAGACTGACTCTTGGACCATGATCTGAATTGTGCTGTAGACTTCAGGTGTCGATCCGTGTTTCACCTAGTATGTTCGAGTAGTACAGGTACGTCAAGTGGTAAGAACGTTTCTCGCGGTCATTGTTTTTATGCTTAGGGCCGGATTGATTTCTATTAACCATCAATGTTGGTTCAACATTGGCACCATCGCCATTTTTGCTTTTACGACGGCAGCATCCCAACAAGGCCAAGCACAAGCCAACCGTCAGTCTCATCGCCAGACACATCGCAAGTAAGATAAAGGCAGCACAGTTTGTTTAAGCATGCGCCATATTTTCTGCTACCTCTGCTAACTGATGATGTATGTGTGCTGTAAAATATGGAACAATCGTCTCGTCCACAGTTGAGTGATCCACTTGCGAAACTTGAAGGAACGCTGAACAAACTCAAGTTCGAGCTCTACCAATAGCCTGGCGTTCCTTCCCTGTCACGCCTCTTGACATCATGTCGGAAACTCGCTGCGCTGCGGTACTCTATAGGTCATATCAGCATCAACCGTTCTCCGTTCCCCAACGCGACACAATTGCTCTTCCCTACCATGTTGACGAAGCTTTCTCTTCTTTCATACACACAAGTGTCTCAAAAATCACTTGCAGCTTTGCTAGTACGCTCACCGCATCTTAGTATCTGAGACTAGATGCTTGTCCATTTAATCCATCGATAATATTTTAGCAAACTTACCAACAGTCAAATTTCTGACCGTTAACGCTAACGGCAATGTGTTTGGCACTCCTATAATCTCTGAAAGTAACTGTGCAGAAAAAAGGTAAATAATCACAGCAACAAACACGAGAGCAACGACAAAGGACGCAAAAAAATCTTTTAAATCTCTCCAAGGGCGAACTCGCTTCTTCTAGACTGGTTGTGTCACTTATGCATCAGCATCAGGTCTTTATCAGAACATTATGTATGTTTTATTATACCTCAATCCTCGATGAACACTGTGACATGCTTGATGTCGAATGGGCAGCATCAGTACAGTTTCCAACCATGCCTAAAGTCAACAATTTGCGCATCGCCAATATTTCAGCGTTTGATTTTGGGTGCGTTTTGCTACGAATCGTGCGCGCCTGCCCAGACCTAGCTTATTTCGAGCTGGAAGACGACAATGCTATCCATGATAATCACGAAATAAGGACCGGTGTTATTGAAACTATCCTACAAATGAATGACATCCGAAAGCTGCGCATTGTGGATTCGATGATAAATGAAATGGTTCCTAGTCTTATCTTGGCATTAAATTCGAGAATCGGACCAGGATGCGCATTGATAGAATTGGAGATAGAGAACTGCGATGCTGAAGACAGTTTCCCTTTCGCTGATGCTGCAAATATACACAGTCTAACGCGGTTTGCAGTGCACAATGTGTTTATGGCTAGAGATGTGGAGGGGGAGAGGCTGATATGCTAAAACAGTTTGTTCTAATATATATCTTTTGTTCTTATGTTTAGGGGCGATCCCGTCATCTAGACATTGGGCATAGTACTTTTCATGGGGAAAAGCGATATCCAATTCTGGGAGAACATTGGCTACCGTGTCGCCAATAACTTTACGCATTGTCCATCCAGTAAGTATCTACGGCTGTATGGGGTTTGCTGATCTAATTGCATCGCACCCACAGCTGGAATATCTTGCGATCATGTGCGACGACTCTGGACATGATACTGATACTATCACTCTTATTTCTGGATCTGTCAGTGTGCAAGTCTAAAGACTGTACGCTTGAATGATATTTGGATGAGGATGAGAATCAAAATTGACGGTAGCATTAACGATAGAGTGAAAGCTATACTAGGAAACCGGTTGGAACATTACACAGAAGAGGAGCATGCGCACGAACAGACTGGATTGACGATTACTTTCAAAGTATAGTTTATCAATATTCCGCTAAAACGCACACATACTAAAAAACGATTGTCTGGTCTGAGTTAGGCATATTGCAACCTTGACAGTGATATATACAACTTGATTTGACGTGAACACATCGAGATAGAGAAATGTTTAGTAGGTATACTCGTATATAAAACTGATTGATCGACATATCTAAGAAGCACATGTCTAACTGCTGCGTCGGATTGCGGTAACACAAGTATGATATTGATGTCCACAAGAAGTATCAATGCACTGTGTCATACCAACGGACCCATCAGCAGCAGCTGCCTACCAAAAACTTGACCGGCAAAAGGCATTTAGGTCCGAAATCCCGAAATGCAACATATTTTCACACACTTGTTCTCAGCCCAACGGTTCTTTTTGTCACGTCCCACACCCCTCTTTTCCTGTCTATCTATAAGCATAGCAACAAGAAATAGCTATATAATTTGTATTAGCAGCAGCAACAACTCAACATGGACGAGTCCAAAGTATCGAAAGATCTCGTGGCCCAGCTTCCCCACGAGATCTTTGGCAAGATTATCGTTGAATTACCAGTGGACGCTTTGTGCGAATGCTCCATGGTTAACCACATTTGGCGCGACACAATCCTCGACTATTCTTCACCGTGGCATACCATCCAAATTACTCAAGAAACGAATCCGTTACTGTTCGGCATCTTGCCAAAAGTCTGTCAGTACGTCCGACGCCTGGAAGTATTACGGCTAAAGCACGGTGTATCAGAGAAAGTTGCCGGTTTAATATCGCAAAATAATTTTGATCGCTTGCAAGTGCTGAATTTCCGAGCATTGGGTAACAAAGAAACGATCACGAGGGTGGGAATTACATGGCATCCAGATTAACGCATGGACGGTATTTAGCTTATGAGCAATTATTCTTTTTACGCGCACTATCCGTTTCCCCGGATACAACTTCTAAAGTAAGAACTAGCTTTGTCTTCTTTTCGATTTTCAAGATAGTTTGTCTATCAGAGCTTACTCATCTTCGTTAACCCTTTGTATCGAAAAAGCTGTGTTGCGCATTATTAAGTATCAAGAGTACACTACGAGAATTGACCCTTCAACTTGCTGAATATCCTGGTGCTCCTTCGCTGTCCTGGGTACTGTCGTCCTGTCGAAACCTTATTGCATTACAATACCACTCATCAAACCGTGGGGCATTTTCTGGGTTGTCATCTTTACCGTTTACAACTACGTTGACAAAGCTCTCGCTACCAGATTGTACGTACATGGATCCATCTGAACTTTCGGCGTTACTACGAGTATCACCCCATCTTCGGCGCCTGAGGCTGGATGGCTGTCAGTTCGATCCATTCAGCGCTGTCTCTGAAGCTTTGTGCAACCTCAAATATCTTGCTGTCAACTGCAACGGAACTATATACGGAAACCCGGGTGATCGGAGGGATGATGCATGCTGTTACAGAGATGGAGGAGCGAAGAAACAAGAGAAAAGAAAAGAAGGGCTGTGCAGTCTTGCTCTTGGTGCATTGGCCCCAACACGATCGCTCGCATCATTCCTTGGCTATCATTGCAAATCTATCAACGCACTTTGTTTTTCCGTTATACGTGACGAGAATTATCTCATGTTAAATGATGTAGCAACAGCGTTACAGCTGCCCGTCATGCACAATTTGAGGACAATACGGGTTCAAGATTCTTCTGCTGTCCGACTATGGAGAAATATGCCTGACATCATCCGAGCATGTCCGAATCTAACTGCTTTTGAGGTCGTGAAGGATCGTATTGTGCCATACGAGGAGGAGGACGACGATCTTGCTGGCCAAATGGATGGGATTGTTGAATCGATAGTTGACATGAACGCATTTTCAAAGCTACGGATATCACGCTCGGATCTGAACGCTACGGTGCCGATGTGCTTACTTTATGGCTACTCAAGAGCTGGTCCTGAATGCGCATTAGATGAACTGGAAATCTCACACTGCGAAACCGACGATGTTAGCGTAATGCTCCAAGTAGCAAATATCCAGAGCCTGAGAAACCTAAAGGTTCATAATGTGCAAATGCCCGTCCCCGACACGCTTGAATTCATACAAGCCGTTGCAAACCTGCCACAACTTGAACATCTGGATATCAAAGGGGACAACTTTTTTGTGGGGAACGATGCCACGATTCGTTGTATTTGCCAGAGTACAAGCTTACGCTCGATTCATCTAGACGATGATGTGAAGCTCACAGTGGAGGAGAAGCATATGCTGCGTGATCGCTTTGTTCAAGAAGATCGAGTGACACGGGATGCGACTTGGCTCGAAGATTTTCTTTGAATATGTAGATAGCTATTAATGCTATGATAATAATACCACTGTTAGTACTTGTAAATAATAATATCAATAATAGTTTATCTTGTCATATCCACTTTTGCTATTACAACACTTGATATCAATCAGGTTACATGAATCAAAGAGAAGTGCTACAGGTACGAGTTTTTCCCCTTGTGCATACGGGAATTTTAAACGGAGTGTCTATTATAGCTTTATTGTACATGCAACTTATGTAGTCAATTCGCTAGCAGCCTTACATGTATGAGTTTTATACTAAAGGAACATATCTTAGCGTTACACTGAAAACCAACCATCAGGAAGAAGTTATCACTATATGGACCACGTAATTTACAAGCATGTAGTTCCATATCTTGCACCTTTTTTCCTGTCTTTTTGCTTTCTTTTTACATACCTTAGGTATTTGCTTTCATTAAAATCCGACTTTTTACATATTTGACCTTGAGTATATTGTTCTGGGTTATCACCTTATGTCTGACCTTTTTACGCGATCAACACCTATCCATGCCTTGAAAGCTAAAGGATATGAAGTTAACAGAGAACTATTGCAATTAAGATTGTTGGTGGCTCAGGAAATCGAGTAGCTATCTGCTGGAAGCAGTGGTTGTTTTAACTCTGATATTCTTACAGTTAATCTACCCTCGTTCATTATAGAGACTTTTGGAGACGGCAGAAAAACGCTGATGGCAGAGAGTAGTAGTCAAAATTGGTTTCGATCATTTTCAATCACCATTATTTTCACACAAATTTTAAGAGTTGATGCTATGAGATAAAAGAAGTTTCACTGTACGTACTTTAATACCAGAGATTTGTAACTGCAAACATCTGAAGTCCACTACAGCTGTCTCTTTGCGCTTGTAATATACGACTATATCAACACTATAACTCTACAATTTTAACAGTATGAAAACTGCCTTAAGCTCTTCTTCCTATTTTCTTATCTTTTAAATGCATGACACTCTATGTACTTACAATAGGTAGTACAAGGTTTAGCTCCTTCGTATGTTCACACCGAGAAACTCTTGGGACGCTTCAGTCTTTTTTTATATCATAAGAATAAAATGAAATCCTTTTTCTGATGTCAGGGTATGATATAGTATACATAATCGAAATTAAAATTGTAGTTTATACTGTATATCTGATGTAATTACTTTTGGCTGTAGACCTCGAAAAATGTCCTCGCTGATACATACTTTCCTCGTGATACAGCATATGAATAATTCCAAACAACAAATGAGCGATATGATTTTCCAAAATACATAACATTATATCGAGCATTGTGATGGATTGATCTTAACTGTGATATAACATGCACTTGTCTTGCATCATACAACTCATAAGGAGCTGTCTTTCAGCTGTTCTTCTCACACAAGGAAAAACGGTGACCACAATTGTAATAAGAGTAGTAGGCTGTGAATGGATTAACAATAATAAGACTTGGAACAAGGTTTAGTAAATAAAATTTTGCTCATTGTTTCTAGCTTTGCCGCTATTTTACTAAGCTAGTAACTGATATACTAATAGTTTGTCGTAAACCATCTATGACAAAGTGATACGAAAACATTTTTTGCCGTACTTCTTTGGCATAAGTGCTCATTCGATATACCGATAGGTCCTCGGATCTATAAGCTTTATCAGTATAGCGCGCACGTACTGTACTAAGCAAATTACATTTCAAGATTTTATAGAAGCATGTACTGTGGATCCTCCACAGGCTCTTTCTACAGGAGCATGCACGTACTGTGCCAGTTGCTACGAATTTACAAGGAAAACCAGAGAAAAAGACAGTATCACACGAGGAGAAACATTAATGTTTACATTATTGAATATACAAAGTAGGGAAAGATACAACAGTAGTAGACTATCGTTTCCATCGACTGATATTATCTGCAGCAGTCATGTTCCAAAGACTACCACGAGAAGGTGGCACTGCGTCAGGTTTCAGAAACCGTTATCTTCCTCCACATATACACACGTCAGTGCTGGATAATAAGACGTCCCTAAGAACAGAAAAAGGCAGAAAAAATCAGAAAGCTGTACTTGCAGTATAGACCGTAAAAGCAAACAGCTACAGTAAATCAGCCACTCACCATTTGTTTTCAAAACAGATCGCGGCCCCTTCCCTACCCTCCATTGCTGGAGAACCACCACTTTTGCAAGGGCTTCGGAATCTATCATAGATGCAAAAAAAAAGGAAAACAATTATCCCCTCGCTCGCTCTTCAGCACCGCCAGCATCCCATTTCCAAGCTCACACAGCCGCTTGCATCGTCTCTCCCTTTGTTCACACCCATCATACGTACCACACGCCGACACATGTGCGCTCACAAAGACGGTTCCCACACACTGACAGATCCATTCTGAGAAAGGATGGTCGCCGCAAGGAAGCCTTCCAACTACCCGAACCGCACCACAGCCGCCCTTTACAAACCGTAGTGCCCACCGCTGTTTATAGAGCGCCGCCACGCTTTAAAACTTGTCTGCGTTTCGCCCAAGTAGCAAAGCTGCTAAACGACACGCCGTAGCACATCGCCGCAAGACCGGTTGGTTTTTCGTGCCTGGTCCAGGGCACGGGTGGGCTGGCAGCGGACAGGATAGCTAGATTGGGGCTGGATTACAGTTGTCCCCTGTTCTTTCGGCTTGCAAGCTGTAAAAGACCACATCCCTTACAGAACAGAAATGCCAGAGCGGAATAAAGAAAATGCTAGAAGGGAAGCAGGCAGGAAGCAGAGGCCTGTTTCAATGAAAGAAAAAAAAAGACATAAGATGGCAGAACCAGAAAGCCGCACTTGAGCATCTCTCGGTCTGTAATCACTCACGGAATCCAGAACACAGTATAGAGCCCAAAGAGTTCAAAAGCATGAGATCCAACGCGTTTGTCCAGTCGTTTCGCTTAGCAACTAGTATCACACTACCAGAAGTAAGGATTACCCACTACAAAACAAAGCAAGATAGGCAGAAATGACCAACAAAAAAAGTTAGAGATCTTGGAAAGTAGAGCTTTTTTTTAGGCAAAGAAAGGAATTTGGGGTAGCTTACGAACACAAAATGTGTTGTTGTTTTTTACATACGCGTGCAGATGTTTGTCGCGGTTGTAACAGTGAATGCTGGTGATGTAGGTAGACTTTATATTTCACACAAGCTATTGCCTAAAGTTCATTCGTGTAAGCAGAGTGTGTAGAGACAACTATGACAGAAAATGAGGGCTAAAACATACTTTTCTTGTGATATGGGGAAATGGTGTAAAGAGAAAGAGAGAGGGAGACAGAGAGAAATGGATACATACAGAACAACTAAATATTCAAGATTTGGGCTTAGCTATATAAGGGACTATCCAATTTCCATGAGTTACTTTTTTGACTGTCGTCATGCTTCTGGGAGAAAAGGCGAGTGGTGGGGACGGTGGTCAACAAGTACGTTTATGCCTCGCGTCTGCAGGATTATAAGTTTCGTGGGAACAAGACAATGCGTCATTTATGCTCGTCATAGCCTAGACCGTCGGGTCCCCATCCATATAAGCTGATTGATCTTCAAGCTGCTAATTAATTGTTTTGGTCATGTTCCTCCCTCTGGAAACTAACGCTCCTGGCTATTTAGTTCCATTCTCCCAGTTTGCCCTGTGCTTACTTTGACTCAAATCCCTTTGATCGCGTCAGTTGTGCACTCGCATTTTTTAAACCAATACGTTGGAGCAAAGAATCGACGAGGTTACTGATATACAGTCTTCTGATGACCTTGACGGTCAACTACATCGATGATTTTTCTTACCAGCAAAAAGCACCAACTACAGCATTAAGACGTGTACACAGATTATTTATTCCTGTACCGTTCAAGGGCTTGATGCGGTAGATGAATGATGCTGTTATGACAACATAATAAAGAAGTTTGACTTACTAAAAAAAAGCTACCCTTCCAAAGTTTCCGAGCCAGGGACGCTGTAAATACGAACATATGATAAAACGAGTGTATACATCATTTTATTGGATTTTTACAATATAAACTCATATTGTTCTGGAATGAAACGACAAAGGGTCTCTACCCAATACAGTAGAAGGCTACTCTAGCACATATTCAGCGATAGCTGATCATAGCTGTCGTCGACGTCAAATTCTATCTAATAGCTCAGGGTTTTTTTTGGCAGAACAATATCAATACGACTACGAGCGAGAATCGTTATCTCATGGATGGGAAAGCATCCTAATGTACTTTAGTTTTTCAAGGTACTGAATAGACCAGACGTAGTCAAGTACATATACGGAGAGATTTTGGCTCTTAATGTTTCGCTAAATACACATATCATATATTTACTATACTGTACTCACAGCTCTCGAGATATGCACAGATGTCGATGACCACGTGGAGTGAAAAGCCATTTGAGTGTGTAGACGACCATTTAGGGAGATTGAGATATATAATTCGTTAAAACCGATGACAAAGCCGCGGTCTATAAGCTTGTTTTTGGTTGTAAGTCTGTATATAAATTTCCCTCTAAAAAACAGAAACAGATTTACGTCTCTTGCTATATGCAGGCAATGGCTTACCCAAAATTGGATGATCCGAGCTCTTTACCCATTTCACAGTTTTGGAATGAACTCTCGCGATATCGTCCCAATTGGCGTTTTCGCGACGTTTTCAAACGAGATCACTGGTACACGAGGACAGGATATGGCCATGTCCACTGAGGCTTGCCCGTTTAGTGAGCGCCCCCCATCAAAGGAATGATGTATCGTACTTTTACAGTATACAGACCGCTCAATCAATACTGGCCTGGGTAGCCAATATATTTGTAAATTAGGAACAGTGCAACATAAATGGCGACGATAAGATGCTGTACAAACTCAATTTGAACTGTAACAAAGCAAAAGGGTTTTCTAATTCTTTTGAAGAAACTTGGTCATTAATATTAGAATTCGTACAGTATTGGTAAATGTAGTAGCCTTATACGGCAAAAGATCGGAAGGTGGTCCGAAGCTTGAGAGTCATCATATTGTACTGTCCCAAGCTTTCGTGGGCCAATTAATTACAGTCATTATGTTCCATGCCATACCTCGACAAAAAGTGAAAGGTATGCCACGGCAGCTATTTATATCGTAACTGTATGGACAAGCAAGATCACGGAGAAAAAGTAATATAGAAAAGCGTTGCTGTACATGTGTCGAACTGCTTCCACCTGAAAACATATATGGCGCTCCAAAGGCAGCTCGATCTCAGGCGATCTCCCAAACAGATGGGCACATCCACGTGGATTTAGGGGCTTTAATAGAACGCCATTTGAAACGTTTGTAAAACAATTCTACTAATGAGTATGGGCATTACAGTATCAAGTATCAAAAGATTTGATCTTGGCTGTAGAGTGCATGAGAAACGACAGTTTAAGCACACAAAGCTCTATCAACTTGTTCCAAGTCCAAAAAGTCCCTGCTGTTGCAGCGAACTTTTTGATGTGCCCAGTACTGATATTGCTATGCAACGGGTTTCACAACACTTTGACATTGTATTACACGGTCTGTGCATTATGCTTGCGTCAAACAGTTGCCTAGATATCATGTTTAGAATTGATCAAGTCATTGGAAAGTAAAAGTAATTACGAATCTAATGTGAGCCGTATGACATTGTCAGCACTGTATAAGAACAGGGACGTAGCACGCCAAAACACGAATTCTTTCCTAACTCTCGAATGAAGCGACGAAGACGATTAAAACAGTCAGAAAGAAAATGACTATTGCAAGGTCAAGCGACACGTAAATACCTTCACAAGGAAAGAAAATGTAAATGAGTTTGAGCAGGACATAAAGTAAAAGAGCAGGTTCTTATTCATTGTAATATTAGAGTAAGAAACATTTTATAAAAGACAAAAGTTATCGTTATGAATATCAATAGTCGAAGGGTACAAATTTTATTAAAAGAACACAATCAGTGGACAATAAAGACAAATAATAAGAACGCGATTTTACAAAGTGACCTCAACAAGCAGTTCGCACAACCTGCAGGCTATACAAAAAGCATGAAGAAAGCAAGAAGAAACAGAAGAAGTATGTAAAAGGGGGAGGAAAAGAAAGCCACCAATGCCTCGGCCTGGGAGTCCCAGTCTCCCACACATTTGGCTGGGTCAATCAACCACAAACCCAGCCATCATGGTACAAACGAGTGGGAACCATGACGTACGCTACGTTTCGAGAGTCAAGTGCAAGCAATCGGTTGTGGATTGCCTGTGAGTGGGGAAGGGGGAAGGGAAGGACGGAAGGAAGATGGAAGGGTAGACGAAAGGGAAGGACGGGAAGGACGGTAAGAGAAAAGGGAAGAGGAAAGGGAAGAGGAAAGGGAAGAGGAAAGGGAAGAGGAAAGGGAAGGGGTAGGGGTAGGGGAAGGGGTGGGGGTAGGGGAAAGAATTGACTCTCGAAACACCCAAAAAAACAGCCATTTGCTGCTGTTGTCGAATGCTGGAGGAGCTGCTTACTGGATACTCGGATGCTGGGAGCCGAACACTGAAGCTGGGAGCTGATTGCCGAGAGTCGATTGCCGAGAGTCGAATGCCGAGAGTCGAATGCCAGAGAGTCGATTGCCGAGAGTAGATTGCCGAGCGTCGATTGTCGAGAGTCGAATGCCAGAGAGACGAATGCCAGAGAGACGAATGCCAGAGAGACGAATGCCAGAGAGACGATCGCCAGACAGTCGATTGCCGAGCATCGATTGCCGAGCGTCGATTGCCGAGCGTCGTTTGCCGAGAATCGTTTGCCGAGAATCGAATGCCAGAGAGACGATCGCCAGACAGTCGAGTCCTGGGAGTCGAACGCGATCTACAGTGGCACCTGGCTCCTCATTGCGACCCCCACCATGGCAGACCAGACCAGACCAGCAGACAAGGCATCCAACCGAAAGGACACTACCATATTTCTATGGCGAGAAACCGAAAAGGATTTCTCCGTCCTCTGATCTCGCCTGAAGATCGGTTGTGGCCAACACCGTTGAACGCCAGACTGGACAGCCCAAAGCAGTGACCGGTTGTAGGCAGCCAGAGTCCACGGGAAAAAGGCTGAGACCAGGACCGACAGAGGCAAGACCAGGACCAAGGGAAGAGCCAGGACCAAGGGAAGAGCCAGAGCCAGGGAAAGACCAGAACCAAGGGAAGAACCAGGACCAAGGGAAGAGCCAAGAGAAGACCAGGAGGAGCCATGGGAGTGAAGGAAAAAGTAAAATGAAGGAAAGAAAGAGTGAAGAGAAAAAACGAAATGGCCTGAAAAATGTGGGCGTATTTATGCTTTTTGGATTGACCCGCCGCTTAGAAAAAACACGTCACGTGACTTGTAATTCGTCATTCAATCAGCAGGTGGGAAAGTAAAATGGCAGGGAAGATACCATGTGAAGTAGAGGTGTTGAAGAGACACGGTCAAGCTGTCAAGAAGAAGGCGCATGCGGTCTGCGTGTTTTGATAGTCCTACGAAATATGTTTCACCGGCATCATGCAGGGCGTGCCCCGACGGTGTCGCCGCCTGTTTTTGAATAGGAAGATACGTGCACCCGTCGGGCCACAAGGCGCACAGACACAAGATCCCAGAGAAAAAGTAAATGGCAGGTGCCGGGAAAGATTGACATCGTAGAAAATAAAAATTACTGATATTGTAACAAGAAGCTCACATAAATAGAAGCCATATACACAAAGAAATAATGGCGCAGAAGTTGACGACCGTGCAGTACACGTGCTCCAAAGCAAAGTGTATACCAAGGACAAGTGGTGAAGCTCGGTAACGGTAGAATGAGGATGACGTCGAGTGTCTTTGAAGCCCTTCTCTTTGCTAACAGCCTTTAACAAATAAACCTGGGTGAGTGCTGGCTGCCTCCCATAGAGCGTTCGCCATCTCTCCCATAGAGCTTTCGCCATCTCTCTCATAGAGCGTTCGCCATCTCTGGCCATAGAGCTTTTGCCATCTCTCCCATAGAGTGTTTTCCATCACTCCCATAGAGCGTTTGCTATCTTTGGTCATAGAGCGTTTGCCATCTCTCCATAGAGCGTTTGCCATCTCTCCATAGAGCGTTTGCCATCTCTCCATTGAGCGTTTGCCATTGCTCGCATAGAGCGTTCGCCATCTCTCCCAGAGAGTCTTTGCCATCGCTCCCATAGAGTGTTTGCCATCTCTGGCCATAGAGCGTTTCACAGGTCCAGGATAACAATGCGGGGAATAATGACAGATCTTCTGTATCGTAGCCGACAGTAACTCGATCACAACGCGCTTTATCACACTTTGGTACGCGCTTTTCACCTTTCTTTTTTTACATTTCTGTGGTCGCGCAGTTCTGCTCGCGAAAATAATCGAAAGGAAAAATTTGTTGGGAGTCTATGCACACCAGCAACAACGGCGCTTAAGGCAAGCTGTTCTAAGCTGAGAGAACCGGTTTAATGGTATGTTTCGCTTGCCACGCCCCTTTCAACCCCTTGAATAACCGAAAACATCGTTGGCACAGCTTTCACATAGAACATGAGAGTACGCGTAAGACGAACTCATGTGCTCAGAAGCAAGGCTTAGATTATGCATGCTTGACTCTCGTACGAGCCGACCATCCTGCTTTTTTTTGTATTTTATTTTTTCCACATATATCTTACATCAACCACACATACGCCAATCAAGTCACACCACGTTTGATTGACTTGGTATCGCTACTGCTGAGGGAGGTGGTTGATGAAACGAGCAAACCAAACAACAGTATCAACCTGAAGAAGCAGCGTGTATGGATAATAGTAGCTCCAGGATGACGCGCATACTATGCTGAAAACAGCCATGCTGCTCTATAATTTGGCAATTTATTTTAAGCTGCACACATCCAGCATTGCGGGCTTGGAGGATCGATTGCCGTGGGCAAAGTCGTATAAGAGAGCGTTCTATATTTTCGGTACACACGTCACCACAGTTGATACAACAATGGCTGAGACTTTCACGGGATCCCATGAAGACGCTGGCTACGGCGTTCAGCACACATTTACTCCAACCCAATCCAATACACGCTCAGTCATGCTGGTGATAAGATATCATTTTAAACAACTTGCATAACACTATCCGCTATCATACCCCAGATACTTTTCCTTTTTTCTGATTTGAATTCGTCAATATAACTTGTGGTGACAAAACTTCCGTTCTGAGTGCATCATCGGCTCCCTTTTCTTGGTAAATAATCGTATAAGAGATTAAGAGATCACAAATGACATACGTCTATGCATCATATCGCGTCAGTTCATATCGGGTTATAGCCTTACATAAGCTGGATCATCCGAGTATAATGTACACGTGCTTTACACAATTCGGTTGGATTGTCTCTATGCTACAGTGCTTAGCTGGTTGCCGTGGTAATTGCTGCGTATGCTTTTGTTTGATTTTTAGCCGAGTACCTTATCTGATGATGATTTAGATAGTGTAATAATGTGTGTTTTACCACAGTGTATTCATATATCATATTTCCTGTACTCGCACTCTTTTCCTCACCACAAATAAGTTAATAAATAACATCTTAAGACCATGCCTTGACCTTCTGTTGAACTTCCTAATGGATTAAATAAGGTTAGTGATAAGGCTAATTTCTTACTCAAATATTCGTAGAGAGCGCTGCTGTAGAATATTTATGTGTCACCACTGCAAAATATATTTTATCGCAACGGCCATTTTACTGCAACGAATACAACACAGAGAAGTTTATATATAAAGCTAAACAACACGAAGGATTTCTAATATGTACATATACATATGCATCTTGAACAAAGTAAAAGTTAGACAAAAGGTGGATGGTATACACAATGGGTGGTGGTGAGAAAAGTTGACAGTATGTAGTGGGAGGTAAGGAAACAGTGCATGTTACTTTGCCATAGAGTCCAAACAGCCAAAAGTTGTTGTGAGATCCGAGGGATCATTTAAGGCGTTGATTGAAGGTGAGCACAAGATGTATCTAAGATATCGACAAAAAGAGCATATCCGGGTAGTGGGTACTGTAGTTCTGGTAGACGGTAAAATCTGCCTGTTGTTGTGATGTAGCCAGCAATTCAATTAGTGGTGACAACGAAGGATGAACCGTGTTAGTGTCGGAAGGAATAAAAGCATGGATACCGCGAATGCATTGGTATAGCTTATGGTGAACCCCCATCGGTACTGTCGAGCCGGACACTGTCAATAGTGAATGCATTGCTCGAGAAGTTATTTCAAACATAGCAACTACAGAACGCAACATTAACATGATCATTAATCAGCATTTTATTGTGAGGCTACACATTGTCAGGTAAACATAAACGGCATAAAGTTTCACAGTACTTACTCGAAGGCATATCCTCATAGTTGGATAGCATCTGTATCGCGACATTGAGAAGTAAATCACACGAGCAAAATATTGTCTGCTTAACTTTTTCACGGAGCGATGCCAGCAGATCTTGGTTCATATTATCTTTGTTGCTGTTTCCCAAAACAATAGGCTTGACCAAGCAAACGTTGGTCTGCTTGATGCTTACATGGGCGAAGCAGATTATAACACCCTTGATCCAGTCTGTGTCGTTCAGTAGCTGAAGATTGTCGGTGTATAAGTCGTTGCATAGCCGTAAGCAAGTAGGAGTAGTCGCCCACCATTCTTTAATAGCCTCGTCGCATCGGATGATCGTTTCAAGTGTCAAGCCATTGCTAGCATGTTCGACTTCCCTTTGTGACTTCTAATATTTATAAAAAGGTACAACCGTAATGTTAGATATCAAATAGCTGTTTCTAAGTTAATAATCTCTACTTATCCCTTACTTTTCTTTTCACCCTCAGTCTCTCAAACAAACTAGAAAAGGACATACGGTTACTATTCTCATATAAAAGTTATCCGACAGGCTGATCAGACGGTTGTTCATCTCCACAAACAAGCCAGTCATTTCATCTTCGTCTGGTAATTATTCATAAAGGGCGGTCACTGAGAGCACGGGTTTAAAGACTGTCTCATCGCTCATAACAGGTATGATATTGAGTGTTCTCTCTAGCTGTAAATTGAAGCGCTGCAAAAGTATTCGTGACACGCTGTCGTCGTCAGCAAAAGAATGATATTGCGCCAAATCTTTGCAAAGGATATAAGCGATGGTGATCAACCGGCGGGCTTCCTTGGGCTGTAAAAGCACAAACATAATGTAGTGTTTTAAAAAGGTGATTGTGACAACCGTATCAAATCTGCGGTCTGGAACGTCAAACATTTCACTGAGGATCTTCTTGCAACGTTCATAGAAAAACCAAGCCAGTTGGTGTCGCTCGATGGATGTGTATAAACCATCTAGTCGTCGTGTAGTTGAGACCGTACTTACGCAAGCACAAGGGTGATTGGGCAAGAGAGCGGATCCTTCAGTGATTGATAGTAATCGAGAAACGTCGGTGCATGCAGCAGTGTATGTTTTGGGTTCTTGTTTTTTAAGTACATACGAACCAATTGGTCCATAATATCGCGTATCATACACTTTCTTGCGTCTTCTCTTGTTGTCGTTGTGATGATAATAGTAGTAGGTTAAGTTGGATAGAATGCGCGAACAGGTTTCGGAAAGCGCGAAACGTGGCAGTGAGGACATATGTGATTTCAAATCGGATCACTGTCGGTGATCCTTCGAACAGGTCCCGAAACGGTGAAAGATACCTAAGCCATGCATGCCGGAAAAAGAGCAGCTCCTCCATATTGGCAATATGCGTATGCAGTGTCAAGCGTCCGTTCTCAGCAGTTAATTCCCATTTCATATCTTGCTTGGCGGGCTCTTTGACGCGTTTGCTGTCATTGCTGTCATTGCTATGGTTGCTACTGTGATTGCTGCTACAGCTGTGGTCAGAGCATTGCTGTATGATCAGTTCTGATTTTACAAGCTGCTTTTCTAGTTGTTCGACTTCTTGATTCCAGTACTCAAAGGAGCGTTGGACAAATTCCCGCGGTGTCTCGTCGTCATGTTGGGATTTTGATGGCGGTACAGAACAACACAGTCAATGTCTTTTTGTGCACAGCGAACGCAAACTTTTGAGTTTTCTGGCCAGACACAGCGTTTTTGTCGTTTTTGGCAAGCTGTGCAGGGAGACAGATTAGTGTAAGTGCAACAGAGTGTTTGGTTGTGACTATGTACCTCGCAAAGTGTATTGCGTGACATAATATATATCAGCGAAACAAGCTTGAGGAAAATGATTGTTTAATGTTTCTCACAGTAAATTAGGCGAGTTCAAATCAAATGTTTCTGTATCACGCTATCGCCAATAACGCACTTCTCTACTGCAATACGTGATGCTTTACCATACACCCATACACCCAAAATGGTTTTTTGATAACTTGGTCGCATATATAATAAGATTAACTTAGGCTTGAAGTAGAAGACCACCATAATACCTGTAAGATATGTATGCCTTGCCTACCACGCGTTCGGCTGCATTATGTATTGCTGCTCTTGTTAATTTAAGGTAATCCCCTTTTATCAATTCGCATTTGCTACATAGAGTTAAATGATAAACGACGGTGTATGCAAAATAAAAACAAACGTACTTCCATATTTATATTTCTATTACTAAGAGCAACTACTCTATTAACTTAAAATGACGGAGAAAAATCCTAATGTACAAATGAAGGGGTGTTGGGATAATATACAATAATGCAACTTGAAGAGTTGAAAGGGCAGAGGAAGAGGGTTGAAGTAGGTGGAGGTGCTTAAATACAAAGCTTCAGGTGCATACTTGTGGCTTTACAGCACCATGTGTGAAAACATCAATGGAGTACATAAAGTTTGTAAGGTAGGAAGAATCGGGCGAAGTACTAACAAGATGAGATTGCAAATTAGCGCATAATGCATGTAAGATGTCAGCGAACAGAGCATACCCTGGTAAAGGATATTTTCGGTACACTGTGAAATCACTTATTTTCTGATGAGATGTTGCTGTCAGTGCCTTCAGTGGCGATAGCGAAGGCGGAACAGTTAGGGTGTCGGATGGAAATAACGAATAGATTGCATTGATACACTTGTACAGCTTTTGATGAATAGCAGTCGACACGCTTGGACTTGATACTGTTACTAGCGCATTCATTGCTCGAGAAATCAACTCAAATATCACAACTATAAAAATGTAAAGAAATGACAGCAACAGAGATTGCTAAGCAAAAAAAAAGTCGCGAAGAGAGAAAGATGCGTAATGGATGAGAGAATGGAAAAACGTACCGGTGGGCTTTTCTTCAGGAGAGGAAAGTATCTGAATCATGACATCAAACAATAGTTCGCACGAACGTAAAACAGTCTCTCTCGCCTGCTCTCGTAGCGGTGCTAAAACATCTCGATTGATTTTGATGCTGCTATCGTCGTCGTCGTCTAAGCAAATAGGCTTGAGTAGGCAAACATGAACCTGCATGATGCTGACATGAGCAAAGCAATATATAACAGCCCTCATCCAATCCGTTTCGCTCGATAGGCTGACATTATCGGCGTATAAATCGTAACACAGGCGCAAATGGGTAGGAGTCGAAGCCCACCATTCTTTGATCGCTTCATCGGATCGGATGATTGTTTCAAGATTCAGGCCACTGTCATCATTAGACATGTTCTCTGGACCCTATAAAGAGATATGTTATCAAACATTTGTTAATCAGAATAGACCAAATTCTCGCAAATGTTCGCACTACTAAACCGCATTTTGCAACTTACTGTTACTACAACTTTGATATGGAAATCGTTTGACAGTTGAACCAGACGGTTATTCATATCAATGAACATCCCAACGACTCCATCTTCACCCGGTATTTTATCCATGAAGCTTGAGCCCGGCTCAGATTTGAAAGCAGTATCACGGTTCAAGAAACTATGGATGTTGAGCAACCTCTCGTTGTACAAGAGATGACGCTGCACAATGATCCGAGATACATTGTTAATGCCTTTTTCATGATAAGTGAAGGATTGCTCCAGATCCTTGCACAAGAGATAGGCGACCGTAACCAGTCGACGTGCTTCTCTGGGTTGCAAAAGTACAAACATAATGTAGTACTTTAAAAAATGTATTGCTATGATTGTCTCGATCTTGCGGTCAGGATCGTCAAACATCTCGGCAAGAATGGCTTTGCAACGTTCGTAGAAAAAACTGGCCATATGATGTCGTCGGGCGGATGTGTAATACTGGTCGTCAAGTCTACGTGTAGTACAAATGGTGTCGACGCAGAGGGCAAGCGTGATCGGGCATGTGAGTGGGTCTCGAAGTGACTCATAATGTTTGAGAAACGAAGGTCCGTGCAGGAATGCATGTTTAGGGTTCTTGTATTTGAGGTGAATCTGGACTAGTTGATCGATGATGTCTCGTGTGGATTTCGTTGGTGCTGATTGTTGCTGTTGCTTTTGTGATGGTAAATTCGGCCGAGTCGTTTGCGAAAACATGAAGCGGAAAGCGCGAAACGTGGTGGAAACATAGAATGGGTTTTCGAAGCGGATGGACGATGATCCTTTAAAGAGACTTCGAAAAGGTGATAGATAGCGTAGCGATGCGCGGCTGTACATGAACAATTCTTCCATGGTATTGATCGTCGTCTGCAGCTTCATCAGTCCATTCTCGACAGTCAATTTCCACTCCATCTGCTGCTGCTGCTGCTGCTGTCGTTGTTGTTTAAGCGGATCTTGCGCATCGTCGTCAGTGCAGTTGCTATAGTTACTGAAACTGGTGTAGCTGCTGGCACTGGGACTACTGTAGTCAGCGTAGCTGCTTGTAGTGCTGCTAATACTGCTAATACTACTGGCAGTGCTGGCGATGCTGCTATTGCTGCTATTGCTGCTACTACAGTCTTGATATTGTCGTAGCGTCTGTTCCGCGGCCGCAAGCTCGATCTCGAGTTGTTGAACTTGATAATTCCAGTAATCAAAAGAAGTTTCAACGTATTCTCTTGGCGTCACATCTTCCTCCCCGGTTTCGAGATCCTGTTGACGAACAACAACACATTCGAGTCGTAACTTTTTACACCGATTACAGACGCTCGAGTTTCCACGCCAAAAGCAACCTTTTTGACGCTTCTGGCAAGCTGTTTTATATTTACCCGAGATTGTAATGAGTAACTGAACAAGGAATCTTTTCTCTGTTTTGTAACGGGTATAAAGATTAGCTAGATGTACCTCTGCAAGGAGTATTACGTGGCATGGAAATTCTTGTTTGACTGAAAATCAAAGAAAGTGTGAAAAAAAACACACAGGGTTGTTTCATGTGCAACACCTGGAAGGTACATTATGTTCGATCAGATAAGTGGCTGTGTAACGCCGAAAATACGAGTCGGTCCCAACCGGGTCGAAAATAGGAAAAAAGGCCTTTTTATAGGTATCGACAAGCAATTGCACTTGTTGTACATGAACCTAAAGAGGCTAATTTTTCTTGAGGATTAAACATCTACATAAGCAGCTATGGTGTTATGAGTATTAGGTAATCAATGAGCATGACTGTATACGTTTGTTGATATGCTTACAGTAATACCGTCCGATACGCGATGCGAGGAAAAGCTACGTTTTCTTTATATAAACAAATGGCTGTGATATGCATGTGCTTTGCGGTAGAGCAAAGATCAAAACGATAATGTACAGAGATTATTGAGATGGTATGATAAACAATAAATAATGGAAGGTAAAAGGAGAAAGTGTAGTAGTATAGAGGATGAGTGATGTGTGTTCGTAATATGGGATGCAAAATAAATAGTAAATATCTAATGTAATGCTAGTTTGCAGAAGCATTAGGAGGTGTAATATCATTCACAGACTCTATAAACTCGGCAAGATAGGAGGATCCACGTGAAGTGCTGACTAAATGGGATCGCAAATGGGCACATGAAATATTAAGGATATCAGCAAAAAGCGCATATCCAGGTAAAGGGTATTGTTGATACACTGTGAAATCGCCATCCGAGTTTTGTCGCGATGTTACCAATGCATTCAACGGGGATGATGAGGATGAGACCGTCAGTGTGTCAGACGGAAACAAAGCACGAATCGCATCGATACACTGGTAGAATTTGCGATAAATCGTCATAGATGCATCGTTACCAGATACGGTAACTAATGCAGACATTGACCGAGAAATCAATTCGAATATTACAACTACAGGTACAGAAAATCATCAGCAAAGCGGAAAGAACGTTGCCAAGATGTGATAAGCAGAGTAGACATGCATACTTGAAGGTAGGTCGTCCGGGTATGATAGCATCTGGATCATAACGTCGAGCATTAGGTCACACGAACGTAGTACAATTTCTGCTGCATGTTCGCGTAGTGAATTCAAAACTTCTGGACTGAGATTGCTGAAGTTAGCGTCGCCACGATCGTCAGAGTAGACAGGTTTGACCAAGCATACATGAGCTCGCATGATGCTGACGTGTGCGAAACAAAAGATAACGCCTTTGATCCAATCTAATTCGGTTGTCAGATGGATGTTATCGGTGTACAAGTTGTCGCATAGACGTAAATGAGGAGGTGTCGATTTCCACCATTCTTTGATTGCCAGGTCGCATTTAATAATGGATTCCAACGATAAACTGTTACTGTTGATAGACATCCTCTCTGGACCCTGTTTGAAATATACGCGAAATTAGTGTTTGTCAAGTGTGATTGGTACTATAGCCATGATATCCTCGATAAAAAGTTTCCAACTTACTGTCACCATTTTCATAACAAAGTCGCCAGCCATTTTTAAGAGGTGGTTACTCATGTCAATGTACAAGCCAGTCGTTGCACCTTCGTCTGGTAATTTTTCCAAATGATACACGGACAGGATCGGTTTGAACGCACTTCCGTTATCCATAAAATGGAACATGTTGAGCATTCTTTCGTTATGTAAAAGATGACGCTGTACCAGTACTCGTTGAACATGGTTGTTTTCGCCTTCACCGTCATATGAGTGTTCCAAATCTTTGCACAAAAGATAAGCGATGGTAATCAAGCGACGAGCTTCCATAGGCTGTAGCAGCACAAACCAAATGTAGTGCTTCAGAAAATTGATAGTCATGACTGTTTCAAATTTGCGGTTTGGATCATCAAACATATCCCCCAAGATACCCTTGCACCGTCCAAAGAAAAACTGGGCTAGTCGTTGTCGTTCGGCTGACGAATACTCTTCATCAAGCTTTCGCGTGCTTGAGATAAAAGAAACACAAAGGGCAAGCGTAACGGGGCACGATAGTGGGTCTTTGAGCGATTCGTAGTGTTGAAGATACATGGGTTGATACAAAAAGCCGTGCTTGATATTTTCGTGTTTCAGGTACAAATGCACCAGACGATCCATCAACCCTCGTATAGTTTCCATCGGCAGAGGTGCTTCTTGTAATTCTTGCTTCTCATTTTCTTGCAGTAGTAGCCTCGGTTGGGCTGCTTGCGAAAACATGAACCGGAAAGCACGAAAAGTGGCGCTGATAAAGTACCTGTTTTCAAAACGGACCGAGAATGAATCTTCAAAGAGACTGTCAAACGGTGACAGGTATCGAAGCGACGCACGGCTGTACATGAATAATTCTTCCAATGTGTTGATCGTCGTCTGCAGCTTGACTTGACCGTTCCTGCCTACCAATTTCCACCCCTGATGCTCCTCGGCAGGTTCTTCGCAATGATTGTCACTGATCTGGCTGGTAATGCTGCAAGGACTGCTACAGTTGCTAAGGCTGCTAAATTCGTTGTAGCTGCTGTGACTGATAGGGCTACTGCGGTTGCTGTAGCTGTTGTTGCTACTGCGACACTGCTTAACAGTTGCTTCAGCCTGCGAGAGTTCGGTTTCAAGTTGTCGAACTTGGTTACGCCAATACTCCAAGGAGCTTTCAACGAATTCTTTTGGCATTGTATCGTCGTCCTCTGCGGGCTCGAGATCGTCTTGCTGACTGACAACGATGCAATCAACATTCCATTTCTCACAACGAATGCAAACGTTCGAACTAGATCGCCAGAAGCAGCCCTTTTGTCTCTTTTTACATGCTTTTTACGTAAGGCAAATTATATCAATTTCAATGAATGGTTTCAATTGTTGAAACGTGGATGTGTAACAGGTAATGTCAACGCTATAGCGTACCTCTGCAAGGGGTATTTCGTTTGCGTGGTGGCATAATTTAAAGAAACGGATATCGATCAAAATGCCAGATTAAGACATTGCTTGATCGGACCGGAAAAACCCACCAGCCATTCTGTTCTCTAGCGCAGCAGTTAACAGCTTAATAAGGAAAGTTTGAGTGCTGATGAGCCATTACTGCCTTTCTGATAATGACTAGTACTGAAGGAACATGGAAGTCGCTGCGTTCTTCTCCAGCTGAAGTAAGGGGCAGCGCATCCGCATATTATCTATAACCCATTGCACCCATATACAGCCCAGCCCTGGTTAGGTTACTAACCCGGGATATATGTCCAGAACTAGTTGAATTTGTCGAGGATTGAAGATGACCAGTGTAAGAAATAGCAGACAGGCTGTATTAGGGGTTGTGCTTGTAAAAGACTGAAGCAAACGGGAGTCTATCGCCAAGTATAAATCTATTTAAATCCTTGATATCACACAGTTTTCCTCCAAGAGTGTTGATCCTCGACATGCACTTTTGCTATGTAGCACGAATTTGTTCTGTTTAACTGCTGACTAACAGCGTTGCTCTCTGGCCCTATATCGCTCTATAGAGCATCACGAACATTATTAGTAAATGCATAGTAAACGCTGACACAGGGACATCACCTTTTAACATGCTTTAGATGTCAAACGAACAACGCATAGTCTACAAGTATGCCCAGCAAAATAACACGGTTAATCAGAGGGTGGACTACTATCAGAAAGTAGCTGTAATTTATTTATTATATCGGAAGAGCACTCTACTGACTAAAGATGGGATGTTTTTTTTATTATATTGGCTAAATGTACGTAAGGTATAGCGCAGTTAATCCTCCCATTCACTACTGTCAGAATCATTCTCGTCGTCGCTTTCCATTGCACTTTTTCTTGCGTTCAGGGCAGCCGCAAGCGATGATGCAAGATCGCCACCACCAGCTGCTGCTGCACCGGCACCGGCAGCTGCACCAGCGCCAACAGCGGCTTTGTTAAGTTTAGGTGAATCTGTAGGTGTCGAGCGCATCTTGCCGGTGGTTTTTAGGCTGGAGAAACCACCGGTTGCACGAATACTTTCCATCAAGTTGGAACGACCATCATTAGGTGGGGACTGCGGTGACGATGCTCCTCCTGATATAGGTGCTGGTGGAGGAGGTGGAGGTGGTGGTGCACCTGTTGCAGGTGGAGGAGGAGGAGGAGGCGGCGGAGGCGGCGGAGGCGGCGGCGGTGCACCTGCTGATGGAGGGGGAGGCGGCACGCCAGTAGATGGCGGCGGGGGAGGTACAGGCGCACTTGGTCTTGGAGGCGGTCTACCAGGTGGCGGCGGTGGAGGTCCACGTCGATCTCTGCGTGGTATCGGTGGAGGCGGAATAGGCACTGGTCGTTTTGTTGCAGGCATGGGTGGCAGCGGTGGAGGCGCAGGTGCAGATTGAGCATCAACGAATTCGTCCTCACTCTCGTCATCCGAATACTGGCCGTCATGTTGGATGTCGTTATAGAACGTTTCTGATGCTGGTGGCTGTTGAGGCTGCGAATTCGGCACAGGCGGAGCAGGGGGAGGTGGAGGAGGAGGAGGAGGAGGCGCTGGTGCTGTAGGTGGGGCGGGCGGTGATGGTGCCGGTGGCTGCTCCGTGGTCATGGACATTCGATACGGATTGTTTGATTTGAGTGGAGGCGACACTGCACTATCTGGAGATGTGATGGTTGGTGGTTTTGTAACTGGAGGTAGTGTAGGAGGCTTGATAGCTGGAGGCGAGATAGTAGGCGATACATCGCGGTCGGCTGAAGATGGTGGTGCAGGAAGTTGCGTAGCAGGTCGAGGTGGCGTGATACGTGGTGGTTCTTCGTGTGTTTGCGCAGGTGCTGGCGGCAATTGCGATGCAGGACGTGGTGGTGTTGGTCTCGGCGGTGTTGGTGCCGGGATATTTGCGCGTGAACCAGGTCGAGCAGGAGGTGGAGGTGGTGCGACCATCGATTGACGAGCAGGTGGCGGTGGAGGAGGAGGAACGTTTCGACGTGATGGAGGAGGAGGTGGAGGGGGACGACGGCCTAGTTGTAATACCTTTCTTTAGCACTGTTTCCCTCGTTTACTGACTGAATAATAATAAGGCGGTGTTACTTACCACCAACAGGAGGGGGTGGAGGGGCCGTGCGACGCGCAGGAGGAGGTGGAGGAGGTGGTCTCGAAGTGGGTGTCTTGGGAGTCGCATTGTGTGTTCTAGCAGGTGGCTGCGGTGGGCCACCACGCTGATTTACAAAGCTCTTGATGAAGTCCTGGTTCTCGGTGATCTCCTGTGCTGATATGCCCAATGACTGCAGCTGGTCAAACAATCCATCCCACTCCGGGTCCGTGTTCTGTACGCTGAACCCTTTCTCTGGGGTATATCCAATGTGGCCGAGATGCCGGAACTCTGATGGCAAACCGATTTGCGTCTTATCCACTTTGGATTTCTTGCCATTATCTTTTGAAAGAACCCGTTAGCTTATAAGCATTCACAGAGAGTCACTGGATTTTAACACAAACCTTTCTTTTTGTTGTTGTTGTTGTTGTTGTTGTTGTTGGAAGCCTTTTTCTTCTTGGAAGGGGCAACGGGTTCGCGACCAGTGACCTTGGTGTAAAACACAGAAGCGTCGGCTGTATCGGCAAAGGACAATCCACACATGTATTCCTATTGTTTTTTCAAAAATATAAAAGCACTCTGCGTAAGGAAAAAGACACGTGCTACCATTGTTCTCTCGTTCCAAGCGATATCCTGTTACTACCACTTACGTCGCCTGCGAATGCGAAAAAGAAAGGCGTTTGCATATCCAGCTCAAATCCGTCATATAATTCTTGTTCCCACAAGATGTCCCGAGGATGCTTTGAGTCCACCATAAAGTTAAATTAGACTTTGCAACAGTTCGACGCACTTTTTCGGACACCATTCCCGTTAGCCTACCATCAAATCTACAATTTTGAAATAAAGTGATTTCTTTTTCTTATCCTTGAGAAAAACGACGGCACCCCAAATGTTGGAGTAGGCCCATTTATGCGGATTAGGGTAAGAAACGTAAAGGCGCGCAACGGTAGCTGCATAGATTTTCTATTTTTGTAAATGGCCCGGCAAATAGTGGAGCATGAGTGTCCATTAAAGCTCTTATATGTTCATGTCTTTGTTTTGTAAGACCAGTCTTACTAACCGAGTTGGGCAGTGCCCGCCGAACTTTGTTCTTGTCTTCAGCCGATGCAAGGGCTTTCGATGGCATGGGATGTTGACGAAAGAAAAGAGAAAGCTCGAGTGGGCAACACCAATTTAGCACAAATTATAGTTCGGAGATTGCCAAGGCAACGTTGTGTCTGTTACCCAGGAAATAATAATACATATGCTTCTTGTATAAACAAATTTGATCGCAAAATATTGCATGAGAATAATTAGGATATGTTATTTATGTAAAGATGGATAGGAGTAATGTAATAAGGCGAAGGAAAGATTATGATTTAGCAGTAGCAGTAGTAATAGCAGATAGTCCAAATTGCGATAACATTTGGTTGAGTCTGTGGATACATAGACTGGTTAGTGTGTCTTTTCTTGTAAGACTGGATAATATAAACTCTGTTTGATTACCTTTCAGAGCGAGCTTGTGCTTCGGCTGCCTCACTTTGCACTAAGCGTGCCAAGTCTTGCCAATTCGACTGTAAAATATCGTGTTTGTTTTCGTAATCGGTGCGTTCTTTGGATTTTTGCTGCAACTCATCATTGAGCAACTTGAGTTTCTCTTCAAGCTCCGTTTGACGCTGGGTAAATAAGTTCTGTTCGGCGCGATGATTCTCCTCGGCGTCTGATAACTTTTGCTTATACTCATCGCGTTCATTCTATTCAAAAAGTGAAGCGTTGAGAGTTAACACAGCCGCATTATCCACATGGAGAAAGAGAGAAAGATGTACCTTTAGTGCCGATATTTGAGCTTCATTTGATTTTTTCAGCTCTTCCAGCTCCTTTCTAAGCGAATCCACATTGTTTTCTCGCTCTTTTGAAAGTCGACCATTTTCGTTTTCAAGATACTCGACCCGTGCTGTCAGAGTTTCATTTGTGCCATGCACAGCTTCATATCGTGTTGCCAGTTGTTCATTCTCCTCACTGCACTCGCGGATATCCCTGTGCAGTCGTGCAATCATGTTTGCCTGTGCTTCGGCCTGTTTTTGCGCTTCTTCCATCTCCTCTTCGTGACCTGCCACCTTTTCTACCAATGCCTGCTTGCTTTCTTCCAACTCTCGCACTATGGCCTGCTGGCTCTGTACCAGACCCGCATAATCGTCTTGCTGAGACGTCAACTGCTGGCATTTTTGCGTGAGCTCCTGGATTTCGCTCGTTTGCTCCGTGATTTGCGTTTCTTGCTGCGCAATCTTTTGATCTCGCTCCTTGATTTGGGCCTCTCCGCGATATGCAACACCGGCCGACCGCAGCTTTGCATACACTTTCCACCATGGCCATTCTCGCAATGTCACATAGATGCGTGCATTGCGCTGCATTACCCGGATTGCCTCTGTTTGTCGTGCCTTGCGTGTCATTTTCTGCCTTGCAATGTAACGACGGCACATGGCTTGGAACCCGGTCATGTAGTTGGCTAGGTGTCGATCTCGGATCTCTTCTAGTTCGGCCAGTACAGTTGCCTTGAAGAACACTTTGGTTGTTCCAATTCTGTATCGCTCTGGATCCAGCTGCATAGCGTCCAACAAGGTTTGACATGCACTGCGACCGTAAATGAAGCAGTTGGTGGGTAGCTGGTTGGGACACAGGATCTCGTATCGTTTGCGGAAATCGTCAAATGATAAACGGTTCGGGAAACCTTTGCGACAGATACGGATACCTTCGAGTACACCATTGCATCTTAGTTGTCCCAGCACGAGCTTGGTCTGGATCTGGCCTGCGCGCTTACGGTCATTGGGTAGGATACAGCGAATAAAGCGTGGATGTGTCGATTCGAGCGTGCACATTAATGCTAGGAGCTGCTGCTTGTGGCGCTGACCCACTGTTCGGAATGATCCTGTGCCCTTGCGCAGTTTTGTCAAGGTCATGTCGGTTGATTTTTCATTGTCAGTAAGGTAGTCTTCAAATAAACGAGCAACGTAAGGTTGTGTGGACCGTGCGAGCAAACGTGTGACATCTTCGTTGAGCGGATCTTTGTTCTTGTCAATCCAGCCCTTGGTGGAATATTCGACTCTGCCGGCATAATGCGTCACAATAAACCCTTCATCAAATCGTCTGGGCTTGTACTTGGCGTCGCCCTCCCCGGTATTCCAAACCTTGTTTAGCTTTTCTAGGAATCGCTTATCTGTACCACGAGGAGCAACGCATTCCTCCTCAAGACAAGATAAGATACCGATTGGCTATTTTAAACACAAGGACGTTAGTGTCTATGATTTCCGTACAATAGTTCGTCTGTGCATGAATTTCTTATACTTGCATTGGCCTTTTCGATGAGGTTGATTGTAGGTTGCAAGTCCAGTCCGAAATCAATATAACTCCAGTCAATTCGCTCCTTCTTGTACTCTTCTTGCTCCAACACGAACATGCTGTGGTTAAAGAACTGTTGCAGCTTCTCGTTCGTGTAATTAATACACAGCTGTTCAAAGCTGTTGACCTGTTTAAACACATGCTTTGTCCTGTTAATTTACGATCCTCACTCTCCCTCTTGCACTCGCAAACATAAAACAATGTTAGAGAATAAAAAGACGTGCCTCAAAAATCTCAAATCCAGCAATATCCAAAACACCAATAAACTGTGTCTTGTCTACTGTTTTTTGACCATCCAAAGCCTGATTCACCCGCTCCACTAGACTGGCAAAGTTGCGCTCATATAAGGTTTTTGCGAGAGCGACCAAGCTCGCCTGGACTTGCTCTAGTGATTTTGCTTGGCTCACCCATTCAGATCCAGCCTTGATACGCGGTGCCAGTAAGCCTTTTTTAAAGTCCTGTGCTGGGATCCCGAGAAGGTGGCATAGACGTTCGATGGACGTAAAATCCCGAATATCGGCACGCTCGCGAAAATCAGGGGTTACAATGATATTGCCGAGATGGAGAACGGCTGCCACGATACGGAACAAATCGAATTTTTCCTTGTCGGAAAGGCCCATGATGTCCAACGATTTCTGATTATATCGGCTACTATGAGTCTGTTGTTTTCTATTTCATGGATGTGCTGGATCACGACAACATGAAACTTACCAAGAGTTTTTGATAATCTTCTGCGTCATCTACACCATCAATAGTGATACTGGAGTTCTTGGTAAAGTTGTAATCCTTGGCGGTCTGACCACCTAGCAGCAGTTGCTCCTTGAACGAGTCATCCGCACTCAACAGTTGGTAAAAGACATGATAGTTTCGTTCTTCAGGCGTCTGCTGATGGACTCGCGATTTCTCCAGCAAGTACCACTCGATATTGGCACCGCAAATCTGCGCTCGATTGTTGAATTTGATTCGAATAAATTTACCCTGATTATAGAGAAAAGTCAGCGTTATCAAAGCTCTTTTCATTTCAACCAGCTATCATGTAGCCCCACCCCAACCCCCTATCTTTGCGTAAAATTGGCCAATAGACGGGACTTACAAAGCGAGACGAATTGTTGTTGCGGATCGTCTGCGCATTACCGAACGCTTCAAGAATGGGGTTCGCTTGCAATATCTGCTGTTCAATTTCTGAACGAACGGCTGTATTGGCAACGGCAGCCAAATACTGGATCACAATCTTGGTGTTTTCTGTTTTGCCTGCCCCCGATTCGCCCCTATAATTATTTCCACAGTAAGACTTTTCATTAGACAAAGAAGCCTCCGATGACAGAAACAGCAACCGAAAAGAAAGACTCACGTGATAAGAATCGACTGATCATCACCATCTTGCACCATGTCATGATATGCTTGATCTGCGACGGCATAGATATGCGGGGGTAACTCGCCTCTTCGTCGGCCTTTGTAGGATTGGATATAGTCCTGAGAATAGATGGGCAACTTTCGATATGGGTTCACTGCCACCAAAAACAGTCCAGAGTATGTCTGTCGATTAGAGAGGAGATCTAGTAGTTAGCTTCAGCTCTGTCTCTTCACTGTTTCCAATCGATAGTGCAGGTGGAAAAACTTGCATAAGTTTCACCGGTATGGTACCGCAAAGTCAGATTATGGATCACCGATGGCTCGTTCAGGTGTGTCAGTTCTGCCATATCTTCCACGCGGTCGAATTTTGGAGGGTTCATGGAGTACACTTTGTCTGCGGGGACGAAGCATGTCTGTGGTGTGATAGCCTTGTTGAGTCTTGTTCATTCAAATCTTATACTTTCTCGCGTAATGGTTCATAAATTGAAATTTAGAATTCATTGTTTTAACTTACTTGACCGCTCTCATGCTCAACTTCAATCTTTGGGTGTCGTGCTGATCGTGGACTCTTTTCAAATTCTCTGATGACTTGTGCCCGGACATAGCCATGCTGTTCGTCTTCGATCCACACCCATCGCTTTTCGCTAAATCGTGCTTGGTTGACGGCGTCCTGGACGTTGTCGAGGCGATCGGGCACAAACACTTTGGTTCCGTGGCTGTGGATAAATGTGCCTCCAATACGGTCGCTCCGTTGTGGTGACGGTGATGGTGATGGCGAGGATGAGGCTGTGGTGATCATAGGCGATAGTAACGGAGGGAGAGCGGGGGGGGGGGTACAAGAGTGGAGATAAAGGGAAATAAAAGTGGAGAGTAAGCAGCTGCAAGAACAATTGATTCTTTTGAATCGCTATGTAGAAATTTTGGTAAAAGCTTTGAAAACAACCGAAAAAGGAAATAATGCATTCTTGATGATGTGTGCTTGCGTGCCTGTGTGTGTGTGTGTGTGTGTGTGTGTGTGAGGGGCCACATGATCCGCTTGTTGGGCGTCGAGAATGTTATTGTTTTTTTTATTTTGCGTGTGTGGCGGGCTTTATTATGATTTATCAATGTTACTGCTGTTGTAACTTCTCCACTTGCTCTGCTAAAGATGCTACCAGCTGCTCTAACTGCACTCGCTTCTCACGCTCCTCCTGCAACTCCTTACGAAGCTTATCCACTTCGTTCTTTGTAAAGTTCTTGAGCTTGGTCTCCAATACGTCGTTACCGCTCGATGGAACGTTGAATCGCGAAGCAATGTTACGAACGCCAGTGGGACGTGGTGCCGGCTCCTCATCTTCTTTCTTCTCTGGTGATGTTGTCTCATGCGCAGCTGCAGGCTCCCACATGCGTCTTTGCACAGGCTTCAGGTTCTTGAGCTCAGGTGCAGCTCCGCCAAATGGCGTAGGGAATTTAGCAAAAATCGGTTTCACGGGTTTGGCAGGCGATCGCGCTGCTGCTGCGGGTGCCTCTTCCTCTGCTTCCTTCTCAGTTTCTTTTGATGGTTCTTCTCGCTCTTTGGCTAGGTCTTCTTTTAGCATATCCATTTGGCTCGGCTCTTCTTTACGTGCTTCAGGTGTGGCAGGTGAGCGTCGTGCTCTCGCTGGACGTGCGCGTGCTGGACCAGATAATCTAGGGCCCGTCGGCTGCATATCCAGACCTTTCTTCTCTTCCTCTTCAGGGCTCTTGATTTCCTCAGTCTCAGTACTAGCAGCAGGTACTTCCTCCTGCTCCTCCTTCTTTTCTGGCTCTTCTTTGGTCTGCTCCTCTTCCTCAGCAGGTGCTGGCGGGGAGGTTTCATCCTTCTTGACATCTTCCTCCGGAGAAGCGGGCACTTCAGCAGCGACAGCAGCCGGTGATTCAGGTGTTTCGGACTCAACTTGGCTTGTGGGTCTGCTTGCTGGTCTGGGGGGCTTTTCGGAAGCCTCGCTTGAAGGTCTACTGGCTGGCTTTGGTGGCTTTTCAGACGCCTCGCTTGAAGGTCTGCTGGCTGGCTTGGGTGGCTTCTCAGAGGCCTCGCTGGATGGTCGGCTTGAGGGAAGAGAAGGTTTAGACGCGTCGCTGATAGGTCGACTAGAAGGTTGAGGAGGCTTTTCAGACGCCTCACTTGAAGCGCGACTGGCGGGCATGGGTGGTCTTGAGGGCACCGGAGGGGATGATACTGGTGACGATGTCACTGGAGGAGTTGCCTCTTTCTTTTCTTCTTCTTGCTCCACCTTTACCGGTTCCTCATCCTTTGCAACAGGCTCTTCCTTAGCCTATAGTTTCACGCGCACACGTATAAAATTGCAAATTGTCTTTTCAGCTCTTTATCTTTTATCCGAGTAAGTATGATGATTACCTCTTTTTCGGACACAGGTTCGGGCTCTGCTGCTGGTGGTGCATGTGGCGAAGGGGATTCAGCAGCAGCCGGTGGAGGAGTCGTTTCTTCAGGAATAGAAGGCTGCGATGGTGACGATACTTCTGCAGTGGATGTTGACTGCTGTTCATGTAGTGAGCCAGGTCGACTGCCTGAGGAAATTGGGCGGTTACCAGGGAGCGGTGGGGCGCGCGCACTGATACCAGTCGATACTCTCGAGCTGGAAGCTGTGCTGAATGATTGTTGCGACCCAGTCGAGGCCAGCGATTTGCGTGAGCGTACGGGTGGTGGTGAAGCGATGGATTCTTCTTCAATCTCCTTGACAAAATTGCTCGGGAACACACCCGTTTGACCACGTTCAGTTGTACCCTTCCACCAGCCATCATCTATATTCTTGTCGATCACGTTTACATATTCACCCCGCAACAAGTTCAGCTCGTCCTCGTTTTCGGCGTCATAAGGGTGTAAAACGATGGCCTTGGCAGCTATCACCAACGAGTTAGCTGAAACAGCTCCCCAAAATTTTTAGCAACAAACACACGTGTCAGCATACCAAATTTCTCGGTAGGCTGTTCTTCTTGATCGAACTTGTCGATTGGGAGAGGCTTTTCGGGCTCTGCTTGCGTGGCAGCGGGCTCGTCCATGGCAGGTTGCTGCTCCTCTTTCTCTGCAGGAGTGGCAGGTTCTGCTGGCTTCTCGGGCGATGCAGCTTTGGTTTCCTATTCAAGCACATCATTTACTGTGAGCAAATGTAACCTGCACTATCACACATCAAAGCGAACTTACCGGCTCAGCAGGCTTCTTGGGAGCACCACCTGTTTTTTTCAGAGCTGGAAATCCACCCGCTAAGACACTTCCTATGCCACCCTGTTTAATTCCATATGCGGCCAGTTTGAAAGCGGGCTTGCTGGCTTCAAATTGTGAGACATATAAAAAGATGATGTTTTAGCATACGAACCACCAAACAGCTAACGCTATTTAGCACACATACGTTCAGCGGGAGCACTGCCATCCTCACTGCTTTCTGCGACTTTTGGAATATCAGCTGACTGAGCGCCAAGATCAGGTCTACCGGGCATATCAATTTCTTCAACACACTTGATAATACAAAGAGAGAGATGGAGTATGCGTGCAGGTGGTCAGGGCACAGTTCTTTTCTTGTTTGATTCCAAATACGCAATAACAAAGCCCAGTCTCATTTTAAGCATACCTCGCCTGGGAACCGTCCCACTTTGCCATTAATTTCGCCTTTGAACCATCCATCTTCATAGCGCTCATGAAGTGTAGCAATGCCTCCGCGATGAAGCGTCAGTTCATCCGGTCCTTGCATTGCATAATCTTCCATTACACGAGCCATACCAATAGGTTTAACTAGAAAACACCCCTTAGGTTAGACCTTTTTGTTTTCTCGGTCATACTCTTAAACCTTGGTGTATTCTGTTGTTACCTGGAGCAGCTTCGGCTTCAGCTTCACCAGCAGGCTCGGAAGCTGTGTCTTCCTGCGTCTTGTCAGTCTCATTGTTAGCATCTCCTTTGCTTTCCTCGGGGGACGAGGCTACAGGTTCGACAAACTTTATATATTGCTAATTAGTCACTGTTCTTCTTTTTTTAAAAGAAACACACACGAAAGGAATGCTTCCATACATTGCTGGGGAAATAACCACTAGAGCCGTCATCTTTTTTGCCCATCCACCAATCTGGGTCAGAGCTGTCGGTGACAGTAACAATGTCGCCCTTGTCAAGCTTTAATTCATCCTCTCGTTGAGGTTCGTATGAATGATGTACGTTGACAGTTATATGTCCTATATATGTAAAGTGCGAGATACATTACAGACAAGCTCGACCGGTGGTGACTAGCATTATGCTTTCAGAAGACTTACCAGCCATCTGTATTTTCTGAAATGAAGCTGGGAGAAGGGAAGGGAGGTTGGACAGGAAAAAGAAAAGGCACTCTGTTTTTCGTGGCAATATGCAAATTGGATAGTTTTAAAGTTACCTCCGCAGAACCTCGTGTATGGAGGACTGTTACACATGAATGAATCTCGATGCAAGAATGCTGGAGGGGGTCAGTAAACTTCCGTCAGCATCATGCGATCCAGCTCTACGAATCGGTTTCCATGAAAAAAGCAAGCGCTACGATAATCTGGTCATCGCTCAAGCCCTTCAAGATGCTATGGGTGCACTTTAAGTGCTGGCCTCGTAACTGGTAGCAATAGAGAAATCCCTGCTGGTGTTGCCCTCTTTCGTGCGATAATTATAATACACGACTAGAAGTGATGACTTACCAAGGCCATTATCGCCAGTTCTTCAAGTATTGTTTTAGTTGTTGACGACTGTATAGCGTATTTTACCCCTAGTACCTGAGTTACCTCTATCATACCAGCCCTGACTCTGACGGTTGCACGAAGAGCGGGCCGCTCTTTATTGCTGTGGCGTAAATTGTAGAATCGACTACTTTGACCTGCCTTATAGTCTACCAATTGACTAAAGATGAAGCTTTGCGCGTTACAATGACCAGTAGCATTGCTATCAGTAATAAGTCATATTTTATTGTAGAATAACTTATAATACATACAGCATTCTAATCCCTTTTGTGACCACATGACGTAGCAAGGTCAAACTTGAATACAAGCGACTTTGGTGTAGAGCACAAACAACCCATAACTATGCCTTAGTCTGTTCGACAGGATTCAACAAAGGTTCTTGTCGTCAACGTCGTACCTTAAACTTTATCAAAGACCCATCATTAACGATTGGCCCGACAAAGCAATGATACTCAGCTGCATGAATGGTAGCGTGAACCCTGCAAAGAACGAGGAAGAGGAAGTCTATTTCATAGCATCCTACACAGGGATAAGGTTTCCAATTTTGCGATGCGTGACAAGCAGTGGTAGACTTCCACTCATATTTTTTCAAAAAAAGGACAGGCGGTTCGAGTGACGCGCTCTTCAGTTCTTTTCGCCTTTTTTTTTGTGTTTCCATTCTCTAGTCTACTTCCTCTCCTATCTTTGCTTTTCAAAACTTGACGTTCCCCTGCTCTATTTCATGAGCAAGCGCAAGAATTCCGATTCCCCAACATTCCCTCCTGTCAAGCGACGCATGGGCGGCATGGTTAAATCCCATTCCAGCACATCGTGGTACTATGACGACAATCCCTGGCAAGACCTCTACGACATGTACGACCAGGCATTGGGTGAAAAAGACTACCGCGACGTGGCAGGTTCGGTATCGACGGCCATTGTCAAGTTGACCGACCACTTTGTCAACCTCTTGGACCTTCGTGCACGAGCACATGGCCATGCTGGCGAATTTGCCCAAGGTCTTGAAGACGGATTCAAAATGATTAGCGAATCACCCACCTGTGCCTTGGGCTATATCCGCACAGGTCACATATACAGTCTCCAAGGCAACCTGGTCAAGGCGCTTGAGGTGCTGCTTCAAGGACTAATATCTGTTCCAGCATATTCCCAGCACTACCCTACACTGCAACAAGATGCCCGTGAAGCCGAAGACCAGTTGAGTGAGCATATCAACACACTCGGTTTAAGCGCTAGTTTCGATCAAGCATTGCGGATTGCGTGGGATTTGATTAACGTCCATCGGAGTTCCTCGACAGGATACCTGTGTGCGGGCAATCTCCAATTGATGCAAGGTCGTGCGCAGACAGCGATCGACATGTTTCAGACTGGGTTACGAGAGGTGCCGGAGTCAGATGCTCAGTATCGCATGTTGAAGGATAAGCTGAATTTGGCGATACTAAGACGGGATAAACGAATGGATATAGTCTCGTTGCTACCGTTTGATCTTATGCCTTATATCTTCTGCCATTTGCCAATGTTCGAATTGACAGTTTGTATGGACATTTCACGGTCGTGGCGTACACGAGTGCTGCAGTGCACAGAAGCCTGGCGGCGGCTGGAAGTCAATTCAAAATATGAGATGTCGTTGGTGAAGACCGTCAGCAAGCATATACGCCATTTGAAGATTGATGCCGGTGGAGAATCCACGGACACATGTTTGAAGTTGATTAGTAATCGGGAGATATCTAATCTGGAAACATTAGGTAAGACTCCGAGAAGGTTGTTGCTAGGTATACTACATGCCGCGCAAAAAACACTGCGTCTTATATACTGATTTTCATCAAACGATAGAAATTGATACTGTCTTTCGACAAGCGCCTACTGTACGCCGATTTTTCTCTGCTTTTCGAGAAATCGGCACCTCTTTACGAAAACTCAACCTCAAGTTTGCTCGCGCCAATCCTCGACCACCTCCACTTATTCCCATCCTATCCATGTGCCCTTCGCTCACACATCTTACCTATCACACGTGGAACTTGCGACGTCAGGATGTCAAAGGAGCTCGAGCAAGCCAAAACTTTGCACTCACACATTTGGATTTGTTTACGGACAGGTCAATTGAAAGCACTGAATTGGAAGCTGTTTTGAGACACTGTCCGAATATGCTATGCCTAATCCTCTACAAATGCCATCCCGATTGCTTACGCCTGATACCTCTGTATTGCAGTTTGGTTGAGTATTTTAGTTTGAACAGAAGCACCATTCTCAAGAGCAGCGGCCATTGGGAGCAAATTCCAGATATCAACAACGACAGTAACCATAACAATGGGCACAATCGATCCCTTCAGTATAAGCACAACAATAACCACAGCCATCAACAACGACAGCACGGCGGGCTACGTTCATTAAGTATCTACACGAGCGATATCATTGGACCTCAAGGTGTAGTGCAATATATCAACAAAAACCGAGGCACTGTCGAAGAACTGGCCTTAGGCATCGGCGACGGCGATCGATCTTTTACCACGCTGATCCAACCATGGGCATCCCTCGCAATCTTTGAACTGAACTACCAACTACGCAAAATCGAATTCTCACTCGAACGATGCAGTACTGCCATCTTATGCACCATGATCTCACGATGTCCCAACCTCGAAGCCATCAAACTGGATAGGACAAGTTCTCTGACGGACGACGTCTTTTATACCCTCGTTGAACTAGCCAGACTACGACATCTCGAGATCGCAGGAGGAACAAACACACGGATCACGGATGATGGACTGGCATGGTTTTTTGACCAGGTTGCAAACGAAAACCGACTGCGTATTGTATGTTTCTCCGATCTATCACCAGTCAAGGACAGTACACTGGTAGCATTAGCCAGAGTCAAGAGTTTGCAGAAAGTGACGATTCGGCGATGCCAAGGAATTGCCGAGCGTGCAATGGATCAGTTTGCAGATACGCTTGCCACGTCATCAACGACGTTGCTCGAAGAAATCACGTTCCATGCCATGGCAAGCATTACGAATACTGCCTTAGCACGCTTGGGTGAAGTCAAAACATTGATCGATATGACGCTGATTCGCTGCTCCAGGATTGACGATGATGGAATCCAGGACCTACTATCCAGATGGAAGACATTTAAACGCCTATATATCCATGGATGCTTTCGTGTTCATCAAACTACCATGTACTACTTTCATGGAAGGGTTCCCCAATCATTTAAATGTTTACAAGAACTGTAGTTTATTAGTCATTCAAGAATGATTTCTTTATTTCTCTGTGATGATTATACCAGTAAAACTGCTTACTACAGTATCTATCTGAAGAAAAACGGAGCAATGCCTAAATTAGGTCAATGAGATCACACAGCTAGCACCGTGCATCCCTTTCCTTCAGATCCGTTGACTTTCAACCGCCAGTAACTTCACCAAAAGTTTGAGATTGATAAGAAAATATAAATGAAAGTTTTACATCTTCGCATATAGCAATTCCAACGGATCATTTAGGGCTGAAACCTTATTAAGTTATATCTCTCTATCTATAAGAAAAGGTATCTCTTTGGCAACAATGCACAGCGTGTGCATTGAACGGGATGGATTGCTCTCAATGAATAGTGCATCACGAGGATCAAGTAATATAGGATACGTGAGTGAAAGGTCAATCCAGGTGAATGCATTGGATAAATAGATTATGAATAATTATGTGATTTACGTGATCCATATATAGTAGCAACGTCTTCTTGAGAATTGGTAATTCATGTAACATCATTATGTGTCTGCTTCCCCGTTAAAAGAAACCCTGAAGGGGTATCATGAAGAGTTGACTTCAAGTATTGAGGGTTGCAATAAGTGAGGGTTGGCTAGAATTTTCTGTGCTCTTTCATGGATAAGATTGCTGATGCACCACAGAGAAGACAGCATACTTCGTTTACAGTTGAGCAATGAAGGTTTATAGATGCAAAGAAGCTTGCAATACCAGAAATGACCCACGCTGAGCTTGCTGCACGACACAAGGAAAGCTTAGAAGCATCACCACATTACTCGAAAGTTTGGATGCTAAAGATGAGATAGAACTGCTGATTCTCGCGGCTATGAGCAGCCTTGAAGTTGGATTTGGGAGGAGAAAATCAGGAAGATTGACACAACTGAGGGTGATCTTAACGGGGGACCATTTTATGAGGGGAATGACAGAAATCATTAATGGCGGAACAAACAGCATGTGTTATTGAGCATGATTGTTACGCGCCTTTACCTATAAACATCATAACGAGAGTCACACTTGTGTGTTGCTACAACAGTATGCAAGGAAACATGGACGTCTGTTGTACATGCGTATATGTTTGCTCTAGAAGATGTATTTGGTTCTAATATGCGTTAACTTTCACAATCTCTCAATGTCACAAAAATTCATGTGTGAAATTAAAGGGGGTCCACTGTATGTTAATCGAACAGCAGATCAACAAACATCTGACAAAAATTCGACACACCCGCGGTTGCCAAATTAGTCATTCTAGCACTACGACCTAAAGATGTTATTGCGCTTCTCAAAATAATAAGACAGCTGTCAAATAAAAAGGGGTTTTGGGGGGGCATAACTTGTGGCGTCGTTTATAATATATGGCAGCATGATCATGTGAAAATAATCAAACAGGGTTGGTTTCTAAAAATCACGTCTGCATTTACTTGACACGATGCATGGACAGAATGATTTCAAATGCCAGAAATTTCATTTTCACAGCTCGCACATAGTTGTTATGAGCAAACGTGTTTTTCTTTTGGAATAAAAATAGCAATAGCATGAAGGGTCGTTTCATCGTGTCTATGTCAGTCGTCCCAACAAGCATGAAATGTAATAAGCAGATTTTGGGTAGCTGGTGTAACCAACAATCAACCCAAAAGCTGCCGCGGCCCATGCATGACAATTGGTTAGGTTTGCTGTCATGATACATAATATTAATACATTAGGAGGCCGCGTGCTTCTTTTGAACTGCTTCAAGTAATATAAAAAGGGGCATCCATACTCATATCTTTTCTTCTTTTGCTCGACATTCCTAAACGTGACTTACCAGCAATGATCCTTTCGACAACAAGTACATTAGCGATCACAACAGCAATATTTGTTGTTCTTTACTGTTGTCGTGGAGGCTTCTATTACCGCACGGTGGCTAATCTTTTATGCTTGGCCGTCGCTGCAACCTACGGCATGGCCATTGCAGTAATCTTACGAATCCTTGGTCGAGCCGACTTGATCAACTGGACGAGCACGCGTCTTTACTATTATCTCTTCAGTATTTTCACCGGCATATCGGTCAAAGTTGAGGGCGCCGAACACTTGGACAACAGCAAGAAAGTCATTGTTTGTAATCATCAAAGCAGTCTGGATATGGCGTTTGGAAGCCATGTGTTCCCCAAGGCTACTTCCGTTGTGGCAAAAAAAGATATCAAGTTTTATCCCATCCTGGGCTGGTATCGTAAGTTTTCGATTGGCCTCAGGTCTAAGAGAGGAAAAGAGCATATACATCAGAGAAAAGTGTCATTCGAGTAGTTCGTTACTAACGATGAGGCTGACAAATCTTATCAACGCAGTGTCATTAAGTAACAACATCTTTTTGGATCGTAAGAATCGAGATGGTGCAGTGAAGGCCGCAAGAGAAGCAGCGAAAGATATTCATAGAAAGCAGGTAATGCGAATGGCACAGCAGGGTACAGTAGTTATTTTTTTTTGAAGTATAACATGTGACCTTGGTTGCTGCAATTATTAGACTAGCGTTTGGATCTTCCCCGAAGGAACGCGTCAACGTAGTGGCGTCGTTGACCTGCTACCATTCAAAAAGGGTGCATTCTATATGGCTGTCCAAGCCAAGGTTCCTATTGTTCCCGTTGTGATGGAAAAGTATGACTACTTGTACGATTCAAAAGCCAAGAGATTCAACCCTGGCACTGTTCGCATCAAAATACTTCCTCCCGTCCCTACTGACGACGTTTCTGAAGATTCTGAAGCTGTCGAAAAACTGAGTGCAAGCATTCGCGAGGACATGTTGAAAACATTAAAAGAGCTTGCAGCAGCTCGAGAACAAGAAGAAAAGGTTGCGAAAGCGACGGGTCATCTATGAAAAACCGTGGGCTATGACATATTGATAATGCCTCCCGTGTTATCCATCACTCTTCTTTGTCTTTATACCCACAACAACTTGAAATAAAAGTAACGGAAACTTATAGAAGCAAGAGCAATATATTACAAACAAATGCGTGTGGGCATGCATGTAGTACAGCACTTGTGCATTCAGAATTGTCCATTTGAAGCTCGTGGTCACGTGGATAGTCGAGAAAGAAACTCGGATAATATTCTGCCATCCTCCCGTAAGCTGTCATTGGTATACAGTCTCGACTCGCTCTCGTCATCTAATTTAGCCATCTACAGTACAAGAAACAAAAAGCTTTCACTAAATATAGCGTAAAGCTACGAGGCTGTTGGATGAGTGGTGTGTAGTTTCTTTATGGCCATCATTGTGACTTTCGCCCAAAGAAATACATAGTAAAGCACAACCAAGTACACGTCGGTGAACAGATAGTATATAATTGTCTGCTGGAGTCTCTCTTTAGAATGAGAGGATACGTAGAAATACTGAGAAAAGAAGACGAAGAATCACATAGTTGCAAGCAGATCTGACGGAAGAAGCGTGATCATGATAAGAAGAGGGATGCGGAGTTGTTGAGCTTGGCGGCATTAGGGCGAGTTTACAAGATTTAGCACAAGAGACACGCTACACGCAAGTGCCACTACAAGAGGGAGCGATGACGAACAAGGCGTTTCCACACCATCTCCTTTAGATCCGATAAAAAAGAAAAAAGGAAGGCACGGACACTCCTTGCCCTTTTTGATGAAAAATTGTAACGCAAGAACGAGCGACAAGATGAGCGGTTAGAAGCCCTCGATGGCGCAATCCCACCGGGCACCCAATCATCGGGCCTGGGAATTCTAGCATAAAAACGCTCCCCTCTCCAAAGCTTCCTCCTGCTCTTCTTCTTCTTCTTCTTCATACACAACTCTTCTTCTTCATCACCATCATGTCTCTCAGACTCGGCTCGACAGCTCCTGGTAAAGTATAGGATTGCATGAACTGGCCTTGTCGAATTAAAGCATATGTTGACGCGCAAGTATCTAGACTTTGAAGCCCAAACCACCAAGGGCGACATCAAGTTCCACGAATTCATCGGTGACAAGTGGACTGTTCTTTTCTCTCACCCAGCTGATTTCAGTAAGTGGACATACATACAATGGATGGGGGATAATCGGTGGAACGGGATAGAAGGCAGAGAAAGGTCCTAATCTTGGGGACGGCATTAAACAGCTCCCGTCTGCACCACTGAGTTGGGTTTGGTCGCTGCCTTGCAAGACGAGTTTGACCAGCGTAACGTCAAGGTGATTGGCTTGTCCGCCAACGGTTTGGACGACCACAACAAGTGGATTGCCGATATCAACGAGATCAACGGCGTCGAGCTGCAGTTCCCCATCATTGCTGATGCCGACCGCAAGGTGTCTGTCTTGTATGACATGTTGGATCAGCAGGACGCCACCAACGTGGATGCCAAAGGTGTCCCTTTCACCGTCCGCTCTGTGTTTATCATTGATCCCAAGAAGACCATCCGCTTGATTTTGTCGTACCCCGCCTCGACTGGCCGCAACTTTGATGAAATTTTGCGCGTCATTGACTCGCTTCAGTTGGGTGACAAGCACCGCATCACCACCCCCGGTAACTGGAAGAAGGGTGATGATGTCATTGTCCATCCTTCCGTCTCGACCGAAGAGGCCCAGAAGATGTTCCCCAAGGGCGTCAAGGTTGTTCGTCCCTACCTTCGCTTGACTCCTTCTCCCTTCTAAGTCACGCCTACTTTTTGTATAATTACTCTTTCTCCCCCTCCCTTCTTCTGTATAACCAAGAAGGCACATAACTTGCTCTCTGTATTCTGTACCCTTTAACTAGCTTCTAATGTATGTACTTATTGTATCAATCGGTTTCTCGTGGATAAATAGAACCAAATTGCGTGATCAACATGACACTGTTGCGCATCAATGGGAAGCGCTAGTGCTGCAAAACCTTAATCTGTGAGGTGGCAGCCAGCCAGTTGGATGGGGTTTCTCTGTGTAGCGGAGTGTCAAAGTGGGATATAATAAGACTTAAAAAATGCAAAAGGCTGCCTTCGCGAAACGAGCACTGTAGCCTTTTTTTCCCCCACTCTTTCTTTTTTACACTTAGACTTATTCTAACAAAAACCATGGATATTGGCGAGCTTCCCAACCCTTTCAAGTCTAAGGACAGCTCGCGTGATGGCGACTCTGGCGAACACAACAACAGCTCCTTGTACGGGATCGGTGACTACGATGAAGCACCTCCCCAGCAACAGCAGCAACAACCACAGGCCACGGCACCCGCAGCTGCTGCTGCAGCGCAACAACAACAACAACAACAGGAAAAGGGTATTGCTGGTGAAGTAACTGAAAAGGCCAAGGAACAGGCTCAGAAGGCGACCGACAAGGTCACTGGCAACTGAACGGACATCCATCAATCAAACAAGAACCTGCGTATACCTCCAACCCACCCCTCTTTGCACACATCTTTGTACATACATCGACCAGCGCAAACAACACAGCAAATAACAAGATATCAGCAGCCCCATCTCCATCCCCCTTTTCGCTTTGTAAATGTGTGTGTGCACCACTGCACCATCAGGGAAATAAAAAGGAAGCACTAGTGTACATGGTTGGGACATACTACGTGGCAATAATGATCTGGAACCCCATTCATCGCATTGAAAGCGTTACACGACATTGGTGGGCAAATAGAAACGACACATAGAAAAGGGAATTTCTTGACCTTCTTTTTTTACTGTGGACATAAGAGCTATATACTGCTACTTCTTCTTGTTAGCACTGCTGCCACCATTCTTCTTGCCCTTCTTTTCAGCCGACGAAGACGATGACGATGATGGTGATGCTGCACTGGCAGTGGTGTTGGCTTCGACAGCCTTTCCTCCTCCAAACAGACTCTTGGCAATAAAGGCGATCGCGAGCACGATCACTGCAGCGCCAGCTAAAACGGTCGGCGATTGGAAGCTGAAATGGTTTAAAGCCTCGTTAGCGTGTCTACTCATCCCCCCCCCACCCCAAACGCAGTGCAGCAGCCACGTGTAGAACTACTTACTCAATCGAATCTAGCAGGCCGAGCTTGCTGTCGACACCAGCAGCACCAGCGCCGGGATAGACATGGTCGCCAGGCTTCACACCCACCAGTTCCACTTCAAACACAAGCGTGGCACCGCCCGGAATCGCGCTTCCGGCACCGCGTGCGCCATACCCGAACTCAGGTGGGATCACCAACCGACGCTTCTCTCCAACACACATGCTGCACAAAAGCATATAACATTGATAAATGAGACCTTCTTCCAGTATTAAGCACACCGCTACTCATGTTATGTCTCGCTCTTACTTTTTCAAGCCTTGATCCCAGCCCTTGATGACCTGTCCCTTGCCCAACGTGAACTCCAAAGGCTGGTTTCGATCGAGGCTGCTGTCGAACTTGGCGCCCGTGTCAAACAAGGTTCCCGTATAATGCATCGAGAGCAAGTCGCTATGTCCGGACAACAACCCGTTAGTACGTAAGTTGCTGCTCCAACTTCTCAGAATATAAACTTGTATTATTACCCATCGCGTGATCGCACTTTGCATTCTTCCTCGGGGATGCGCTTTTTGACACCTATTGGTCATACTTGAACAGTCAGTTTCCTTTGTCTCGTCAATGGCAAAGTATCTCTCTCCTTTTTTTCATACCGATTTGCAAAGTTTTAGGTGGTTCCTTCAAGGCATTGACCATGGTGACGAGTAATGCCAAGAACGGGAGAAACGCAGCGGCTCGCATAATGTTGTAGTTGTTTGGCGCGTGCAAGTGGTGTGAGAAAAAGAACAAAGAAAAAGGGGGCACCAGGACTGGTTTGGCATAAAAAAAGAATTCAGGGTGGGTCCCTCCAGTGTGACCCACCACGTTCTTGGATGTGATTGATAGTTTGGAAACGAGCGGAGTGGTCAGATCATCGCGGTGACCTTCGTCAATGCACGCTTCTCATATAGACTCTGCGCTCTGCGTGACGACATATGTTTTTTACTAGTACTATTAAAGATCTATTTAGCCTATGCTGCTCATATTTTGAAGCTCTGGTTAAGACGGTTTTAAAATTAGTTGATCTTTGATAAAGTTGTATATCATTCGCCTCTGGTTTCTCTTCTCATCCGTGAAAAAGTGACTGACCCGCCATGCACACAAATATAAGCACTCCGGGTTTAATAACCTCGGATAACCAACGATATAAGCAGATATATTTTGACGAGGCGGATATATCGCACGCCAGCATCACTCAGTATTTTTCGGCAATACGTAGATATAAGAGTCATCTGTATCTCCTGTAAAAGTAATATGGCCTCGTACACATCGAATAGTGCTGAATTCGTCAAATCTGCGTGGAGACATAGTGGCCGTGCAATAAGCGATACAGTAGAAAGGTACCCACAAAACGGACCTTCTGATGAAGAGTGATAAGTGCGAGTGTGGCTGCTGCGAAGCTTGCAGGGAAGCCACGGCCGAGAGAAGTACGAAGCGCGTTATAAGTCTCGAAATTGATAAAGGGTAAGTTATGAATATGTATTAATTTCATCGTTTTCCTAATTTCTGACATAGATAAACATGTGAACGTGGGTCTCGCCATTTCAGATATTGTAATAAAGATGTATCTGGTTTCCTTTGGTGCGGGACCGACCATCAATCTATTTTTCCGTTCAACAAAGCCAGAGCCCCATGCTCTTCCCGACATCCGTGGGTGATTTTGCAGCTCGGATGGGCCCACTGACACACTTTGTATGGTAGATCAAGCAAGTGCTGTTGTCGATTTCAATGCTCAAAAGCATAAAACAAATCCAACAAGCAACAACGATGAACAGCCTGCTTGGGGTGTAATCGCTCCTAGTACGCGCCATGAGTCCTAAAGTCAGACCAACATATGATAGCGACGATGCATTATTTCTACTACACCTGCTCTTTCCTTTAACTCATCATAATTACCCTAATTATTTATGTATGATAATATACCATTCAATCTAACGAGCCACGCAAAGGCTAAACACCAAAGCGCATGGGTTCAGAAGGCTCGTCTTTTTCAATAATCGTTGCCAATGCCACTCAGTATTACTCACTACTAGAACAGGCGTTGCTATATGCACAAAAATGATGCATCAGCAGCTGCTTGATGAATCTTTTGATTTGCAGTAGTATAGGACGGTACTTCATTGCAGGAAAACCATCAATTTAGCTGGAGCATCATGGCATAACATTCGAAAAGGGCTGCGACCCGCAGTACGATGTAGTAAATGATGCTTTGATACATTACGGCTTCCAGAAATTATTCTATAAAAACTTGTGGCGTTGATGGAAGAAGCCTCAAAAACCCTTGCCTCTCAATCGTGCTATGTGAATGTGCACACTTTTAAAATTGATTCGGAAACAGCAATGTGCGCTGTCTGAGTCTGCAACACGCTCCAATCCAATGCTCAAGGTCATGCAAGTATGGAATAGCTGCGCCAGAGGTGTTGTCGCAATATGGTAACACCTGTTTTGCGCCGTGGATATAAAGAGAAGGATGCTGCATGTATAGATATATAAAACCGCTTCATTCAAAGTTCATGAGCTAGTCGTATGATACAGAAGGGAGTTCGAGTTGAAGAAAGCGGCCCTAGACCGTATTACATATTAAGTATAATATTATTAGCAAGAAGATGTTTATACAAAAAAAAAAGAAGGCAACTCTGAAATTTACAAAACAACAAACACGTTGTTAGCGCATATACATAATTTGTGTACTAATTTATAAGAGACAAATACTATTATCATCGTTTCTCGAGATCTGCCTGCTCCATAGCAATTGCCGCATCCGACGAGGAAGACAATATCCGTACATCGTCCCATAGCGTCAACCGTCCACCTTGTGCCAGCCGCTTGCGTCGGTCTCTGACTTGAATTTGCTGCATTTTTGAGAGAGCCTCTGCGGCCGTTTCTGGATGGTGTGCACCGGGTTGCTGGTCCACCAACGCGCCGCTAAATATCAAGTTCACCTCTTCGAGCGATCGACCGCATGTTTCTGGAAAGAACTTGTGGATCACCAATGCCATGACCACGCAAAACCCGGCAAAAAGAACATACGTGCCCCAACGTATGGTTTCGAACAGAATAGGTGTTACAAGGGTAATAATGATGTTGAATAGATAGCTTGTTGCAGTCGTCACACCCATGGCATTAGCGCGAATCAACTGCGGGTAAATCTCGGCAGGATAAATCCATCCGGCGGGCCTGTCAACCACATTTGTTTTTTGTCAAAAACCCGAATTAAAGTGACTTACCCGCTTCCAGTTATTTCTCAGGCTTACCCCCAGGTTAGTGCAAATAAGGCAATGAAAACACATAGCAGGACAAGGATACCGTAGGTGGCGCCGCGGTTGTGGATTTCAATATTGATGCCGTCAATCGAGGAGGTCGGATTCAGGTGGATCCGAGGTGGTGACACCATGGTGCTGTATCCGCCCATGAGACCTGCAACGGTGAACAAGCAGGCTGCCATTAGCGCTGCCCCAGTCACAAGAATTCGTCGCCGCGGCCATCGATCTACCTTTACTGGAAAATTTAATATTGTATTTCACCCTTCCTTGACTTGTTTCCTACCGATGTACAAGACCTACATAGAGGAATACTGGAAGGGTGCCGAGAAAGTTCACAGACCCAGCCACACCGTTTCCTAAAAGTCACATAACAAAGGCGTTTCCAAGAGTGGTGTCAGCTGAGAGAGAACCACACTGTACACACGCACACAGACTCTCTTTTTTTTTTTTCGTGTGTGTTTTGTTTTCCTATCTATAATAGTCCGGAACTGAGAATACCTATCAAGACCGCATGCACTTCCGCCAAACCTGCCGATCGCAGGATTCTCGGTAAATAAAAGCTGCATGAAAATGCATAAGCCTAACACAATCTTTTTACATAAGCAGAGTGCAGTATACATAGTAAACACGTACAGCAATGCATTCGCACCGGTCAGCTGGGTAAAGATATGGATGCCTGCACCTAGAACTGTCCGTTTCCGATAGTTCTCGATGCCCGTTTTGAACAAGGCACAAAACTTTCTTGACGTAAATGTTCTGTCAAAGGTCACGTCCTGAACAATGCTGGTATATTCCATTTGAATTTCCGTATCGTCTGTTTTATTCCCACGGATCTGCGCAAGAATGCTCAGAGCTTCGTTATATCGATCACGCGCGATCAGCCATCGAGGGCTAGCTTATGACAAAAAAATATTGAGTCGAATTGTTAATATTGCTATTGTCGCCGTTCCTCCACCACCTCCTCCTCATCGTCATTGTTTTTTCTTCTTCTTCTTCTTCTTTTTTACCTTTCTGGGATTAATGATAGACCGAGCAACAAGACTCCGCCAGGTACGATCTGGATACCAACAGGAACTCTAAATCATCCTAGCTTTTCAGTACGTTTGAATATCCTCTTCAGAACCCTAATGGAATTACCTCCACGACAAATTATTGATTAGATCCGCGGTTCCATAGGCGATCCAAGAAGAAATACAGAAACCAAGCGTGACGCCTAATTGATATAGCGTGATAATCCTACCGCGGTTCTGAGGACTTGCAATCTCGCTCTGATCTATTCAAAAGGCCAGTCAATTCAGTTGTCTTTTTTTCCCTTGGAAGTTTCTTGTTACTTGTTCAAGGGGTAGTAAAATTAGTAGTAATGGCTGCGCGCTTACATAAAGGGACAGACATGCTGAGCATTCTGTGGTTCACAAGGACCAATTGGAGGGTGGGGGTTTCCATAGAGAAACAGTATAGGGAATAGTAGTGTGAGTAATAGGAAACGTTACATGGTGTGCATCCATGGCTGTCGTCATCACCATACGTGTGTGTGTGTGTGTGTGCCCCAGTACATACCCAACAGTAGAGCCCGTGATAACTCTTCCTACTAGCAATGCAGTCAGCTGCAGGTCGGCTATCTGGATAATGCTCCCAATGATATGAAAGATAGCCGCAACGTAAAAGAACTTTTTCCGTCCAATTCCGTCTGCCGCAAATCCAGACACCTTTTGGTTCCAACAGGACCCAATGATTAGAAATCGGGAGAACTTTAAAGCATAGAACAGAGGCATCTAGTACCGCTTACCAAAGAGGTGAAAAATGATGCAGCAAGCGAGACCACTACGGCTGCGGTGCCATTTGCATCACTGTTCAACGAAAACACTCGGCGATATTCTGGCAATGCGAGGCATGCTGTGAGGACGGCTGTGTCGTACCTGTAATACAATCATCGAATTCAGGACCTTTGTGCTTTTCCTTTGTTCACCCGCCAACAAGAAGAATAAAGCCCGTGAAAAGGATCCACTTACCCATACTGTAATCGTTCCAACAAAGGAAAGTAAGAAACAATCCCTCTTCTTTTTAATATTGGATGAATGGATATAGCCAAAGTATATACACAGCAATAAAGAAATCAGTGCGTTCTTACCATTAATCCGCCAATAGAAACAAAGCTAGATGATGTTAATTCAGTTTTAGCTCTTTCCTCTTCTCTCCATACAATAGCAAAAACCAAAGGCATGCGCGGCTGTACCTGCAAATTAAATAGAGTCTCGTATCCGCCATATCGCTTTTATTTTATTTTTCTATGCCGACCGTGATATGACGTAAAATATACTTTAAGATTTCGTAGAAAGTATAGCGATGAGGACAAAAGAACATGAGGCCGTCGTCCCCCACTTTTTTTTCTCGTTTTACTATATGGTTTCGAGTTGTCGTCGTCGTCGTCGTTGTAGTCATGAAGTCATGGTTTAGTCATCGGTGATCGTTTGATTGAAAACACAAGAAGAAAAAAGCAGAGCAAGTACCAGTTCTCTTGTTGTTGTTGCTCAAGTGGGAGGAGAAGGTTTGATAAACCAGGAGAGGAGAAAAAGGCGCACAAGCAAAACACGCACACGAGCAAGGCGGATACAAAGGAAAAAGAGAATATTTTGCGGAGAAGAAGCAACGAACGCATTGACATGGCAACAACGCTACTTGCCATCTTTGGTTATCGCGGCCCTGTTTTAATACACTTTCTACTATAGCCAGCCCAACTCCGTTTTTGTGTGTGCTGTTGGGTGTTGGGTGTTACAAGCTTAGGGGTCATGATGATGGTGACGATGCGATGATGCTCCTTCCTCCCTTTTTCCTCTTGTTTCGGTAGGGTGTATCCGGACGATGGCGCCACCAGCCGATCAACAGATACATACAGTCCTCAAAGTTGATCACTTACACCCTTCTTCCCCGCATAGCGCATATATCATACAGCGAAAGTAGCTCCAGTCAAATTTGCCACCCCCTTCCTGCTTTTATTATTTAGACTTTATTTCTTAGCAGCTATTCAAGTACGGGTAAATTCGCAACATGGAAGTTCCAAAACATGTATCACGTATATTGTTATCAATGGAACCACCAAAATGCGAGAGAGGAAAAAAGGTTTTATAGCACAAAGGCTCAGCTCTGCCGCTCGTATCTTGTAGCACAATGCACCAGCATAGTGAATATTAAAAATAGGTCATACAATAGGGCGGGCTTGGACTTAGCACGAGTCAGCGAAAACTTATGCTATTGTAGATCCAGAGATTTTAAGCATTAACCAGAAATAACCTTTTCGTAATTTCACGGGATATAACCAGCCTGTTTTTCTCATATTGTCACACGCTGATAAACATTTGCGATTCATTCTCGTCCTTGTTGCGCCAAATGATTTTTTATTTATCGCTGTTTTGGATTGATATAGGAAACCCGAGATTGGGGGCGGAGGAGGGAACAACGGATGATGGGTGGGTCTACAACATATTTACAATAAAATTTGGGTTGTTTTTATGAGGTTACATGACGCACCATATGCGCCCAGCGCACCAATCTTTCAAAGGTGACGTCCAAATGTTCGGATGAATAAGGCATACTGCTATGCGCCCGTGTTTTATCCCGTTCAGCCTCCAACAATGCCTTCTCATATTGTGTACGATGTGTTTCGCAAATATCCTCAGCCGAGTTACGGATCAACGATATCAGGTTTTTGTGTTGCTGGCATACACTTAGCAATGATATGAAGGGCGTTTCCCAGATCACATCATCGACACGATCCACAAAGCTTTGTACCTGATCAAATGACTTTGCTTTTGTCCGCCAATCATGCACGGCTTTATCAAAGTCATGCATGTTGTCGAATCCAAGCTCCCTTAATAGCTCCTATCAGACAAAAATGGATGTGGGATTTAGTACATGGCGGTGCTGGTACATTTTAATTAAACACAATAATAGAAAATTATGCTATACCTCAAAAGCAGTTATCTTTTTCTTTTTGGATTCTGAATCGCTTATTTCACGGACACCTTGAATGCTCGTCTGTACGCCTATAAGGTGGCATAGTCATTAGTGCTATGTATCTTCCACCTAGCCATCTTCCTTTGCCCCTTTTATCTACGTACACACACGTACCACAATCGACTGGTGCGTCGCAAGAGATCTGTCCTTGTATTTGACTCACGTATTCTCGCGATACTTCCATGTCTTCATTTGCCCTTTTCATCTCCTCCTCTAATATCTACTATATTATTTAGCAAAATCTACCATTGGTCAAGAAACAAGGTTGATTAAGTTTATATAGTAATACCTTGATACGCGCCTCTAGAGATGATGTCACTTGCTTATATCGTTCATCAATAGCATCCATCGTCCTTTGTTGAAAGTCAGTCTCCCACGCATGATCTTTAACAGCCAGTTCGCGCGGATCAAGCGTTCCTACAGCATCATTACTTGTTGCTGTCGTTCTTTGCTGTCGATGATGACGGTCGTTGGTCATACTGGTACGCCCCTGGTATCCCAAATCACTCTTTATATTGGGTGACGATGATGATGATACGCGTGATGCAGATCTGGCTTGTTGTTCGCGAATGTTAGATATTGAGCGCTCAATCCGTAATCGTGTTTCTGAAGGCCTATCTGAAAGCACTTGATCTACGGATGATCTGCTAGCGCTGCTGGTGCTGCTACTGTTATGCAAGGATGACGTTTTTATTGATGATGATAGATAGCTGCTATTTCCGGTGGTTGCTGGGCGCAAACGCATTGTTGGCTCAGATACGAATGATCGACTAAGGAGAGCAGCAGAAGAAGACGATGATCCAATACCAAGCAATATGTTTGTTGTAGGTTGTGACGACGCTCGCTGTCTCTGCTGTGTTACGTGTTTCGCGTTTTTTGATCGTTTTGACTTCTCTGTTCAGCAAATCCTCAGATCAGTATATAGGAAAGAAAAAAATGGTGTGATTCGATTCGGAAAAGAGGACATTTTGGTGAGTATGTGAGAGAGTATATACTACCTACTATATTGTGCAGTGAATAGTTGCTGTGATGGTGGCCTTTTTCAGACATTACCGAATAGTCTGAAAATCGGTCCACACTGGGATGGTTGATGCTTCCACCACCCCGCATGCTATAGCTGTATTCAAACGTTGTGTGCTCATCGGTGTATTGATCCATTGTAAAGAAAGAACAACAAGAGGGGTACGTTTTTGTGAACAAAGAACGCTTATTGGAGTCTCTCACTCTCCGTTTCTCGTGTTACCATGAATTATTTTGGGTGTTTTTGTTGGCAACTGTAGTCAAAGGGGTTTGCTGGCAATAGCAAAGTTCAATCCTCTTTGCTTTAGTAGTTGTCATAGGCTTCTGACTGTATATCTACTGACTGCATCACGAAGAGATGCTGGGAGAGATTAGTATATATGAGTATAAAAATGTTATTTTGGATAACATTTGTCTATTAAAGCGATGTATGGAACTACGTTTATCATAGATGGGCAGAAGATTCAAAATCATGATACGCCGTTTAACTATGCTGAATATTTTATAATTGCTTGCCCGAACCAGCAAAATCAAATCGATCAGTTGCTTTCAAAGCACATGCATAGTGGACCCCATTCTGTACTTTATTGTTGAGTCTTAATATCCAAGACATGAAACAAAATATGATTTTTGCATGAGAGTATCTAACAAGGAGGGGTGATTGTGCGTGGATTGGGAAATGAAGAGATATAAATTACAAGATTTTGGAGTGTACACAAGATTAAATGACGATAAAGAAAAGGGTGTGCGAAATAAGGAGAATGAGAAGGCAAGGAAAGGCCAACATACAGGAAAAGAATAATCAGTACACATCAGTTGGTAGGCTAATAGACAATGTATACCGGTGGACAGTGTGAAAGAGACTCAAGATATAATTCACCAAGGATTGAGTAATGGAACAAAGGATGACCAGACGTCGGGCAACATACATGATGATCCATTTCTAGTTAGTAATCATATCTTCTCTACTACTTCATGACACATGATGGTGAAGAAGAGGCCACAAAGCATAGTAAAAAGAAGGGTTTACCACCTATAATGTAATATTAACAGAGTGAACACTTAAAAGATCCTTTCAAGAGACACTCTTTCCTATAACCCTCAAAAACAAAAAGAAAATCGGATTTTTACTTACAGTCGACGGGCAGCCCACGAGGTACTACGCCACATTGGAGCGACGGCCACAGCTGGACTACTGTACATAGAGCACCACACAATAATTATTAGGAAAGAATATTAACTCTGTACGAACGGAGGTGAAAGTCTCACCAAATCCATGTCCACTGTGGCGAAACGGAACTCTAGCGCATGGGGCTAGGCTTGTGGTTTGGGGCAGGCGCCTCTGTAGGATATAGTAGCGGGATGAATCGTTAATAACAATATCACGATAGATAGCGGCGGGTAATGGAGAGAGAAAGCATCATGTGTGTAGCATGAAAAAAAGAATACTTACGTCGTGTACAGAGAGCAAGAGAGCAAGAGAGAGAGAGAGAGCGAGAGAGCTATCAAAAAAAAAAAGAAGCGGCTCGATCGTGAGTAATCAATACCACAGTAGTCATCATCTTTGACACATACTATGTACACTTTGGTTTCTTTCCTCTTTTAAAACAGTACCACTTATAATGTTGTTTTAAAAAAAAAGAAAAAGTGGCGGGCAAGGCCGAGGAGGAGACGGCTATAGAAATGAAAGAAAGCAAGAGATTTGATCGTGAGTCGTCGTGATACTTCTTGACAGACATGCACACCACCACACGCACGTTCATGCAATGGATCCCGTTTCCCAAAAGTTATACGTACAGTTGAGGACGAGGAGGAAGGAGAAGGATGAAGAAGCAGAAGAGAAGAGGCCAAAGAGCTATGGATGGGTGGGAACGCGTATCTTTAGTATGAGATTCGTTGTGAAGAAATAGAACAATCGATTAGATTCTTAGCAATTGTTTGATTTGTCTGTTGTCCAATAGCCAAACGAGCACATAGGCGATGAGATCAACGCTAAGGAAGAGCACGATGCATGTTTCAGTCAATAGTGCAGCAGAAAAACGATCGTTTTTCACTGACCATTTTACATTATATATTAGCTATTGTGTCGTCGTTTATTATTCGAGAAATGTATCAATATTGGTATCATTCTATAGCCACGGCTCTGCTCTACAAGAAATTTTCTTTGCTGAATGATGAACATAGTCAGTTTATTTGAAAAGGAAGGAAGAAGAAACAATGCCGCAATTGACACGAACCAACTGCATAGAGTACATACCTAAGGAAAAGAATATTTTGTCAACGAAATTATGATACTGATTACCAAAGTGAAATACTGAATATTGATACAAGGTACAGTAGTGTCACTATTATTTATTACAAAACGTTTATTTTAATGAACGAATTGAAAGAATCGCTACATACCACTACTACTACTACTACAAACAAAGCTAAATACTGATTTTAAGCTTGACTTTCTTCTGTTATGCTTCATGAGAAGAAGAAAACGGTGACAAATACAGTTCCGTTTCTTTCAACCCCAATGTACTCAATGTATGTTCACTGCTGCTCCTGAAAATGAGCAACAATATCCGGCAGTTTCAATATGCCATCATTGATGAGCTCCTCCGCATGCATCACAAATTGGGCGGCACGAGCTTGGTGACCAGCGATATCATTTTCGTCCACGGGTGTATTGGCCAAGTTGGCGCAATCGTCATAGATCTCTTCCCATTTCCAAATGAGCTCTTGGTATTGATGCGTAGCGACCATTTTCGTCATGACGACCAGTTGATAATCCCTGATACGCGTGCTCCAATCGTTCAAGAAATCCGTACGTCTGTTATATATCATATATAGAGGGAAAGAGGGAACAGTTTAGAATAGCGAGTTCAAGAACGGTTGCACGAAACAGTAAAATAGATATATTATTAAAAGCTGGGGCTACTTACTCTTGAACAATGCATGGATCTCGGTTCCGTTCTCCTGATCCTTCTCGTAGAAAATCATAGATTTCGGCGATTGCTACCTCTAGCTCGTCCTCGATACGATCCTTGTATTGATCGATGAAAGGTTTTCTGGCCATCTGCGGAGGCTCATGCAAACGTATGGACATCTCTTTAATATTAAAGATAATGGACACGGAATAGCAGCCAACAACAAGTGACAGCAACAAAACATATCAGTCAATCAAGTATCATAGACGCACATTCAAAAATGACGGTAGTGTTACAGAAACGATATCACTTACGTTGCATACGGTGTCGATAACGTGCTATAATAATGAATACATGTTGAAAAAGAGGAAACAGTCAATATATATGTCAAAACAAAAAAGAAAAAGAAAAGCAATCCATTTATATACAGGGGAAGTGTGTCTGGGACGGAGTGATTCTCTCTTACCCCTATTTTTCCGTTCTTGTTCCTCATTATCTCCTTCGTCTTCACTGGTCGTATCCCGCTGGCGTTTACCGAGGACAGACGAGATTGAAAATTCTTGTTGTTCCATACTGGACGACGATGCCTGCCGGTCTTGTCGCGCACGATATGCAATATTTCTGACGGCTTCAATGACGGCTTGTTCGTCCTTCAGGGGTGATACATCAGTAGATGTCCGGGCAGTTTGCTTCTCCGTTTGAGTAGAAGCCTGTCGTGGCTGTCCTTCTGCATGATGGCCACTACCACTACCACGACCTCGTCCACCAGCTTGAGCTGGTCCTGTTCTGGGTGTGGGTCTGGATGTGGGCTTCTCTTTTTGTTCCCGCTGCCGATGCTGTACACTCTGTTGTGCTTCCTTAGTGGACACTTCAGGCGCTATCCCTTGAATGCGACTACTTCTCCGCGACATCTTGCTGATAAGAATGGTTTTCGGTTGCTGGTAGAGTAAAACAAAAAAGAATGGGGTGCGTGGTGTTGGTAGTAGAGGGTGAAGTGAAGGGCAGTTAATACCTTGCTTTGCCACGACACTATTTATACCATGTGAGACTGACGACTTTTTTGTTGCTGGTAGCATAGCTGCTTGCTCATTGTGTTCCGCAAGCAGGAGTAATGGGCACTTTTACTTTCTTTGTTTTGATCCATCCGCTAAATTTTCATGCCGACGAACGAAGCTGGTCAAATGGAATCGGAGGAACGTTGCCCTTCTTTGTTCTTTGCTATGTGATGATAGAATTCCTTCTTTTTTTGCCCTTTTTCCTTCATTTCAACGGGATCGTATATCTCCTTTGTTAGATGCTACTATATTTATCGATTTTTTTACCTCCACAAGTTTGTTTACATACACACCATATCATCATCATCATGCAAAATACAGACAAAAAACCACATACCGTTCGGTTATCATATTAAAAAACAAGAAGTTTTTCAAGCTTCCCCAAGGACAGCGGATCTGAAGTATAACAGCAAAAATGTACTACAGCTTATTGAGTAGTGAATGTTTGTTTAAAGGGTATATCATAATCAGTACGCACGGCTGTTCAGCACACTGTACATTGCATACTCCTATAGCTTTAAAGTAATCCCCATCTTTTTCGAAGTACTGGAAAATAACTAAAATTAGTATCTCCGCGTCTTTCTGTGAATGGCATCCTACAAAGAATGGCGGATTTTTTTAGTATGAAAGACAGCATCTTCTGTAAGATTGAACTTGATGGATTGGGTGCTCTTTTGACAATGAATATCAAGGGGCCTATCCTTTTGAAGCACTATGAACCGCGATTGGAAAAACAATGGAGCTTTGAGGAATAACAAATAGTAAATGGATGGTTGCTGGACGTTTCACCAGGCTGGATGCCAAGATACACCGTCCCCGTTTTGCTATTGTCTTGACCGTCTTTAGGCTGCTGGAGAGAAATTGCAAGTTCCAACTGATCAAGGCCTGACTCCGGACTTTTTGGCATCGGTTGTATGTAGTCGACCGTCCCTTCACTTGTTAAATCCTCTGCTAGCGGCAAGGTCTTACTGCTAATGGTTTTCGCGCAAGTAACCTGCATAAACCTTCCGTTAAGCTAACCTTCTTGTAGTCTTGTAATGTGGTGGTGGCTCTTTTTTGAAAAATTGCCAGTATGTACTATTGAAACTTATTCGACAAGATGTTTTCCAACAGCGCCAATCCGTGATGATAAATATTACACATGGATCGTATCACAGTATTGCGTCTGCTCTGTTCCCCGAAGCATAAGATGGAGAGATTCTTTGACCAAGTAACCACAAAATTGGAGTAGAAGCTGGAATAAAGATGCTCGTAATCGACCGTATCATTTTCGATGATATCCTATTGGATATTCCTAAGCGCAACGCCCGATCGCACCTTGCGCTGCTCGTACGCTTGTGCGCATGTCGTGGGATCCAACAAACGCCGTCTCACACCACCACTACTTTCTGTGGCATTCTACAGAACTCGTTTAAAGGGGAGAGAAGATTACGTTGAGTGTACCACAGAGAATGTACAAATAGTAGTTCTTGGGACAGAAGCGACTCTTACAAAGTCCATTACGTCGCATCCAATCCGATCGTTGGTCAATGACTTTTGATTTGTGGCTAGGCGACGAGCAACATCTTTCCATTCGAAAAAAAAAACATATCTGATACTTAGGACCACGCTGCAGTAGGCATGACTGTAAATCCGATGCATATTGTGTATTTCGTGTTTATTTTCCTCCTCGTCCTTTTGGTTAATACACATTTGGTCGTACCATTGAAGTTGAGATTCAGGCACACTTGCTGATTGGTTCCTTTTTACTTGACAAATTTGACTCGCGGCTAATGCGTTCTCGTCCTGTCGTGGCTATTTCCGCACTATCCTGACTGGAAAGATATTATATTTTTCCATTCGGCGATGTGCTTTGTCTTGTCAGCAGTGTTTTTTGTCAATAGTCTTGTGTCCAGATCGGTTCCAAATTATGACAGCGCACAGTACAGTATCTCACCCGCTTTTCAGCGATTCAAGACGTGACACCAGTCCTGGTGCTCAGCTGTCTCCGCGCGAAGCTGGATAAAAAAAAGAGTAAAAACGCCGGTATTTTTGTGCCTTATGTAATTTTATATGAGAACCCAAAGTAATCACATAAAGAACTAACAAAAATTGTGATGGTACTGTACATTGCCTTTCATTTTTTAAAAGATTACAGAAGTTACGAGAAAGGTAGGCACAGCCACTTCAATTGGTTCAAACCTACCGTTACGATTGAGCACAAACCACCCTAAAAAGTCGACACAGCCACATATTGTAAGATTGAATAAATTATCGCACAGCTCGATGCGGCTGCTATATAAACACCAGATTCTAGGCAAACCTCTTTTTTACTGCTACTCTTTGTTTGATCTCTTATTATAAGCACAACTCCGGTCATCATGGACTACTACAGCACTGTATACGGTTTTGGTATCCCTCCACTTCTATTAGGAGCTATAGCAGCTGTAGGTGCCGTTATTCAAGCAGCACGCAAGAGGCAGTTCTACTGGCGATACGTGTTTATGTTCCTGGCTGGCATCTTTCAGTGCATTCGAAACATTACGTTTATGGTGGCCGCACTGGGCAATAGCGAAAATTCCAATAGCGCTTATATCAGTGGCACTCTATCTCGAGTGTTTATGTTCCAAATGTTCATTCCGTTCATGTTCAGCGCTTTTTTCGAGGTGTGCCGTACAGTCATAAACTCATCAATTTCAGCCACAGCAGCAACAGGACCAGCGACAGTACCCAGCGGAACCACTGCCTACAATCTAGACAGCAATCCTCGTACAAAGTTATACAGCAACGCGCGCAAGCTCTCCCCTACCTATTTGGCACACCTGTGGACTCTTATACTCATCATCGTCAACGTTGCTTATTGCGCGACTTTGTCCAGTAGCTATAAATCCTATGACTTTACCGTAGTTCCCAATGTGATCATTGGCATGCTACAATTTAGCACGTACGGTGTTTGGGCATATGTGGCGTACGCAATTGCCCACCTCGCCATGGGATGGAAAGAGTTGAAATGCTGCAGTATTTCGCTGTTGAGCTTTTTTTGCACAATTGTGTTAGCGACCATCGGAAACACTGTAGCTACAGTTATTAGTTCGCAAAGCATCTACACAAGCATGACCGTTAATATCATTTCCTTAATCATGGTGGATGTTATTGGGCTTCTGGGACTGCTGTACGCCGTACTTGCTTCTACTCGGTATTGGCCACCTCAACCAAAGACTGTAGCCGCCAACCAGCCATACTACGCCTACACACAGTCTCCATTCGGTACATCTCCCCAGCAACAGCAGCAGTACGTGTCACAACCACCACAAATGTTCATGAACACCGCAGCAGGTTCTGCCAGCCAGTTATATCAGCAACAGCAGCAGCAACATCAGCAGTATCCCATTGTTCAAATCCCACAGCAGCAGCTCCAGTCGGGACAATTTCCTATCGTGCAAATTCCTATCAGTCAACAGCAACAGCCTGGTCAGCAATATCCTATCGTTCAAGTCCAGCCAATTATGCAGCAGCAATATCCACAAGCAGGACAATTTATCGGGCAACAGCAGTATCACTAGTTTCTCCTCATTTATCAGCAACAAAATATCTTGCAGGAAGGGAAGATCGGCTCAGTATCATCGGTTTAATTTGAGATTGGGGAAATATTTTTGGCTACGTAGTAGAAAGAGCATTGAAGGTGACTCTCTATACTTGCCCCACAGGCAGAAATCTATATTTTGTACACTACTATCATATCATTAATATTATATAGCCTTAGTACATAATTACTACGTTCAATGTAATAAATATAATGTCTGTATCAGCACAATACAAAACAACATGCTGCGGTTGCGTATCGACCGTCAGAAGAGAAGAATTGGGGTAATAAATGCTGCTGTGCGTCATGATGATATATAATCTATTGCATCTGTCCATTACTGTCCATCGATAATGACACACGGTCAGTATGCTTTTTCTTTTGGCTGTTTGCATAATATGTAAAATGGCATACCACGTAGCTGTAAGTATGTATTCAGTCCGAACCATACATGTTGCCACAATTTGTACCAGTGTCACAGACCAGCAGAATAACACATAACTGCTGAACGGGAATGAAAGTACGTAGGTATATTCTATTACTATTCTTTTCATGATATACAAAGAAAGAAAGAGAAAGCTACATACTACATGAAACATCATTGGTGAAGACGCTCAGCGCACCAATCTGTCAACTGGCTGATGCCCTGAGCCCACACCTTAACATTGGGCGATAAAAATGGCTCAACTACCCACACATGCGGACAATCAGGACGACTGAGGACATCCACATGGACACCATCACGCTGTAGCTTTTGGATCAGGGTTTCTATTTCATGCTGGAACACTTCGAGGCCGCCAACTGTAACCATCAAGGGGCAAACACCTTCATAGCTGGCAAATAAGGGGCTCACGTCTGGATTGCTTATCAACGTATCCTGCTCCTCCTTAGACAATTTGTCGAAATTGGCAATGTATGTATTGTTGCGATGACCATGACGTATGGGCAAGCAGTCTGTAGCGGCATTTGTGATATAGGTCGGACTGCTGGCTTCCAGGTTGCACCATGGCGAGATAAGGATGCCACCTCGAGGCATTGGCAAAGGCAAGCGAGCCATGGAGCTCAATGCTATGACACTACCCGAACGCAGCTGATCGCGAATACTGAGTAAGGTTGTTGCCGTCAAGTTACCTCCTGCGCTATCACCGCCTGTAGAATTCGTGTTAATTAAGATTAGTCTTTTCCATTACTCCCAGACCCCGACGAACCCCTTTCATTATGTCATGTAAATTATACCGAAAATGACTTTTGCAGGATTCACTTTCAAGTCGCGAATGAGATAGCTATATGCTTCCTCGACATCCTCTCGCGGTTTGGGCCAGTGTACTTCAGGAACAAGGCCATATTCGACTGCAAACACGCGAGCTTTGATGTTGTGTACCTGGGCAAATCGCTCAATCATGTATGTATAAGACGTCATGTACATCAACGAGTCGCCAATGGTGAAGCCGCCACCGTGAATGTAAAAGAGAATCAAATCGGCATCGTTAGCAGTCTTCTCTGCCCATGCTGCACCACCTTGACCTTGAACGTTGGGAATAATCCAGTGACCATGTTTGACCTTGGCAATCGAATCCCACTGGTAGCCATAAGGAACAGTTGTGTTTTGCATAAGACGTCGTCCAGTGTGAATTGGGAAGGAGAAGATCCGAGAAACGATACGGCATCGGATACGCAGTGGGAGATGCAACAATAATTTACGAAGATTTCCCATAATGACATGTGCAGCTAAGTATAGGTGTCATCTTTATCATTAATGCATAGTAACGAATAATTTCAGTTTTCTCCATACCCATTTTACGGCCGGCTTTGCTCAAAATAAAGGCACAAAAAAGACCAATGACGAAAGGGCGAGGGCCGGGGAGGCCATGGAGAAATGAGTCAGGTTCCAACTTTGATACGGCCATGATGTGCGAAAGAGCGAAAGAAAGGGTACGAAATAAACTACTTTTCGCTGCCAGGTCGAGCTTTCGCTCTATACTTGCGTTACACTTGGATTTTTTTTAACCCAGCACCGTTTTCATTTGGCCTGGAGATCACAACAGATGGGGAGACCTGTTTTGGTAGGTGTAAACCGTCGCACGTGAAGCCCTTGGCTCGCTCTTCAAACTCGGTGTTTGATCGTCAGAAATATGCGTTTCTGCAGAAAAGACAAAGAGCGACTTGCGGGGAGGAGTAAATGAACATTTATCTTTTCATAGACATTGTGCTTTAGGAGTCTATCTATTGCGCGTTTACTTTAGAATATTTTTTTCTGCGTAGATGCCTTTGAAGGTAGCACGTTTCGTACTTCATACTTCTTATTCCAAAATCGAAGCTCTACCCCACCTTTTTTTTTTCGCATGTTACAACCGTTTAATTTCCCAACAGTCATATCGTGTTTTCCGCTTTCATACTCGGTCTTTGGTTCTTCTACATCTAAATGGTATATGTGACTATTTTATCTGTAGTGATAGTCTATTAATCATCGTGGTGTGTCATAGAATACTCATCACCTTTTTCTAAACAAACAAATGAAAAAAACCAACACATGTTTCTCTCCAATTCTGCCTCTGCCTCCGTCCCCTTTTGTGTTGAGAATCATTACTGTAGTTGAGCAGTACATATTCACTTCGCTTATGCGACAAATTTTTGATGCTCTCATAGTATGTAACATATTACATACTCGATGTCTTTCTGTACGAGTTGCTTGTATGTATTTGATAATACTGGGTAGAGTATTCGAAGGAATATATTGTTTGTTAGAAATCAAAGGGCACATACAAATATCTCACGCCATTTACATATTATCGTCTAAATACAATAATGTAGTTGTCATCTTCAACCAGCTTGCGCGGTCTTCAAGTCACTGGCGGTTGTACTGAGATCAAAGGCTCGCTGCTATGGATATATAGATACATACTGTGCTTGCTTCTATGCAAAGCCATATTGACAACGCGCTTCTTTTCGATCTGACAATAATGTATAAGAAATGATGCTGTGTATATTTGTAAAAGTGAGGAAATGTTACATACAAAAAATAAACGTAGAGAAAGTATAGAAGATATGGAGTGAAAATGGGAGAGAAAGTGATATGAATTTGTGAAAGAAAGCAAGGTAAGGAGGTAAGATTGTTGTTCTTTTACCAAAAAGCACACCTATTATTGTTATATCCAGTCAGTATCAATGCATACTAGTAACCACCGAAGTATAGCATATAATACACTTACCATCCAATATAGCACTGACACAGGTTTTCCAGTGAAGTCGCTTGTTGGATCAGCTTATCTACTTGTGTGGGCACATCTAATGTGTCTCTCGGATTAAAGTCGCGACCGGTCAGTTTGTTTGATACACGGTTCACGACAGCGACCGCACGGGTATTCAGCATTTCAGGTCCTTGTGCATTTTCTAATTGGTGCCGTCATCCTCGTTATTAGTTTTCTGTATTATACGTTGACGGATTGTGATAGACAGTTTCTTTAAGCTGTCTGTATATACATACCATTGGCCACAGCTTCCACTTCAATACGGTTCAATCTCCTGCTGACAGAGAAATTGCGATGTGCGTCCTCTGGCATGTCCTCGTTGGCTACCCGTTCAATGCTTCGCACTCGGTCATCTAATATAAGCACACACTATCGTCAATCCTCTTTCCTTTCTTGAACAAATTTTTTAAAAAGAGTAGAACAAACCTCGGTTCTGTGCAGGGCTGGCATGTGGGTTATTAAGCAAACGCCAGTTGATCAATGGGTCATAAACGAACGCTTCCAACACAGCCATCAAGCTTTCCTTGTTATCACGCAACACACGCATGACATGCTCGCACGTTGTTCTAAAGTTACCCTCGATGCCAGACACTTCCATCGCTTTGACCAGCATGCGTGTTAAACGGAACGGAATCTTTTCTGGGAACTTTTCACGGTGCATGGCCACTTCAAAACAGTCGCCAAAATCAATGTGGACAACCTTGCCCGTGACGCGGTGCAGCATCAAGTTAGACGGATGTCGGTCACCCAAGCCCAAAATATAGCCCACCATTGACATGACCGCCAGCGATCGCGTATAGTTAGTACGTCGGTCCAACCAGGCTTCGGAATTGCGCGACTTGAGCCACAATACTCTGTATAGATCTTGACCACTTGTCTTTTCAAACGCAAACTGGAACACTTCGACCTTTTGGATCACAGTCAAATTGTCGTAGTCTGGCGCCATTTGCAACATGAGGCGATGCTCAATATTCAAAAGAATCTTGCGCGAATCGCGATAGTCGCGGATCAGGGTATGCAGCGTGTCAGTGTCCGGCACCCAGCCAATGAGACCAGAGTTAGGCGACAGTGGCACCGCTGGGTATCGTTCAATGTTCAAATGGCGTTTGAACGTTTCCGGATCATTCTTGAGCAAGGTGTTGACTAGACCGAATAATTGCATCACACGCTCGTCTTGTCGCAAATCTTCGTGACCCTTGAGCAGGTACATGTAATCTTTACCGTCGCTGCCGATGATTGTCAATTTACGAGGACGCTGCTTGGATGGAATCACAGTCAAACTAGTATTAAACCGGGCAATGCGGACAATGGGTTCACCACTGCGGTAGTAACCAGGCACACACAGCTCCAGATTACGGGCGTCAAGAAGGCGAGGAGAAATGTATTGCAACTCCAGGCTGGTCAATTGTGGGAGTTGACGAGTGATGCGACGGAAGACCTGGTAGTAGAGCTCCCATGCTTGGTTCAAATTATTCAAGTCGCGTGTTTCTTGGTATCGTCGGCACCATTCCTGAGCTTCTTGGAGATCACGCCCAAACGCCTGTACAAAAGATTCTTCACGCATTGTCTCGGGCCCACGATCCAGCATCTGATGCAATGGTTCAAGCGTGGCAAACATGGCATCCACATTGCGATCGCCAAAGTAGAGACGTGATGCTTCTTCTAAACCTTCGTGCCACATTTCGTGCCACAGGATCGCCACGCGAATAAGCTCTTGACTTACCATCAGTGCCTAGAAATTAATTACCACGCGTTCTTTAAGGTTAAGCTTTGTCCTTGCTTCTGGTGATGCGCATGTAAACATTTAATAAATACCTGCTCCACAAGCGTAGCACTGTGTAACCGCATCTTATCCATGATGCCGTGCGTGGCGCGCTGCCGAGTAGCACTTTGTGACTTGCTGGCAACTGTGAGTGAGTATACCAAAGCTTGGGGATGCTCGCGTCCAATATCCGTAAGCAGCTCGTGAATAAGTCCTCGCACTGCTGCATTCGGTGCGTGGATACGTGCAATAAGCTGGGGAATGACCTGGAGCCAAACATCAATATTAATCGTGCCAAAACCATCGCGAATGGCAGCACCGACATCGGCTTGGTAGCCATATTTGAACCACAGTGTTAACAAGCGCAATGTATCCTGCAACGAGTTCTCTTTGGACAAGGCAATTGACCGGAAAAAACCTTGAACGGCTGGAACGATGTACATGCCAAAAATATGCGCAGGTGGCTGTTGATCTTCTTGGTGCAGCCTTTCGTGATAGTCGATGATGTCAAAGTTGGCTAATGCCCATGCATGCCATGCCTTGTACCAGTTTTGGTCAAAGCGGGTTGCGAGAAGGAACGACCGCAAAATATCCTGGTTGCTCTCCTCTGAGAACTCGTACGATAGTCCGCGTTGCCATTCGCCCTGTCTCAGGTAACATCGTGCCAACAGGCGTGTGTACTCGACAGCATCCTCTGGAATTCGTGTAGTGTCAATGGGCATGCTGATTGCCATATCGTCGGGATTTAGGCCCAAGTCTTGCGTCTTTTGGGCAGTAAAGTCACGTAAGACCGTTAATGCGCGTGTTCGCGTGGCGTTGGCCTGGTCAGCGATTGTGCATTGTGAGGCAGAGTGCCACATATGCTTCAGGCGTGCATACATGATCTTGGGATGCGGGGTACCTTCGCTGTCAACGAGACTGCGCAGGGTTGTTTCGGAGAGCGAGAAACGACCATTCTTGCGGCAGAGGTTGGCAAACTTGATCCATGTGTCCATGTCGTCCTGAGGCGCAATTACCATAGCCCGCACACGCAGAATACGTTGCCACACCTCAATGTTACGCTCGCAGCCGTCCAAACGCTTGGTCCACGTACGTCGGATGGCATATTGCTTCTCGGGGTCATTGACAGATTGCTTGTACGTAATCATTTCCTCTAGCTCTGCCAGCATTTGCACACGGACAACAGTAGCGTATGCACGATTGTAACTCTCACCCAACAGGGCCGTCAATTCTGTATCCAAAAGATCGCGGGTCTTGGAAATGAATTCCTCGGCTTCCTTGTACCGGTTGCGATGCATTGCCAGAATAGCACGGAAGAATGTGCGGTCGGGGCTTTCTTGCTTGAGCAAGGCAATGTACTCCTCCATTTGTTCCCATTGGCCAAGACCCCAAGCAGCAGCTGCTGCAAATGGCGCAATACTCTTGCGGTTCTCGGGTGGCGCATGGATCCATTTTTCTTGTGCAAGTGTCGAAAGCTGATCCCATTCGCCAAGAGCGTGCAAACATCGCATGCGACCCAGAGTGAACTCCATCGAGTTGGGATGCTCGCGCTGCTGTTCCTCATATGCACGCAATGCTTCTTGATAACGATGCAATTTTTCATACCACGATGTCTTTAGCTCAAGCTTGAGAGAGTCTTGAGCGAACCGTAGGATACCCATGGCGGCATCGGGCTGTTGTAGCAAGTTATTGATCGACATGAGCATTTCGACAGCTTCAAACGATTTGGGCTCGAGATGGAATTCCATTTCTTTGTAGTGAAGGGCCTTGGCGTATGCATGACATTTTTGCGCATACACTGCCAGTGTGCGGATATCAATTGGCAGCATCTTGTTATTGTTGTCGTGTTCCATGAATTCAGCAAGATGGAGGAGAATCTGGATGATTTCAGGCGGGATATTGGGTGCCTTAAGTGCGGTTTCGAGAGAGGCTACGAGTTCGTCCTTGTATTGATCATACAGTTCGTTCCAGCAGGAGACAAAGGCTGCATTGAACAGCTCACGGGCAAGAGGGGTGTAGGCACTGGCAAGAAAGACGCAAGCTCGAAGGGCGTGAGATGGTGATTGCTTCAAAAGCTCAACACTGAGACGGCGGATCCATTCCATCCAGTCTTCCTTGGTGGATCGTTGAGACGCTTCCCATGCTTTCTTGAGATGCTGTTGGTTCACTGGCTGTTTCTTTGCCGCACTCATATCGGCAGAAGGGGTATCGTCACCCTTAGCATCTCTATTTGAAATCGCGCTTTAGTAATGTACACCATCATCACCGCATAATTAAATTCCTTTTGGTTCTTACCTATCATTGATAGCCTTGCCAAGCTCTTGTGGAAGATTTTCGCCTTTCAAGAGTTTGCCCACCAATAATTCATAGTTGGCATGTGTGATCCGGTATCGAGTCAGCACCTATGTCGTTTTTTTGTGTGAATATCACCATTCTATTTTATACTCTGTATAATAGATTGCTTACCTTGTTAATCGCGGGTATGAACTTTGCATAATCCGTTCCCAGTTGAAAGATCAAGGCACACAGTAATTCCATGGCAGCATTCCGTGCTTCAAGTGGTAGTACAGGCAGGACACGTGCCAGCGGATGGATGATACGTGATGCATAGTCAAACATATTGACTCGTTTCGATAAAGCGGTAATTGTCGTTAATGCTTCACGGCGGATATTGACAGGAGCGTCGGGTTTTTCAAACAATCTGACGACGACAGGAATAACCAGATGCATATATTCTTCAATGTTGGATCCAAAGACCACGAAAGCATTGAGGACCTTGGACGTAGGTTGGCGCCGATCACTTTGATCATTATCGAAGATTTGAAGCATCTGTGGCAACAGTCGTGGTAGATAGATCTTGAGTTCGCCGTCGAGAGCCTTGGCAATTGCTTCGATCAGGGATATGATATTTATTTGCAGCGATGCGGACATCCAGTACTCGTCAATTAAGTCAAAGATATCCTTGAGATAATTGCGAATGTGTTGTCGGACAATGGTGACGAGATCGCCCAGTTTGTGGATATATCCTTCGAGCATGTTGGCATTGCACGAACGCATGAGTGACAGAAAGTTGGGTACGATGACCGGCAAGAACTGGACGACCTTCAAGCCAAGCGAGTTGAATATGTACATGACGGCTTCGATGGCGGCTTGGTGGTGTGCTGTTAAGGATGGATCCTTCAAGATCTTCATGAGCGAGTGCATGACGACTTGGGGATAGTAATCCTCGGAAGAAGGGCTGATACCCATCATCAACAGTGTCACGTCATTGCTGGCGAGTTTTGGGTCTGCTAATGCTTCACTCGACGTCTCAATAGCGTTCATTTTGTGTCGATATGGATCCAGCGCGCCAAGAATACCCATCAACTTGACTGTTTCACGACGTGTCACAACACTTTGCTCAGCCTTCAATATGCTGATCAGGATGTTGAGTAAAGCCGGATACTTGGTATAAGGTTCAATGACAAAACCAGTGTTGCTGGCAAGTTGACCCAATGTCTGCAGAGCAGCATCTCGTTTTGCACTTGAACTTTGGTCCTGCAGCGTCTCCATAATCAACGGCATCAACTCGTCCAGATGCGGCACCATATCTTCGCCACTTACGGCTGCTAGTTCACCAAGAGCGCCAAGCACGGCCGAGACAACACCGGGAGAAGGATCACGAGCTTTGGGCATGAGTACTTTGAGCACAGGCTCGATGTATGGACGCGTTAAGCGCTGTGCTGCACCGACCAAAAGCGACACCAATCTGGCAGATTCTTCTTTTTGGCGACTGACCACGGAATATTCAAGTTCGGTTAACAGTTGAATCAGCGTTTTGCGAAGCGAAGGCATGACATAGGCTGGATTGTACGTCGTCAGACGACCTATGATCTTGATGGCGATTTCTCGGATAGCGAACACCTCATCGTTAAGTGCAATAAATAAAGAGCGTACATTATCGGCTTGTGCTAGATGGCGGTCGAATCGTGCATCGAGCGAGGAAAGCACCGTTTCCCGAATCACTGGGTCTGGATCCGCAATACCAACGGTCAACAGCTTCTCCAACACTTCGCCGACAACCTTGATGGCATGCGCACTTGTCTGGTTACATATCGGATCACGAACAAACAGCTGACAACATGTTACTGCAGCCGCTTTACGAATTTCGGGCATATCGTCGTCTAAATAATCCACAATGCAATCGCGTACGAATTCGTTTAGGACGTGGTTGGAAAAGTCAAATGAACCAAGTGTTTTCAAAGCATGGACGATAATGTCGTGGTCTTTGGCATCGATGGCGCCACCTTCACGGATTGGTCGATCCACTGCTTGGATCATGTTGCGGTTGTTTGGTGCTCCAGGCTGTTTGTACGGTTGACCGCATAAAGTGATGGAAATGACGTTCAAAAGACGATCTTGGATGACTGGTGATAGGGGTTTGATGCGGTTGGAAATGTTACGCAAAGCATCGACAAGTGGTTCCGATAATCCGCAATTGAACATGAGATCCAATAGGTCGTGTACATATTTCGTTAGCGCTTGTCCGACAGCTGTGGCCAGTTTACTGATGCATACGAACGTTGCTGTTTCCACCTCCTTTCGCTGGCGGCTAATGATAATGAGAGAAGGAGAGACGGACGGGAAAAGGAAGGAGTATGTGTTGAGCATATTTTTGATGTGTCAGTTATTGCCTTTTTCTCTTTCCTGCACAGCCACTTGCTTTTTTCGACACCATAGCACAGAAAAGCAGAAACGAAAATAGCTCACCCTTTTACTGACAGCGCCTCCTTGACACATGTTATAATAGCTTCCAGATAGCGATTCATGTTACTCTTCACATGCTCAGCCACGTCGCCAATCGCAATGAATGCTATAGCATCCCGAAAAGATAGAATCCATTTAGCCCTTTTCTCCCACCTGACACAACCGATTAGCCCCAATGATTATCACTTACCGTCCCGTTTGTCCCTGTCTTTACGTAAGAGACCCAGGAGATGGCTCATGGATTTATGCAAGTACAGTTTCGCAAAGGTGGATGGATCGTAGTACGCAAGAGTGGGTATCATGGTCACGACTGTTTTTCGAATCAGTTGATCTCTCGAGTCTTTCTTTTCCAGTGTGATATTGCATACATCCTTGTACATGTCCGTCATGAACTATTAAACCAATTAAACATTTTTTTTAGTTTTTTTTTTCTCGCTTACTATGATGTGTATGCATATTCCCCCCCCCCCGATCTTCTGCTTCTCGTTCTTGTTGTGGCCCTCTATTTACCATGCCAGCATGTAACAGCAGTTCCCGCATGGCCAAAAGACTCGCATGTGTCGCCTCAGCACTGTGCAACTGTAATCCCTTGTTAGCCTCCGTCCAAATCTTATTGTACCAAGTCTTTCGCATGGGCGTTTCACGTCGCTGCACAATATCCAGACATTCGCTCAAGCAATCGGCGGCATTTTCTCGAATGATCTGCCGCGAATCCCGTAATGCAACCCATATCAGCTCTAGAATGCGGTGGACGTATGCATAAATTAATGTAGGCGCATTGACGGCCAATTCACGCAACACCAACACGGCGCCGAGTCGACTTCGGTCGCCGTGGAGCCATTCAAGGGCGTGTTCCACTTGCGTATCGACGGATTCGGCTGTAAATGTGGATGCATTGACCGCCGAACGACCCAGTGCGCGAGCGGCTGGAACCATCACCTGAGCATCGTTGTATGGTAGCATGATACGTAAATAGGTGTGGAATCGACTGGCGTTGCCATCAGGTTCCAGATCAATCAATCGGTCTACAAGAATATTGATGTTATTTAGAATAAGCTAACCACCACCACCACCACCTCCTCCTCCTCCTCTCACTCTTGCATCCGTTCTCCAGAGCTTATTCTCTATCGGTTCTTGTCAAATACGACTAATATCAATTTACCAATGGCGGCAATGGCGCCCAGTTTCTCGTTATTGTCGGTGCTATGCACAAGTTCTGCAGTTCGTTTATTTATATCCGACGTGAATCGGGTGAGATGTTCGTCTGATAATTCTCGCGATGCCGTAGCCACCTAATTTTTGATTTTTCTCGTTAAAGCATTGTGCTTGTACGTGTGTATGTTGCTGTGTATATTGCTTACCGTTTCGCGTAGTTCGTTGGCTGCTTTTTGACGACGATCTTCATGTCTATATTAAGTTCATTAAGAGTTAAATGAGCCCTTGTTCTTTTCATCCCATCATGATAACATTATTTACTTGGATTTCAGTTCAGTGAAAATCCTGGTCAAATTCTCTGAACTATAATTAAGCATTGCCACGAGCACCATGGTGGAAAATTATGGTTGTGTAAAAAAATGACGTTTTCTCTCCAAAATTTGTGTTGCGGTTGTGTGCGTCTGTGTGAATGTATGTGTGTGATGTATGACAGCAGCGGTTGTCGTAAAGCGTTTTGGTTATGTTCTTGTTTCCACCCTCTCTCTCTCTCAACAGCCACGACAACCGAAAAAAGTGTATATTTTTGTTAGAAGGGTCCTTCAAGTTTCGGATTGACTGTATAGTAGGCGTTTGAATTACTGGCTCAGCATCCTTATTATTATCATCAGCCTAAATAGCAGCAGCCCAGCTGGTTTCTAATGCCACCGCACACACACAAGATTTGCCAACAGACAAAAGTTGATAATAGTATAGAATGCTACTTCTATGCTGCTGCGAGTTGCTTTTCTCTTAAAATCAAATCACTTTGCAACATTTTAAACAACAGGCACGACGAGTCATTCGATTATGCATAACTTTTCGTGCATCGGGCCTTGTTTTAACCGAGCTAATATCCTTTTTTGAACTTTTTTTGGGACCTCCTTTCTTGTGTTGCTATTATGTTCTTCTTACTACTACATGATTGATAGTAATGTAGCAGCAAAGTTAAAGAGGCCGTTGTAGATAAGAGAGGCAGTTAAGTAATAATTAAACCTTATTCTCCTTCCCCTCCTCCACCCCTCCTACTCATCATCATTATCATTATAAGACAACTGCTTATTGCTGAGCACAACTACTCCCCAGTACATACAACTGCTCTCCTTGATCCAACATCTGCTTCCTCAAAAAACATTCACTGTTGTCTTTGATAGATATGTGCGCATTTTTCACAATAAGATAGAGAAAGAAGAGTCATAGGAGGATCGATATAACATCTTTCGTTAGCACGTAATTAAGAGCGTACCTTTGCATCTGCGCGCACAAAAGATGATTGTGCGCGATTTTTTTAGTGAGCGCAATTGAAAAATTTTCATGCAAAAAAGACCAAAGTCAGTTCGCGAGTTTCGATCCCAAGAAACATACCACGATGATACACAATGTCACTAGGGTTCAAGGAGCAATTATCTTATAGCAACGGAAGCGTTTCACGACACCAGCGTAATTTCAATCTTTAGAAGGCATCTTCTACTCCTTGTCATGAACATGAAATACGAATGCTATAAATATAATCCGTTTATTGTTCCAGGAAACACCACACTAATAAATATAATTTCTGAATGTTTTAGGAGAAACTGTAATTGCTTTACCCAACACTCCTTTGGTCTAGTTGAAACATAATTAAGAGGAGTTGACATCATTCTGCCCTACTCAGCATACATATAACCAGTCCATTATAAGGCTCAATTGCAGTAGCAACAGCAGTAGATCGTTTCTTTATTCGTTAAAATGAATTATAGCACAATCTCTGGGACGAGAACAGAAACTAAACACACGCCATCGCGATAAAAATATTCATCAGCAATCTAGATAGCTTGAGCTCCTAAAGATAAATTGGAGGGTACAGTAAATGACAACATTTGTTAATTCGTGATACGAAGACTAATTTGGTTTTTTTGCGCTTCATGGAGTGGGGTAAAAGTAATCTGTCGCCACCACAGTTATTTTTAGTTTCTTCTTTTGTTACCATGGCCCCGTAAACGCCATCACAGCAGCAACAGTAACCATGGTGATAAGTTCTCCGCAAAAAGAAGATTACGGGAGAGGGGCAGGAAAGAGAGCAGGGAAGGTGGGGGCACAAAGCAAAAGAGGCTTTTGGCTTGCCATGACGTTATGGATAGTTTGGTAGCACAAAGCTTACATCACATGGATTATGTAGGATGAAAAGAGACAGCACCTTGTGTAACTGAATGAAAAACAAGCTCGTATAACATATCAGCGGTGAACTAAAAATATAACATCTCTCTCGCTCTCGCTCTGTGCGTGTGTGCTCTCCAACCCCCCCATCCACCCGCTCTCACTCTTCCTCTCACTCGGGAACAAGGCAACACTAGCATCTTTTGAAAGGTACACACAAATCCGGGTCATCTGGCTCCCTTTGACTTTTTTCCTTTTGTCGTTTCGTATATAAATACCCGAACAAGGATCTTCCCATTTTCCCTTTTCTTCCCAACCTTTTTTTGCTCTTCTTCTCTCATCGTCTCTTCTGTGTTCATCTATCGCATACTACATATCTCTGTTTAAATGGACTCTCACTACCAACAACAGCAGCACCAGCAAGAGACAATGTACCAAATGGCATATATCCCTGCAACCACCGAGGCCTGGATGCCTCCTGTCACAACAACAGCAACGTCATTTGCGAATACTTCATCAACAATGGCTATTACTGGTACTGATACCACATGTGCTGTCAGCACTGCTCTTGATGAACTCAATACAGTAGCATCATACCATTCACTCGATCATACTGCTATGCCTCCTGTGAGCGTATCGCCCACCATGTATCCTGTCTCAACTGCTAGCCCTGGTGGCGAGTACTTTTACACACCTGCTTCAGAAGCAATGGACATCAACAGTACCCACATCTCCATACCCCCATTGGTGGCTCCACTCGACTTGAACTGCTCGCCGTATGGTATTGCAGATGCAGTATCACGGATGCAGATTCAAGAACCTCTTATGGATGGTGTCGTAACTTCTACTACTCAAGAGACACATCATCGATTAAGTTTGGACATTCAGCCATGCATCTCAATCACGGAACCAACACCTATCAAGCCACAGCAACATCAACGGCACTCGGACTTTTTGTTTGCCGATTCGTTTGCTACAACCGACGCACTACAACAACAGCCGATGCTGGACCCGGCATACATTGATTCAGCAGATTGGTTATCGTGGACTCCTACTCGTGGTTCATCTCCAGACATGTACTTTGACGCGTCTTCGGTCAGCTCGGATCCAACCATGTCCAACAACAACATGAATGCACAGCATCCAGTATTACAACAACAAGTGCAAATGCAGCAACAACAACAACAACAACAACAACAACAACAGGCTTCATCACCGACCCCTTCTAAGCTCGCAGCACCTGTTCCTCGGACTACAAAGAACCGTCCACGCCGAGTCTCCGAACCACCCAAGGCAAGCAGCGACATTACGGACAACAACAACGGCAGCAGTAGCAGCGGCAGCAAGGTGCGTCGAAGCAGCAGCGAGCGACGCACACGGGCTGCACCAGGAGCATTCTTCTGTCAACATCCTGGCTGCGGCAAGTCATTCACACGTGCATACAATCTTACATCGCATATGCGCACCCACACATCGGAACGGCCCTTCCCTTGCGGCCAGTGCGGTCGCCGGTTCGCTCGCCAACATGATCGTAACAGACACGAAAAGCTGCATTGGGGCATCAAGCCATTCACCTGTGCCAATTGCAAAAAGTCCTTTGCTCGTATGGATGCGCTCAACCGTCATTTGCGTGTCGAGAATGGATGCGGTGCAGTTCTTGGTATCACCTCGGCTTCTGCTGCTGCGCAGTAAATAAACCCCCTACTCCTCCTCCCCAATCTCGTAACCCTCCTACATATTTCCGTGTTCTATACCCTTCATCTTCTCGGCAACTCTCTCAAAAACATACTAGTCTCTCCATTCATTTGACTCTATTCCATCATACACAGCACACGCGCACACAGACATTTCCTCGCACCCATCATTATTTCATATTTATCTCGCGACAAGCACAAGCACAAGCATATCAAGAACAACATTGCAACAAGAACATACACGCACGCACAATCACAGACACGCAATTGCACACATTATACATACTCTATATACCTATTCTCTCTATATCTACTCTTCGTCTTCTTCGCCCTTCTCCCGGACAACAGCCACACTATTGTTTATTTTCGTATTATTCATATATCATTATACTATATTATTGTTATCATATATATCATCATCATTATCATACTGTACATAGAAATAAAACAAAATGCCTCTTTTACGCTCGCTAAGGAAACTATTACAAATCGTCGCATAACATCCCGAAATTTTTTTCTTGCATCCTTGTGTCACTGGATGTCATTTCCAAATTGGGCGAGCCGATAACCCCCCATACGCATTTGGAAATTTAAAAGAACCAGACGAACTTTTTCTTCTCTTTCGCGTAAAAATCCCACCTGATACTCTACTTTTCTAGGGGGCAGTTTACTATTTCCTTGGGATAAGTAAGTGAGAGAGCTATTGTGATGTCTGCAAGTGTGTGGGTGTGTGTAAATGAAGATGAGTAATGCCTAAATTGCACCATAGTATGCTCTTTGCTCCAGAAATAGATTATACGGAAAGGAGCAAATAAGGAAGAGTGTGGGCTATCATCTCGCTGATCCCACAAAGCTCACTACATGCCGCAGATATGATAGTATTACAGAGGGAAGAGGAGGGAACTCGTAGAATGTGTAACACACCTTGCTGGTTTTCGGTTAGAGATGACGGTTTGTTCTCTCCCCCTCCCCCAAAGGAAAACCCCGATATAGTGTGTCTTTGTGACCCCGGAAGTGCAACAGTATAAACTTTTTTTACAGTTTCGGTATGGATCGGCATTGACCGTACCACTTTTTTTTGTTGTGGTTACATTTATATTACACTATCCTGTGCTTTGGAAAATGTTCTTTCCGCGCGAGCGCGCGAAAGTCAGCAACGATGAGTGAGCGATGCTTTCGCACAACAGATGGTATATTTCTCCTTCATGTAGCCGTAGCATGTACTATACTTCTTCTAGTTAAATCTAGATTTCATACTGCCCATCATTTTCTCTGTTCCATTCAAACAATTGTTCCTCATTTTCGAAAAGAAGGCAATATCAAAAAGCAAATTAAAAAGCTAAAAAAACAATGGATAATACATTGTAAGGAAATCTGCGGTGCACAACACCACAATAGATCATCGTAATTAACAAGTAAATAAATTTACGCCATCCATCCCTACGACACACCCAGGTTGACATTCATCATCTCCAACAAAATACATTGATGTGGAAACGCTAATTATAGCTATTATTATGAGATTCACTAATCTTGTTTTGTTTATATTCATTTGTTAGAAGGTTGTCAAAGGATGGCAGATAAACTTTGATTTTCAGCCTCTACTTGCGCCACGCTGCCGATGATTCGCTGACATTCTTCAAGCGCACGAAAGTCTGTTTCAAGCTCGTTCAACTGTTGCTGTGCACATGTTTTGTTTGTTGTTCGTATAGTATAACAAGCAGTTAGTATTATGATTATGTGTTTAAAACGCGTCGCGTGAGCACCAATATAATTATAGATCATTTAGAGTTGTGCTAGTGTCGCACAGGGTCTATTTTTAAAAGTTATAGTAAACTTACGTCTGCTTCCAATCCGTTATCAAGGTCTCGTGCACTCGCGCGCAAGTCATGTAAGATGTCTTTCAGTTTTTGAATAAGGTCATCTAGAGCGCAAATGTTAAAAAGATTGTGAGCTAGATTGTAGTATGATGTACAAGGTGTAAATCAAAGCATCTAAAAATAGGGTTTCCCTCTTTCACACATAAAACGGAAAAAGGGTTCTTGCTTACCTGAGAGTTTCAAGGAACCCACACCACCACCCTGAATTGTATCCTGAAGTTCTTCATAGAGGGTGGAAAATTCTTTCAACCGATCGGCTATCTATTACATTCATTCTGAGTAAGCTCTAAATTTGTGTAGGGTACATGACTCATTGTTGTTGTATTACCTGAATTACAGTCGGACTATCACTGCCATGGTTTCGGCGCAGTTCCCATAGTAAATCATACATGGCAAAGAGTCGATTCTTGAAAAAGCACATTCGTTAGTCAAAGTCAAATTGTATTGTACTATGCAACTCATTCGATCGCTGTAACCACTACCCCACCTCCTCTTCCATCCGCTGTCGATCTGTGGATTCATCTGCATCAAGTGTGATCCATTGCCACTGCGTATATCGCGCATAGAGGTTGGCAATCTGGTCGTCATAGAGAATTGGGTGACTTGAAGAGGCAGCGCTGTTAATACTTGGTGAGCGTTGCTTTGATAATGCTGACGCTGTTACAGCGTAATGATGTTGGTGGCTGTGGTGGCGGTGTGTTGTTGAGGATAGTCTTGGTTGTTGTTGTTCTTCAATCACCCGATGATATTGCTGTTTTTGCTCACGACGAGGTACTGAAGATTCCGCTGTTGTTTTTCTATGCTTGCTGGAAAAAAGTGAATCTTCATCGCAGTCATTGGACGATAGTTGGCGTTTTCCCATTTTCAAATTTATCTGTTGTGCAGTGGTAGCTGAGGTTGGGCGTCGTGGCAGCATAGCAGTACCGCTTGACCCTTCTCGCACAGAGGATGCTGCTGCTGATCCCCATGACATTTTATTTTTGCTAATTTCGTTTTTCCGATTACTCTTGCTGTTATTATGATCACTGAGTGCGTCCGCTATCCGTGATCTCCGAGATTGTGGTTGAAAATTCATACGCGTTGTTGATGGTTGTACAGGCCCACGCGGTTGTAATGACGTGTTTGCAATTGCACCTACTGATCGCCATGGTGCTCTGACTAATAACAGTGAAATTGTAAAACATGCTCATCAATCGGTCAAGTTTTACAGTTTGTAAATTTTATATTTCATGCGCACCTACTGATCCTGATCCTCTTTTATTGATCGTCTTCCTTGATTGAGCAAACTTATTTAGAGCTATGTACAGTATTATTTTCCTATTATATGTATAACGGTTCACATACTGAGATTTTCGTTGTTCTTCTATTAAGTTGCGATTTATGGCTGCAGCACGTTGTCGTACACTAACTGATGGTCGTTCTTCGTCATTCATCATATTCTAATATGCGTAAAGGTTGTTGTTTTGCTGCTGAAACTCAAGGAACAATGCCGCGACTGGGTTTTAAAGAGGCAACGCAAACCACGCATACTCACAGAAAATGGTGCCATTATATACGTCAGGTTTAAAAAACCCTCTAGTTCACGTGATTCCTCCACTAATAACTTCACTCTAATGATTGTTTACTATAGAGTAACCGTTCGCTTGGAATAGTTTCTGATATCAGCAGACGAGGTCTTTTTTACAAGGAGACAACGCTTTATGTTACGAATTTCTGTGCCATGTAAATTATATATACACATTTACATTAATGATATCTCCATTTTTATTTCAGATTAGAAAAGCAGAAAAGAAAAGCAAATGCTGCTATTGAAAGATTGAAGGTACTTTGGATTTTCTTGCTCGTCGCACCGTGAAAACATTGCAGGTATGTCTCCCCCCGCGATCTCTAGTTGTGATACCTCTTTTCGGGATCATCTCGCGCGAAGCTCACCCATCCATGTATTCTTTACACTCAATGTGAGCACAAATCATATTGTTCGAACATGCGTTGTAGCACGGTCAGACAAAAATTTCCGCAAATTTTACACTGCCAATCATGATAGCACAGAATGTTTCGCTCGATTGTTTCTGTGCTTCCCGAATAGCAACAGTCATGAGCAACTCTTCTCCCGCACATCTAATAGGTGCTTGATGACACAAAGTTTGTGCGCCGTATGTGTAGTTGCGGGGAACCGATAGTTTGTGAGTGTGTTTTGTCCTTTCTCCGTCAAGTCTCTATCTCTCTCTCCTTGGGGGAGCGAGAATTAGAATAACACGCTTGTCTGTTGAAACTATATCAAAAAGGCACGATACGCACTTTTCAGGTATTGAGTTACCCAAAAGTAGTAGGCGGGAGGACCTCGCAACGTTGCCGTGGGTGTAACCCAATGGTCGCGGGGATAACCTAACCACCGCAACAGTTTGTACATACAATATGGGCCTTTTTACCCCAAAGAGAGTGAACATATGAGTAAAAGCGGAAGGTTTCCTAAACAAGTTAGCTCAACCAAAATGCATGCTATAAAACACAGAAAATGTGTAACTGTATAGGATATCCCGTCAGTGAGTAAGATAAATTCTGATCTTTAATCGAGATTGATCTTTTTGCGTAACTATCAAGGCAAAAGGAACTCCCTTGCTCTCTCTTTCTCTGTTCGAAACACGAAAAGTTCATATCTGCAGCCATGTATATTCAAGGTGGTACCCGATAACACGTTTGAGCTTATAAATCAACCCCATGAAAAAAAACACCCAAAGCTGTATGTAGCTTATTGGCCAATCCACAAATACTGAGACATACACATGGCGAAATATAATTAATAAAGTTTAAACAACAGGCCACACACGTATTTCCACACCATTCTCACTTCATATCGCTTGTCTCCGAGTCGCGCAAAATGATGCAATCGCTTATTCTTGTTCAGAACTTGACAAACTGCTAAATGTGTAGCTGTATTCCTTATAGCAAGCAATTTATTTAAGTCTTTACTGCACTAGAGGTAAACCTGTGGATCCTTGGCTGGCATTCATCGTTTTCGCGCAACTTTTGTGATATGTACTTATCGACAACTACGCTCTAATGATAATGGCAAAGATTCACAAATGGTATCTAAACTTCCATCTAATTGAAGACAATACATAGTAATGATCACATCACCTTAAAGATGTTTCTTTCAGGCACATCTTTTCGTTTAGTTCTGTGTTGTTATCTCTCAAAGAGCCAGAATGTGTTTTTCCTTCCCATACCTCTCTCGAACATCACTCTTAATGTTTAAACAAATATGAATTTTCAGCATAAACCCACCGCAGTGCTGTATACATGTTTATAGGATTTGGAAAATTATTATGCAGTGAGTTTACTTACAGAAAGAATAAACCAACTGATCTGCTCGCTAGCTCGCGAAAGAAGGAGTTTAGTTGTACTATATACTACCTGCTAGGCAAGCCTGAAAAATAATAGTTACAAACAGGCGGTTTCTCAAATTTGTGCACCTGGTAGTATGTGGTGAATACAACAGCAACGTTTTTATATATAACGCTATCTGTTTAGCAGCATTTGTAACGTCACATTAAGATTGTCAACTTCTTGAACATGTTATGATGACGCTCAGCCAGTCTTATCTTTTTCAGTAACAGAATTACAACTAGATCAATCAACGGCTTCGAACCAAAGGGTAAAGAAATGATCGATATGATATAAAGAGTAAAATCAATAAGGCGGAAGACCAAAAAAAACAGTTAACTATATACACATGAGGAGGATAGGCAGGTAGCACGGATGGGATTTCAAAAGCTATTCAAATCCAACAAACAGAATGTTTAAAAAAGGAAGAGCCACACAAATCAAAATCTAAGTTTTCTTTAGTATAATTACTTAGACAGATTCGTAGGATGCAGCAGTCGCTGTAAGAAACTGTTTACAGCCCGTTTACAGTAACAGTGCGTAACAACTCAACTGGGCATTTCGTGCAGCGGTTACTGTTACAAAGCTGTTAATGCTTTTTACAATCTTTCAAACAACGATAATTCCAGCATTCTTCATAAAACGTAGACGAAGACAAATGCGCGATGAGCAACTCGAACAGACCAGCAGTCATACGCGACAGATCCTGCACGTATTTTGGAACAAGTTCGAGGGAGAAGGCTTTCCGCTGCCCAAGCACGCCAAAAGCCAAAAACGCAAGGTTACCGACCGCCAACGCAGCATGTTTCAAATCAACCAAATCCCAAGATATGATGCAACCTTTTCGTCGCCGGTTCCGCATGCAGCGCGAGCTGTTTTTGCGCATAATGAAAGAGCTTGAAATGAAGTACACGCTCTTCCAACAAACAAAGGATGCGACCGGAAAACTCGGCTTCCACCCTCATGTCAAAGTAACTGCAGCCATGCACATGTTGGCATAGGGTGGACCTGCTGATGCTGTCGATGAGTATCTTAAGATTGCCTGGTCCACAGCAAGAGAGTATTTGACGAGATTTTGTGAGGCGTCATCAAATGCTTTGGAGACGAATATCTTCGTGCCCCAAACGAGCAAGATCTCAAGCTTTCGTTGGTCTTTGGAAGGGCGCGAGGATTTCCAGGCATGCTGAGATCCCTCAATTGCATGCACTGGAAGTGGATTAATAACTGTCCTACTGGCAAGGAAGGTGACCCAACGGTAATTCTGAGAACCATTGCTTCACATGATCTATTGATTTGACACTCGTTCTTTGGTGACCCCAGCTCCTGTAATATCCTCAATGTTTTACACAAGTCCCCTTGTTCGACGATTGCATTGAAGGTCGTTCCTCAGCTATTACCTAAACCATCAACAACAGACATAACGACAAAGGGTATTACTTGGCCGATGGGATCTACCCAACTTGGGCCACACTAGTTAAGACCATTCGACACCCGCTGGGTAACGGAAGAAAGGTACCGTTTTTTTATTATATAATTGTCACTACCAGATGTAACTAATTACCTTTTTGATCTAGTTGTTCGCTCAACGACCATAATCTATCCATAAGAACATTGAGCCCGCTTTTGGGGTACTGCAGCAACGTTTTGCAAAAGCCCGCGAGCCTGGACGTTCCTGGCATGTATCCCACCTTTCAAGCATCATGAAGGCGTGTATTATTTTGCGTAACCTGATCGTTGAGGACGAGCACGATGGGTATGACAAGCAGTTGGAGTTGGACTACGACACTTCTTCTATTACTGTTGCGCCATCTCTCGAGCATGGTGGACAACCGGACGAACTTATGCGTCAAAGACGTCAACGCGAAGTTAAAAACAAAGATACCCACAGACGTCTACTAAGGATCTTGTCGAGCATATCTGGCAATGTCATGGTGATGAATAAATTATCCGTTAATGTAACTACTTACCTGGATATTTACTACGTGATTCAAAAAACGTTTTATTGTTGTTGCTCGCATCCGTCTTCTTCGTCATCGCCATCTTCCTCCCAATCCCCTTCCTCGTCCTCTTCCAGCACTTGCTGCTGCTGCTGCTTCTTCTCCTCCTCTTCCAGTTCCTTCTTGATTTCCTCGGTAATCTTCTTTTGCATGGTCTCATAGAAAAATTTTCTGTCAGGGGAGAATCCCTGAGGATCCACGCTCATGACTGCATGCCGAGCCATCAGTAGATCGGTATGCGCGTCCATCTTTGCAGTTGCAGCGCGTTCACGATCGAACTCTATTTGGATCCGCATCGTCTTCAACGTTTCTCTCTCGATAGAATCTGCTTCTTCTTCTTCTTCGTCGTGAGCGCGCTTTCTCTTGTTGGCCTTGGCTTTTTTTTGACCGATGGATCTTGCTTGGCCTTCTACCATGGGCTCGCAACTCTTTTTGGCAACAATTGGTTGCCACTTTGGTTGCTCCGCAAGGATATGCCGTTCGCATTTCAAACCATTTCTTTGACGAAATCGTTTTTAATGAGCGACAACATGGTGTCTTCGCTCATGTCTTTGCTCGTTATTTCATCAGTGCCTGCACCCAAGTACGCGTTCACCAAAGCAGTATTCTCGGCCTTGCTAAAACCCTTTTCCTTTTTCTTGAGCAGGGGGGTAGCGGCAGAAACATCAGACGGGGGAGTGGCGTTGGAAGTAGTAGTAGCGTTGTTCATTCTGAATGAAGTGAAGTAACAGGATGTTTACAGCAACCGCTGCAAGGTCTGGGTGTTAAATAAACTGTTAACAGTGACCGCTGCAGGTTGCTCTAAGACACAAAAATCCAAAGAAGGAAGGTGAACTACGACGATGATGACGAGTCAAAAGTAAGCGAGATGACATAATACATCAATTCTGGATATTGGAGTCAAAAGTCGGATATTAATCTATATATACGACTGAGATAACCATCTTTTCATATAAATGTACAGCTCCTGTACCATAATCTTATAAATAAATGGTCATTTTAAATGTCCACCTTACTTTCTTTCGTGGTGAGCCTGGCTCGACATCTTCAATCGAGCTTATTCGCAAAGCGATGTTTGATACGAACGATTTGCGACCAAGCTACTCTCAAAGATATTGAAAACAATAGGGTTATTCATCGATTCGTCAACTCAAAGCCCAAACCAAGTAACACAAAGGCTGTTATTCGCCTGTTCGTGCTACGACCATACTTCTATACAACGTAATCAACGATTCGATTATTGGTAGTGTAGGCAGAATAATGTGCTAAGTTTTGAATCAAAAAATCTAGTATTATCGCTTTCAACGAAGGTCTTTTCGCATCCGGGCACAATTAATCCTCTCATTTCCAATGCCTCAACCAAAATTTGCTGGCCCATTTGTGTTTGGCGCGCCCAAGAGTTGCTGTAAACACAAAAGGGCGCCGCTTAGCTAACTATGGACAGAGGGACGCCAAGCATGACGGTGATCTTTACCAACAGTATAGAAACTCTTCCATCTTCTACTCCTCATCCCGTGGACCCCCGGAATCTGCAACAATGAATATCCAAAACTCGGTTGCACGGAAATGAAAACTTGCAACTAGCGGAAGATGCTTAAGCAGTGGAGCTATAGGATGGAACATCCCAAGAAGGTTTTGAAGAAGGCGAGGGTCTACATTTGCCGAGAGTTACAAAGCGGGGGCCACTGTATGTATCCCGTAAAAGCAAGAACCGCAACAACCCTTATTTCTTATCAATAATATGAACACATTGCTCTGTTGAAATGAATGTTTTATTTTACATATCGAAGTATCTAATTCACATTGTTCGCTCCTATAATTTTTTTCTTGCAAACACATATTCCCAAAGTTCTGGGGAATCCAGTGTGCTCCGTTTTCTTTTTGGCTCAACCCGACTGCTCGTACGCTATATACAACTTTATCACCAGTCTGTCAGAAGTATCATAAAGCCAACGCTGCAAGCATACATAATAATAGCAGAATGTCGAATAGAGAGGGTGTGGTGGTGGTGGCCAAAATATTCTCGGGTCGGGCGCAGCTGAGTGCCTGAATCAGAACCGTAGGATAAGAAAGAAAGAGTTTTAAACAAAGGTTAAACGCCAAAGAAAAAAGACAAGGGGCAAATATTATTTCTGATGGAAATATCTTCTTACTACTGTAACATTTCCAGGTATATTGGTAGGTCATCCTACATATCCCATCCAGCTACTTTACCATTAGCATAGGTTTGTACAAAAAATTAGTACATAGTACTTGTAGCTTTTGAAGTATGTAAGCCTCCTCAAAAAGGCGACGCTTCATCATCCCTTGTGAAAAACTCATATACATATCGCAGTATACATGCAACCTGATAATATCACTTGCTCGATACTATCTTCCGCCTGCATATTTACTGCCAATCATTCTATGTACAGTACAGTAGTCCATATTGCTGCCCACACCATTTTGAGAATATAACAAATTTCTATCTAGACAAACAGTTTTCTGCTATTATATAGAAAAATATCGAGAGTCAATGGAAAACAAGGCGACGCTGTACTATATGATCTGATATAAAGTTAAACCCAACTGGGTTCCTCTTGGAGCATAGTATGTAGATGCGAAAAAAAACATACGTACTTAATCAGTATTCTACACCATTGTAGTAAAAGCACCTTTCCCATCTAATTTGTATGCATCCCACTCAGTACTATTTAGTGAGTCAAAAAGAACTTAATGCCACTTCTGTGCTGTGTCTAAAGAATTACTCACTGGCTATGTACGCAAACTTGTCAAAAGCAATAAATGATCGTCATCATGTGTTTCTTTTCATGAGCTGCAAGGCGCATACTCAGATGACTACATGTTATGCAACTATCTGTAACAGTTATTATCTTTCGAATATAAAGCAAGATGATAATATATAGGAGATCGGGTTATAACATTTAGCAGGTAGTGACCCAGTACATCACTGTTGTAAAATAAAAAAGTCACGCTTCTTACTGTGAGTATTTGCGGTTTTTGTTCCCCTAAGGTACATCATCCCCGCTGTGGTTTCTGGCCTCCCGATATTTCATTTTGTACAGCTGTTCCTCCTGTACCTCCTCGTATACTTGTACATTGACCTCGTAACTACAGTGCCGTTTCTTCTCCCCATCGCCGTTATTCCACCTTTCTTTCACTCGCTTGCTCTTCGCACTGACTCCTTCTTGCATCCCTAGTCATATTCCTGTTCTTCACTATTTTCAAGAATTCCAAAAGACGAACGAGAACCAGAATGGATATAATGCTTTTAAAATTCTTGTTCGTACAACTTCATTGAGAAGGTTTAATTCCCCAGTTGAGACGTGCTTAAGAAAAGAAGCTTTGATGACGAGTGGGCAGCCTCACATGTATCATATAATAATGTTATATATTTGCGTTGGCAGTGACAGGATGAATGTGCCTGATGATGGCTGAAATTTAAAAGGTCATCTTTACATACATCTAAATCATCTACAGCACCAGTCATAGTATTACGAAAGATGTTATTCTTCCAGAAGCATCATTTCGTTTCGTGTGTTCAGTTAAAAAACCAGATGATATTCTCTCCCTCTCACAGATTTCTCCTATAAGCTACTCTTGATGCTATATAATAAAGTTACTCAGCATAAAACCATTGTAGTGGCGTATTTACTCAGAAAAGAACGACATGTAGGTGGATCACTTAATGAGTTGCCAGCTTGTGAAAAAGGGTCATTTTGGTTTTTTTGAGTGCCCGACAAACCAGGAGTATAATATTATATGACAACCTCCAAATCTGAGCAGCTGATAGTATGTGGTAGGTGCAATAACCCAGTGTTGAATCAAAAGTGTCAAGAGTGCAGGCCCTGGTTGATATAATTTTGACAGGTCAAACTCTACCAAAAAGTCAAACTCTGTGCACAAAAAAGTAACTCCGATTAAACAGACATCTACAGAGAAGTGGCTTCGACCCTGTCGCTTGTTTTCACGGACAACATTCTAACAACTATGCATCGATTGAGCCATCTTCGTTGCTGCCGAACACTTGTTCGTCGCCCCCAGCTTGTTTCTCGGCGTGAGTACTCTATCATTTACTTAATGAATGTGTATACGTGCTCGTGCTTTTGTCTGTGTGCAATGGAGGACCTCTGAACAGCACGCGCTGCTTATTGTATACATTCCCCCTCTTCGAGTCTTGAATCCAAATCACTCATACCCATTTTCTTAATTAAGGATTCAACGGCACCGACGCTAGTGCTAACAACAGCAGCGAATTTACGTCTAAATTGATCACGTACAACCACCCTACTGCACCACTCGCCACATTTAACAAGCGATTAGCCGAGAAGCTGCGATACCGTTCTAGCCCTAAGCGATTGTTAAAAGACATCCTTGCCATTGCCGACGAAATCAAGTCCAAAGGTCTTAAATACGATCTAAACACATATAATGCCTTGTTAGCAGCATACATGCGTGCGCGTGACAGCAATGGTGTATTGTCGACCCTGTACGATATGAAGGAAAACAGTGTGCAGCCTAGTTTGGAAAGCTACAACACTATGCTCGAGGTATTACTTCTATCTATAAGCAAACTTGGAACAAAAAGAAATAGAGGTCTGGTTTTGCTAACATCTCCGTGACCAATTTAGGCTTTTGGTATCACAGGTCAATTGACAAGTCAAGCTGAAGTTGTTGAAGACATGAAGCAAAACAACGTTGCTTTGTCTATCGCATCATACACACAGCTGTTACGCGGTGCTTGTACCACCAATGCAGTCGAACACGCCCTCGATATCCTGGAAGCGATGAAAGCAGGGGGAGTCGCACCCAACGCTGCATGCTATACCATGGTGATCGGCTCTTGCTTGGAAGTGCACGATTCCGAAGCTGCGTTCGCTCTACTCAAAGAAGCCGAGGAAACGGGTATGGTTGCTGTGAGTGACCCTCGCATGTACCTGGATGTCATGCGCACGACAGCATACAACGACGCATATGAACAAACAGAATATTGCTGGCACAAGGCTGTCAACTCATATGGTATGCGTCCTGATGAAGGTACCTGCTTGAGCGTTTTGCGTGTCGCTGCCAAGTCCGGCGATGCCAAGCTCGCCACGGATGTCATTCGTCAGCTCTCCACCAGCGGTTTCCCGTACAAGGAACACTACTTTTCCCCACTAATGGAAGCGTTTGTCTTCAAAAAGGATCTTAAGAGCGCATTCAATGTGCTTGATATCATGCGTGTCTCGGGTGTTGCACCTACCTCGCGAACAACACTGCCAATCCGCCGCATGTTGTACGGCAATATTGAGGCGATCGATGAGGCTTACTATCTGCTCGAGGAACTGGTCAAGGAGGGACGAAACGTGGATGTTACGGCGTTCAATGTTGTTGTGGAGGCGTGCGCTGAAGCCAAGGATTTGCAACGCACGGTCGCAACGTATCGTGAGGCCAAGAGTTTGGGCGTTATTCCCGATGTGGATACCTACAATGCTGTTCTCGAATCATGCATTCAGACTTCCAACAAGGGCATGGGCAACGTTGTCATTAATGAAATGAAGACTGCCAACATTATGCCTAATGTCGACACATACACCAAGATGATTGCCTTGTCTTGCACACAGAGGAACTACGAAGATGCTTTCACGTACCTCGAAGAAATGAAGGGCTATGGCGTAATCCCACCTCAGTCTTGCTATAATATCCTGACAAGAAAGCTGGCAGCTGCAGGAGATCCACGGTTCCATATGGCATTGGAAGAAATGGAGACTTTTGGCTACGCTGTAACAGCCCGTACAAGAGCTTTGTGGAAGTAGAAGAAGAAACACTAAAAACAGATCAAATGAGTGTATATATATAACAACAAAAAGTATATAGAATAGTATTATTTTTTCTTTCCCAATCCCACATACACGAACAAACGAATCCATTCATGCACACACTCATCCTCTCTCTCTCTCGTTGTCCCTTGTTAGATACTTTGTAGTCATTTCTAGTTCTGTTTTTTTATATAAAAAGTAACCGACTCTTAACATAATAGCGGAGGGTAGTCGTCACCCGGAGTGGGATCGTTGGTCCTATATTCCAGATAGAGCAACTGAACATGAGATATATTCTGGATGGTGTGTCATTACACTTTTTTACAATGTGAAGCGGGTTATATAGCTGTTTATACTACATCGGACCGGTCCTGTATTTTTTCGGCTCTCAGGGATCAAACAAAACTCCTGTCGATACTTTGAAGTCCTCCTATTTATATACATGGGAGAGAAGCAAATACAATCGCAGATCAAAGTGTATGTGTACGTGCATTTGCATATGTGCTGTATATGTGTATGTGTGCCAAAGTATGTGTATACATTACCAATATTTCACATAAAGATATGCAATTTTTAGTATGTGAGATAACAGGAAATCTCTTCAGAAGATGAAGATAATCCTTTTCTTCCTTCTTCTATTCTTCTTCATACCTAATGTGTGAAATACATGAGTAATCGCTTTTGAACCATGTGAGAGCTGTTGCTGTTGTTGTCCATTGTGGGTTGAGTATCCCCGGATCACTTACTACTCCTTCTATTACCTATTGCATATAGCGGGTACCATTTCTAAAGAAAAATGAGTTAAGGAATAGGGTAGCTATGTAGCATGTACTGATCTGTACATTATAGTATATTTTGCACATATAATCCTGCAAAAAGATTTTTAGCATGTAGAAAGAGAAACAACATGTAAAATAGTGTGTAGTAGCTTTCTCTTTCTCTCTCTCTCTTCCTTTTTCTCCTAGTTTCTCCACTGCCAACTACCTTATAGGTTATTCGTTTCCTCGCTTTCTTTCTCTCCCTTTTCGTGCCCGCTTTGCTCTCGGTTGACGTTTCTTACCAAAAACTTTTTGTCCTCCTTTAAGGCCCCGTGACCCCATTCCTGCACCCCCCGGGGTTGACTGGGGGAGGGAGACAGTGAGAGCAAGAGGAAGAGGATGGTTCTTTCTCCTACCAAACTGTGTGTAATCTTGTATAGTATAAATAGAGACTCTTTTTTTGTTTCTTTATATATGATTTAGTACCTTTTTTGTCATGAATGATTTTTCAGCAAGAGACGGAGGATTATTTTATAGTGCTGCTGCAGGTAACATCCATTATAGTATATAAATGATGTCCTTTTTTTAGCTTCGAATATGATTACCTATCGTTGTTTTACGCTTAACAGAAAAACTAAAAAAAAGCCATCTTTCATTATACACATAAACGATACACAACGGATAACGGAACCGATTATAAAAAGATCCATTAATGTGGTCATCAATACCAATGGGCCGTGAACCATCTACTGCATCAAGTCCTATGTCACCACTTACACCCACAAAAACCGAAGACCTAAGTGGGTTTTTATTCCCTGGCGAGGACGAACCAACGAAAAAACAACAACGTCGTCGACCCCGATCTTTCCAGGATAAACCGTAAATATATTTCTTAATTTATGTTTACCGTGATTTTGTTGCTTATTCTCTGGCTAGTGCAAGATCATTTTCGTCGTGTAAATGCTTTAGAGAAATGATACTGATACATATCATAAAGTGACAGTAATAGCAACAACAACAACATCAGCAACAGCAGTAATAGTGGCTGTAAATCAACATCGTCCGTCGAAATACGAAGGCAGATCCATATTCAATCTGAACAAAAACGACGAGCTCAAATTAAGGATGGTTTTGAGGAGTTACGAAACCAGCTACCAGCTTGTCTTAATAAGAAAATGAGTAAAGTGGCTCTGCTGCATCGCAGTAAGTTCGAAAACGATGTTTTTACTAAGGGGATGGGGGGCTCGGATGGGAGAACGAAGAAAGAGGTGTTATGTATGGATAGATCTTAAGAAAACGAGACACCCACACAGGAGAAATAGGTTTATTAAACGATATATGCTTCATTCTGTAGCTGTCCAACATATTCAGCATTTAAAAAATACACAAGTATCTATATTAGCCGAACTTGAACGTCTAGTTAGAGAAAATGAAGAACTACGCAAGTATGTATATTATTTTATCGTGATACTTGTCTCACTTATTAACTTATTGCAACTACTAGGTTTCAGGGAAGTATGACCCTGCAGCAAGATCCTTCTACCCTTTATGCTGTCACTACTGATGCCGCTGCGGTTGGTGCCCATCCTCTTCATCATCATCAACCTCCTCCTACCCACCAACCTCATCCTCATCCTCACAGTATTTCTAATACCACCAACGTTATCACCGCAGCATCACAGTATTCACAATCGCAACCATCGTTATCTCTCTCCTCCTCAACCTCTTCCTCAGCCACCACAACAACATCCATGGGTGCTCAATTGTACAGGGATTCGTAATTAGTCTTTGTAATGTGTATAGTTTTTTTTCCTCACTTTCACTACTCACTTTTTCCTTTTCTTCAATCTCAATCATCTCCTCCAAATTTCTCTTTCAATAACACACACAATCACATTATTCTTTTTTTTAAATTGAAACTACTATAATACATCTGAGTTGTTATTGCCGGAAGTAGCACTGCTAGGTGATGGTTTTGGTTTGTTGTTGTTGGTACTAATAGATGTACTATTAGCCCGAGTGGCTAAATTTGTTGTCGACGTGGTATGTTGCTGTTGCTGATGCTGTTGTGGGGCAGTGACAGTAACAGTTGAAGAAGGACTATGATTGTTCGTTGGTGTTGTGGCTCCAATAGCTGCAGCCGCGGCCGCTGCAGCTGTTGCATTGATTTCCAAGGATTCTGGGGACATTATCGGTAGTTGTAGCTGTTGCTGCTGATCATCTTCCACTGCTGTCGCTGTCGTTGGCGCCGTAGATGCTGTATCTTCCGTCAATGTCGTATCAATAGACGGAACGCGAGCATTCTCAAATGCCCAGTTATCCTGCTGATCCTCGGATATCAAGTTATTTCGTGTAGCTTCCCAAAAGGCTTCGAGCCGTTGAGGATCCGAACAGAACTCTTGGAAATTCTGGCGCAGTACTTCTGGATGCACTAATGATGATGAGCCTTGTTTACGGCTACGGCTCAAGACCAAAGCTGGTGTATGGTTTGTATAGAGCCGATTGTTCACCCAATAAAAGCCTTCATTGTCGGGTCGAATCTGTACAAAGGCAACACCCGATCGATGGATGTATTGATCGTACTTGTATGCTTCTTTGATATACGTGTATTTCATTTGGATTCCTTCGGTCTTGGCTCGTTCAAATTTGTCATCTGCTTCAACATCCAAGACAAATCCTAAATGGCGTACGAGCGCTACAGCATAAAAATTGTCGGGTACTTCATAACGGGCGTTTAGCTCGGATACGGGTGGAGGTTTGATCGCAAAGTTGATGGCGACAGGAGTTTGGAATGGGTTGTTGTTTTCGGATTCATCGTAGGCTTGATCGACAGAGCCTTCCACAACCAGTAATCCACATCGCTCTGCTTGGCGGCTCCAGTTTTGAACAAGTTCTTGAACCAGCTGCGCCGTGCATCCGAGCCAGTTGAGCTGGAAATGATAGCAATTATAGGCGTTGTGTAGGGTATCATAGTGAAGTATGGCTGTTTCGCGTCGATTACTCTTTTTGTATGGGTCAACGTCGATAATCATTTCTCGCGACATTTCATACTCAATCGTTGTCTTTGACCGTCGCGGTGATTGTGGTGAAGCAACAGAGGCACCACCGCTAGCTGTGCCTCCGTTTGCTGCTGCAACTGATGCTGATGCTGATCCTGCACCTCCGCCAATACTACCTCCACCTCCGCCCGTCCCACTCGAAGCACTAGTATCTTTGCTGTTGACTGAGAGCATAGACGGTGACGATTGAATCTTGTTTTTGCCCAAGGATGTGTTGTTTATAGTAAACCAAGCCTTTTGCGGTTGCTGACTAGGCATAAATTCGGCATGTAAGCGATAAAAATAATGACCATCCAAAAATGTATGTCGGCTCGTTGACGAGACTAACAAGGGCGGATTACGCTCCATGAGTGCATTTCCCAACGCCACAGCTTCCTCACGAGTGCTTATATCGTCAAATTGGCTTATCAGCCAATCCACCATTTCGCTGCCCACAAAGGAGCTGCGATACACTTTGAAGTGCCATCGTCGATCAAACATCTTGACACCGGCTTTTGGATCACGCATTGCTATTGCAATATCCTTGCTCTTGGATTCTCGCGACAGTCCAAGGTTTTGACCGACAATCGATGATAGTAAGCTAGTATGCTGACCAAACAACGGTGACGCCGATGATTGTACGGATTTAAATGCTTCGCTCGTCACGTATGCCGATGGATCCATGGTCGTGATTTTTAATCCAAAGTCTGTGTATCCAAGATCCTTCTTGCGACGTTTCTGCATTTCTTCACGCTCTTGCGGTGTCAACCATTTCGCCTTGCGCAAGTTTTGCAACCATGTGTCGAACAGCGCAAGTCGCTTTTCTTCATCGTCCAAGTTATCCTGTTGTGACGGAGTCATTCCAGGTGCACTCGATGGGAGTGTTTCGCGTGGTATTACAATGAACCGTGCTCGCCAGAAGCGTAGATTGTCTGTGAGCTCCTCTTGATAACCGGCTACCAGATGGTCGAGGTAGTTCCATGCATAGAGTAAGCTTGGATAGCTGAACGAGACGCTCTTGGGTCGATAACTCGCTACATTCTTTGGCCAAATAGCACATTTGTATGTCATTTTTTTGATATCAAAATCAATCGTACGAACATAGCGTCGTACTTCCACATTTTGGCCAGACGAGTCAAATGTGAGTTGATGTACTTGATGTCCCATCGAGAGCCACCATACCATGTGCTTCCATTTGATTTTGTCTGCCTCATCATGAAGTGTGGCCAGCGTTTTACTAGTGGTTCCTGGTACAGCCGTATTACCAGCAGCAGCAATGCCGCCGCCAGCACCACCAGATGCCATAGTGTTCGGACCGGTCGCGCTGCCGTCTTTGCCACTATCTTTGTTGCTGTTACTACCGCTGTTGCTACTCGTCGTTACCATGCCACTCATGCTGTTAGGTGGGCCAATAAATCCAGTCCCGCTACCATCGCCGCCACCACCAGACAACCCATGGCCATACACTTTATTCACAGGCTTCTGGTGGGCTGATGCTGTGATATCCACGATGATCTGGAAACCTTGCGCGAGACGCTGGCTGATCATTTCTGTCAACAGATTTGCAGTTTTGATATGTTCGGACAGGTTCCGATCGCCTGCTTGGTACAAGTTAACGTCCTCACTGGCTGACACAGTGTACATGTAGTGATTATAGTGTTTTTTGAGTTCTTCGTTTGAAGGAAAATAATCGGTCGTTAGGGGTAAGCATGCAGGTGACGTGATTGATCGCCAATGCACACGTGCACCGTCGTAATGATCGGCGCGTGGCAATGCATGCAGCCAGCGACGCAAGTGTGATGTGAATATCACTGAATAGTCAGAGGGGTTGCATGGATTGATCAAGCCGTTACGGGATGCGCTTGTGAAGCGGTTATGCCAGGCGTGCGAAGGAGACGACCGGTTTCCACCGCCAAAACTTGTGCGGATCAAATCACTGTTCCCCGAGTGTTTGTGGATCGAAGGACAGCTGCCGGCAGCGTTTTGACGTGGTGAAGGGTTAGTGGATTTGCTTCGACTGTCTGGCCTGCCAGACTTGTTATTGATTGGCACCGGATCGACTGTGCTAGAACTCACGAGCATCAGATCTTCATCGTCTAGACCTGGTGAATTCTGCCCACCATCTGTCGTTGCAATTTGTGCCATCACCCGGATGTCGTTGCTGTTCATCGTCCCTCGGCGCGAAGGTTTGATTCGGATAGGTGCAGCAGTAGCAGCAGGGTCGTCACGTCCTGGGGAAGGTCCCTTAAATATTTCGGTTACACGAGTGGGATGATCGTCTTTGCGTACATTGTTGTCAAAAGTGATTTTAGCACCCCCTTGTTGTGACTGAGACAGTATTGACATGACACGTCGTTGATCGCCGTGATGCCACGTCTGCACATGATACTTAGTATTTTTGTACTCTAATCTTTTATGCTTATGTTTAAATGAATAATTCTTACTGTATTTGATTTAAGTGCATTAAACCGCATTGGCCACTGATCCATTGCGTCCGGCCGGTCAGGACTCTCCATGGAGCTTTTTTGCTTAGTGGGTGTCATGAGTTTAGGCGGTGGTGTGGCGGTGGTTACTCGCCGATTGAATCGTGGTTCGAGACTTTCTTTAAACACTAATCCATCATACCTTTCATAATCGATTGTTGATGCGGCGGTAACGGATGATGATGGTGGTATAATCGTATTGGCAGCAGTAGCGGCACCACCGCCACCGTGTAAGAATGGAGGATGCCTTATAGATGAAAAATTTGCCGAACGTGATAGGTATGCTTCACCATTTCCATGTCCAGAGTCCGCAGACTTTGTCGATAATTTATCGTTCAAGCTACTACTGCTGCGTTGCGTCTTTAAGGTGCGTGTGATGGCTGCAAGCTGCTGTTGCTGTTGCTTTGCGGCGTTTTCAGACAGTAGTGGGATCGATATGCCAGCGAGATCATGTTCCATGATGCCCATCATTTGTAGTTCGTACATTTTGCAACGTGTATGGAACTTGTCTTGTTTAATGAAATGGCCAGTTTCGTGGTTGTAAAAACTGCAGTCGATCCAATGCGGAACAGAGTAGTAGGTATATGTATCGCCCAGATTGTCATCCAAGTAGAGCGGGTCCCACGATTCGATAGCTTTTTGTTTAGTTAAGTTTCCCACAATTTTGGTATCTGGAGACCCTTTGCTTTGTTGTTGTTGTTGTTGTTGTTGCTGTTGTTGCCTTGACGACGATGACACCAATGTATATTCCTGAGCGATCTCAACTGGCGGTGGTGAGGACTGGTAGGCGAACAATGGAGTGACATGGAGTGGTAGGGGCGACAGACACACCAAGTCCATCGCAATGCCATTATCTGTCATGCGCTCGTTGGTCAACCGAAGCAGTTTCTTATTTACGGCGAACTTGCCGGCCCCTGGTGTGATCAAGATAATTGAGAGACCCGTCCGCATCAAATCACGATCAACATAATGGTTATCAAACGGATTCAATGCCAGGTTGACCGCCTCGAGCACATTGCCCTCATAAGCAACCGAGATCCGACCGCTGACCACGCTCTGCTCATCCTTGTTTTTGCGCATCAGCACATCCTTTTGGAACGTCAATTGTTCTTCCTTGAGCGGGGCAATCACTGACATCCAATCATCGGTGCTTTCCCAATCAGCAATGACTTTGTAAAAGTCCTTGTAATAGCGGCCATCAGGTGACTTGGATACAAGATGGTCGAATGGATCAGTATTGCCGTCATAGAATACGCGTGTAAACAAGACAATTGAAACAACGTGGTTGGTGCCTTCTTCTTTCCAGCGATTGAACAGTTCGGGAAGAAAGTTGTTGACGACTTTTTCAAAGTAGAGTTCACCGTCTTCGTCGAATTCCCACATTTCGCGTGATAGTTGGATGAATAAAAAGTATTTGGCTGAACTCGATCGAAAGATCATACGTGTGTTTTCGTTGATGTACCCAGAAAGCATCTACAGATGGCGTTAACTCTCATGTTGAGCTTTAATTACTGTTTTGCATGAATCTAGGTCGAACCTCTCTATCATTGATAAACTGTCGTCGTACAGTAGCCTTGATAACGCCTGCAAACAGAATTTTCTTCTCTGCATAAACGCATGTGCCGTTTAGACTTTGCTGTAGCCGCCACATATCGCTTCGACCGAGATATTGCTCTTTAAATGAAAGCTCTACGTGATCCAATGCAGCCTCGGGCGGATCAATCTATACATGTAGGTATTAACGCCCGTTTCTACAGGAGAAAGTTCTTTTCTATCCCCGCACGCGATCTCATACCAGCTCTACATAGACTTCAATACGAAACCGAAGATTCAATCGATCGGCAATGTCTCGCGAAATAGAGATCTGTATGTTTTCTCAGCAGAAAGTAAGCTATCAAGGTTAATTTCTATATTTCTCTATTCTTTTGTTTTATCTCTTCTCTTGCAAACCTGAAGTGATTGCTGCCGAGCCAGTGCTTCGCGATCCACGACTGTTGCCTTAACGATAAGCGGCTCTCGTTCGGTCGACGAGGGTTGTTGAGGAAAATGAATGCGTAAGAGTTGACCGTTACGGAAATTTGCAAAGTGGTCGGGATTCACCACGGCATCCTGGTTCTGGAATGTGCTCGGGTCATGGAACCAAAGACTGATGGGTTTCTGTGAGAGTAAATTGCCGGAAGGCACATTACTGCCGCCAGAAGTGGTTGTCGCACCAGGCATGAAAAGAAGGAGACAAAGAGAGGGATATCCCGGCAAAAAAAAAATCCCAGCGGGGATGACATATTGTAGGGTCACAAAAACCAAGTGCTTACACTGATTGGTCAGTATGTTCCAATGAAAAGCATGGTTGTGCATGTACGGCAATGATGCTGGATCTCTACCTGCTAGTTGTTATGATCCGATCTCCTGGGTATTATTCTCTTACGTTATATTTGATTCAAGAATATTATTGCAACCAGTTGAATATGTAATCAATTGAGCACGCACCCTGGGACTGATGTAAAAGTGTAAAAGAAACAGGCTTACACATTATGACGATGAATCATTTGTTTCTTGACAATTTTGCGTAGCCAGTAAAGTAGTTCGTTTTGGCTACATCACAGAGCTAGTAGCCTTTTATCATAGTTTTCATTCACTCACTGAGTGGTACTGAGTGGTATGTTGATCAAATGGTTTGGAAAATGTGCTTCAATTACAAAGTGTGGTATACTAACTAACTACGGATGTCCTTTGGCATATATATATACTATGCTCCAAGAGGGGCGCAGTTGGTTAAAACATTCTCAGAATCTATTACGCTCATATGATACGAGACTAACTACTTAGGAGCAATCAAGCTTCCGCGCTTCAATCCTTCTTTGCTACTATACTACCACGCTGTTATCTATGCAGCTGGTCAACCTGTCAAATGTTCCATTTCTGCTCGCTGTATGATATTAGCTGGTATGGAAGCAGATTGCATGAAAGAAAGACACTTTAGAGTTTTCCCTTTTGAATCCCGTCCATCGCGCCTCCTGTCTTCTCTATTACTTTACAGCTACCACAAGCAGTCTCTCCAACTATAGCGTACATGTAAAGAAAATACACTTTCCTTTCTCAAGTGAGGCAGCCCTCGTCTGATACCAAAGAGAAAGTCTGCTGTCGTGATAATCTGGACCAAACTGTTGTTTTTCACAGTCAAGTCCGTCCTCTTTTTGCTTTTGCTGCTGTCCAGCTTTGCCTAAGCCTACTTCTTTGGAGTAAAGGGTGGGGTCATCGCATAATGCTAGGTGGTATGCAGCATTTCATACCACTTGCTTCGCTCATTCTTGCTCTTTAACGATCCCTCCTTCCTACATCCTAATCGCGCTATTCTCAACAAGCTCCTGATTGTTTCTTAAATTCCTTTTCTATCTTCATGTCTCTCAACGGCCAGGTCGATTATCCTGCTCTGTGGCATCTATTATCTTTACTATCTATCAAGAGCTGTGTGGAAGCAATGAGTATCATGTCTGGCAGCCTCTGTACTTTGATGTAAAAGGAAAATACAACGCTCTAGTCATGGATCTAAGGGGCCCTAAGTATATGTCATGAGCGAAGTATAATAGTTAGAAAATTAATAAGAAACGTGCTCGACAATGAGTATTTTCCGCTTCTAGCATCGTTAAAAGGCTTGTTCAACATGTGCAGCAGGACCTTCGGCACCAGCACTGTTGGCATGTTTGGTATCTTTACAAGTGGTAAAGTGTCTATGATATTTCTTTTGACTAAAGCATTTAAATAAATGAAGTGCCCAGCTAATGCATTGACTTCGGAATGATAGTTGACTCGCGTACAGTAAAGGTTACCTCCACCGGGATATAAAACCAAACACTATTGTCGTGGGCGTCAATGACAGGGATGACAGAGCCTACCTCAACGATTTCAGCTTGGTTAAAAAAAACAAGTTTGCTGGCAAACACGTCGTGTGGAGAGAAGGACTCAGGTCCGTAGGTACGCGTTTATATTCAAAAATCCATGCTGATCACGGAGAAAGTGAGCTATGCATCACAATGATCTTTAGGATTGCCTATCCTTGTTGCTTGCACTATTGACACACTTCTTTGAAATACTAAATAAAAATCGACCAGCAGCTGTGATCTTGAGGGATTTTCTTACGTAGCGCTGTACCTTGTTACCAGTGGCATAATGTCATGGATAGGTTTGCCAAAGGACCAAACGAAGGAGAAAAGGCTTGCTGCCGGGCACGATGTTGATGCCCTATGCTGTGATACCCCCTCTAGTTTGGCTGATTACGTTGGCTATATCTTTGAGCACGGCTACAAGGAAAAGCAAGGTTATAGGAAAACATTTCAAATATCTTACAGAGATGGGTTCCCAACGAAATACGTTAATCAAAAAACACGAGTTTGAGCGGGTGGTATGTCGTGACGCTTTTGGATGCCTTGTGCAGACACTTCATCAAACGATCCACTTGTGATCATTTTTTTCTTTTTTTACATAACAGCTACGACAAAAGTACTAGTTTTAAGGAGGGACGAACGGTCATCCGCCCTCTCTTCCTTATCACTCTACTTTATCGGCGTACGCTTCTTCGGCACCACCCGTCTCTACCTCCAGATCTTCGTGCTACAACCACCGGTGTAAATATATCAAAGAATAGTAGCAGCAACAACGACAGCAATAAAAAGTATTTTCATCAGGAGCAAGAGACGCATCAGCTTTACCGTCAAGCTACATACCAAATAATCTCCAATGTGTATACAGTACCCGCTCGTTAAACCGATCACCTCTGTTTTTCGAGAAAGTGATCGGTTTAACGAATTAAAGATTGAGGGTCCGCCATGTGAGATATAGGACTCGCTGGAAGGACCATCTTATGATGTTACACCATTACATGTAATGTTTATATACATTTCAGGTTGGAATGCGAGTTGTTGAGGGGGAAAAGAAGAAGAACAGGAAGACATCAAATAGGCGATAGCGAAGATGAAACGAAAATACCAGCAATTGGTCGTCGATCTTCCTATCTGTTGAGCCATTGAGACTCTGAACATCTGTGAAGAGAAGAATCAGGTCTTTAAATTTGATGCAATCTCATATCACCAATTTCGCCAATTAAGCTATTAAGCATAATAACCTAACCAAAAATAACCGATCAATCGTGGGACAAATGATCGGTGATCGGTTTAGCGAACGTCCGATATTTTACTGCTTACCGAGCTGGTATTTTGGTATCGGTTTAAAGGTGATCGATTTAACGAGCGGGTACTGTAGGATGGCAGCATCAATTCCGACAAAGAAAACTGATGTTGTGCTAAGCTCTCAGATAAATGACAACGTGATGATGAGAGGTTGGCCTGTTATATCATGCTTCTAATGAGAAACAACATATCCGCGTATTTCATGGCAATACTATCAAAATACGCGTGTGCATGACTCGATACCATTCAACATTCTGTCACACAGAAAAGTACCATCATCATATTATGACAAAGCTGCCGTCGCCACGGAAATAATTTGAAAAGCTAGCAGTCATCCCTAAGGTTCATGTCGCCTGATGATTTTATTATGCCTGTTAACGCTATCATATTGAAAAAAAAAAGAAACTAAAGATCTGCCCAAGTAAAGATATATATGTTATAGCCCACAAATATAATAGAAGTATTTTGCTATCGTATCACATTGGCACTCAATGAAATACCCCTCTTTCTTTACCGTCAACTTTCTAGTCATACGCCACGTTATGTATTCCGCAAGTCAACAAATGAACGAAGAAATAACATGGTCAAGCGCTTTCACTATACTGTATTCAAACATTATCGATATTCATGTAATGAACATTTGTTAACCATGTAAACAGCATAAATAAGCGACTTAATAGCCTCAACCCATCAACGTCTTTCCTTTATCGACATTGTTGTCCACGCGTGATATATTACAAAAACCTGAACGCCTCAAGTGAGCTTTTTTTTGAATATTTCTGGACAGCCCTGGTAGCAGCAAACCATTCTACACAAAAAAAATTCGGAAGCAGTATGTACTAAGCATGCAACGCATTTGAACCCTAGTCTCGACTCGCTCATGCCGACATCTTTCAGCAACCCCATCATTCAAATGTATCTTTTTGCTTATATGAAGCTACATGCTGTTTGAGTTTTATATACTGGCACTGGTCAAAAGCAACATGTTTAATCTTTGAGAACAATAGGACCTTTCTCGATGTTTTCATTCGGTCAAGGATACAGCACGCAAATCGTCAACAAAAATCATTGGACCATCGTATGCACTTTGGAGGCAAAACACAGTTTGAGATGGAGTTGGCTTACCGGCAAGCCAAGAAGCAAAGAAGAAAAGAAAATTTACTGTTGCGCCTTATGCGCTTTGTGAGAATATCCTGGGCGGCTGGTGCTGCTTTTGCTTTTGCTTTTGCTGTTGTTGTTGTTGCTGTTGTTGCTGTTGTTGTTGTTGTTGTTGTTGTTGTTGTTGTTGTTGTTGCTTTGCTTATTACCGTTGGTAGAGGTAGTAGCGGGAGCAGGGGCGGAAGCTTGTGAGGGGGAGGCGGTGGGGGCAAGAGAACTAGTGGCGGAAGTTGGTGGTGGTGGTGGGGACGGATACCGGTGTTTCAGCAGCGATGTTTATACAGGTGCAGATATTGATGAAGCGATGGACGCTGTAATGGAGTCATAGGGAGGGGGAGGGAACAACTGCCCGGCACTGCTTCAAAACCTTGTACTTTTGCTGTTGCTGTTAAAAAGAAATCCAGAATGATCATGATTATACTGTTAGAAACAAACGACGCCGCAGTACATGGGAACATACGAAAGCAAGTCATCCCTCGTCTATAATTCTGCAAGTCTTATTGTGTAGTTTTCAGCCAGCCAAGGAAGGCATGGGTTGGAAAGAGGAGCAGAATCGTTTCCTGTGTGAACAATGGCGATCTCATGAAACGGGTTTATCGACGTGGCTCATTTCTGTTTTGTTTTCTTCTTACTTTATCAGGCACTTTTCCAAGCATCAAGCCATGTTTTCGCGTACAATCAGTCTTCAATGCTACACATTTGGTGTAAAGAATGACGGCGAGTATGATACCTGCTTCTACTGGATGGTGTTGAGGACGCAATGGTGATGGCTTCAGTGGCGGTGTTTAGAGAGAATATGTCAGCGCTGATGGGTTTTGTTTCTCTGTTCCTGTTTTCTAGTTTACAAGACTACTATCTGAACGCTTTATACTTGGCTGGTCTTCTATTACTTGTGCGCTTGTTCGTTTTGCTAGAATGGGAAGCGGTGTGCAGATATGGGTTGCGGCAGCGCGGATGCTTATGTATCAATGACTGATGGCTTATAAACTTGTTTCCTTTAAGCTTCATCGGAACCATTCTTTTCCCGTGCAAGATACTGCTATGTCTACGGGTGTCTACTTTCATCCATAACTTGCTACACTAGCTCCTGTTGTCGTTGGCCAAGGTGCCCACTGGCTTCTCCCTTTTTTTTCCTCCACCAACCTGAAACGGCGTTTGGTCGCAAGTTAGTGCAGGCACTCGAAGCAGCTGCAAAGACGGAGGGGCATCACGCTCTGAAAAAAAACGTCGAGATTATGACTCACTAGGCTATGTATTACAAGATCCCACTTATTAAACGCGCGTTCAAAGTCCTCATCAGCAACTATGGAAGAGGGGACTTCTAACAGATGCAATCCCTGATATTGTTGTACATATTGCGTTAATTTCAGGTTCGAAATTGTGTCTACCTTTTTTACAATACAAAACTTATGACTGCAATTTCCATTGATCGGCGAGAAGCATCACAAGAATATATATATATATATATATATATTCATGTAAACCGGTGACGTATGCCAAAATATAATAAAAAAGAAGGGCCTCCTTCTACACGATAAAAATATTGCTACATAATCAAAAGACCAGTGCATAGAAAAACTTTGTCTACGTATAAAATTAAATTTGGCTCGTGTTATTGCGATGGACACGTTATGGATGATGCTGTTGCTGCATTGTTGGCGAGGTATAATAGTTGTTGTTGTTTTCTCCTTTAGTAGTGGCGACAGGGTTATCGTCACTGGACATGGCAGCATGGTCCTCCAAAGTCCAAGCATCTTCTTGAATAGGTGGTAAGCTTCACTTATAAAAATCATCACGATCCCCACGTTTCATAAAAGAGATTGTCAAACCGTTATAAATTGCGCTGATGAAATTGGCAGCGGCCGTTTCTTGATCGTCAGCTAAGAAAAGAAGGTCATATCGAGTATCAATAGTATTGCTGGGTACGCTTCACATATAAAAAATCATCATGATCCCCAGGTTTCATACTCTTTTTATATCGCCGGTTCTTTGTTCCATTAAAGCGCACAGACCCGTCGCCGACAATTGTTGGATCAGAGCGGAGCACGGCAAGCGGAGCCGCATAGTGAAACAAACATATACGCACCATAAGAAAAAGACACTAGCATGACAGTCGTCAGACTACAACGATAATTATCATCAAGGCACTTCTTCACATTGCTGCAGTTCACTGGCTCCTTAGGGCAGTAGTGACAACAAAATTTTTAAGCTCCGTCATTTTGTTTATCGGGCTCATGAAAAAAAAGAATCGACTGCGCGTTTTGCCCTTTATTCTTTTCTTTGGTCTTCATATTCATCTTTGTACATTTGCAGTGTTTCTTTCATTATCACTTTTTACCTTTCTTTTATTTTTCATCCCGCTCGAGTGTCCCTGTGGGTGTGCATAGTTGAAGGGAGCTAGTCGTGCACGACTGGCTCTTGCTCATCTTTTGTACATTTGCAGTGTTTCTTTCATTATCACTTTTTACCTTTCATCCCGCTCGAGTGTCCCTGTGGGTGTGCATAGTTGAAGGGAGCTAGTCGTGCACGACTGGCTCTTGCTCATCTTTTGTACATTTGCAAAGTTCTTTGTTTCATCTTGGTTTTTTATCTTCCTCAAAAACTGAAAGCGAGAGTGTGTGCAAAGAGGTACGTATATGTTCGCCGCTGACAGACCTTTGTGCTATTTCTTTTATTTGTAGGAACTGTGGAGGAGTAGGTTCTGTCGGGAACTGAGGCTTGTGGACTAGAAAGGGAAAGGTGTAGGTTCTGCCGGGAACTGAGGCTTGCGGAAAACAAGGGAGGGCAACCTCCCTTGTGGGTACGTATATGTTCGCCGCTGACAGACCTTTGTGCTATCATATTTCTTTTATTTGTAGGAACTGTGGAGGAGTAGGTTCTGTCGGGAACTGAGGCTTGTGGACAAGAAAGGGAAAGGTGTAGGTTCTGCCGGGAACTGAGGCTTGCGGAAAACAAGGGAGGGCAACCTCCCTTGTGGGTACGTATATGTTCGCCGCTGACAGACCTTTGTGCTATCATATTTCTTTTATTTGTAGGAACTGTGGAGGAGTAGGTTCTGTCGGGAACTGAGGCTTGTGGACAAGAAAGGGAAAGGTGTAGGTTCTGCCGGGAACTGAGGCTTGCGGAAAACAAGGGAGGGCAACCTCCCTTGTGGGTACGTATATGTTCGCCGCTGACAGACCTTTGTGCTATCATATTTCTTTTATTTGTAGGAACTGTGGAGGAGTAGGTTCTGTCGGGAACTGAGGCTTGTGGACAAGAAAGGGAAAGGTGTAGGTTCTGCCGGGAACTGAGGCTTGCGGAAAACAAGGGAGGGCAACCTCCCTTGTGGGTACGTATATGTTCGCCGCTGACAGACCTTTGTGCTATCATATTTCTTTTATTTGTAGGAACTGTGGAGGAGTAGGTTCTGTCGGGAACTGAGGCTTGTGGACAAGAAAGGGAAAGGTGTAGGTTCTGCCGGGAACTGAGGCTTGCGGAAAACAAGGGAGGGCAACCTCCCTTGTGGGTACGTATATGTTCGCCGCTGACAGACCTTTGTGCTATCATATTTCTTTTATTTGTAGGAACTGTGGAGGAGTAGGTTCTGTCGGGAACTGAGGCTTGTGGACAAGAAAGGGAAAGGTGTAGGTTCTGCCGGGAACTGAGGCTTGCGGAAAACAAGGGAGGGCAACCTCCCTTGAGGAACGAAGGATTCATAAAAGTCGGTCGACTTGTCAGGCAACATCAAATAAACTTGGTTTCTTATTGTACTTTCTTAAATAATGTAATTGTAACTATTGGGCAGATCGAGTGACGATTGTAATAAACGCGATCTTTATTTTTACATCTTCCTACTGCCATTGCGCTTGGTACTTGTTGGTGCTTTCTCTGGAGCACTTATGTAGTTGCAAATGAGCCTTTTTGTGCTTGAGTCGTCGAGAAAACCGTAGGCTGTGCATTCGCATGTGTGCTCTCAAAAACAATACAGCTGGTTTACCTTCACGACTATACCAACAATGATTGCAAATTGCTGGTGGCAAAATAAATAACCGTATCGCAAAGCAAACAGACCATCCCCATATTCACATATACACGAACCAGATCGCCAACCCAAACTAAATGATGTTTGCCTTGATTTCTTTGCAGTATAAAAGGCCCAGTACATAAGCTCATTAGGGAAGTTACATAATCCAACTTGTTGGGTCTTGCCACCAATCTCTCATGCTACTGTCTCTCAACATTACTGCTACTGATACACGTATACTAGTAATACTCATAGATAGATTGAATATGGAATGTATCATCACTGCTTAAGATTATAACAAGTTATCCCGTCAAGTTATTGATGTTTCTTATCTACAATAGCTTTCAACGGCGCCAAACTTGCCAAGTTTTTAGAAGCGCATTGTTTTGTGCTGCTATGATGAGTCAAAATAACAATGTTGTGCTTAACTTTTATCTATTACATTTCAAGTAAAAGCCATTTCAGTTTACCCCCTTCCCTTCTTTTGTCTTTCAATGATCGCTGGCGGTACTACTATATCAAACTACACCAATATCCGTATCCGGCAAGCCAGTATTCTAAAAGACATCCAGAAATGTGTTGACGTCCATATAGTTTTTTTGTGAGCGTCCAAGCCTCGAGTACATAAATTCATTACATGGAGCTATACTACTGAGATTCTTCATGCAATCTAACGAAGCCACTTTGAAATTTTTGATTTGCTTGACGCTACTTTTGATATCAACACTAGCGAAAGTATCAAATGTAGGGGATGATGATAAGGGAAACCCGATCGGATATATACGTTAACAGTAGTTTGATCCAAAGATGATAGTAGTGTGGACACACTCAGTCGATTACCAAGTAAGTCTATCACAAGCTCGGTGCAACGGCGTTTGGTCGCAAGTTTGTGCAGGCACTCGAAGCAGCTGCAAAGACGGAGGGGCATCACGCTCTGAAAAAAAACGTCGATATTATGACTCACTAGGCTATGTACAGTAAACCCCCGTTAAATACACCCCTATAATTGCAACCCTCATCAATATCAACGTTTTAAGAAAAAATCTTTTCAAAACATAGTGAATTTGCATCTTTTCCGCTTTAATGAAACTTCACCACATCGGAAGGGTGTTGATATTGAAAATTTAATCAGCTTTGTCCTTTATTATATGTTAATTTCTATTGGAAGAAGAGAAAAATCGCGTCTAGCGGGATTGTTGGCTGTATAATTCTTATACAAGCTTGGTATAGAGGGTTGTAAGTGCTGTAAGTGCAGCAACAATATCATTATCCAAACTATCTTCGGCATCAAAAATATGAAAAAGGTTAAGCATAGTCGTTGCCTTTTCTCTTGCAGACAAGTTAACAATGTTGGTGCTTGGATTGTTGGCGGATTCCGTGCCTGTAGACTCTTCGTTTATAGATATTTGTTGCATGTCCTCTGTAATTAATTCTATAATTTCATCGTCACTGTAATTGCCATGGATTATTTGGCGTTCATGGTCAGGATCAATTTCAGATGTTGGACATTTGTCGATGCTGATATTTCCGATGGACGCAATTTGTTCGATTTGTTGTTGTAAATGTTGCTGCATGAAAAGGTCTTGATGCGTAATGGCATTGACTGCTTCAGGTGATGCGTCGTCCTCTTGCGCCGTCATTCGATAAATACTAGCATCCCAGCAATTGACAATTGTTTCTCGCTTTATATTGCCCCAGGCTTTTTTAATCCACCTCATGGCTTGCAACTGGCTGACATCGAACAATTTTTCAACCGGACCAACGACTTCTGGACGACCTATTTGTGTCATACTTATTTGACGGTAGGTCTTGTCAAATTGCATTCGTTTATAATGAGCTTTGAAAGCTCGGATGATCCCACCATCGAGTGGCTGTAGCTTTGCAGTAGTGTTTGGCGGCAAGAAAAATAATTCGACATTCGTGAGCACAGCATCAATAGCATGACCACTAAAGTTGTCAAGAACAAGTAAGACACGTCGATTTTCGTAATGCATGGCTTTATCGAAACGCGTGATATAGTGCTCGAGAATGTTTCGCTTCATCTATGCCTTTTGATTATAATACTAAAACCAAAAACTGAGCTCATACGCTTCTTTTCGCTTGCCGGTCGAGTCCACAAAGCATGTAGGTTTCTTGTGTTTGCCAATTATCATCGGTTCCCATTTTTCTGAGCCGTCTGCATCGCACAAAAGAGCAACCGTGAGCCGTTTTTTGTTTTCCTTGAATCCAGAGAACCCTTTTTGGGTGATGGTAGTCCGAGGCTGGGCAGTGAAAAACAATGCTGTTTCATCGATATTCCATATATCACATCGATCATATTGAGAAAGTTTGTCGCGCATTTTGTCCCTGTTTTCGAGAATGGCATTCGCTTCAACAAATTCGCCTTCACCATGAAGTGTATGTTTACGCAGCCCATGACGTCGAGCAAAACGGTGCATTCACCCGTTCGACCCTTTGAAATCCTTGCCCAAGCATTCTGCAAAGTTAACCGCTTTAGTATGAACCATGCTCCAAGTGACCGGGATATGATTCTTTTCGGCGACGTGTATCCACAGCATTACAGCATCCTCGACTTCCTATATACGTTGTAGCCATGTGTTTTGAGCTCGTTAATATTATACTGTCTAAATTGATTATTGCATTTATTATTATATCGAAACATATGGGAAATCTGCCCTTTTGAAGCCTTCTTCTGGTTTCGAGACGAATTACACCTTCTTCCTCTTCCTTTTCCATGCGCGCAATAAGCCTTGAAATAGCTGACTTGTCCGGAGAGTTTTCGAGTTTGAACCTTGTAGTTGCCCAGGAAATTAACATTGAATAGGTAAACTTGTTCGCTTTGTTTTTTTCTTTGTAATGCTGGAACAGCTCCTGGCGTTGATAATTGGTGAATGATACGTTCTTTCTACGACGCTCTCGACGTGTTTTGGCCATGATAATAACGCGAAAGAAGAGCACGATCAAGAAACTGAAGGAAGTGATAATAAGTTCCTTTTTTTTCGATATAAAACTTTTCGGCGAATGGTCGGGGACCACAGCCCAAACGTTGATCCATTTCGACAAATGCAACCCTCGCTAATTACAACTTTATCCAGAAAAATCTTCGGTTGTATTTAATGGGGGTTTACTGTATTACAAGATCCCACTTATTAAACGCGCGTTCAAAGTCCTCATCAGCAACTATGGAAGAGGGGACTTCTAACAGATGCAATCCCTGATATTGTTGTACATATTGCGTTAATTTCAGGTTCGAAATTGTGTCTACCTTTTTTACAATACAAAACTTATGACTGCAATTTCCATTGATCGGCGAGAAGCATCACAAGAATATATATATATATATATATATATATTCATGTAAACCGGTGACGTATGCCAAAATATAATAAAAAAGAAGGGCCTGCTTCTACACGATAAAAATATTGCTACAAAATCAAAAGACCAGTGCATAGAAAAACTTTGTCTACGTATAAAATTAAATTTGGCTCGTGTTATTGCGATGGACACGTTATGGATGATGCTGTTGCTGCATTGTTGGCGAGGTATAATAGTTGTTGTTGTTTTCTCCTTTAGTAGTGGCGACAGGGTTATCGTCACTGGACATGGCAGCATGGTCCTCCAAAGTCCAAGCATCTTCTTGAATAGGTGGTAAGCTTCACTTATAAAAATCATCACGATCCCCACGTTTCATAAAAGAGATTGTCAAACCGTTATAAATTGCGCTGATGAAATTGGCAGCGGCCGTTTCTTGATCGTCAGCTAAGAAAAGAAGGTCATATCGAGTATCAATAGTATTGCTGCTTCACATATAAAAATCATCATGATCCCCAGATTTCATACTCTGTTTATATCGCCGGTTCTTTGTTCCATTAAAGCGCACAGACCCGTCGCCGACAATTGTTGGATCAGAGCGGAGCACGGCAAGCGGAGCCGCATAGTGAAACAAACATATACGCACCATAAGAAAAAGACACTAGCATGACAGTCGTCAGACTACAACGATAATTATCATCAAGGCACTTCTTCACATTGCTGCAGTTCACTGGCTCCTTAGGGCAGTAGTGACAACAAAATTTCTAAGCTCCGTCATTTTGTTTATCGGGCTCATGAAAAAAAAGAATCGACTGCGCGTTTTGCCCTTTATTCTTTTCTTTAGTCTTCATATTCATCTTTGTACATTTGCAGTGTTTCTTTCATTATCACTTTTTACCTTTCATTTATTTTTCATCCCGCTCGAGTGTCCCTGTGGGTGTGCATAGTTGAAGGGAGCTAGTCGTGCACGACTGGCTCTTGCTCATCTTTTGTACATTTGCAGTGTTTCTTTCATTATCACTTTTTACCTTTCATTTATTTTTCATCCCGCTCGAGTGTCCCTGTGGGTGTGCATAGTTGAAGGGAGCTAGTCGTGCACGACTGGCTCTTGCTCATCTTTTGTACATTTGCAGTGTTTCTTTCATTATCACTTTTTACCTTTCATTTATTTTTCATCCCGCTCGAGTGTCCCTGTGGGTGTGCATAGTTGAAGGGAGCTAGTCGTGCACGACTGGCTCTTGCTCAACTTTTGTACATTTGCAGTGTTTCTTTCATTATCACTTTTTACCTTTCATTTATTTTTCATCCCGCTCGAGTGTCCCTGTGGGTGTGCATAGTTGAAGGGAGCTAGTCGTGCACGACTGGCTCTTGCTCATCTTTTGTACATTTGCAAAGTTCTTTGTTTCATCTTGGTTTTTTATCTTCCTCAAAAACTGAAAGCGAGAGTGTGTGCAAAGAGGTACGTATATGTTCGCCGCTGACAGACCTTTGTGCTATTTCTTTTATTTGTAGGAACTGTGGAGGAGTAGGTTCTGTCGGGAACTGAGGCTTGTGGACAAGAAAGGGAGAGGTGTAGGTTCTGCCGGGAACTGAGGCTTGCGGAAAACAAGGGAGGGCAACCTCCCTTGTGGGTACGTATATGTTCGCCGCTGACAGACCTTTGTGCTATCATATTTCTTTTATTTGTAGGAACTGTGGAGGAGTAGGTTCTGTCGGGAACTGAGGCTTGTGGACAAGAAAGGGAAAGGTGTAGGTTCTGCCGGGAACTGAGGCTTGCGGAAAACAAGGGAGGGCAACCTCCCTTGTGGGTACGTATATGTTCGCCGCTGACAGACCTTTGTGCTATCATATTTCTTTTATTTGTAGGAACTGTGGAGGAGTAGGTTCTGTCGGGAACTGAGGCTTGTGGACAAGAAAGGGAAAGGTGTAGGTTCTGCCGGGAACTGAGGCTTGCGGAAAACAAGGGAGGGCAACCTCCCTTGAGGAACGAAGGATTCATAAAAGTCGGTCGACTTGTCAGGCAACATCAAATAAACTTGGTTTCTTATTGTACTTTCTTAAATAATGTAATTGTAACTATTGGGCAGATCGAGTGACGATTGTAATAAACGCGATCTTTATTTTTACATCTTCCTACTGCCATTGCGCTTGGTACTTGTTGGTGCTTTCTCTGGAGCACTTATGTAGTTGCAAATGAGCCTTTTTGTGCTTGAGTCGTCGAGAAAACCGTAGGCTGTGCATTCGCATGTGTGCTCTCAAAAACAATACAGCTGGTTTACCTTCACGACTATACCAACAATGATTGCAAATTGCTGGTGGCAAAATAAATAACCGTATCGCAAAGCAAACAGACCATCCCCATATTCACATATACACGAACCAGATCGCCAACCCAAACTAAATGATGTTTGCCTTGATTTCTTTGCAGTATAAAAGGCCCAGTACATAAGCTCATTAGGGAAGTTACATAATCCAACTTGTTGGGTCTTGCCACCAATCTCTCATGCTACTGTCTCTCAACATTACTGCTACTGATACACGTATACTAGTAATACTCATAGATAGATTGAATATGGAATGTATCATCACTGCTTAAGATTATAACAAGTTATCCCGTCAAGTTATTGATGTTTCTTATCTACAATAGCTTTCAACGGCGCCAAACTTGCCAAGTTTTTAGAAGCGCATTGTTTTGTGCTGCTATTGATGAGTCAAAATAATAATGTTGTGCTTAACTTTTATCTATTACATTTCAAGTAAAAGCCATTTCAGTTTACCCCCTTCCCTTCTTTTGTCTTTCAATGATCGCTGGCGGTACTACTATATCAAACTACACCAATATCCGTATCCGGCAAGCCAGTATTCTAAAAGACATCCAGAAATGTGTTGACGTCCATATAATTTTTTTGTGAGCGTCCAAGCCTCGAGTACATAAATACATTACATGGAGCTATACTACTGAGATTCTTCATGCAATCTAACGAAGCCACTTTGAAATTTTTGATTTGCTTGACGCTACTTTTGATATCAACACTAGCGAAAGTATCAAATGTAGGGGATGATGATAAGGGAAACCCGATCGGATATATACGTTAACAGTAGTTTGATCCAAAGATGATAGTAGTGTGGACACACTCAGTCGATTACCAAGTAAGTCTATCACAAGCTCGGTGCCCTTTTTCGAGTTCATATGTGCTCCTTCTTTTTTTATTGCCTCTAGTCTCTTACTGATACCGGACATTCCAGATCCTATCATTTTTGCCAAGGCATCAATTGAATACAGAAGAAGGAAGGAAGGAGGGAATGCATATGACAGATCGAAGGAAGGATATACCATGGGAAGGGGCAGAAAATCCAGTCATCTCGTATTACTCGTATACGTTGTATGTGCACACACTATTTTTGTAAGTACGATCGGATTCTGTTGCTATGTCCTACGCATTAACTGGAATGTACTTTATAGCGCCTTCGCCTGTCAAACCGTTTCTACCGCACCGCTGAGCTTTTCGGCGATAGCAGTGCTCAAAATCCCAGCTTCCACGCACCCTTTAATAGTTTTTCGGCAAACAGTAACTCTAGTATGAGTTCCTCTTCTACTGGTAACAAACTTACCATTTGACTCGCTCTATATTCCAACGAAATAACAAAAAGGTGTATCCATTCGTTCATTGTTGTAGTTCGCGTCGGCGTTGGCTGTTTCGTCAAATGCGTCATTGACAACAATGTCAAGATTCTAATAGGAACACGGAAAGGATCGCATGGAGCTGGAGCATGGCAACTGCCAGGAGGTCATTTAGAAATGAATGAATCATTTGAAGAGTGTGCACGGCGCGAAGTACTCGAGGAAACCAATATGGAAATCGACGACATTGCCTTTTTGACGGCAACGAATGATATCATGGCCAGCGAACAGAAGCATTATGTCACTGTGTTTATGCAGGCCACTGCAAAAGATCCAAGCACGTTACGTGTCATGGAGCCTCACAAGCTTGATGGGGAGTGGCAGTGGATTGAATTTAAGGATCTGAATCAGTATGCGCCGCTTTTTACGCCCTTGACAAATCTCTTAAAGTCGACTCAACATAATGTGATTTCCGAAGCTCTATCCTCCATCTGACGACTCCCTTTTCTTTTCCTTCACTCCACGAGCATCTTCGAGACTACGTACACAACTTAAACCTGTTACTACAGCATTTAAATGTATATCCATCTGTCCATGCCTATAAAAGTAGAATCTAACATAAATGGTCTTTCGCAGAATTTTTCTGTTTTTTTTTTTTTTAAAATTTACGTTCTATTGTTTGAATCACTTCTATTAAAAGTTTGATCGTTCGTTCAAACGCTCGATCATCATCGTCATGTTGTTTTTGGGTGGTATCGTTAGTAGTAGTAGTAGATTTGAGTATTAGCTTGAGCATGGTTTTACTGATGGCTAGAGAAAGGCGTAACCGGCCGCCCACATCGAAAAGGGATAATCCTCGTAATTGTTTTTGTAATTGACAGAGTTCGATCAAGTCTGCTTTGATCGCTTGATAACAGCTTTGGGTATCTAGGCCACGCCATACATTAGCTTCTATCAGTCATTCCACCACTTTTCTGTGAATTGTTACTCACGCATTAATACATAGTACATGTTCTTGAATAGGTATTCGATTGAATCAATGATATGATCGTCGACTCGCGTACATCGATCTGTACCGCGAAAGGTATCTAGACAAAAGAAGCCAAGTGATCATTCTCATTAGTACCCTTTGCTGGATATATCGCCGTTACTAGTTGGTATAGAGAAAGGCTAATCATACAAAAAAGAACTCTTAGGGTATGAAATTGGCCTTCGAACATTTCGTCGCATGCCTGGAATAATAGCGACGCGACAAGATAATGATATACAATGAGAAGTAGTGTGCTTATCAGCATATGGATCACTCGCGACATGAATCATCTGTAATTACCTGATACACCATACGCTCAAACATATCTCCTTTGTATTCATATTGCGTCGCAAAATCTGCATTAAAGTGACCAGGCGAATTTCTTATGCAGTCGTATTCGAATCGTAAGGATTCGTCGGTAAGGGTATGGTATGCTGCATTCAACACTACCAAGTAAAAACTTTGTGAGTTATTCGTGTTCTCGTGGCAAAGGACAAAAAAGGAGGATGGGGCCTCCCTCCTGACAGAGACTTAGTTTCCCCTATCGAAAAGAAAGGGTGCGTACACTGAAAGCATTCGGTGGCTCGAGGGTTGGCCGGGACGAACTTGTCGGGATGACAAAATCGACTTTTCTGGTATCGGGCGTATACACATATTAGCGGAAAAAAAGTGAAAAGAATCGGCACGCTTGCTATGTATGTGCCCATCATCTGCGTTGTATCGACAAAAGTAAGGATCTCTTTACTTTAATATAGGCACGACGGATATCCTGTATTGAGGAATCGTATGAGACGCCCAGCACACGATAGTAATCTGTAGCCGCGACCAGTATATCTTCGATACACCTTTCCATGGACTTATTCAGAGGAGAAAAAGAAGGGTCTGAAAGAAGGAAAGGAAGAAAAAAGCAAAAGGGGAGAGAAACAAGGAAAAATAGACGACAGCAGCACCCGCTATCACTTTAAATTTGCACTGCATTCCACGTATTCTCGCTCTATACCGGAATATAGGATATAATCTCCTCCTTCCTACCTGTCTGTTTATTTGTCGGTCTACTTATAATCTGCGCGCACTTCCTTTTGATCCGGGCTTGCTCTCTACAATCATACAAGAGCCGTACATGTTGCAGGTAGATGGGGAAAAAGTGTGGATGTTTTTATTTATTTACATATACAATGTTGAAAGTCCTCCTTTCTTTTTCTTTTTTAGATCTTCTGCATGGCAGCAACATCGACGGACTGGACGTAGTCCTCGAGATCGCAGATGGCATCAGTCAAGTCATCCATGGCAACCTAATTACGAGCAATTATTTAGTTATCATCTCCTTCGCAACGCATCACACTAAAAGAAAGGAAAGGAGTGTCTAAGAAAATTTACCTTGTCATCCTCAACAACACAGTTGATCTGGAGCTTCTTGATACCGTAACCAACGGGGACGTGCTGGAAACCACCCCACAACAAACCGTCCATCTTGATATCACGGACAGCCTTGGTCATCTCATCAACATCAGTCTCATCATCCCAGGGCTTGACATCCAAGGTGACGGTGGTCTTGGCAAGAGGCTTGGGCTTAGCAGCCTTCTTGGCCTGGTATTCAGCGAGGCGCTGAGCCTTGATCTTCTCGGCTTCCTCATCAACTTCTTCGTCGTCAGAGCCGAAAAGGTCCATATCGTCTTCGTCCTCATCGGCAGCAGCGGCAGGAGCAGCAGCAGTCCTACAAAGTTAAATTCGGGTCAGTTTCTTGATAACTACTGAATACACGTAGCACACACGCATTCGCACATTTGCATATGACAAACGAGAACGGGCAGGTAAAATATATACATAGGAAGATACATTACTTAGCAGTGAGACCCTGGACGGCGGCAATGTGGTTGTACCATCTGGCCAAGTGGGGGTACTGGGCAGCAGCGGGGCCTTCGGACAGAGCCTCAAAGACAGCCTTGTCAGCATCCGAAACCTCGACTCTATTATGTAAGATTGGATTGATAGATGGACAAAAAGAGAAAAACGCAATGTGTCGTCGATATAATGAGTCATGGCACGTCATTTTATATAAGAAAGAAAGTGTACGTAGACGCATTCAGGAGATGAGCTGGTAAATTTACCCCTTGATGTAGGAGACGTTCTCAAGGTAACCGTCAAGGACCTTGAAAGCCAACTTGTTCTCGAGCGTGAAGGACATAATGTGGGATATAAGAAAAGAGAGAGAGAGAGAGAGAGAAAAGAAATTTCGGGACGCTGGGGATCGATACTAAGAAAAAAAAAAGAATTTTTTTACAGCCCAGCAGCCACACGCAGAGCTTGCCACTGGCCACATGCAAAGCAACACTATTCAGGGCTCGAGAGGGCAGCATGGGCTACCGCAGCAGCAGTGAGTAACAAGAAACAAGAGTTACATGACAGGATGCACATGAATCACTGTATTCTCCTTGCTAGCATTGCCCACACGTAAAAGTCAAAGGACTTGACACAAGTAAGGAATGATTAATGATCTGGTACATGTGGCTTAGTTTTTCTGTAGTTTGGAAGGCCGGCAAGTATTATGCCGTTCTCGAATCATCCCCCATTCTCTCTAATGCCAGCAGCAGCAGCGGAGGAGCGACAGTTTTCAAGATCTCTCTTTTTACAATCAATCGTCTCCACCTCACTGTCAACACGATCGACATAGACAGCCATGGGCAAAAGTGCGAAATTCTATAAACGACCGAGCCGAAAGGAGAAGGAATCAAAAACATTGTCCAAACAGGCGGAATCAGGTGTTTCGAAAAAGACAAAGCAGCAGGATACAAAGATGAAAGAAGTATCGGTGGCAGCAGCAGCGGTTGCAGCAGTGAAGCCAACAGCGGCAACAATGGATGTGGACACTCCGATGAAGAAAGAAAAGAAAAAGAAGCAGGACGAGCTTCCGGATTACGTCGACTTGTTTTCTGGAAAGAAGACATACAAGCGAGTTCCTGGCAAACGCAAGTAGTTAACCTCACGTCAACCCACTACTCCCCCACTGTAAATTTACCGCATTTCAAAGCATACTACTCTTCTCTGTTTCTGTAACAACAACAACAACCACATACTACTATATCAATATATGCATCATCGTCACTGCAAACAAATAAAAAACCAAATCTGTCAACAGTATCTGTACTTGATAACTACGACCCTCACTGTCTGTAAAAGAAGAGACCGATGATTCATTGCAGCAAAGGGGTAAAAACATCTTGATATTTTTATTTATTTTTAAAAGGAAATAAAACATTTGAGAAAAAGAAAGTACGGTGCAAATGTATGTGTTATGTGTTATGCAGACGCCAGTGGTTTTTTTTGAGTCGACGAGACAGACAGGCAGTGAGAATACGGATGAGCACTTTTTACATGTAGTACATGACCTTCTGGAGTTCAGGCTTGACCATAGCGAACGAGGCCATCTGCTCATCAGGGTTCATCGACTCCGAAGTGGCATCAGTGTCGGACCAGTTCTCGCCACGACGATGGAAGCGAGCACGAGCAGCGACCAAATCGGCATAGTAAGCAGCAGGCACAATTGAGACAGCACGCGTGGCACGGCCATAGATGTAGCATAGTCGGTAGGTGAGTTCCTGAAGCGTGTCTGCGGAGAAGTTGTTGTCATCGTGGAGGACGTGGTAGTGCGTGGGCCGCGAGGTGCCCTGCAGACCGGCGTGCGATTGCAAGTAAAAGTCAAACTCGAAGGGATGGACAATAGAAGAGTCAACAACGGTACCAGGCTGGCAGTTACCACTGCGATCGGCATCACGGGGTTCCATGGGGAAGAAGCGGGCGTGGTGACGCTTCTGCACAACGACAAAGGTGAGTGTGGGGTTGTACGACTTGTCAAGCGAAGTACAGGCGTTCTTGATATCCTTGACTTCCTTGGCCACAACTTCGTTGAACTGGCCCTCGGAGACACCGTCACGGTAGAAGAGAATACGTTCGGGCTTCTGGCCACAGGACTGGTAGAAGCTCTTGAGGAGTTCCTTGACCATGCTGCCCAAGTCAGCAATGATTTCGGTACGGTTGGCCTGTACACGGATGGCACTGGCGTAACGCGAGGCACGAGCATCCATCGAGGCTGTGACAGCAGCGACGGAAGGACGGTTCATGTCGCCAGGCGAAGGATGAGTGACGTCGGCACCCAAGATAATGGTGGGACGGGCCGAGATGAAGGGGATCTGAGGAGGCGACAAGAACAAGTTCATGCCACCCAACTTCATGTTGACCTTCAAGCAGACGTTGGCGCAGTACTGCTTCTTGGCGTCGGCAATGTGCTTGGACTGGACACACTGAGTAGGGATGCCAATGACCGTGTCAGAGATACGCTTGATCTCGGCATAGAGCGGCACACCCGTGTTGGGCAGGATACAGAAGATCAGCTGCGGGTTGGCCTTGGCAGCGTTACCAGCATTCAACCACGCTTCCTTGAGGGTACGGTCAATGTTGCCCTGGGGATCAGCGTTGGTGATTGGGGGCTGACGGTTGATGACGTTCTACAAACAAGTAACACAAACAAAATTTAGGCTTTCACTTCTTTCACTTTCCTAAATAAGGATACGTGTTTCGGAAAAAGAGACTTACCAAACCGGTGTCAATGAAGGTCTGACACAACTCGCGGACGAAGCGCTGGATGGCAGGAGGAGGCACCTGGGCAGCAAAGTTGACGACGGACCAGGAGCCGAGGACGGCACCCTGGGCGAGCTTCTTGCCACGCAAGTTCCATGCGCCACCCTGGGGAGCAAAGGTGCTGTCGGGACCAGCCTGAGCGTACGAGATCTGAGGTGTCGGGAGGACACGGGCGTTGATGACGGCCATCTCGGGCTTGACAGTCATGCCGCACTGCTGGAGATACGGGTTGTTGCGGTACTGCAGCAAGTCAAGACCCTGCTTGATCTTGTTAGCACGGACTTGGGGCTTCTGGCAGGTGAACTTGATCATGTCGGCGGTCTGCTTCTCGTTAAGCTTCTTGGTCAGACGCTGGCCTTGGGCAAGCTCACAGACTTCCATGGGCAAGAAGATGTCGCGCTTGACAACAACGCAGGGCAGGAAGGGGAAGGACAGACGCATGTTGTACTGCTTGGCAAAGTACTGGGCGACAGTCATTTCGTTGCCATCCTGGTCCTTGAAGTTGGTGCGGTCAGCAGGGCTGGGGGTGAGCTTGGTGACCTTGTAACGGCGTTTGTTTTCGCCACGGTGAGTGACAAGGATCTTGAGGCCCTTGAGCTGCTTCTCGAGCTTCTTGACATCGCGGTCAGAGATACCACGACGCAACTCATCGATGGAACGGCGGCCAAGGTACTTGACAACAAGGTCGGGAAGACGGCCGGCTTCGTGGAAAGCAGTGGCACTGACGTCCAAGTTGATGTACATCTTGCCTATTTAGAGAAAACGCGTGTTTTGATGAGTTGAGTTTTTATTCATTGTGCGACCACAGGTGTACGCGTAATGCAAAGGGCGAGAATAACAACAGCAGTAGTGCTGGTTTCTGTAACTTACCGACACCAGGACGGGCCGACTGGTAGTAACCTTGCCAGACTTCGGCACCACCGGGAAGAGGGCGCCTCTCAGCGGGGGTGAAGAACGAGCGGCCAACGGTGGCGTGCATGGTGCTGGGCACATGACGGATAAGGATATCCAAAAACATGACGGCTACAAGATACAAAATGTCAGAGCACAAATTTGTGAGTGCGTGTGTGAGTGTGTGTGACTTTCTATCAAATGTTGTGATTTACGCCTTGTAACTTGCCGCAGTAGTTACAAGCCATTCATTCAACAACAAAGAAGAAAAAAGAAAAATACACGTACCCGTCAAACAGTTGTTAGAGGCGCGGGTTTGTCCGTTCAAGAAGCGGTTGAGTTCTTCCATGTTGATCTCACCAGCCTTCTTGATACGAATGGTGAACTCACCACCACCAGCACGCTTGGACTGGGCCTCAGCATCGTTCAACTGGACCTATTGCCGTGATCAAATCAAGCAAAGAGGGAGGGATAGGGGTTACGGAATAATAATGAAAAAAGGAACGTGGTCGGTTAGAGAAGTGGGTGATAAAAGCAGCCGCTATTGATATTTTTTACAACTCTTGTAAACCACACCAAGCACAGTCAAAATATACATACCTCGAAAGCCTTGGCGGCTTCCTCACCAAGAGGCAAAGCCTTGGGAGAAAAGGCGTTCTTACGGCCGTCAAACACAGCCTTGATGCCCTTGAGGACACCCTGGCCGTCTTGATCTTCAAAGGCCTTCCAGACCTTGCGGTACAATGCTGGGGGAGCGCTTGGTGGATCAATGGTCACATCATAATGATGAATGTTTCCAGTGGGGAATGAGGTAACTTCAAAGAAGTTGGAGCGGACGCGAGTGGGTTTACCGACGGAGCAAACACCGGGGCGCTTGACAAAATCAGTCAATTGCAAAGACATTTGAATGGGGGTGTTGGACTCTGTGTGTGTGTGTGTGTGTGGGAAGCGGGTTGGAAAGAAAAAACGGAGAGATTGAGAGGGATAGGATTTTCTATCCGCGAATGATATTAAAGCATACGTCACCAAAAAGATTTTACTGGTTCGCTGTTGGGTGCCCATTCTAACACCGATAAGCGTCCATTGGTTTAAAGCCAAAGAGGAGGGGAAGGTGGGGGCTATCTCTTCAATGCTATGCTATGTTTAGACAATGGTGATTATCGTCTTTCCCATCATGCCATCAGAACGGCAAAGGGGGTAAAGCGCTATTGATGAGTACTGGGTGCACTTTACACCATGAAAATATACTTCCTTGGTGGATAATAATCATGCGTTTCAGGATTGTTTCAGATCTTTTCAAGTGGAAAGAACAACGAAACCTGTTCTACTGATAGTGTATACAGTACGTTATGACAATGAGAATGACCGTTACTACTACTACTACTACTACTACTTATACACTACTCTATTAGTGGGGATTCTGTTTTAGACGAGAAAACCTTGATTTCAAAAAGGTCGCGTCGCTTCATGGTAACTGAATTCCCCAGAAGCATCTTTATCTAATCCCCGTCACCATAAGCGAGACCTATTGTTGTGATGCACACGCTATCGTAGTAAAGAGTACCAGAGCCCTTCGATCGCTGATGGGTGATGGATCACTATTATTTATTATTGTGCCGATAGGATAGTACTGACTCGCTCATTATCATTCGCTTATCTATCTTTTGGCGGCTTGTGATTAAATGATAGCAATAGTTAGGTGCCGTCATCGCTTGGTGCACTCGCTACTGTGTTATGAATCGTAGGTGATGTAACACGCCAGCACGGCAAGTAGCATATGGCCTTGCCAAGCTACGTACTCGATCGCTGTATAGAAATGCAGACATTGCACATAATTGATAACAAGAAACTTGGCTGCTCCTTTATTTGTCCGGAACCTCATTAATGATATGCTGTTAATTACATGCATTTGTTTGCTTTTTCCCATACTCCTGCCTACTATGAGTACATACAGTGCTATAATTATAATCAATCCCCTTTGGTTTCGAGTCTAAAAGATACATCAGCGATAATTTAAAAAACGCGTTCGCAAAGAGGAAAAAAAAGTTGACAGATTGCACAGGACACATGACTTTATTACACACACAGCTCGTACAGGCGTTGCTGGCTGTGGCGCAGTGACCCGTCGTGAGATCCGATTCAAAATGCAAGTAACACACGCAGAAAAGAGCTGAATGAACAAGGAGAAGAAATGAGACAAAGAAGGAGTGATTTTTATATTGATCTATCATGTTCCTTAACAGGACGTCGCTTGAGCATCTTTGACTCGCAGACTTGCAGCAACGATATGGATCGATGGATACACCACGATTCTTGGACGCGTTAGTCTCTGTAGGTGGTAAATGAACTTTATTACTGATTTGTTTTCTTTGTGTAACACGCTGAAACGAAATCATCAAAGTTGGCTGTCACTGTCCTTCTTCAACGTCTTATTATACACAAGACAATGGATATATTATTATAAGCATCAGGAGAGTAGGGCTAGAAATTCCGTGCCATCCATGCCCCTTTTTCAGACGGTGTCCTCGTTGTCGTCGTCGACGTTGCTAGTGGTTCATGGTGCTGTCGTGGCACCGCATGCCAAGCTAAACGTTCATCCACATCATCATCACGAGGAGGAATTGCTGGTGGACGGGACACCGTGTCGACATGATAGACGGGTGCTGTATGCGAGAAGAACAGCTCGTCAGGAACAAGCCTGATAAGAGCACCGACAGGTAACGACATGACGCCAATCAAGATACACACGCCCCACAGCTTTGCGTTCAATGGAACCGTCTGTAAGGCTGAGCCACCACATTCGACAATGACAAACTGGCCAAGTAGAGTCACGACAAAGATCAACACAAAGAACTTGTTTTTCGTGATGCCTTTGACTACGTTGAATCGATTATCAATCCGTCGTGAGCTGCAGTAAAATAGTTTTAGAGCTCTTGTACCATATTAGTTGGCGGCAGTGTGACAGAAATAGACTTACTTGACTTCATTAAAGATCTGACAGAATACAAAGGCCGTAAAAACCACCGTTTCCAACGTAGCCGTGTCCAAATGAAGCAGGTCGGTGTACATGAGCGATAGAATGACCGTGATTTGATAGATGCTCTGACCACAAATCATTTTCCACATGGGCGCATGGATGAGTGGCGCAGTGCGTGCTTCGGGTAGTCGTTCGAGCAGCTGTGGTGTAGGCGGATCAGTTGCCAATGCCAACGCCGCAAACGTATCCATGATTAAATTCACCCACAGCAACTGGACCGCTGTCAGCACTGACTTGCTCTCAACGACAGCCGAGACCAATGTCAGCACCACAGCAGTGATATTGACTGTCAACTGGAACTGCAAGAACTTCTTGACCGAGTCGTTGACACAACGGCCCCATGAAATGGCGCGCACAATGCTTGCGAAATTGTCGTCCATTAGAATAATCGACGAGGCTTCCTTGGCCACCTCGGTGCCTAGTCCCATCGAGAACCCAACGTCGGCTGCTTTGAGTGCTGGACCGTCGTTTGTACCGTCGCCTGTCACCGCTACAGTTTCGCCTAATTCTCGGAGACTTTGCACCAAAATCCGTTTGTCTTCTGGACTCGAGCGTGCGAGTACTTGCAGATCCGGAAGTATGTGTTGTCGCTCGGCGTGTGTCAGTTGACGGAACGTGGGCCCGTCCATGGTCTTTCCGCCCGGTGTATAAATACCGCATTGTCGGGCAATGCTTTTGGCCGTCAGCATGTTGTCGCCCGTCACCATACGCACACAGACACCAGCGCGCTGACATGCTGCAACGGCTGATTTGACACCGGGTCGTAAAGGGTCTTCAATCCCTACAATACCAAGTAACGTCAAGTCGCCTGCACTCAGAATATCTTCGAGCTTCTGCTGCTGTGGTGGCCATGTGTCGAAATCACGATAACAAAATGCAAGTGTCCGAAGACATCGTGTAGCATAGCTGGAAATGATTTTGGCCATGCGTGCACGGTTGGCATCGGTCATGGTCCGGGTCTCAATAGCATAACTGTTGCCATTCATAATCCCATCAAATCGCTCATACGACTGTGCGTGCATGGACACAATGCTGGAGCAGCAACCCAACAACATTTCGGATGCGCCCTTGACGTGCAATCGATAGATGATTTTCTCCTTTTTCGTGTACTCGTCCAAGACCGGGATGCGGATCACAGTCGCCATGGCCTTGCGAGCTGAGTTAAAGGAGTAGACATGTTCAACAGCCCAGCAGGTGCGCAAGAGCTCAAAGGGTTCGCATTGCATGTAATCTTGCGCGAAATGAAGGGTCGCTGTTTCGGTCTTGTTGCCCATCAATGTCTTTTCACCGGCTGCATTGGTGCTCATGTACACGGTCGAGTTTAGCGCCATGGCTTGGTTGATAAAGTTGCGTACAGGGAGTGGGATTTTGTACCGGATGGATGTGAGATCGATCAAGTCACCGCGCGATGCTGGTGGGTCCCGCAGGAATCGAAAGGATGAGCCAAATGTGCCAGCGACGACAGCCATGGTGTTTTGTGTCAAGGTGCCGGTCTTGTCTGAGCAGATTGTGGTTGCGTTTCCCATTGTTTCACAAGCGGCCAGGACGCGTACCAAGTTGTTATCTTTAAGCATTCGCTGCGTGGCATATGCCAGTGCTATTATGTTTCAGAAATGCAAAGTCATAGGTTAGACAATGACTCTTTTCCATTTATCTTTTCATCCGCTAGATTATTTACCAAGTGTCACAGCAAGCGGCAATCCTTCAGGTACAGCCACCACAACCACTGTCACCGCTGTGATCAAGATGTGCATGATTTGTGACACCACCACCGACGCCGTCACCGAAGGCGATTCATTGGACGAATACGAGACGACACAGCGGACCAACAAGATGATGAACACAACGCCAGCAGCAGAAACACCAAACTTTGCGATATTGCCTGCCAGGACATTGAGCTTCTGCTGTAGTGGGGTTTGTTCATCAGGTGTGCGCATGGCTAGCATTGTCTTTCCGTGGCACGAATGAACACCAACCGAGGTTACTAGATAGGTGCCTTCGCCTTCAATAACCTTGGATCCAGAAATAAGAAACGGATCGGGACAAGCGTCGTGCAAGTCCATCAATAAATTGTCATTGCTGTTGCCAGACGATGATGACACCAATGTATTGGATGACGGAGGCTTTCCTCCACCCCATGCAAGACATTCTTGAAGACGGGCCTTACGCACAGCATCGGATTCGCCAGTAGTTGCAGATTCGTCGCACTTGACGTTACTTCCCTGGATAAACACGCCATCGGCTGCAATAATGTCGCCAGGAACAAGTCGAACCACGTCGCCAACTTGAATATCGTAGACGGATATGAGCTGAACATTACCGGATCGAATGACCTAAACAAAGTATCTATGTCAGGTATGTATCATATACTGTATTTCAACTGTCTTAAAAAGTAACACAAAATCCTCTGTTTTACGTCAATATGTCTGTGTTCTTTTTGCGCATTGAGTCGTCGAAACTGCTTTTCCTTTTGTAAATCATTGATGCTGCCTACAAGAACAACGAGAATAATGGCAAACAAAATTGCCATGCCTTCGACCCATTTAACGCCAGGTATCCGGTTGCCACTGCTATCGTATTCAACCGTCGTTAAGTCTTCATAAATGCCGACCGTTAACGAGATGACTGCTGCGACTATCAGTAAGATCTGAGTTGTATGATATCTATGTAAGTGCTGCTGTCTTTCCATGTCCCCCACGCTCCGCCCGCTTTTCGTTCGGTTTGTAAAGTCTCCTTATTTGCGTCTATAATTAACTATTTTCTTTTACCAGAGTTTTATCTTGAAGCGATGTCCATATTAAACGCAGCAAGCTCTTGTGCTGAACACAAGGTAGCACATTTCTGCCAAACACGGCTTTGCGTTGATGATGCGTTGCTATGCTGTCGTTGCCATCAACGTCATGGTTCTGGTAAAGATTATTTACGTCGTATGCCACCATATCCTCGTCTAGAATATCACTTTCATCATCATCATCGTCGTCGTCGCTACTTGTTGTGCTTTTATTACACGACGATGCTGCTGTTACGAGGTCGTTCAGAGTAATCGTTCGCAATAGATATCGCTCATCGTCAGGTAATCCTTGCATGATATCCGAATGTAGACCTTTTGCCATGCCAAGTACACCGCCCACATCATTCAGATATTTGAGATCGCGTTTTTCGACCACGGCGCCTAATTGATCTGCACTGAATGCAAATGGGTTTTTTGGATCATAATGGGCGGCTCGTATCATGTCGATGGATGAATAGTAGTACATGGTCGAAATACCCGCCTCTCCTTCTTCATCAACAGCAGGATTGTTGGGTTCGAAGTAGGGTGGTGGTGGTGGTGGTGGTGAAGGCGATGGATACTGATGATTACTGTTGTTGTTGTTCATATTACACGGATTAGAGGAGGGACGAAGTCGAAGCCAGCTTGACAACTTGTAAAGGAAAAGGAATGGTCGGGGAGCTGGGGTTTGTAGAGTAATAAAAAAGAAAGGAATGGAGGTGAAGAAGAAGGAAAAGAAAGGAATGGGACGAGTGACTACAGCGAAGGAAAGAAAGAAAGAAAGAGTAGAATACTAACCCTGGAAAGCAATAAAAACACAGAAAACAGAACGAGCGCGAGACGTTTAGGGAGGGCCATAACGATGTGTCTCTTCTGTTACTTTGGGCAGCAGAAAGAATTACTGCCGTCTGCAAAGTTCAATTGACAGATCAGAAGAGCAGTAATTGTTAGATGTAAGCAATAATCATCATTACCAAGTATATAAAGTGCACTCGTGTTACGAGACCTGCTGTGTACCCCCTTTTTCCTTTGCCTCCCCTGAATTTTGATCATCTCTTCAATTGCCACTTTATATAGTTCCAACTCCATCATTTTTACTCATTTAAACCTCTCTAAAGAACGGGCAGTATTAATACAGTAGCTGGGCCTATGTACTATCCTAAAGTGAAATCTAATGAGCGCATACATGTTCATTGGCATGAGCCCGAAGACCACAGATGTAAACGGAAGAACGAATACGACTCAATTTAAGAATTTAAGAAAAAGAGCGAGAACGGGGAGACTAAGAGAAGCAAAACTTGCTACTGAAGCAGGTTGATTGCTGCTGGTTATGATTTTTGAAACTCTCTTCATAAAGTAGCGCGCCCGGGCATCTGAAAGGATGTAAGGGTACGTGAAATACCATCATAATGTCGCAACGGTTTGTTAATCTATCAAAACAATACGCGCATGGAGTTGGTATCAAAGTATTACCGTATGTGTAGTACTAGTAGCCCTGGCGACAAGAGGAATGACTTGTGATTGTGTGGAAAAGCTCATGTCTGGGAAAGCATGAAACATCGATTTTTTTTAATTAGTGTCTATCATATCATATGTTATTAGATCCATGGATCTGTAGCTGTTTCTTTTATTATGCTTTCTCTTTTGCCGTGGCAGTGTTCTTGCTGCTTGGAAGGAGTTGAGAAAGAATTTCAGGACATAGAGAAAGGGTACAAAAAGACAAAAGTATCGTGAAAGAAACAAGGAGACAACCAATGCAAAAGTTGGATGGCCATTAATCAGAACATTTGAAGACAAGGAACTATGATGCGTCAAGGATTAAACAGCATAACTTGAGAAGGAGCTCCTCTCATTGCTACTCTCTTTTTGAAAAGAGCTAACAGCATGTGATTATGATGTTGCTAAATGCTGATATGTATATGATATCTTGTAAACTGGGCTGTAAGGGAACGGGCTCCAAAAGTAGTGATGATGCAGATGTTATTATTCGTAATAAATGTACAGTATATAAAAAAGACACACGAGTAATGACAAGGGAGAAACCGGACAAGAACAAAGTTAAGTGTTAGAAAAAACCTCGGGTGGTGTAGAAGTACATAGTAATGATGAATCAAGTGAATGATAAGTTGAGTGAGCAAAAAGTGATTGATCTGCTGTTACGGATGGATGGATTGCATTCCAAGGGTTTGTTCTAGCATTATAAATACCAAGCTTCATTATTACAGATTGAATCCTGGATATCTGTTTACTGTTCAATCACTATGTACTATTTTTAATTTTACACATACACGTACGAACACACACACACACACACAAAATGCATCTATTGAAATCAATCTTGCCTGTAGCTGCCTCGGCAATGCAATCTGTGTTTCGCTGGTTCGCCGGTTTTCTTTCCTCCCCCTCCAATTCCTCCACCGACTCCTCCTCCTCCATCGGCACCACCAAGGACGACGACCACAACCAGGACGCTTTTGAGCTCGCTACTGATGATCTAGCATTGGACTTGAGCGCGGCTGTCTCGGTTGTGCAGGCGGCAGCATCGTTGGATTACCAAGCTCATGGTCCAAACAGCACTTCTGAGTAGCCAATGCTAATCTCTGGGCTCTCAAGAAAACATGCTGTATCTTGCAAAGATATCTATAGTCGGCCACGTTCTTTCTTGTGTAACAACCTTCGTTATTGTTATTATTATGTATATGTTTATTAATTCCTGTAAGATTTTTTAGAGCTTGAATCGAAAGGAAATAGAGACAGCCCAGAAGACGACGAAGATGAAGGATATCTCTTTTCTAAACAACAATACGGAGATGAGGATGAAGAAGATAGCGACGATGATCAAATCATGATCGTAAGTGACAGCGAAGAAGAGGGCGATGAAGACACACCAAGCATTATCATGGTCACCGATCATGAGGAAGAAGAACAAAGGTTTACTGCACGGAGTATGATTTCGACGACACTGGTAGCATAGATAGCTATGTTACGGCAAACGAGACACCATTCGCGAAACACGTTGATACAAAACGCATTGATATCGTCAATGAGTTACCACTTGAATGGCACCTCACCAAGTTACAAGAGGAGTACGGGCTAGCACCAGGTGCCATCCATCTTGATGGGGAAGTCGAGAAGCATTCAATCCACTTTCCGCTAGAAAGCAACTCGCTGTATTCAAAGGAAGGTATTAAAAGAGTCTCTTCTTCTAATGTGTGTGGGGTTTTCTGTTCGCAACCACTTTTTCTCTCTTCGCTCTTTCAGAGAGACGGGTACTTGCTATAATTACGATTGAAAGGTTCTCGAATGCCATCATACATATTACCATCGCTCCAAACAAGGTTCGTTTTGACCACTACAGGCACATTGGGATAAGTCTATATCTCTATAAAAGCTGCCGATGCCCTGGTAAGGATGGACTGTTGCTACGAGTAGGACGGACCACAGTTTGCGGAACGTATAAGAAATTACACCAGATCATCGAGCCTCTCGGTCTCGCCACAGGTTCAAAGCTCATTGCACCAATAGTGGACCTCCATATCACCGTAGCTGGTACACGTGTCAAGAAGCATGCGAGCGCTTGATCTCTGCTGTTGAAAGCGCAGCCAGACAATTTGAAGCAGCTTTGGACAAGCGACTGTTCGTGGGTCGACTGAACAGTTTATATAACTGTAACAGACACTGTAAGTCTGACGCCCTTGTTTTACTTCTCCATCTATAAGAATTGGCTATTAATCTTTGATCGACTAACACTGGTACTATGTATATGCAGACCTGGGGCTGGCATTCAAGGAAAATAGCCCATAGCATATTGCCCAATGTAAGCAACATTTGATTCAACAAGCTGCCTTGGTTTATATACTTTTCTTTATGAGACTATAGGAAGGTCTGTGCATTGCCGTGGGCAGGCTGGGCTACATATATGTAACTAGTTTTCCATTGCGAACGTATTTTGAGCGCACAGCATGGAAATTATTTACGCATCGTTTGGAAGATATCAATGCAGTTGATGCTGTGAAAGTACTGTATGCGCATATCATATAGTTGCAGGATTTACAAAATTGACAGTACTATTATTTGTTGAGAGTATGGTTCAAGGTTGCGCGCACCATATAAAGTAGGAATATGTAAGAACACTTGGTTAAATCGTCGATTGGATTGGGAATAGTGGAACTCCACTTTCGCTCCGTAAAAGTGCACAGCAGCAATTGTACAGTAACTTGTCATCTGCCTGCTAGAAAAGATAGTTCTATGCATGGCTCATCATCGTTTCCAAAGCAGTCAAACATAACGTTTGTTCGTTATTTCATTCACATAGTCTTTTATCCATTTAGTTAATTATAGGCGCTCACAGCGATAGCGGCTTTGGCTGTGTAAAATAATGCCATTTAATATCTTATTACACAGTTATCCCATAGTGAGTACGGAGCACATATTTCCGGGCGTTCTTGACAGCGTAGGTTGCTCAATTGCTAATTTTTAAATTAGCCTAAGTTTGTACATTTTATACGGTGGCGGAGGTGTGATATTTGCCTCCTGCGGATCCAAAGGAGGCTTATGGCGACCAGGTAAGTAGAGCTTTGTCAGGCTGAGTGGATGGTGAGAGCCAGTGGTGTATCGATCTGTTGGGGCCATTAAAATTCACAGTGGCCGTCCTAGTGAACTTTGCACCGCGTTCCCTGCTTCTCTCATCCCATCTTTTACTCTTCTAGATCTGCCTTCTGCAAAACTTCAACCTCTGATTGCTCTCGCTTTGGGTCAATTCTATAATGAGCGATATTTTGGGGAGCTGAAGCATCGCACCCAACAGCACTACATCTGTCATAGTGAACATACCGAATTTTTTGAATGGACTTTACTACATGATATTTTCATACAAAGTTATCTGCTCTCTTAAAAGCATACTATATCCTGACTCCTTTGCTTCCTATAAACGACACCAACACGCGTCGGTTGCCACTGTATGCTCACCGAACTGCTGTTTACTGAATTAAACGCCCTATACTTATCTCACCCCTTTTTCACAGACATGACCGAACCGATTAGGTGAACTCAATTGAACGGTTGTTTGCGCAGATTTAAAAAAGGATCTCCGTTGAAGCCCATCGAAATATTTCTGACTGTCAAAAGAAGGCGATACACTACTTTCAAGTTATGTATGCCATGAGGTGCCAGTACAAAGCCAAAAGCCATCCAGTGCAACCTGGATATAATACATTTGTCAAATCACTACTCTTTTCCTCACCATACTCCATGTATGACAGCAAATTCAATAGGAATAAATCGGGAGGTGGCGTGTCGTTGATATAATGTACTTTGTTTAACAACACCAGCTGCTGTAAAAACGACATCATTACTAAACAGTAATAATGGGTAGAAGTCGTTTGTATAGTATTAAGAAACCATGCAAGTTGTTGTAGTAGGGTAGTACATACTATAATAATGAAAAAGCACGTTATATTATGAAGATGCCACTGCACGTATTCTACCTATACAACAACTATCGTTGATCAAATGATGTTAATATATGCCGCATATGCAATATTTTTCAAAAAACGCCATTTTTCATCAACACACTGCGTGCTACTGTTTAACTGCCCGCCGTACGTATCAGCACTGTTGCATACGCTGAGAACGAGACCATCTTGTGATCAACCACTTGCAACGAGCTTTTAGTGTGAGCTTTCTATCGAACGAGATGCAACAGGCTCTCATATGGACATAATAGCTGAAGGGAACTCGTGAGGCTGTCATTCTTGCAAATGGTGTACCACAATGGCAAGGGAACCAAGAAGTTGGTGAACTCTAAACTACCGGGTGGAGTGTATACTTCATAATGTCGTGCAGCAGATGCACTGTTACTCTAACCGTTCGCGGTACGCTTTGGGGTTGGAGGAAAAGGTCTTGTACAAGAGTAAAATAAACATATTAATAAAAGTAGATAAAGTTGGCTTTTTGTGGGGATAGTTAAGACATAATTACAATGTAAGAACTGGATATCATAAACGCAACTTACTACTGTTACTGTGCTACTCCTACTACAACTTAAAACCACATGGACCCCGTTCTATAGCTTGTCATGGCAATGATCGACATATTCCCTCCTCACTCGCCCACCCGCGTCAGTCACAGCCGTTTTGCAGTGAGGGTAAGCAAGCAAACTTTGATTTTCCCTATTTTCATGATGCCCTTAGCCCAGGTTGTTGAGGGGAGGAGGAGCAGGAGCAGCTCTCTTTGTACTCTTCTAGGATATCATCATCATCATCATCATCATTATCCGATGCGGCAGACTCCTATAAAGTAGCTTTCCTTTCGACTATCAGTCCCTAAGCGAAAAGTAAAAAAAAAAAAGAGGCTGTGTGGTTGCAGCAATATACTACCAAGGTGCGCGGAGCTCCTTCTTGTGTGCACAGATCGACATGGTTTCCATGGGAACTCTTAATTGAACCATTTGCACAGGCGGGCAACCTAGACTTTATTTTTAATCTCAGGGTTACACCAACGGAAAAAGCCCTGAATCATATCTTTGAGATTGATTGATTGTGGATGTTGGGTTGGCAAGACAGGAACAGTAACGCAGACAGATCCAAGCACGATGCAATTTAATAAAAGTGTTGTATACGCACCAATGCAGTACTTGGACAGCAACTTGGATTTCTGTGCAAGGCACCAGTAAGTACAAGCGAGCTGATGCACTGACTTGGATTTGTGGGACAGCTCCCAAATCCGCTCTGTTTGTGACACGTCAGTCAGAAAAAAAGGATTAGGCAACGTCCCATTTCTCGTTTCCACTCCTCTTTTTCCCTCTTTCTCTTCCATCGCCGTCTCCATCGTACATATAGCAGCAGTAGCAGTAGCAGCAGCAGCAGTAGCAGCAAGCATCGTATATACTTACAGTACTCCCTGATACCCGGCTCATCGTGAACCACTCTCTTTCTTTTTCTCTTCCTCCTTTTTTCTCTTCTCGTCCTTGGACTTGTTTTTTTTTATCTTGCGTGCAAGCGAAAAAAAGAAGGAGCGCGGAAGGGGACAAACACAGCATCACACACCACACTACGAGGACATGCAGCAGCAGCAGCACCACCACCACCACCATCATCAGCATAGCGTATACCTGTAAAGAGCATTTATAAAACCACACCATCTACATAGCATCCTCTTGTTTTCGCCTCTTTTCTTTTTCTCTCTTCGTCTCTTCACAACCCCCTGAATAGCTCTTACGCGACATAACATCGACAGTAGCAACAACAGCAACAACAACAACAACAACAACAGCAGCAGCAGCTACCCCATACGACAATCAAAATAATCCAAAATGTATTCGCCCGATACTCAAGAAATCATTTCTGAAATCATCAGCGTCGGATGCATCACCGCCGTATCGCTCTTGTTTGGCCGCAAAGCTGCAAGCATCGAACGTCCGGTCTACTACATCCGCGGTATCCTGCTTGCCCTCTACGTTGCTACCTGGGCATTCAACATCATTGCCTGCATGGCCACCAGCACCAATAACGGCAACTACATCTCCTGCGCCCTCAGCTTGTACAACTGCGTTATCGTCTACAACATTGCAAAGATCCTCTTGTACCTCTACTTCATTGAAAAGGTACTAAAAACCTTCGGTGTCTGTGTAGAAAAAGGAAAAGAGAAAAAACGAAGGCTAATTCTAGATGCTTTGTGACACCACACCATTTACTTTCAGATATACATTACGTCCGTGCCCAAAGCTTCACGTTTCCGCACACCGTTGTACTTGATCAACCTGGCCTTACTGTTGCCCTACACTGCCTTGATCGTTCTGATGATTGTGTTTCGGATTGCGCTTGTTGACGAGACCTCTCCGTTCCACTGCACCATCGGTTATCAGCTCCCTGCCTCCGCCGCCACATTGACCTACGACGCGTTCATCTCGTTGCTCTACACCGGCATCTTTGTCAAGTATGCCATCTTCCCGAACACCGCCCAACAGACCGCCCATCAGGCGTCCTCGCTGCGTATCATGGCTCGGCGCAGCATCATTGCCACCGTCGTGTCGATGGTCACTGCAACGGTAAACTACTGTGTCCTCATTGGCTTTGATGGCCAAGAGCGTGGTCTGATTGCATCGACCATCTGTGCACTCGATATCACCATCGTCGTGTGCGTCGTTCACTGGGGTAAGTCTTCACAAATCACTTCTCTGTAATCTCTGCTCATGCAAACTGACGTCTTTCCGATCATTGTCTAGTTGCCACGCATCCTTCGGAAATGCAGTGCACTGTCAAGGCCCTTCAAAAGGGATCTGGAGACAAACCGATGAAGCTGGAAATCAAGCAGCATCAAGAAGTCGTCGTTCTATCTGAACTTGCGCCGTAACTGGACTTATGGCACACAGTTCTTTAGTACATCCTCCTTCTTCTCTGCCTCTACCTCTTAACTCTCTATCTCCAATCCCCCCCTTGTTCTTCTCTCCCGGGTTCATGCACAAGTATTTTCTCTCTCTAACGCCTATCATACATCCGACATACATATTTCCCTGTTCTATCCTGCTTTTTCGGTGTTTTTACTCCTTTCATCATCATCTCTTCATTTTCCAAGTAATTTTATTAATAACGAGTCGATAATTATACGTTTTTTATAGTAAAGAAAAGTAACAGTCTGCAAAAGAAATCATTTAATGTCATCATCATGATTGCTATTACAGCTTTGTTTAATCCACCCCCCCTGTGGAAAAACTCATGGTCTGTAGAACACTTCAGTCCGGGTCAGGGTCAGGCAAGTAGATTGTAAGAGTATTATTACTATTATCGTATTTCTTTTGGTCGCACACACACACTCTCTATTATTTCTTCACCACTTGAATGACATCCTCGTCATGCACCTGGTGATTGATGCCGACACGTTGTGGGTTGTGCTTTGTAGATGTGCCCTGTAGGAACAAAATAGAGTAGTTTGAATTAATAAGTGAAAACATACAAAAGGGAGGTATTACGTGAGAGAAAAGGGGGTCCAAGGGGGGGGGGCTGGGACGGGTGAAAACGCAAGGGCTTTGTCCTTCAACCATCCATCCAACGGAGAGAAAAACTTACCCAAACCAGCGCATAGCGGAAACTGTCGGCAAGGGATCGATGGATAGCATGACAAACGTGCTCGACAGTAGCTCCATTGCGCACAATCAATCCATCTTCAAAGTCTGGGTATTCGCCGCGTCTCTTGGTGTATACTCGCATCAGGTTCAGCTGCTTCCAAATGGTGTCCACAAGAAAGTCAATGTTGAGGTCTTGCTCGCATGATACAACGGCAGTATTGGGCTGATGTGCTAGTCTGTCCAGTTCTTCCATGGTGATCTGATCAATCTTGTTGTAGCACTGCAAGGCATTGTGATACGGAATGATGTTTGTCAGTAGTCGTTTATAATTTTTAAACCTTATTGCTTAACTACAGTTTTCCCTCCCTTTTTTCGTTCCTGTGCTCACAACCACCCTTTGGCATGAAAGTACTCCAGCCCACCCAGATTAGTACTCACGTAAACACATTTGAGGTAGCGTCGGTTACCCAAGATGACATCGATAAACTGATCTACGTTGATGTCTTCACGGATAACAATATCCGCATTGAAGATTTCTACAAAGCAGAAGCACACAAAAGTTCATGTTAGCCCGGCTCTGTGATCCATCTCCTTTTTACTGGTGCTCTATCACAAATCCATTGGCCGTTCAAGTCCAGTATCCCTCTTTCTCTTTCATCCACTTGTTGTTGTTGTTGCTCTCCTTACTGTAGTCATGTAGGATATTATGCACCATTTTAGCGTCGAGGTAATGCAGCTTGAGTGTCGCGTTGAAACTAATGCCTCCTGCTTTTTTTATTTTGAATGATACGTTCGGGAAACTTTGGTTTAATCGGATGCCTACTGCCTCCAATTCGGCTTCCAGTAACTCGCTAGGAAACAAAAACACTTAATATTTTCCCATTCATCTCTTTCCTTGTCTCTCTCCAATTTACTTACCGTTGCTTTGCTGACTTTGTAGCATCCAGCATCATTAAGACAATATCAGCCGTCCTTGCCACTGCAATGACTTGACGACCACGACCCTTGCCCTGAGAAGCTCCCTCAATAATACCGGGTAAATCAAGAAGTTGGATAGTGGCTCCTTTATAGGTAAACTTGCCAGGAACGCAAGTCAGCGTTGTAAACTCGTATGCTGCTGCTACTGACTCGGTTGGCGTCAACTTGGACAGCAACGTCGACTTGCCTACGGACGGGAAACCAATCATGACCACACGTGCATCACCCGATTTCATGACATCGAAACCTTCTCCCTATATTAAAGAATGTCAGTGTTTTCCATTGAGCCGCCACACACAGGTGTATGCATATTATTTATACGGAAAGGGGTTGTCAGAGGAGAAGTAGTAGAACAAAAAAAAACTCAGGGTACCTTTTCTGATTTCGTTTTCGATCCTTCAATGAGCTGAACACGGTATTTGGCCAATTTGGCCTTCAAGAGACCAAGATGGTATTCCGTAGCTTTTCATTACAAAAAGAATCGCGCTTAGTATCATTTGAATTGCGTACAAACTTTCGTTTAGATCCAGCTTTTTCCTTTACCTTTGTTCTTTTGAGTACGTTTGATTTCGTTCTCAATGTCTGTGATTTTCTCCAAGATACCCATGGCTATATTTTTTTTTGTTTGTACAGGTCCTCCTCTATTACTACACTTTTTTTTTTTTCAAGCAGAAAAAAAATCCGTTTCGGGGCTTCCGCTGATCAACCGAGTAAACGAAGACTGAGTTTGTCATACAGTCCCAAATACTTTCTTTTCGTAGTAAACAAGCTTCAATCAATTCAGAGTTGTAGTCATAGCTTCAACGAGGATTGGCTTTGTATCTTGGAGGTGTAGAATACAGCTTCTGGATTTGGGACATCATCCCATTTAAACTTTGCTTTTCTCATGGAAAATAGGATGCAGATCACACTTGTCAATAAGTTGCCGTTGAGTACTCAATACAAGAAGCTTGATTGCATGGGCTAAACAGTTGTTGGATAAGGGACTTCCTCATCTCTTCTCAGGAGCGTGCTGTCCTTAGAAACTGGATCATCTAGGATACGAATGATACACACATCAGAGAGGTTTCGCAAGTGTCGCTATGAATAGTATGCATTATGTTTTATTGCATGCAAACAGCAAAGCTGTTGTTGTTGCATGATAAGCGATCGTATCCGTGTCAGCCTCAAAAGTGTATATACTTGCTTTGCAGATGGTTGGAAGGTGAGCTTTTATAACTTACATCTACTTTTCTACCCTACTTGCAGAATTAGGCTGTGGCTGCTCTCCTTTTTGTTGCATGCCTCGCACTTTACAACAATCCTCGAGTGGGTCCGTCCTCTGACCTACCATGTAAAACATGCGCGGCCAGGAGAAATCATCCACAAGATGGTTGATTATACGCTTAGATCCTACAATTTGCTTTCGCACTGTAGTAATATGTAACAAGTGCCTTTAGAGTCTCTGGTTGATGTCATTTTTCTATGACTTGGATATATGTAACAGACGTTTGATCTCCAGTGTTTTCTGTATAATTCATCTTTGATAAATAACCGTACGATTGTAATGACTTATCAATGTTCACCAACTATCGACTATACAAGCGAATTTGTTCTTTGTCGAATACAAGCACATGTGCATGTTTCATACAGGGATACAAAAAAAGACAAAAACCAATGCGTGCGTTTATCTTACTGCTATGACATGTGTATGCTGCTACCAAAAAGACTGCACATGACTTGCGCACCGTCATCTACGCGTACGCTTGTGTATATGCTATACTCTTTGCTGTATTCTCTGGTCACTTTATATTATGGAGCGGTCAAACAATATTGCAGGAAAAAGTGGACTGACTCGAGAGTTTTTCACACACCTGGGGCCATGCTGAATAAGCATCATTTTTAATAAGCCACTTCACAGGAAGAAAGCAAAATGAACGTCCAGAGCAAATACATAATACGGACAGATTACATAGATTGTATATCATCCTTCAAAATAATGAAACATCATCAGGTCCATGCACAAGCACGCAAAAGGCTATTCAAGGAGGGACTTGAATCATTGATATGCTGCCCAAGACAAACTGCATATTGCCCACGAATGGTTGGTACATGACACGATGTATAGACTCCGCCCATTGAAATTTCACATGTCACTTACACAACGACATTGTTGCTGTGGTAAAATTACTCCACACTTTTCGTTTTCTTCTCTTTCACTGTCTCTTTCACTTTACACACACACTCTCTCTTACCCCCCCCCACTCATGCCTAAGGAACTCAAAGTATTCACCCGCGAGGAAGTCGCCAAGCATAGCTCTGAGGATGACTGCTGGATTATCATTGACTCTGAAGTCTATGACGTGAGCACCTTTGCTGATATGCATCCAGGAGGCGCTGAACTTTTACTTGAGTTTGGTGGCAAAGATGTTACAGGTAAAGAAACGAGCGAGAGAGGAGGGAGATCCATCGAAAAGGAGAGCTGACGCCATATTTGCTTTTGCTTTAAGATGACTTTTACGGTCTCCATCGTCAAGAGGTCATTGTCAAGTATGCTCCTCGTCTCAAGATCGGCACTATTGCAAATGAGAAAGCACAGATCGCCATTCCCAAGCCTGGCGATTTGTCCAAGGTGCCTTATGCCGAACCAAGCTACTGGATGGGCTTCAAAAGCCCTTACTTCAAGTAAAGTATTAGACTAGGACACTGTGTACTTGATTCTTTTTTTTTTTTGGGTTTCATGCACTTACAATCTATTTTATTTTGGGTGTTTGTGCGTGTATTCTAAAAAACAAAATCAGCGAGAGCCACACTAAATTCCGCCAGGCACTCCGTGAGCTCTATGCCGACATCAAGGTACGGATTGGTATACGAAAGGAAGAAGGGAGTGGGGAGGGGGGGAAGAAGCTTGATGACAGCGCGCGCCATCATCCAAATGTTTGCTCACTCCAGTTTCACTCTATACACAATTAGCCTGACGCCATCATCAACGAAGAACTCGGCAAGGCACCCAGTCTCGACTTGTACAAGTTCTTGGGTGAGGAAGGCGTTTTAGCTTCCCAGATTGGTCCTGGCCCTTGGCTCAAGGGTCTAAAGTTGCCCGGTGGCATTAAGCCTGAGGACTTTGATTATTTCCACGAAATGATTGCTCACGAGGAAACTGCACGTGTCGGCGCACCTGGCTTTGTTGACGGTATTTCTTCCGGTTATAGCATTGGTTTGCCTCCCGTCTTCAACTTTGGCCCACCCCATTTGAAGGAGCGTGTCGTGCCTGAAGTGCTTTTGGGTCGCAAGCGTATCTGTCTTGCCATCACTGAACCTTACACTGGCTCTGATGTCGCTCAAATCCGCACCACTGCTAAACGCACTCCTGATGGCAAGCACTTTATCGTGAATGGTGTCAAGAAGGTAACGTAACGTATATTTAAGAAACTCTTGGATATGCATATAGAGGGGCGAATAGGAAGAGGCAGTCCAACTAACTAATTATGTTCTCATTTGTGTGGGCATTTCGATAGTGGATCACCAACGGTACCTTCGCTGACTACTTTAGTGTGGCTGTTCGTACCGAGAAGGGTATCACTATGCTTTTCATCGAGCGCTGTGAAGGCCTTGAGACCAAGGGTGTCAAGACTTCGTACTCGGCTGCTGCTGGTACTTCATACATCACCTTCGAAAATGTCAAGGTGCCTGTCGAGAACATTCTTGGCAAGGAAGGTCAGGGCTTCCAGGTCATCATGTACAAGTAAGGTTTATCGCTCTGTTCAATGAATGCTACAGTTAGTGAGGATGTGTGTAAGCGCGCCGTTCATATTTAAAACTGAAAAACTACAGCTTCAACCACGAGCGATGGTATATTTGCAGCTCAATCATTGCATCCACTCGTTCGATCATCGAAGGTAAATAAAACATTATGAGAGTGATGATGATGATGGTTTACTAAATGATTTCATTTTACTATCCATGTAGAATGGTATGTTCTATGGCTTATATACGTCCTTATTGAATTGGATAAATCTTTATCGATCTACTCAAACACGCTTTATTAACTAATTGCTGGTTCTATTTCATATAACGGATCAATAGCTTCAAATGGGCACATCAGCGAAAAGGTAAGTTAGTTTTGCATAGTTTGTTTCTAAAAAAAAATTGACATGCACTGAGACACCCTATCAATAATAACATATAGTTTTCGGCAAGCGCTTGATCGACCAGCCTGTCATTCGTGCGAAGATCGGTGCCATGGTATGCTATACTCTATTTCACTGTTATTATGCGACACTTTAAACATATAGCTGACCATATCTAAACTAGATTTCGCAACTTGAGCCCTGTCAAAACTGGCTTGAAAACATCACTTACCAGATGTGCAACATGCCTTATCTCGAGCAATCCCAAAAACTTGCTGGCTCCATCGCTTTGCTTAAATACCAAGCTACGCGTGTTGCACACAATGTTTCTGATGACGCTTGTCAGATCTTTGGTGGTAGAGGTATCACCAAGACTGGTATGGGTAGAGCTGTCGAGTCCTTCCAAAGAACCTACAAGTTTGCTGCAATTCTTGGTAAATCATACATTTGTTTTTGGAAATGGGGCAGGTAGAGATGGGACATCTTTTATTAACAAAAACTAACAATAACGTAACGTATTCAGGTGGTTCCGAGGAGATCATGAGTGATCTCGGTGTGAGACAGGTTGGTATCCTAGCAATAATTAGTGATAAGAAACTTTGAACACTATCTAACATGGTCAATTTTGTTTTGATAGGCCATGAAGTACTTCCCCAAGAACGCCAGATTGTAATGGCACATGAGTAACAATCGTGCGTATACAGCTTAAAACATTTGTCTTGGTTATTCGAAATAAAAAATCATCATCGTCGCATTTTTTTTGTAATTGTGAAAGGACAAAAATTACTTTTACATCCACTTTATCTGTTCCATCAAACGTTTTTCATCTATAATACACCATTCATGCATATTGAGCATAAAAGCATCATATTAAATACTGCCTAGGAATATGTGGTATATAACACTCGTCATAATATCCAACAAGGCCCTGAGATTAAAAAACATTTTGCTGCTGGATAACTCCGAAGGTTCTCAACGCGAAGTTCGACTTACTGTCGATATCGAGCTATTGACGTGCTATTAGCATATTTCACTGGTATCTTACAGTATGAGGCTGCTGAAATACTAAGCTATATGATAGCAATCAATAATAATATAGTTGTTCCGAGTGATATGTTCGTGTCTTCTCAGTAGTGCTAAATAGAGTACGCAGCGAAGATAGTACAATGCATCTTAATATAACTGACCGGAATACTTTTTGTTTTCCTTATTCATGCTGCTTTATACGTAAAGTATCGTGATGCTGCAATCATTACTTGTACAATTGTAGGTTGTACTAGGTAAATCACTCTTCTGCTGGTCTCGGAATCATGTGTTCGCATATAGACCTTCGTGAGATAGTAAACAATATCATTGATAAGCCAAGAAAACTGACATGTCTCGTGCTCAAGATAAGCCCTGGTTTCATGTAACCTATGGCGGATCCCATTACATAAATGCAGCATGGATCGGCGTTTTCTTCATTTTAACTGGAACAAATGAGCTTATGGAATATCATTTTCAAGTAATCCACCGTGGGGACACTGTGCAATCTACATTAAGAAGCGAGAGAGATCAAACCATTATTAAGAGCTGACAAACTTAATGAGGAAAAGGAAACAGTCTCTAACAACGAGCTATCGTCTATTTTACACCCCTCATTTTAATCAGGATCTCATATGAAGAAGACATTATTACGTACAGTGAGTTACTGTGTACTTGCTGATTCATCAAGATAAGGTGTCAATATACTGCATAAATCCATGCCTTGCTTCAAGATGTCTCCCCGTCAATTAAGCAAGCTTTAACATAACTCACGTATCTTTGTTTCTGACAGTAGATACAAAGCACTAACGTAATAGTCTAGCTTATTAAACATCTTCTCTAAAATTGAAGCCTTTATATATAGTTAATGCATACGTTTTCCTATCAGTGCACGAGTATACAACTGCCTTCCAACATCGTATAATATGTAGTATTTAGTTACGCTTCTTAAAAAAATAGAATTTTACCGGGTTCTATTTTACGCTTGCAACGAGTATGTAATAGTCGATACAGAAGCAAAAAATACTAACGGTACTCAGAGGGTGTCAAGCTGTTGCTTAATGGAAAAGAAGAAGTGGTGCCTTAACTTCTTTAACTAAAATGGGCAGAATGGTTGGACGCCACTCGACGCCGGCACCTATACCCGACCCATATATGTATATATATACCGTTAAATTACCGCCTCTTTCTTTCTTTGTCAAATTTCAGTACTCGAGTATAAAAGAAACGACAATACTTTGGAAATGGTGAAATAGGATAGTGAGGAAGCTGCAGGATTACTAGCCCAGCTGCCGACGGGCGAAAACAGTGGCGCTGAAGGACTTGGCAACGGCGATTCGATATTGGGGTCTTCGGGGCTTAATACTTGATACATCTTAAAAACGCGTGTGACGATTGGTTGGCAAAAGGTACTATTGGATAACCATGGACATAGGCCTATCATACTTTCCCAAACTTTATCACTGGACTAATGTTTTTCTTATCGCTTTGTAATTCTTCTATCTCGGCACTGGCCGTTACCTGCGATTGCGATTTCTCCTAGATATAATTTTGAAATAGAGTTGGTGAACCAACCAATACAAATAGACAGCCCGTATCATATCACGTTTACCGCAGATTTATCCTCAAAGTAATTCATTTAAAAGTCTCAATACGATACTACTGAGAGCAATATGCGCCACCGTACATCAACTGTGCTCGTTTCACCTTACCTTTTTTTTTCGTTTTTAAAAAATGTTTAACATTAATTATGATGGTAGTGAACTCTTCTAGTTGCACACTATATTGTCAGCTTCACAAGCTTTAAGATACGACAGAGTAGAGTTTGTTTGATAAGATTCAGAAAAGAGAGCCTACAATATGTATTATTTCCTTTCGCTTACTGCTTTGAGCTATGTATCTCTATCTACAAATCTCAGCTACAGAAACAAAAACGAAGATATGTAGTAGATAAATCTTGCATGTCAGATCTGTATAAATACCCAGTGCCTCAAATGTATGTAGTTGCATTGCTTTCCCTCGCTTGACATTTTTTTCTATCACGCTTTGCATATACATACTTTTAATATCATGAGTAGTTTAAAGCCAAAGGTAAAACTGCATTATAAATGAGAATGGAAAAGCTTCCTCTAGTTTTCTATATTTTAACATACGTAACATGGAGTAATTAAGCAACAAAAGACGACTTATGCAAATTCTATATATGTACATCATATTGCTTTGAATTTAGATGGATAGCATGACATCTGCAACTATATCATGCAAACGTATGGATGACGTCGAAAAACTATCAGAAACAGGTTCAGCATCCAGCACATCTATAGATTACGACGCAAAACGGTTAGAAGAACTAGGTTATAAACAAGAATTCTCACGAGAAATCAGTCTTTTCGCCCAAGCGGGTTTCTCTTTCTCTACAATGGCTGTATTACCTAACTGGCTCGTTGGATTCAGTGGAGCAATGAGCACAGGTGGTCCGATGTCATTATTTTGGGGTTTCGTAAGGAGCATTTCTTTACATATCGTAAATATGGATATATACGTGCTTGATCAAAGCTGCACTTACAGCAGATATCATTGTAGTTTTAACAGCTTTGTTTCGCTAACTATTGGGTAATAACGCTGTAGATTGTCCTGTCACCTTTCATTACCTGCATAGGTCTCGCAATGGCAGAGGTCTTTTCAGGTATGTTTGATTCTAACTCTTAAATGGGGAAGGGGAAGGAGTTTACTGCAGAAGTTAACCGTATTTACTGACATGATTGTTGAATGTGGTTTCTCGCCTTTTTATATGTATTATAGCTTTTCCTGTGAATGGTGGCGTCTACTCTTGGTGCTACCTTTTATCTAATGAAGAATGGGGTCCATGTATGTATTATCACCATCAAAAGAAAAAGAAATGTTTTTACATACTAACAACAGTTGTTGTAATAAAATAGTAATGTCGTGGGTTTGCGGTTACATGTTTTTGGGCGGCAATATAGCAGCCATCATGACAGTATCCTATAGTCTCGGTGAATTTGCTATTGGTAAAGCGATATATAATTTTTTTCTCAACGAAAGGAATGAAGGAAGCTTCAAATTTTGCTGACAAAAGTGAGTCGCTATATAGCAACTGCCAATATCCTTAACGAACATCAGATTGCAAACACCGGTGCTAATGTCGGTTTATTCATTGCATTTCTGCTCGCTGCTGTCGCTTATTCAAATCTCGGTATCAAATACAGCGGCTACCTCAACCAATTTATTGTCCTTTGGGCAGCTGTCGGCACATTGATTATTGTCATTGTGATGCCGGTCATGGCACCTACTCATCCGTCCGCCAAATGGGTCTTTACCGAATTTCAGAATACTACTGGATACGCAAACTCTGGTCTCACTTTCTTCCTTGGTATGCTACAGGCGGGTTGGAGCTTGGTAAGTATATAATGATTGTTATGATAGCAGCGATACCTATCATTGGATTGACGTTAGGTTGTATGGGTGATAGTAGAGTATAATAACTTAATTGGGAAAAAATGTTTGTAGATTGGATATGAAAACGGTGCCCAAATTGCAGAAGGTACAAAAAATGCTGATGTAACTGGCCCACGCGGTATCGTTATTTCGATTATTGGCGCCATTGCTCAAGGTATCGTTCTGTGCGTTGCAACGCTGTTCTCGATCCAAGATCTTGAAGAACTTCAAGAGCGATCATTGTTCCCGCTCGCCACTCTTTTTGTTCGCGCCACGAATGAATCACTCGCTGCATTTTTCATGGTGCTTTTGATCGTCACCCAGTTTGCAACGCTTTGCAATGTCTTGCTAGCAGCATCGCAGTTGACTTGGTCTATGGCAAGAGACGGTGCTATTACTCCTTATCCCGAGTTCTGGTACAAACTATCCGGCAAGCAGCAAGTGCCACTTCGTATCCTGTTTTTGCTTGCTACCATTTGTATCATTGTAATTATGCCGGTAAGCATGCTCATCAATAACTAACTACTATCACCATTTAACTTCTGCTGCCTTCCGCTTGTTGTGGCTAGTACTGAAGCAGAGTAGCTGATATAACGGGCTTATTTACTCTTATATATGTTATTCTCAGACATTCAGAAGCGAGGTCTACTGGTCAGCCATCATGAGTACTGCTGTAATTTGCATCAATGTTTCATACGGCTTGCCTTTCGTCTGCCGCCTTATTTGGAGGCGCCAAGATATGCCTAAAGGTCGCTTCGATTTGGGTCAATACAGTCTGCCCATTAATATTATCGCTATCGCTTGGATTGCATTCTTTTGCGTTATTCTTTGTATTCCTACAGTAAGCCCAGTGGCCCCAGAAACCATGAACTGGGCTTGTCTTATGATTGGCGCAATTGTCATATTTTCTTTGGCATTCTGGTTCCTAGGTGGTCGTAGAACGTACAAGGGTCCAATGCAAACTCTTGCCGAAAAGCACTAATATATCTTCCAACATCTTCCTTCTATCATCCATCATCTTTCTCCTTCTATAAACACTTTGATATTTTGTATAGTAACCGTATTCTGAGTATCATCATACATTACTCTATTGATTATCCTCTTTTGCTTCCGAATCTTTCAGACATTTGCAATTAAACATAATATACCACATATGTAACATCATCTTAATACAAATAGCTGATAACATCTTATATAACTGTATATCGTAGCTAAAATTCATGTTCCGTTATTTTGACGGTCTCTATGATACTTACCTTTAAAACATCAATGGCGTGTTATCATAAGCGAAAACAATTTTGTACCCTTTATCCTAGTAGTTGTAACAAAGCGATAGATAAAACCTTTGTTGATGGAATAAATTCTGCTTCTTTCTATATTGAAATGTATGGGGAAAAAGAGTAATAATTGTACGATAAAAATGTAGAAATCTCTGCAGGCATAGAAAATGCATTCTTCACTAATTCATATATACTATAAGTGTATATACTACATGAATATGGTAACCTCCATGCTTCATCCGAAAGGCCTTTTACTTGGTTTCCATACCGTCCTCATCCTCCTCGTAGTGCTGGAATTTTCCGCTTATGAACCATCCTGTTCATCTGCTGGATCATCAAGCTTGAACAAAGTACCAATACCACCATTGAGGCCTCCCAACAATCACCATGAAGGTCATTGCCTCCGAATGGTCCTGCAGTCTGTAACATAGCATGATTGCTGGTAATTTTGGCTCACTTGGAGCTTGTTAAAAATTTGCTGTTGTTCTTGTTCCTGCTTGGTCAAGCTACCGTCTTGAGTCGTCGTATGATAAAAGAAGAAGAAAATTGTTCTGAGGAAGCTGATTATTTCTCGGTACTACCGTTCTGCTGCTGCTTTTGTTGCTGGTTTGTTACTTCATTTGCTGCTCAATTTTCTCTTTGTGGTCAATGTATGCCTGAACAGGAACTATGACGTCTTTAGGAAAGATCTCTTCAGTTTTCAATTGATTCCGAGAGGCTATCCTGGAGCAGCCGACGCCTGAGCGATAAAGACAGTGGCGATACATAGCAAACAGCGAGAAAACTGTCAAACGCATTATTTAGGTAGTATGAGTAGTAGCTGTGTGTAGAGTGAATAAGAAAGTGATATGTGTTTGCTGGATTTTTCTCGTTAAAAGGGTCTCGTTGCTTATATTTGTATGTTTCTTTCTCTTCTTATAACGCGTCAAATATATGAACAGAAAAGCCTCATCAGACAGCGAGCAACATACATATGATGCGAAAACACACCATCTTAGATGTATGTAATCATTAGACTTTTGAAGCGGAAACGGTAAAGAGTGGTGTTGTAACTTTTGTCGAAGTAGGAAGCATTTATGTGCTATTTCATAGATTATGATGGCCACTTTTCCGGTTTTGTCCAACTCCTCCTAATCATCAGAAAAAAGAGTTTTTCTTCGGGGAATGTTTGAAAATGCAGTTGGATGCGTGGAGTCACACGGGTCCTAGACGAAAGGGAAGAAAAGAAGGGTAAGAGAATTTCAAGCAGCCGAATAGTACGGTACTATCTATCTCATATTATTGTAGTAAAGCAAACCACCATGATCCTAAATGCAACGGCTGAATACAGCCAAAAAGACATATCCTATAAACCATCAACAATATTTTCGCTGTCGGCGTATCACGAGACAGTAGTTTTCTCTTTTAATTTTGCATAGAAACGCACTATTCTAGTATTAGCTAATCTAATATCAAGTATAGCATATACGACTTAATAGTAGTAGTGAAAGCTAATTATGATAGGATGGGAGTCGAAGAGAAGAAAACAAACACCACGGTGTGTGTGTGTGTGTGTTTGTTTAATTCGATTTCATTGTGTTGCATAGAGGAAAAAGGAACAGCGTTACTTTGTCGGTTCTGCTACTACTGCTTTGAGGAAACAGCTGTTTTGCTGTGCGTACAACAGTGGCATAATATGGAAGCCATTGGACTTGGCTGCTGGCTTTCAATACCGTTAATTCATTTCGGGAAAGAGAGGTCGTTGTTATGTACGCTGTTGTTGCACGAGGTTCCACTTTTTTTTTCCTGGCAAACGACAGCGTGAATAATAGCTTTTCCCTTCTCCTCTCCCTTCTCCTCCAATAGGTTTCGACGCCATGATTAGCGCATTCTTCATCTACAACCAAAAGGGAGAAGTTCTCATCTCGCGCCTTTATCGTCATGACCTAAAGTAAGCTGATACAAAGACAACCAGGGGCAGCTCATTCGTAATGAAGGAACATCATTCCATAACAGGCTGTTTACCTATTAAAAAGGCTCATTGCCCTCATACACATATGTTGATATATGGGATTGTATGCACACTAACAACGCTTACACACTCATACTCTTTTCCTCTTTTAAAAGACGGTCGGTGGCGGACATATTCCGTATTCAGGTCATTTCCAACACGGACGTACGTTCACCCATCATCACGCTCGGTTCAACTTCGTTTTTCCACGTTCGTCACGAGAATCTTTATATCGTTGCCGTAACCCGTTGGAATGCCAATGCCGCCCTCGTCTTTGAATTCTGCTACCGCATGGTTAATATCGGCAGAAGCTATTTTGGAAAATTTGATGAAGAAGCCGTGAAGAACAACTTTGTGCTTATTTACGAGTTGTTGGATGGTAAAGCATCATTTTTGTTGTCATCTATGTGTTGCCTTCATTCTGAGCTCCATTTGGTTTATAGAGATTCTGGACTTTGGATATCCACAAAACAGCGAAACGGATACGTTGAAAATGTACATCACAACGGAAGGAGTGAAATCCGAACGAGCAGTGGAGGATTCAAGCAGAATTACGATTCAGGCAACGGGCGCTATTTCTTGGAGACGGAGCGATATCAAGTATCGAAAGAACGAAGCATTCATTGATGTCATTGAAAGTGTGAACTTATTGATGAGCAACACTGGTATGTTACTTTAGAGGGTAAGGGCTCATATAGAGGAACGACTTACTCATCAGTACGCGCATTTTGTATTCGTTTTTACACTAGGCACTATCTTGCGTTCGGATGTTGCGGGACAAATTTTAATGCGAGCTTATTTGTCGGGTACTCCCGAGTGTAAATTTGGACTGAACGACAAGTTGCTTCTGGATAAGGATGTTGTGAATAATCGACCAAAGTAAGAGATAAAGCAAGACTAACATCAGATTGATATGGGGGAGCAGATGGAGAAAAGTTGTATCATGTGGATCTATGTTACTGACAATAGATGTTAATAGTGCACGACGAGCGAACGCTGTGGAGATTGATGATTGCCAATTCCATCAGTGCGTCAAGCTCGGTCGCTTTGACAATGACAGAACAATCAGCTTTATCCCACCCGATGGTGAGTTTGAGCTTATGAGGTAAGCAAGAAAATAGAATTGAATGGTTTTGATTATATAAAGCGCGAGTCATCTGACTCATATCGGTCAATTGGTAGATATCGAACCACAGAAAACGTCAATTTGCCATTCAAGGTGCATCCTGTTGTCAACGAGATTGGTAAAACACGCGTCGAATACAAAATCAACGTCAAAGCCAACTTTTCGCCAAAACTGTACGCAAATAATGTCATTCTGAGGATTCCGACACCACTCAACTCTGCCAAGGTCGAAGTCAAAGTCGGCTCAGGCGGCAAAGCCAAGTATGCACCGTCAGAAAACTGTATCATATGGAAGATCCCCCGTTTCCAAGGCCAGGCAGAGTTCACATTGAGTGGTGAAGCAGAATTGACAGCCATGACACACAAACGTGTTTGGTCACGACCGCCCATCTCAATGGATTTCCAGGTGCTCATGTTTACTTCTTCGGGTCTTCTTGTAAGGTTCCTGAAGGTGTTTGAGAAGAGCGGATATCAGTCTGTCAAGTGGGTGAGATACATGACCAAGGCTGGATCCTATCAAATTCGGGTAAGTAGAAAGAAAGTGAAAAGTCCCACATAGCAAAATTACAAATCTAATTTGTGTCCTTTTTCTAGTTTTAAACGCACTCTTGAATCACTTTTTATCCCAACAAACGTCTCCCTTTTCCTCCAACATTCCGTACAACAAACTCTTGTAATACCCTTAATAATCACATCACTCGCACACAACCGTCACTTGTTTACACTCATAGAAAACTCAAAAATCACATAAATTAGCGATCAAACGTGGACATCGAAAAAAAAAGATGAATTGGTACCTCGCTATAGCTAGCTACTCTCGCTGATTACTACTGTGTTGTAGTTCTAGAGTTGGATGTTTTCCTGATGCTTACTGCTGTGCAACTAAGCTGCTTAAGGACATCTCGGCACAGGTCTCCATCTTCTCATTACTGCGCAGGACAAGATGAGTCGGTAATCTAAAATTAACGTATATACCACTACGCGACGCTTTTTTGCGCCTCTGACCAGACACATACACTAATGAGCGTTCCAGCATGGGCTTCCGTGTTGATCGCTCTCGGTGCAGTAGCCGCTATTGCACTTTCTGCTGATCATCTCTACAACCGCATTACGCGAAACCCCTTCAAGCCTGCAAAAAAGCATTGCTTCATCACCGGTGGCAGTACTGGTCTCGGAAAGTCGATGGCGATCCAGTTGATTAAAAAGGGAGCTAATGTGACTATTGTGGCACGTCGTCAATCTGAATTGGACAAGGCTGCACAAGAAATTGAGGTACGCATTGCAAGCTTTTATATTCATCATGTACTTTTGTTTTTGTCTCGAAGCGAGAAAGAAAGAGAAAATTTAAAGAATAAATAGGCATGTAAAATCAACGAGGAGCAACGCGTTGTTACTGTTAGCGCCGATATGACATCCAAAGAGGATGTCGTCCGGGCATTGGATGAAGCCAAGGTCAAAATGGGTGTTGTCCCGGAAATTGTATGCACTTGTGCAGGTAAAGCCCCCCGAAACGATCGAATTTTTCTTGAGATGGAACGGATACAGTTAGTAACGTCAGTGCTAATATCCATCGTGTTTAGGTGCCTCATATCCAAAGTACTTCTTGGATCACACATTGGATGAATTCGAACACCTTATACGCCTCAACTACCTTGGCCAAGCGTATGTTGCTCACGTAAGTATCAGCTGCAATAAAACAGTCTACTTGGATAGATAATCAATAGTTAACTTATTTATTTTTGTAACAGCAAGCAACACTGTTGATGCGTGACAATGGAGTCAAGAACGGCAAGATTATCTTTGTTTCATCTATGCTGGGTCTTTTAAGTTTCACAGGCTACTCCACCTATTCTCCCACTAAATTTGCTGTCCGTGGTTTGGCTGATACTCTTCGTAATGAGCTTAAGCGATACAATATTGATGTGCATATTTTCTTCCCCGGAAATATCGACTCGCCAGGTTATGAAGTTGAGGTATGGCATATAATAAGAGCTACCGGGAAGGATTATCTATTGCGGTTTGGAAACATTGAATGACACCTCTTTCTTTCTGTGTTTCCAATTAGAACAAGACAAAGCCTGAAGTGACCAAAACCATTGAAGGAGCAAGTCCAGCCATGGATCCCATGGATTGTGCTCAGGCGCTTATAAGCGGTTAGTGTCTTTACCTTCCTGCTGCTCAAAAGAAAAAGGGACGCACCGTGCGAGCGTTCGAATTACACGTTATAAGATCAACAGTAGTCTTACAGGAGGAAAAATTCTTAGGTTTAAATGCAGGCCATTATATGATTACAACCGAGTTCATTGGCGAAGTTTTGCGATGCGCTACCCGAGGTTAGTAATTTTTCAGGTATAAAAAGTGACAGAATGTAACAATACATCCACTTTTTTCAAATAGGTGTAAATCCATCAAATAATTACGTTATCGACTTCCTTCTGGCCATGATTGCACAGGTAAATAATTACAGTAAGCTGTGGATAATACCAGTGTCAGTGGGGTTGAACGGATTCAAAAGCTCCGTTGGCGACCAGGTATTACTCACACAAAGATTGAAATAACCTTATTTTTTTTAAAAAAAAAATAGCCGGTTGGATCCATCTATGCTATTTTCATGGATTATGTCGCCCGTCAGACAAAATGAAGATCAAAATACAAGCAATAAAGGGACAATTGTGCGTATATTTTATACTTTAATGGATGTTAATAATACAATGGAGGTTTGTTTGTATGAAAATGCATAAACTTTGTACTACATGAAAATGACGGAGCAAAAAAATAATGTTATGCATTATGTAAGTTCTAATTTTCTTAGGCTACATATGTACATATTTGCTGAATAAGTTCTTTTTGTGCATGTACAAGGAAAACGGTCGGAGGGAAGGGTATGTTATATAGTCAAAAGAGAGGTAGAGGTGTGGATCTTAAACAGTGTGTTTGTTGCCACGTTAGTAGGTGGAGTATGAGGGGTGAAGGATCATGGAAATTTTGATGAGTTGCCTGGGCTGGTAACAGCATTCTCCAGCGCTATCATAGCTTCTTCCCTATACTTATATTGTAATGCTGCGGTGTAGCTGGCATACTGATTTTGCAAGGTATCCAATAGTTCTTGATATTCGTCCTGGAAGCTTGATTCTATCGATTCCAACTCACTTTGTATTTTGTCGCTGTATACTATTATACGATAAAGTTACGGTTACTAAGGTCATGTCACATCCGTTATTGTACTTAAGATTTTACTGTTCTTATAAACTTACGCTTAATTTCAGCTTCAGTAGCATTCTCTTTGAAAACTAGAATAGTTGGAGAATAAAATATACAAGGGGTGAATGTCTGTTGTTTGTTTCCTAGATCCAACAGCAGCTACTACTCTTACTGCTACTGTCTGAGTACGGGTATTATGTATTTACCTCGAGAGAGTCTTGCAGCTTTGGTCACTTCCTTTTGCTTCCGTTCCACGTTAAGCGCCTTTGGATAGGTCAGTAACTAAGTAATATAACAAATGAGATTAGTATTATTGTAGTGGCAAGGATATTTAGGCGCATCATCAAACTTTCTTTTTACCTCTTTAATCAGTTGTCCAGCACGTTTTTTGAAAATATCCAAATCCACCGCAGGATCTTTCCCAGCAACATCCAAAGTGGGATCTTCATTCAAAACGTCCAAGGGGGTGTTTTCTCCAACGACATCCAACAGACGGTCTTCATCATTAACAACATCCAATGGACGGTCTTCGTCTACAACGTCCAACGGACGGTCTTCAACATCGTTCAAGGAAGGGTCCCGGTCGATAGACATCCTTTCATTTACAACATCTTCTGTACCCTCATTAACTATAGAAAGAGCCGCGATGTTTCCTTTCTTCTCAACATTCTTATCCTCTTGACACTCGACTTCTTGCTTGAAATTACGCTCTTCTTGTTGCTGATGTAGTGCTACGTTGGTCTCCACTGCCGTATCTGGAACTGGTGTTGGTGGCTGTACTGCTGTGAGCACATCTGCCTCGTTTTCATCATCATCGTCGCCGACATCTAGTATATTCACATCGCTGTCCTCGTCAGTGCTATCATTTAGAATGAAGGGCGATTCTTGTGTGCCGCCTCCAGACATAAGTGTGGTTCTTGTTGTGGTATTTAATGGTGACAGGGACGGTAAAGGTGGCGTCTTGCTGTTGCTCGTAGTAAATGTAGTAGTGCTAACACGTTCAGCACCGGGCAACGATTGCTCCAATTGCGCCTCGTTGTTGCTCGTAGCAGTAGCAGTAGCAGTAGCAGTATTAGTAGTTGTAGCGCAGCCATTTTTTGGGGCCGGCAATAACGGCTCTGGAGGCGTGTTGTTGCTGATTGCAATTGTAGAAGTAGAAAGGGTGGTGGTGGTAGAGACATTTTTCGGATTGATCACTGACGGCCCATGTGAGGGTACCATGATGTTATTTGCAGTAGTCGTAAAAGTAGCAGTGCAAAGACGTTTTGGAACACGCAATGAGGACCCCAGAGACGCTGGTCTTTTTGTCTGCCTTGAAGACAAAGAAGAGCGGAAGAGGGACGGGATAGCTCGAGCAATAGATTTGCGTGACATTCGTTCAGTATCATCGAGATCATGCCATGTGTTGGAGGCGTACATTGTATTTTGGAGGAGCTTCTTGTGCTTCCAAACGGTTTTCCAGTCGTCAGTATCGAGGTCAGCTGCGCCTTGACATAGTATAGGAAATGCACGTTCTTCGATGGTGCCTTTAGTGATCATCCACACACTGCGTTTGTCGCCGTCAATCTTTGTAAATATAGCGTCGGAAGGTAATATACGAATATCGAACACGATAACAATGTCAATGGTTGGCCGGCTAGACTATATATATTTTTGTTATGTGGTGTGTTCATATTAATTTTTCGTAACCGCTATCCGTCACATACATTCAGGAACATACCCATTTTTCGGTTCTATCCTTGTCCGTGGAGAGAAAAACCCCATGGTCATTCTCCCAATTGTCTTCCAGTATGACCGGGATACGCTCGCATCGGTAGTCGTGGGATCGCAAAAGTTGACAGATAGTAGACTCCGTGTTGTGATTTTCAGTGATTATGGCAATATCAAATCCCTGCCATTACCACACCCCCATTAGCATTATATATATTATCGCCACACTAATGGTTGTATTATATAAACATTTACCGCTTGCAAGCCTGCTATCATATCTAGCAGTTTAAACAAGAGTGATGTCTTGCCCGACTGCTTGACAGCTTCTTCGGGATCTTGCGACCCATAATTATCTTCAGAAACCTCAGAATCTGGATGGTTTAGAATATTCAGCAGCTCTTCGAATCGATTTCTCAATGTAGAACACGTTCGATTGGTGGTATTGGTACCAGTCTGAACTGCATCATCGCACTTTGTTTGTTCATACTGTGTTGGTCGTGCAAACATCATTTCAGGCAGTGATACCGGCGGTAGTGATGATGATGGAGGTGGAGTAGGTTGTCTTATCGTGGTAATCGGCGCTGGAGGAAGCGGCTGTTCCTGCTCCGTAAGCTGACGATGTTGCTCTTGTCCTTGCTGTCCTGAAGGAAGAACAAGGTCAGGTGCTGTACTCTCTTGCTGCTGCTGCTGCTGCTGATGTTTTTGCTCCTGGTTTTTTGGAACGCCTTTCTCTGTTAAAGGAGCAGAATCAGAATCACTCTCAGCTACAGGTATACTCTCTTGCTGTTGCTCTTGTTCTTGTTCTTGTTGAATGCGCTTCTCCGTTGTGAGATTAACGTGCCTCCGATCGTCCTCGACTGCTACTGCTATCTGGTGTAGTTGTTCTGGAACTTCTTGCAACAGTGTCTCTTCCAAGCTTTCGTCGACTGTTGTTGTCATTACTGTTTCTGCTACAGTTTCTTGTTCGCAATCTCCACTGGCTGGCGTCAAAGTCGTTGTCGTAGTAACGTTATTTGCACCGTCAGTAACAGATCCATTCAATGTCGGAATTGTTTCCTGAGCGCGTTTGTTCCACCACTCTGTCCATTGTCGGGTATAAGCGTTATCACTTTTCCACTCGATCCCGGGATCCCTATATTGAGCAGCGATCGGGATGGAGGTATCAAACAAATTCAATCCAGATATTCGGCGTAGACGATCGAGAAAACGCATTGAGGACGGATCTACGATCTTGGTGGGCATATACTACAGTGGGGGAAGAAGTTGCGCAATAGAAAATGGAAGAAGTGTAGTCGGAAGTTCCTGGGCTTACATTTTGGTCAATCAGAAGGCTGTATAAGAATCCTTAAAGCAGCCAATGACAGCTCTGAATAAGCTTTTACGTGTAACACTTCAAAATACTGGTGCATGACATTGCTGTATCACCATCATATGCCATAGTAGTGTCTCTAGTTGAAAGAATCAAAATGCATAATATCAACGACAATATTGCAGGGGTTACAGGTGCAAGGACATAACTTTTATGCAATGCATTTTTTATACAAGGTCCTTTTAAAATGCGTAATGATATTGCGCATAACTAATACACGATTTATCACTTACGTTTTGTTTGATCACTAATAGAATGTTTGTATGGTAGACTAAGTAGTAGTATGCTCTGTCAAAAGAAGCAGCGTTAAAGATAAAGGGATCCCTTTGTGTGCGATAAAAAGGAGCCCATTCTCTATTTACCAGTGGTCATTAATGGAAACAAGCTGCTTGTAAGGTGCGGACAGGAACAAGACAAGACAAGAACAGAAAGACCGGACGAGAATGTGCTAGGTGCTTTCAGCAAGAACAAGACTACAGGAATGAGACCCAAAGGTAGGAGACCAGATGGTGAGAGAAGAGACGAGGAACAAGATATAGGAAGGAAACAAGATATCTGACTGATGTTTCATTATTCAAAGACTATGGTGTATATACATGGAATTTACTAATGCGAATAAACGGAAAGATTGGTATCAGGGTTGATAATTCGGACGATGATGATGGATGATATTGTTACTTGGGGATTTAATGAGTGATCATCGAGGTTGAGGGTGATCACTTAGTAGAGGTCGACTCCGTTGGATTGTTGGGCCTGCAAGACATGTCTGGGCTTTATAACAGTCATTTTGAATAAAAAAGTAACAACCCATAAAAATACCCAAAATCACTTACGAGCTTTCTACGCACACTGCGGACAGGGTACGTCATCCTCACTATACGGTAATACATAAAGGTCAGGGGGATGTTAGTCGTTGATAAGAAATTGTCGTCATGCCAGGTGCACTTACCTAAGTGAAGGCGCCGCCGGGCAACACAGGACTCAACCAGAGCCCTGCTCTTCAATGGTAGGCTAGCAACCGATTATAATAACGAAATTCTCACACGAATGACAACTTCTCACACAGCTTCACAGCATAAAAGCACAGCTCACATGACGCTACCCTGTGCAGGTCAGTGCCCGAGAGAAAGAGAGCGAGAGAGAAAAGAATGTTAGACCATTGGTTGCAAATAGAGAATCACTCATCGTGACGATCAAACAGCAACTGCAATGACAGAATGTTAATAAAGTCATACGTACAAAAGGCCAAAAGCAAAAAAAAATGATGCGGGGCAAGCGCGTTGAAAGTTAGGAAGAAATACCAACGTCTCGATGTGTCGTGCAGTATGCTACTATTATAATCTTTTTGATTATATCAATCACATGATTTCACTAGTGTCGTCAGCAGTGTTATGACAGTTCCCATTTGATCATGGAGCAAAGTGACTAGATGATGTCAATTACAAAATATACACAATTTTTATTTTCTAAAAACAATTTTATAGTTGTTGCTGTTGTTTGATTCTAAAGGTCGTCTATGAAAAAGAGCGGAAAAGAAACGCTGTCTTAGCAACAAAAGAAGATTGCTTGTTGTTGTACTTGATGCCCATATACCATATTGGATTAGTGATGGACACTATGAGAATGATGGATGATGCATACTTTTTTAGAGGTAGGATGCCTGCAACAAAGGTGGATGGATTAATCAACGTTAAAACGATGTTTTCTTTCTTCTTAACTTCAAGGGTCTCTTTTTAATTTTCAGTAGTCAATGGATTTGCAAATCTCACCCTTCTACTAGCTGCTTCCATATCGCTTTCGGAAATGTTATGCTTCCTATCGTCTGAAGGGATCTCGTAGACGCCACCCAGGATCAAGTAGGGCCGGTAAGCGAACAATGCAAGTTCCTCCATGGAAGTAACGCCAGAGAGCACGAGAACAGGATCGATTTCGGAACTGATACCGGCAACAATACTAAATAGACATCAAAGACTAGGTTTAGATCTTGCAATTACAACTCGAAAGCCATGGAAAAAAAAAAGAGTACATACTCAGTATCCATGCGATCACCAATGATACATGTTTCCAGGCGACTCAATCCGAGAACTTTTTGAGCATAACGCATGATCAATGCCGAAGGTTTACCGCAGAAGAATGCCTTGGTGCGTGTCACTAACTCGACACAAGCCGTGAAAGCACCGCATGATGGGATCTTGTTACCCTTTGAGTCCAAGTTCTCTACATCCAAGTTGGTGGCAATCAGCTTGGCACCTTGCTGAACCAGCTGGACGGCTTTGCTCAGCTTTTCATAGTTGTATGAAGGACCTTCGCCGAGAATGACATAGTCTGGATTGTGATCGTTCATGAAAAAGCCCTTGTCATACAACGAATAAGCAAGACCAGGCTCGCCAATCACGTAACAAGTGCCACCCTATAGATGATAATAATGATAATAATACCCTTGTCATTAGCCCTTTCGTTTTCCTCTCTCTCTTTTCATATTAGCCTTGAGAGCAGACATGGCTTACATTGGGCGATTGAGAGCTGAGGAAATAAGCAGTTGCTTGACCGGCAGTGAAAAAGTGATCCTCAGTCACTTCAATACCGAGACGGCTCAGCTTTTGTTGCAATTCACGTGGCGTGGGTGCAGAGTTGTTTGTCAAAAACAGGTACTTTTTGTTGTTTCTGTTCAAAAAGTCGACAAGCTCCTTTGCACCTGGCAAAAGCTTTGTGCCCTATATACGCATTTCAACGTGACGGTCAGAAAGAGAAGGCCATCGTAGCAGGACACGAGAAGAAAGAAACGTGGAGATACTTGCGTGGTAGATGACACCATCCATATCAATGATGAAGCCCTTCTTTTGACGAATGTTCTCAAGGCGCTCGTTATGGATGGCAGGGTTCTTCAACAAGGCCCAGTCCTTTTGAACAGATGCCGAGTTTTGGCGCTGTCTGTCGCCTTGATCGTGTGTATTGAGATTGTGGGCAAAGTCGGCAGCAAGGTCTCTGCTGATGGAGTCTTCTTCCGGGTTGACAGAATCAGTGCTTGGCTCACGGATCTCGGGGTTCTTTTGCTGTTCTTCTTTACCAGACATGATGTACGACTGTTTGATTACTGTGTCAAAGACGGGAATTGGAAAGACAAATGTGATATACCAGGGAATAGAGGGTCTCTTTTTTATTATCGTACAAAGTGGAGGGGGGTTGGGAAGGGTAGAAATGTTCTGTTTACTGGGGTGTGTGGTGTGTGGTAATGTAGTAATGCTGAGACGCGCGGTCATAGAAATATCCATCAAATAACGCAACAACCCATGAAGAAATCTTTTGATGCAACGGTACGTATTGTAGAGCATAGCGCGTTATGCGTTGAGGTAGTAGGTAGATAGATATGCTGTATTTATGTTGTCATGGTTACGTCAATCTTATTCGTCATTTTCGACGGCCCGATTCCATTCTTCTTCTTCCTCAGGCTTCATCACAAATTCCTTGCCACCCAAAAGCGCGCGTAACTTCGACGTCTGTCGCGGTACGATTACTTTTAATCGATCCGAGAAATCTTTAAACTACATGGTTGGCAGTTTCATTTTTAGTTTTTTAACAAGTACCTCTCTCTCTCTTCCTCAAATCATTATATTATCTCGGTTTGAAAACTTACGTTGCTCACATCCAGCCAATAGCCTATTCCAACAGCAAGTATACCGGCGCCACCGAGTGCTAAGAGTGATCCATAACCCAGTGCTTTGAAAGCGAAAAACCGTGCTTCTTGTTTTGCTACGGCGTATTCTGCAGGTGTCATTTTCGGTGGCGTGTATTCTGGAATGTTTGATTTTGGTGATTGAGGTATTGACAATGTTGCTGCTGGTGATGCCGTCGTGGTAGTGGTATTCAGGGTGGTGTTTGTGGTCGTAGTTTTAGCAGTAGCTGCTGTTGCAACTGCTGCTTTTGCTTCTGCAGCTGCTTCTTTGGCTTGTTTTCGTTTCGTATGCCAGATCGCACCCATGAGACCCGCTCCAAATGCGCCTGCTGCACTTAACAGTAATCCTCGAGTCTCGATCTTTTCCGGTTCATTTCCCATTGCAGTCTAGAGGTTTGTTGTTGTCAAAATTCGGAAGTATACTTAAACCCGGAAATCAAAGAGAGCCCGAAGGTTGACAGCGGCTTAATTAAAGCAGTCATTGTAAAGTAACTACGCTTTGTATCTGATTATTAATACCTACTAGTGGTATACATATTTTTTTTGTTTTGTATGTTCAAGCTGACTAGTATCATTACTGTATCGCAAGTAAGAGAGTGCGCTTCTCCTATCAACTGCTTTAGAGAAAGTATGCGTGAGCTTGATTTATGTGGGTTACTAGCCAGCATTATGTGCGTGAGCTGTCACATACAGATGTTGAATTGCCAAAATTGAACCTCTGCTACAATAGTATCTTCTACCAGGATTGAAGAGATAAGCATGTATCTGTATTTTCCAGCAGCTACTAGAATGTATGTAATAGTGGTAGTACATACCACCAGTTGACGCCTTACACGTGGTAGTCCGCAAGTTTCTCATCACGTCCCTGTTCTTCCCCTCTTGGAGGATCAAACATCACTCCTCCATCATTCCTGATATGTGTACCTTATTGGACGTTTCTCCTCTTTTGTCCTTTTCACGTCCTGAGCAACACCCCCTCCCTCGCGCTTAGTGCTAGGGGGTGAGTGTTTTTATGCAGAAAAGCACTACCTGTGCTCTTCTTTGCCTGGCTTAAAGCACGAAAAAGCTTCTTTATCTTGAACGCTAATTCACACTGGGCATTAGAGGATGCATAATCATTATCAATAACCATATGACAGAAGATGATTTATTTGTTACACTTTTTTCAGCTTTTCGGTGTGGTGATGACAAACATTATGCCATCCCATACACACATTATATACTGCAACTGTTTTAACCAGTTGATACGCTATAACTAGTATAATATTCTCCTATTTTTTCAATGTGCTGTGTATTCAAGTACATACACCAAAGAAAGAGAGAAAACATCGATGTAATGAGATCGGCGAACGAGGGTTTGAGATAAAGAAAACATGTGTTTGTGCATGAAAATATAATAAAAATACAACAACACATAGCAATACTAGCAAAACGTAGCAAAAGAGAAAGAAAGAACATGCACAATTATTATCATTGCTTATACGTTTTATCTAATGCTGCATCATGGTATCTAGTTACTATAGCAGTGAAGGAGAAGGGGCGATCCGCTTTTTCATTGATGATCCGCTTCTTCATTGTTGATTGCTGCTGCTGTGTTTATATAGTATGCATAATGATATGTACTAAAGTAGACTTTTCAACAGGCATCACAACGTAACAACAACTTTTTTTGAAGGGAGAAGAGGAAAGGAAAGGGGGCTATATTATTATTTACCTAGAATTAGGGTAAAGTCAAATTAGGAGATTGACGTTTTAGAGTTGCTGTTGCTGTTGTATATAACGCTAATACAGTGAATGCTTGAAACAGTATCTGACATGTGATGAAGATTTCGCTTAGAGTTTAACAAAAAATAGAAACGTGGTTTATTATTATGACCTCTATGATACAAGAAAGGATTTGTTGGTGAAAAGCAGAGGGTTAATTATGATTTGATGAGGAAGAATTAGTCATAGAAAGAAGAAGGTGAATGGATTAGAATCGATCTTATGTAAGCTTTCTTTTTGCTTGGAGAAATATTATTTTTAAAAGGCAAAAAGATAAAACATTGAGGTTGCTATTACTGGGAAATAAAAGGGATCAGGGTGGAGATAGGTAATATGGTGCGTAAAAAGAAGAAAAGATAAATGATCTCGATGTTTTGGTGCTGTTGGAGTGTGTATGTTGTGTGTGTGTGTGTATGTGTTTTTTGTTTGTTAGAAAGGAAAAGGAAAGCATGCAAAGAAGAAAAGATAATAAAGAAAAGAAAAAAGCAGAAGATGGGCAGTGTGTTGCTAAGTAAGTACTAGAATGTGATAAGGATAATAATGGTAGTGTAAGGTTTCTTTCGTTAGAGATTGCAAAAGTTTGAGAACGGATGGTACGAAGAATGGTGAGGAGGAGGATGGTGTGGTGGATGGTGATGCTGAAGGCGGTGCTGATGATGATGTGCAGCTGGAGGAGAAGGACCAGTAGGTGGTAAGGTGCTGGAAGTAGTAGCAGCAGTGGTGGTAGTTGCCGAATTATCGGGTCCGCGTAGATTGTCTCCATGACGCTGTTTCTTTTCCTTGACTCCAGCATTACTATGACGATGGATGCGGATATGTTGGTTCAGATTATCTGAACGCGAGAAACGTTTATGACAGCTCTGATAAGGGCACTCGAAAGCTATAAAGTGCAATCACACGTATCATTCTTAGTATACACATGATCTCTAATACAACACAGACGGCGAATATGAATACAAGAAAAAGCTTTACGTTTTTCCAAGGTGTGAATGGATCGAATATGGCGTTTCAGATGCTCGGAACGTTTAAACACCTTTCCACAGCCTTCGGCTTGACAGGTAAACATGCGTACGCCGTGCGTGGGTATGTTTGATACCCGACGGCCGCGGGATCGAGGCTGTGGAGGGGGCGGAGGAGGCAACGTTTCATTTGTTGCTGGAGGAGCTGGTTTGACGTAGTCTGGCGGCGTGGTACTCCACATTTGATCGCGACCATTGTTATTCATGGGCGCTGCTGCTGTGCCATTACCAGGAGCGCAAATGTCATGCATAGTGGCACGTCGGTAATTGTTGTACATGTTTTTCGATTCATGGGTCTCGAGCGACAACGACATTAGGGGCGACACGGGAGTGACCGGTCGAGAGGAGGAGGAAGATGCAGAGGAGGATGAGGAGGTGCAAAGATGACCAACAAAGTTCTGCATCATTCCTGCAGTGGGGCTACTCAAAGCACGTGGTGGTCTACCATTATTACTACTATCTCTGCCAGCTCCTTGGATGACCGTGCTGTTGTTGCTGCTGCTGCTGCTGTTGCTGCTAGTGGCAGTAGTAGTGCTGTTGGTACTGTTGTTAGTGTTGGTGCTAGTAGTACTGTTGCTATGGTTTATAGTGTTGCCTACATACGGATATCCAAATCCATCGTAAAACGATGCTTCCCGGGATGGCTGCTGTTGCTGTTGCTGGAGAGGTCGAGCAATGGGAGACGATGGTGAATATGGCATGTTGAGCGGATGCAGACTGGTCATGGATGTCATGGGAGGTGGGGGAGGTAGCATGCTCATGGATTCTTGGGATACTCGGCTCAAAAACGACGGAGAGGATGTGGAGGCAGTACTTGTTGCAGTAAATGCTTCACGCTGAGGTTGTTGGCTTTGAGAATGATGCAGATGGTGACCGTTTTGCTGATGCTGATGTTGTGGATGGGAATGACGTTGGTGATGGCTGTTGTTGTTATTGTTATGATGGTGGAAGCCCTCGGTCGATGAAGGAAGTGCAGCTGCTTGCGAAGAAAGCAATTGGGCGTAGCTAAACATGCATTGCGACTGCGATGGTTCTTCTTTCAAATTATTAACGGTAGCCATGTAGGAACGGGTAGTAGTAGTTGTAGTAGTAATAGCTGTGGTAGTATCTGTATTAGTAGGAGCAGTTGTAGTAGTAGTAGTCTCAGCGTCTGCCAGTTTGTGTTGGTTGTTGGATGAAGACAAGGAAGTGAAAGAAGAGGAAGAAGAAGACACTGTAAATGTTGGTGATGATTGATCACCGTTTGCGGGGTCAGGATGAACAAACGTCAATGCGCTCTCTTGCGCGTCATGGACCAAAGGATTGATAGCAGGGGATGACATATGTTCTTAGGAGAAGGCACGATAATCAGCGAGTGTTTTTGGGAAAAAAGGGGGGAGAGGAGCAGTAAAGAGGAAAGTATATAGCTTTTCCGAGCGATGTTTATAGCAAAAAAAGAGAGAGTAAATGTGGAGTGTATGTGTGAGTGTAATAGTAATAATAGTAGTGGTAGGAAGAAGGAGGAGGAGAGAGAGAGAAACAAAAGAGAAGAGAAACATAGTGCGTGAATTATATAAGGAGAAGAAAGGTTAATGAACTGGTCAGTTTGTTATAACACAGTGTTTGTAAAGTGTGTTTCTTAATGCAGGATCATCTTTTTTCACAATATATACAAACTTTTTACTGTACACAGACGAAGAAGCACATGTTCTCTACTGCTGCTTCCAACGAGCAGCCGTGATCGCTTATTCCTCACGGCGGCACTTATCCATAACAATAATGACGACAATAAATATTAATGATAATAGTAGTGGAAATGATAATAACAATAAAATTATTAAGTACACAGACACAGGCGCAGCAGCAGAAGGGGGAGAGGACCGATTTAAAATTGCTGATAAAGAACAAGAAAAAGAAAACTTATGATCAGGACCGGCAAAGACATAAGAACGGCGATTGTTTGCCAAGTAAAAAAAAAAGAAAAAAGTTGAGCACAAGGGCACAGGATCGGCGTTTCTTCTCGTAGCAGAAGCAGTAGTAGTAGTAGTAGTAGTAGTAATAGCACATAGTCAGAAGAACAGGAAGAGAGAAATGCGGATCAGGGTTCTTCTTAGATAGACAACGGGAAGCTCAAGGATGGAGTGAGCACGAGATGCTCTCTGTATCCAGAAAAAAGAAGGGATAGCCCGCACACACCCCACAAGGTCCTGTGTGTTATACACTCTTTTCTCGTCGGTAATAAGCGTCACGATAAGCATACATTATGTGGTTGTGGTGGTGCTGGTTCATCAATTATGTTATTAAGGAGTCGAAAAAAGAGATACTGTCCCAGTGTTTGCTATTGATGGACTCCTTATTAACAGTAACTAGTACATAGCAAGCTGCTGCTGCTGCTGCTGCTGCTGCTGTTGCTATTTCCATTATAAAACAAACATTCTTGACAAGCTAAAAGGCGTCTGAATCACGGTACACTACTCGAGACAAGGACGCCCCGCTCGTTTCGATCGCCTGCTGCTGCTGATATACACAATTGATTGGCATGCATACAAAAGTACCAGCATCATCATCTCATCATGGGCGTTTGCGTGAGTGAGGTGCATCGTCTCTGTATCGGGGCAGATGACCCTTGATAATTGCCTAGACACATACAGTGACGCAGGACAATAATGATGACGGACCGCCAACTTTTGGCAGCTAGCTTTATCCTTCTGAAAAACCTTGGCACGACAAAGGCATCCTGCTGGCCTTGTTTTGCAATATGTAGTGGAATACACATTATTCAAAGAACCTCTTGTTGTTCCAAGAATCCCTTCCACATATAAAATTGTGCAACACAGCCTCCCACTCTTCCCCAAAGAAACCATCCTGCCATACCGGCTTCCTGTCTGGTACATAACACTCTCCTGGGGTTCGCTTGAGTGTGCAAAGTGTGAATATGTGAGCGACTGTGCGACTGGTTGATGTTGTGCATGACAACATGGTATTTTTCGAGCTACGACAAATGTTCTATAGTGTTCTTGCGAATATTCTCTGCTTGTTCCTCGAAATCGCAGTGTAACGGCTGCGTTTTTATAGCTGTCCTTTTGTCCTTTATCCTTTTCTTCCTTTTTTCTTTCTCTCTTTCTTCCTCTTTTGACCATTTGTTTCCAAGTTCTTGTACACTTCTTGTATGCTACTATACTGGGGCATGCGCTCCTAATTCCTTCTCTCTTACCTTGGTAGTAAGGGTCAAGATCTGAAACGCTAATGTTTGCAATGGTGTTTTCTTTTTTTATATCATTGTGTCTATCATACAACCTACAACAATCCCCCTATTCCCCATTTCTGCAGATCACGTTGCGCCTTGTCATTGTCAATCTCGAGCGCTACTAGAACCTCTTGAAAGAAGAAAAAGTAGTGTTATTCTACCTTTACAACACACACCACCACCACCACCACCACCACACGTTATCACGTACACCACCGCACACCTTTCCACCACAACCACCAACGTCCTCTTAAACCACCACCCGGTTTCCAATAAACATTCACTCACTTCTTCTCTCTCCCCCCTCCCTCGTCCCTTGTGTGTGGGGGAAGAAAGAACAAAAGTAGAAGTAGAGAAAAGAGTATCTACGAAACAAAAACGTATGAGCTACTCCATTGACGACGACCCAGCAGACTATTCAATAGACAGCCGTGCAACAAGAGTCCCTATAACAACAACACCGTCATTGTCATCATCATCATCATCATCCATAGTACCGATATTACCAACCACAGCTGCTGTCACTGCTGCTACTGCTGCTATTAACCTCGCTCCAGCTGCTACTACTGCTACTGCTACTGCTACTGCTACTGCTACTGCTACTGCTAGTACCACGTCCACTTTAAACACGAGAGAAACACCACCAGCCGCCACGGCAAGTGACCATCATCAAGTGAAGGCTTTCTTAGCCAGCTGCAACCTTTACCAGTACTACAATGTCATGATCCACGAAGGATTTGATCAGCTTGAAGCGGTAAAAAGACCTGCTCAGATCCGCCTTGCTCAGCAAGAAAAAACGCCGTTTCCCCGCTTTCCCCAGATCCGCTGTACTCACACTCTTGTTTCTGATTCGTTTTTAAATCTATTTCATAGCTGCTTGAAGTGACCGAGCATGATCTGGAACAAATGGGAGTCAAACGAGGACACCGACGGGTAAACCATACAAGAGAAAAAGAGCAAAAGAAGTAAATAAACTGGAGATGCTTAAAGCGTGTACTTTATTTAATAGCTGCTGCAGCGGGCCATCTCAAATATCAAAGGGCTGCCCAGTCTCTCGCCGCTGTTCATCAACAGCCAAAATCTAGACTATTTTGGATCAAGTGATCAACATCATCATCATCATCATCACCACCAGCAGCAGCAGCAGCAGCAGCAGCATCCTCATCCGGAAGGAGGTAACGTCTGTGAGCTTCTAGTCCTCCTCCTCATCCGTCTCCCCCTTTTGCCCCACACAATGTTTTTTTTTCCATCGAGCACACACACCACCTCCTAACCGTCGCTTCCTTTCCCCAAGAACACGTCCCTTCTGCATTTCGGATGTTGAATACTAACGAACAACGTTCTTTCTTGTTGTAGATCTGGCGCGGGACCAATCCTCTTCCGTACTGCTCACACCACCGGCATCCCATGCCTCTTCTTCTGCAGGCGCAGTGAGCCATCGTGCATCCGTGAGCTCGATGAGCGGCGGTGCCCAGACCAGCTCCTCAAACGACGAAGACATGGTGACAAGCGAGAACATCCACAAAATGTGGAAACGCAAGTATCGACGGCGCGCCAAGGCAGATGGCAATGCACCCAAAAAGCCTCCATCGGCATACGTCATGTTCTCGAACGAAGTCCGTGCGGAACTCAAGGAGCAGAATTTGTCCTTTACGGCGCTTTCCAAGATCACCGGTGACCGTTGGAAGAACCTCAACCCAAACGAGAGGAAGCTCTATGAAATCAAAGCTGCCTATGCAAAGGAGGACTACATACTCGCCTTGTCAAAGTATGAAGTGACGGATGAACACAGGGTAGGGTCCGGCTCTTACTAGTACGATTCGTTTTTGCTTTTCCCCCTTTTTTACTAATGATGTCTCTCTCTCTCTCTCTCTCTCTCTTTGTGTACAGCAATACCAGCAATACTTGAATGAGTTCCGCATGCGACATGACTCGCCTGGTGGTATGTAAAAGAGAGAGAGAGAGAGAGAAGGACGATCCGTGGAAACTCCTCATAATAGCCTTCCTCTTCTTTTCCAAGTAGTAAAACCGAGAAAGCGAACACGATCGATTGAACGCAGATTCGAGTTAGCGTGCATGTCCCCTTGCGAAAGTATGGTCTCTGATCCTCTGTCTGCAATCTCCAGCTCCACTATCACCACTTCCGGGACGATTGCGACAGCGAGTAACAGCAGCAGCAGCACCACCACCACCACCACCGCCACCGCCACCAGTGAAACATCAGCATATCCTAATTCCATATTACCCAGCAGTACCACTGCAACGGCAACCAGTTTTATGCGTGCTGCTCTCACTCCCGCGCCTACTACAACGAGTGGTAGTGCTATGAGCACGGGTGCCGCGGCTGCCACAACCGGAATCACAGCCGAACAGCTGGCGCACCCACCAGAACCTCGCATTTATCCGTACTGGTTACTCAATAATGACACTACAAACGACCAAGCGTCATCCGTCTCTTCTTCGTCCAATCGGACCCCTGGCGATGTAACATACGCAGCAACAGCAACAGCAACAGCAACAGATCACTCACAAGACAACGACCCTTCCCATTGAAAAGAAAAAAGCTGTACAGTTTCCATGTAATAACACACTTCAAGATCATCCCAAAAATATAATGACGTATATTGCTATTATCTTATTTACATTCATATTGTTTTTTTCTCTCTCCTCTCCTTTTTCTATAACGAAGATAAAAAGTCACCCAAACCTCCACCTTTCTTTTCGGCCTCCTTTGACTGTTGCCGGTTTGCAATCATTGCCTGCAGCTGGTTCTTTTTGTTGTTTTTGTTCTTTTTCTTTTTCTTGTCGATGCCAGCTGGCTGTTGTTGTCGGTGCAGTTGTTGTTGTTGTTGTTGTGGTTGTGGCGGTTGCTGAGATGGTTTTGAAGAGGGAGAGGGTGGTGATAAAGAAGAAGAAGAAGAAGAAGAAGAAGCTTTTGCTGCTAGCGTCGTTTTCATTGTTGTCGTTGTCGCTGCCTTGGTACCCGATGATGGCGCAGCCAAGGATGATAGATCAGCCTTGGGGATCCCCGGAGCTGATCCTTGAAACCTTTTTTTATGCGTGCAAGCATTGCATTGATATATCAGCTGATTTTTGCGCTTCTTGGTGCTGTTGCTGTTGGCATTGCTGCTCTTTTGTTTCTTATCCTTTTTGTGCTTTGTATCACTGGAAGAGGCCGTCTTTTCCAGCTTCACTGCAGTGTTGTATCCGGGAACATAGATCTGACCGCATCGTGGACAACATGCACGGGTAATGGATTTGGCCGGCACAAGATCTTGTTGTCGTAAACACTGTTGAAACTCGCTCATGTAAAATCGAGATAATGCCGGGCATTGTGCAAACACTGCATGACTTGCTTGAAACAGGAATTCCATTCGGCTTGATTGTGCCTTTACTTCAGTCATTATATTATTATAAAGAAAGAAAAAAGAATAAAGAGAGAAAAGAGAGCTAAATAATATATGTGTTTTTTGGCGGGCTGTGAAAAAAAAAAGAAAAAGAACTATTTACAATACAAAGAGATAGAGGAGGGGGAAACATTATTACTAGTGAAGGGGAAAAAAAAGAAATTTTTCTTTTGTGGTTTGTTATCGTCGTCGTCGTCGTCGTCGTCCGTCTCCGCAGTACATGATGGTTCGTCTTTATTCTCATGATACTCTGGATGGCACAGGTCGAGCGAGCGGGTGGTATGGGTGACTGAGCCGACGAGCATTACTAGTGCTATTGGTGGTATTCGCAGTGTTGTTGTTGTTATTATTAGGGTAGCTATTAGTATCGGTTATCATCATCGTCATGCTGCTCCCATCACCGGTATGGTTATTGCTATTGCCGTCCTTGGACATGGTAGTAAATGGCGCGGGCAACAGACGGTTCATACTGTTCGGGGTATACGAGGATGATGAAGAAGACAACGACGAGGACGAGGACGAGGACGATGACGAGCCAGCAGCAGCAGCAGCAGCAGTAGCAGCAGATGGTTCGTCGTGATCAGGTGGCTCGATCCAAGCATCTGGCTGCATCACGCGCGATAAGCGGTACTTGACGCCGAGATACGAAATATAATTTGATTTTGGGAATGCGCGGACGCGTTTCACGCCGGGAAAGTGAGAGTCTTGGATATCGACGAACGTGCCGCCAAGATTCAACGTATGCTCTAGCTTGTACTGGTTATTGGCATCGAACGGAACCCATTTAACCTCCATGAAAACGAGCCATGTAAAATACCCGGTCCGCTGGTGTCGGGTCACTTGGGGCGGTGTGTAATCCGCAGAGTGTTGCAGCGCATGTTCAAAAGTATACGGGTGATTACGAATATTGTTGCTAACCGTCATCCTATAGGTACATCAATACGGTAGAAGAAGAAAAAGAAAGAAACCCAAGGTGGTGTGTGTTGTTCGTTTTCAGGCGTCTTGTTGTGGATGTGGATGTGTCTGTGTGTGGGTCTTTGTATATACGACTATTACTTTGTTTTTAAAAGAGAAAAGAGGGGGAGTGGATAGCGTGTAGTAAGTAGTTGGAGAAACGAGAAAGAAGAAAGCGAAAAAGAGAGAGAGAGAGAGAGAGAGAGAGGAAAGAGGCGGAGGTTATGCATTGGTCCTAAATAGACACACATGGACAGTCGTACAGGCAAAGCATCTCGTAAGACGCTTCCAGCGCATGATCCAATATCCCATTCATATCGTGAGAAATCATATAGCCCTCGTCCACCCATCCCACCATTACGTCCTCATTGCTTATTCCTCTTTCTTGATGCACTCACCATGTACTCACCATGCACACGCTATACCAGTAATCAATGGAATACGTTTCTCTCGTTTTCCTTGGAACAACCTTTTTTTTTTTTGATCCTTGTCCACATGTGGCTTCCCCGATCTCTCTCTAACTCTTGTTCCACGACACATTCTTTTTGCTACTACAAGATACTGCAGTACATTGTGCAGTACGTACTGGGGCAGGTGTGATTACATATATATATATATATATATGCTCTCTCTTTCCTATAGTGTCTGTCAGCGATTCGGCTGTTTCTCATCATGCTATCTTGCATTTGTATCAATTACCATGGATGCTTCCAAGTGTGGTGGTGAGTATAGTTGGTCTATCTACGGCGATCTTTCCTCTTCATAGGGTTCACAACAACAAATACTGCCATCAATACCAGTTTGGAAAAAGGCCCATGATGGTAACGTGCCAGAGTCAGACGACACCATATACGGAAGGACCCGCCGTTTTACAATATTATGCAGTGCCATTTCAAGATATCATACACACATACAAACCCTGTCTCTATTGAGCTATTGTTCACAGCCCAGTTGGAAAGGCCTTGTTTGTTGGGGGTGAGGTGGGAAGAGCAAAAAGAAAGGATAGTATGTATGCAAGGGGTTGAGGCAGGCTGCTTTGTTGATGACAATGATGTAGCTGGTATGAATATGCCCTGTGCGCATGACGAAGAAAACGCAAGTCAATCTATTTTTTCCTCCTCCGACAGAATCTCTTACAACCGAAGATTTCCGTGACATTTATATTGCAATTACCAGATAAATTATAGCAACAACAGTGACCTGCTTTTTATCTTCAATGCCCTTCAGTACATGCATATACTCAACAAACAGTTGATTGAGTATTATGTAGCAGTATGTAGGTTATTGTGAGTTGCTGAACCTCCTTCATGTCTTCACAACGCATGAGTCCGATTCACACCGGAACCAGAGGGCCGTTACATCTGGTGGCACGGGTACCAACGCACGTACAATGATGAACCTTCTTCCTTGTGATCCAGAACAAATATCCCAAAGTCAGATGAGCTAATCACAGCCTATAACGCATACAGACATATGTAAATGCTTTGACAGAATCCATTTTTTTTTTTTGGGCGAGACCTTTTTTTGGGGGCGAGACCTTTTTTCTTTTAGCAAAATTGAGAACCGCGATGGCCCGACGAAAGTGTTGCTTTGGGAAAACTGAGCCCTTTTATTGAGAATGAAGCCAAGGCGCGTGTTAGCGGTAGTAGCCGAGTAGTTTACTAATACTTGATGATGTGTGATCACACGGGACTACATCTATCACTTTTTAAGAAGAGTAGTAACATTGTCATAATGACGACGATGAGAACTTTATTTCTTCTTTTTGCCACCTTCATGATCTTCTTTTTCTTCTTCTTCATGGGCAGGTTCTTCATCTTTAGGAAGAATATCTTTGATCGGATCGATTTCCTCGCGATAGAAATAATGAATGATGGATCGAGTCTTGTCCATTCCGATGTTATGAATAGGATGTGTAGGTGCCTTTATACGCATACGCAAAAAAAAAGGATCATTTGTCAGTCGATTATATGCTATGTATTATATCCACACAGTAACAGACGGTCCTGCCCCCTTCCGTATCCTTTCTCTAACAATGATCATCAACACCAAACCTCAACCGACTATCCCACCCCCCCCCAAACCCCAAACCCCAAATCCTGACATCATTTTACCAAAATGTTATCAACTTCGCCCATGGCCGTAAATTCATTGGCACAAGTCCACATGAGCGACGCAATGCCTCCAGCCAAAGAGCTCGCACCTCGATCTCGAATTAATTGCGCCTTTTTAAGATTGGGGGTAATGAGGTGCTGAGCAGTGGATAAACCGGATAGACAGTAACACGTATGATAGTAGTCTGCTCCTCTGTTCCAGAACATCCAAAAGTTGTTAATAGTCACGGGAATGAGGTGATAACAAGTCAAAAATGGCGCTGGATCCATATAATAGACATGCATGAATAAACGGACTGTTAAACTTACTTTCCCGGTTTGTCAATAAGACCTCCATATTTTGACTGACAGCAGAGAAGAATATATTCTTGTAATGCCTCTATATATAACATAGTACTGGTTAGTGAACGATTCGAATGGGCCATATTATACAGCAAGAAAACCATTATTAATGCTAAGAAACCGAGTTTACCTCGGTCAAACATATAATCGAAGCCTTTTGTGTGGGAAAACATCAGAATTTCAGTTATTAGTGTCCGTGTGTATGGGTAATCTTTTCAATTTTTAATCTTCCTCTTTGTTATTCTACCCAAGTATTACTGACCTTGAGCTTTTCCTTGACGTAGCATTTCAGTATGCAATAGGGGAAAACTACCTGCGCCCCAGAAGGAATAACAGCCATCCACTAATTTGTTTGTGCGTCCTTGAAATCCACCCTCCAATCCCATTTGTCGTTCACTACACCATTTCTACAACAACAGAGACATATCCATTTAGCAGAATGTACTACATACACGTATAGCAGGAAATAACAAAAAACAGCTCGAGGGAACCGCTTACAATTAGTTTATCCATATCGAACTTTTCCATATGTCCAAGAATTTCCATAGCAGCCACTCCACAGAAAGTATATCCATTATGCGCTTCCTTTCCCGGGTAGGGTCCGATGCCTCCCTCATACGTTTGTGCCCTATGATTCGTTTTCAATACCGTTTAAACAACAGATCAAAACAGACTGTGCTTCCTGTTCCTACTCTCTTTACCGGCAGATAAAATCAGAGCAGTTCTTTGTCAGTTCGGGTGTCAGTAAATTCGTCAATGTGGCTACTGAGAGCGCACAATAAGACCCTCTGTTCATTTTATGATACGTTAAAGTTTAGTTCGTGGGAAAAATAAACAAGCGCTCTATTTCACTATTCCCAGCCAATTGAAAGAAAAGGAAACCATTACCGAATATCAATTTCGCCGCCTGTGTGCATTGTAAAGGATCCGTCTGGTTGTTTCATACGCATAAGAAACTCGTACAGGGATTCTCTAATGAAAACCAAATTTCTTAAAGTATAAGAGCAATAATAACTTACAACCACTAACGATGGTAACCGCTTCCCATAGCAACGTATAAGTCCTGGATTTGATATCCTCGCCTTTTCTTTACCTGTCAATTACATCATATGCTTCTTTGGTCCCGAGAATCGCTAATGAATTGACGGCTGCATAAGTTGTTGCGAGATGTGCAATTTGATCCGGACCACCAGAGAAGCCGCCTTCTGGATGCTGCCATTTTGCAAGTGTTGATATGCCTCTTTGTCGTAACATTTAGCATGCAACCATCGTTATCAACCAACCCTCCTATTCCCTAATATTATCTCTGCCCTCCTGATCCATTTTTTTTTCTGAAACGCACGTATATAACACACCTTTCAATAATTTCCGGGGTAATTTCGGCTTCGAGGAGATCCAGAGAATGTAAGATCCAATACGTCAACCAAGGTTTACTCGCATCCAAAGAAACCATCCAACGGCTCAAATTGTTTAAACCGCGTTTCAGATATGGTACGTGATTTTCCCTTTCCAGTCGTATACTATTTTTTTGTTCGTTGATGTTATTTTAAAGCCGTGCTCTCTTCTTCTCCTTTTCTGCTGGAAATCATACCTCTCGAGTGATTGACGATAGACATTGTTGGGTGCATAAGGTACATAATGTTCCAATACAGATTCTTCGGTACGTTTCTATATAGGTAGGATCGCCGGTAAATTCAGTGTAAGTTTCTACGATCGGAAGCTTTACCTTCCTCTTCCAATCCTTCCTTGGTTCGAGTTTCTCCTGCCTGCGCAGCCCATAAACAACGACAACAACAAAAGCAGTAATAGCAACCTGCGCAATAGAAGAATCACTAGGAAGGCCGTCGTCCTGACATCGTAATTGTGCAAGCGGAATTTGGCCGTCGAGAATACCCATTTTGCTTTTCAAAGCAATTACGTGTTTGTCTGAGAAAATAAAAAAAGAGTGTTCTGACTTCGTGTAAAGAAGGGAGTGCAAAAGAAACATGTCGTATCTTTCGAGACGCGCAACAAAATATCCTGACTGCCGCCTATGACTTTTTTTGCCTCTCTCCTACACATGCTCTCGCATTCATAGCTCTGCATAAGAACGACAGTTTATAAAATCCTTTTTGCCACATATGCATGACAAAAGTAAAGAGTCTGGTAAAACTGAAAGTGTATACACAGCCCCTGCGGCATCAGTGTGTTCTTTTCTGTCATCATAGAAACGTGTACTGATAAAAGTTGTCCTTAAAAGTAGTAATACGACGCGAAGTGTTCCTCACGACCGACGAAAATATTATGCATTCATCGACCTAGTGTAGATTTTATTAGCGTTGTTGTATTACACGCACTACCTATCATCATGTGCATTGTCAAATAAACCATCCATTGCTTAACTGCCACTTAGTCTCGCTTGGGAAACTTTTTTTTGTCAGATGTGATAATTATTAGGATAACCTATTTGATCAACTACTACTTTTACATCCACTTTGGCATGTAACAGAGAAAGGTTTTCCTGAGTTTTAATAAGGCAGCAACTAGCTCTAACCCGCCTATAGTCGCCAATTTTCCAACGCGTCCTTTTCTAAAACACGAAAACTCCCCACACCCGTCCAAAAAAAAAAAGAGTAATGGAGATTGAGCAGCACGATCCCAATCAAGGTTTCATTACCACAGAATATAAATTATGGAAGAAAAATGCGCCCTTTCTATACGATTTACTCATGACACACGGTCTGGAGTGGCCAAGTTTAACATGTCAATGGTTTCCCGATGTTGAAAGGTACCATTTGACAGCTTGCACCTGATTCAAGCTTAAACCTTTAATTGCTCAACATTCCCAAACCACGGCACACATATACATTTTCTCTAATTTCTTTCTAGACGACCCGATCAAAACTATAAAACACAACGACTCTTGCTAGGCACGCATACAAACGATGAAGAACCAAACTACTTGCAGATCGCTTCGGTACAACTTCCTAACGATCAACACAAGGTCGATACACGCAAATACGACGATAATACAAACGGTGACTTTTTCTTTCCTCATCTAAAATCACTTTTCGTAAGAAAAATGTAGCTACATGACCACTCATTCAATGTGATGATTATACGCGTCAACAATTTTGTTAGAGATTGGAGGCTATGGAGGCTTCAATGACGCGAATATCCGAATCACACAAAAAATTGTACACGACGGTGAAATAAATCGAGCACGATACCAATATGAGAACCCAAATGTGATTGCAACCAAGTCGCGGACAGGTTCTGTCTATGTGTTTGATCGAACAATGCACGAGTCATTTCCAAAGGAGAACGAGCGATTTAATCCAGCATTACGGCTTCAGGGACATGAACGAGAAGGGTAATTATAATCCAAGAGAAAGGGGAGGAAATATGTGCATGCGTGCTCGTTCTGCAGGTAGTTTGTAGAGGGCACTGACAGTGAATTACCACTGGTGATAGATATGGATTGGAGTGGAACCCGCATAGTACAAGTTCAAATCACTTAATAAGTGGTGGATTCGACAACTTGATATGCCAATGGTATGTTTGTGCTCAATTTTATTCGTGAGCCATGTAATGTTTGTGTATTCTCTGTTTATATAAAGTCCACATTTCTGTTGTCTGTAGGGATATCGGCGATGCTACAAAAGAAAATCGCGTTCTTGATCCTGTACGGGTCTATTCTGGTCATACTGCAGGAGTTGAGGTATGCATATCGTAAACAAATGCTCTGTTTGTTGATTGTCCGTGGTGACACCGAATAACAACAGGACGAAAAGGTAAAGAGCCAATCTAATTGTCGGATATAGGATGTTGCTTGGCACTCGAGTCATGATGCAATATTTGCCTCTGCTGGCGACGACAGGCACCTGATGATGTAAGTTGTATGTTTCTTCGAGATAACAAAAGAAGAAAACAACAAATTGACTGATACGTTGTTGTTGTTGTTTTTGCTTTGTGCGCCGCGAAATCAAGATGGGACTCGCGAGACACATCGGCTCAGCCAGTACATGACGTATGGGCGCATACGGCTGAAGTGAATGGTGTATCGTTTTGCCCAGGAAACGAATGGATTTTAGCCACCGGGTCATCTGACAAGGTAATAAACTAAACACACACACACAAACCAAAGTGAAGGCGGATGATCAAACCTGTCTAAATGTGAATACGGACAAAAAGAAGGACTCATATCAAACGCAATGTGAATGTGCATATACACGCATTGTCCATTCGAATATTACATAGACAGCGGCCATCTGGGATATTCGCAACCTCAATGCCAAGATCCATAGTCTGAACTTTCACAAAGAAGAAGTTTATCATCTATCATGGTCGCCCCATTTCGAGACCGTGTTGGCTACTGCAAGCAGTGACCGGCGGATACTGGTTTGGGATATCTCCAGGATGGGAGATGATTCTCATGGGTCCACTGAGGACGAACCACCCGAACTACTGGTAACGTGATCTAATTTGTTCATTCGTAGCACCTTTCCTCTATTGCTCTTTTGCTTTTTCGCTCGTGCATGCAAGCAGAAACATAAAAATGTAACAATCTTGATTTCTTTTGTAGTTCATGCATGCTGGCCATACAGGAGGTGTTTCGGACTTTGGCTGGAATCCTGCAGAGCCCTGGTCACTTGCAAGTGTTGCAGAAGATAATATGGTGCACGTTTGGCAGATGGTACGAGAGTTTGTTGGACTGCTGGGCGTAGTGTTGAATGGAGAGGCTCTTCGGGAAGGAAGGAAGCAAGATAGAGAGAGACAGTGGCCAGGAAGAGGTCCATGGGGGTGGTAGGAGAGATGTTTTTGATTTACTGATACAGGGTCGATTAACGATAACGACTCGAACCAATTTTAGGCTAGCAATATTTACGAACATAACAACGATGGTGCAGCAGAAGATGATGGGATCGATAATAAAATGGAGGAATAACAATTACAAACCTGCAAATCCTCGGCAAATAAAAGTTGCTTTGTCAATCGTTTCGCAGCTGTTTGCGACCCTTTGCCGCACACAAAACATACACAAATGGTTTTCAAGTGAAATTGTAGAACTTGCTATGATCAGTTTCAGTGGCAGTGCTTCGCTGTACTAGTTCAGTGAAACACGTGCTGCCACCTCCTACTCTGTGTTCATATCATAAACAGAAGCACAATGTTAATAACCTAGGAAATATATGGCTTGGCAGAAAGAGAGAAGGGACGAAGATAAGGTCGTTCTGTTTTTAGAATAAAACACCTCGGGTATTGCTGGTGCTGGATTTTTTTTATCAGAAATCCGATTTTAAGTGAGGAAGCTTCGGAACCGAAGGGCTTATCAAAGCCCAACTGTGAAATGATATTTCTGACACATACACGCGCATATGTGTAGTCTGTGATTATTGATAAAGTGTGCTCTGTGTCTGTGTGTTCCATGCTCTCTTCTCTTTATCTGTAAACTACATTTAACAACTGCATGACCTGACCATGAGTGATCTCAATTGGTGTACTTGCTGTGACACTGCTATTAACCACTACTCTGTACGGCCGTTTCACTATTCAAATAAACAAGATTTTTTACTATGATAAACAACCAACCTGATAACCTTTTTTTTTTAAAAAAAGGATTCGCTCTATTGTAGTGAAGATTGTCTACGTGGAGATGCACTGAAGAATCACCCATTGTTAGGCTACGAATGGAATGACTTTGTCGACTTTCCACGTCCATATTATCAACGCAACCCAGCATTTTCTGCGCCAAATGCCTATCATGCACAGCCAGAACAGCAACACGACAAAGCAATAAATACTACTGCCATTACTCGGGCGACCGCACCCGACTCGATGCGGTCAAAAACAACTACATCTCGGCGGTCTTCATCAGCAATATTTCCATCGCTTTCACCTTCGCTGTTATCATCTTCAAGCACATCGCTATGCGCCTCACCTGCACTCACAGCTAACTCGACTACGCCTAGTAGCCCTGCAAGCAGCTCCTTCTATTCAAGTGCCTTGCCGCCTTCCAAATTTGACATGCTACTGTCGACCAACGATACCAAAAACACTAATAACAAGCATTCAAACAAGCATTCAACAATGACAAAATCGGTAAAATCCCAGGGATCATTGCTGTCCGCAAGAATGATTATGCCCGATAATCATCCGTCATAAAAAACGTGTCCTTTTCTCCTCTTTTTCCTTACTCAACAACTGTAAATAATAGCAACTTCTTTTCCTTTTAATGGGCGTAGCAGTAGTGTCTCCTCTTGTTCAAATCGATAGCACGCCATTGCCTTCCACAACAATTCAAAAAGAAAATAGAAGAAGCTACAAATCGTACATAAAATAATATAATAGGATACCCTATCACCATCTCTTGCAAATGCTTGGGTCTCTACAGCATGGTATGCTTCTACTTTACTGTAAGCAGCTCATTAAGCGGAGGTGGATCATTAACCTAAACAATCTAGTAAAGCATATCAGAGAGAAGGGAACAAAAGCATAGTGCAATAAGCCGAGGTTTTTTATACTAGCACGTAGAGCACAGTACTTGTATGAAAGGCCAAGGGTTCAAACTAATATATTGTGTTGTTGCACAAAGGGTTGCGTCTAATCCCAATGTAACTACAACTCCTCCCCTAAAGACACATTTTGCAAGCCATCATTCAATATTAGCACCCTATCCTCTGTCGGGCTGTGTAGAAGTAGTCTTCAATTACTATATATACAATTGCCACTTTATACTTGAGGGTTTCTGGATCACGTTCTACTTCTCCCATTTTCATCATTGAGCACAGAGAGCTACTTACTGTTCCCTGCAGCTGCTGTTAAGAAGCTCTGACGTGATGTTACAAAGGGGAGGAGGTGGAGGAGAAGAAGGGACGTCAATAAATCTCACCAGTGAGCCAATAATGCTTGTAATAACGGTAACCATATGGTGTGTGTATTTGATCACACCAACCTACAAACTCCCCTCTTCCTTGTTAGGTAAGAAGCTTGGCCTGATCCTACTGACCCCTTTTTTCAAATCCTCATACCTCCTTTGTGTGTGTATGCTATGTACACACCCCGCTTTTGGTCTGCGATGATTCAACAATCCATCTCCCTTTCTCGTTCTCTGTCTCTCTCGAATATAGTAGCAACCTGTTCCTGTTGCTACTTTTCTTCTTTTACTCTCTCACTCTCTCTTTCTCTTTTTCTTCTCTAATGACATTATAACTTTCAACTTTTTTGTTGTTTTACCATCTATTATCTATCTAAAATACACTGTTATCAAGCCACTATCGCTTTTAAGCTACTACAACAAACACAACTACGTACAATCTCCGCACTATATATAAAATGTCGGCCGTGGCTGATCATGCGCTTGATCCAACGCAGCAATGGACATTAAACAGCACAAACGAGCCGGTCGTTCCACCAACCAATAATTCTATCAACGGCAGTAACGTCATCGACGGCAACAACTCTAATATCATTGACAGCCCGTTTGATATTCGTCACGATAACGGCTCAACATATATTACTCCACGTGTTGTCAACTCAAGTTGGACAGAGCTCAAAATTGGCGTCCTGTTACCCTTTCATCAGAATTCGGATCCGTGGACGCAGAGACTGACCCTTAGGTAAGCACTTTATCACACACATACATAAAGCCATACCATGCCATTTACTAAATTGACATTTTCTTTTCCCCCGTATACTCGTTATCTTTTTCGTTTCTTGCAGTGGGGCATCAGCGATTCGCATGGCAGTAAATGAGATTAACTCTCAACAACTTATTCCTGAAGCTTATATCACATTAATTGAACGCGATTCATACCCTAAAGATGTGGATGGTCAAGCCGCAATAACACAAGCAGTGTTCTCAACCGTCTCGCTTATTCAAGAAGGCGTTGTGGGCGTCATCGGCGATATCTCTTCATCATGGACATCTTTATCAGCGCTTATGACAAGCACACTCCAAATTCCACAATGTTCATTCACTGCAGTAGCAAGTACGATTTTTTTAAACCCATCGACTCCCATCAACTATAAACCCTGCTGGACAACTCTTATACACAACAGGAAGAGAATGAGCGCATCGAGCTTATATATATATTCGTTTTGATACTTACTATGATTACGATGATTTGATTATATAGCTTCATTATCTGACAAGACACAATATGGGTATTTCTTCCGTACCGTGCCTACTAAGCTTTTATATGCGGACGCTGCATTGGCATTTCTTGTCAGTCAAGGATGGCCATCATTTGGCATTCTATATGCTGACGATGATATAGGGCAACAACGTATGTTTTTTTTTATTTTTCCTCTCTCAGGGAACAAGAAGCTCACGCGCTGTTGATGAATGATTACTTTTCAATTCTTATAGTGTCCGAAAGCCTCATTATGAAATCCAAGCTAAAAGGCGTTCAGGTCAAAGCATATCAAAAATTCTTTGAGGATGGCCCTGAGAGCAACATTCGTGGGTCAATCGATATTTTGATGAACTCGGGAGTACAAATTGTTTTTGTAGCCGCCGAAGGCGAGGCACAGCTCGCAGCATTTACTATTGCTGGGCATATGGGACATATCAACAACAACACAGCATGGGTCGGCATGGGGCGAATAACCGACGAGCTATACGACGCTGCACAGCGGTTCAACACAGCTATTAATCAGCGGATTTTAGTTTCAAAACCACCAAGCGCATTACCACACGAAAATAACAACAACAATGACACAGATGCAATCGCATACACGGCAAAGACAACATCTCTCCTCCGATCGATTCAATTCAACGAAACCTTTTCTGGTGGCGTATTTCTGTTCGATTCAACGTTGGACCTTGCTGGGTATCCTCCGTACGATGAATTTGCTGATAAGTGGTCACATCTAGATCCTAACATGTACGTTGCTTGCTTGGAAATCGGCTTATATGAATTGATGATGCTTGGACTAACAGCAAGAGCGGCATTTTTCTATGATATGCAGTTACCCATATGGAGGTCAAACAAACATTACCAGCAATGAAGGGTATATTTTCTGTAATCATCGATTTTTCATTTTTTCCCATGTACCGAACGTTATTTTTTTGACTCCAAAACAGGCTAGCGTACTCATGTACGATGGTGATGGCACATGGGTTTAACCAAGTACTGCATAACTCGACAGACATGGCATTAGCCCTGGAAAAACTATCAGCAGGACAGCTGGGAAATTACCTGACGCCAACCACATTCAATACATCCTTCGTAGGACCTGCAGGTCCCATGTTGTTTGATCAAAATGGAGATTCCATGGCTTCGTATGTATACTCGGAAAAGAAAGAGACACCTTTCTTGTTTTCCCAAGTGTAACATGAAAAACATTAATCTAGAGGGTACAAGGTGAAAAAGAAAGCAAACCATACTGACAACCACACCGCCTACTAAAATAACATTTACAGTAATTTCAGGGTCTTCAACATACAGCAAGGAAATGAGGTGAAAATTGGGACCGTGCTTGCTGGAGATTTGACATTAACATCCGCGCCGATTTACCATGATGGCACCAGTGTGGTATAAAAAAAACCTCGGTTTTACCTAAACTGGCCAGTGATCTAAACGTCCAAATTATAGTAGCCGCCCTCTGGTGTTCCGAAGCGTGTTCTCTTGAATACTGGGCTCAACTCGCCGGTGTCAATAGTCATTGTTGCTGTAGCTGGTCTCGGCACTCTGTTTGCAATATTTACAATGGCTATTGTCATCATCTTCCGAAAACGGGAGGTATTTAAAGCTTCTAGGTAAATTGAGCATGCTTGTTCCGTGAATGATAGTAGTATTTGAAAAGGGATGGATGATGGGCATATTTGCTATGTTTTTCGGTTATTGTTAGAGCACTGACACCATTTTTCTCTTTTATTGTTGCTGTTTCAGCCCTCTATTTTGCGTACTTGAACTTCTAGGGTTCATTTTTTCGTATGCTTCTGTATTCTTCTATGCGAGTTTCCGAAGCACGTTTGATTGTGTTATGATTCCTGTCACATTCCATATTGGTTTAGCATTAATCCTGGCGTAAGTGTTGTAGTAGCAGTGCTGGTGGTGTTGACAACGATATTGCTCAGCATTATCGCTTTTTTGTATATAAACCCGCGGCTTCTTGCGCACATCAAAATGCTAAACAAGTCATATATGTTCTTTTATTATTCTTATTCTAGTAACCTTATCGCAAAGAATTACAGAATCTATCGTATATTCAACAACGTTTTTGTTACAAAGACTGTAGTTACTGATTGGCAGTTGCTCAAGTTTTCTGGCGGTATACTAATCATCGTGGTGGTAAGTAGCAATATTATGATGGAGTAGCAAGGAAATCGTTTGGCTTCTTACTTATAAAGTGTGACACCTTATTACATTTAAAGACTCTCTTAATAAGTTGGCTAGGTACCAGCCAAATTATACCCATCAAAGTGCCTGTGTCCCGGGAGGCATATTACTCGAAATGCTCTTTTCAAGGTTCCAGCAGCTCCATATTTACAACACTTTTGACTATTGTTCCCGCAGCGCAGCTTGCATTCGCCACATTTCTTGCTATTAAAACAAGAACTGTCGGCAAGAGCTACTCCAAATACAGCGAATATAAGCAAATTGGAATTTCCGTGTAGTAAGTCACAATCTTCTTTATATTCATATATCGTTATACTCCTTTCGGACATTGACTAATTAGCCCATTATGACAATGTAAACTTTTGCGACAACAGCAACATTTTCTTTTCAGCACTGATAGGCTTCGTGATCTACTCGGTGCCTACCACAGACTATTATACCCGTCATTATTTGACTCTAACTACAGTCGTATGGGCAACAACATTTTCCATGCTGGTCCTATTCGTACCAAAGTTACATGTTTTTTTTCTACAAAAGGGAAAAATTAGTTACTCTGGGAAACGATCTGATATATCTGGGAGAATGCGCGAGAATCCTAGCAGCGGCAACAATAACAGATCTTCTTCTGGAGGTGTTGATGGGGACACTGAGACGAAGAATCGTGAGCTCATGAGCATCAATCGCTTGCTTGCGAACCCAAATGCAATCGATCCAGCGCTCGTCATGGCTCAACACCAAAATACAAACGTATCATCAACATCTTCGGATATAATCAGCAATGTTACCAAAGCGGGAAACAACATTAATGGATCAACCACCATCTTTGAAGCACATGAGGTTAGTAATAGTGTCATATTACAAGAATAAGGAAAACTTAATACAAGATGATTCGCTGACTTTATCATTTGCTCGTAATTCACTATTTTGTATGATTTCACGTTATCAGGCTCGCATGCCGGTCCAGGTCGTACTACGATACTTTCCCTTTCTATCCGCTTGGGATATGAAGCATGTCTTTTTATTCCCTCGTGTCAGATACTTTTCGTTTTTTTCGGTAAGCACATAGTGTCGCAAGGACGAGTTTTGCTACTTTCAGGCTTCTCCAATTCAGTACTGCGACGAAGGAACAGTGAAGAGCTAATATATATACACGCCGTTAATGTTATTTAAAAAAAGGAGAAATCTCAGAAGGGCCGAGTATTTGGCTACAATCGAGCAACTATTGAATCTTCTCAAAGTGACGCTTACATCCTCCGTGTTCATGGCTCCAGCGTGACTGACGTGCTTATCCAGGTTGCAAGTCACCAAGAACTCGAAAACTGGTTAGGGTGGTTCAACAGCAGTAATAATGGTTTTTCGTCGTCGTCAGCAGCAGCTACAACAAGCGCGGGTAGCAGCACATTAACTTGTCTGACCTCGCCTACGAACAGCGTAACAAAATATATCATTCCCTCGATAGCCGATAATTATAACGGTAACAAAAACAAAAAGTACGACAACATCAAAAATAACGACTCTGGGATAACTGCCCGACAACACCTGTTACCTGATCGACAAGAAAGCAATATCACTTTGGAAACTTTGGATAGTGGCGTGAGTGGCCCTCTTGTGACTGAACTCAACTACAGCCAGATGATGCTACCATCGGCGTTACCAATAACCTTATCGGAAACACAGCAGCAACAGCAGCAAACTAGTGCTACGCGTAGTAGTAGGTGGTCGATGGCACCAACAGTTGCTGAGAACTTTGAATTAGAAGATATTCCAGTTAAAAACGTACGAAGATAATCATACCGCCATCACTGCTACCATTACTGCTACAATTAACATCATCAGAATAGCACCGATAATCATAATAAATAGAGAACCTCACTACATTAGTTTTGTTGCTGGTTACATGACTCGAAATAGAAGAAAGAATACCAGATATAGAAGATATAAAGCATAATGTCGTGAGATATGAAGGAAGAAAGATAAGCTTTTGACATATATGTAAAGTTTGAGAGAAGAAAGAAAGTAAAAAGAAACGCAATATTTTTTTTGTCGGGGAACACTGATGGCATGAACTATAGTAATAATTATGATAAAATATTCGGGCATAAGGTAATGATATGGGAAGGCAAGTTTGAATTCAAGCGGAGCGATGACAATGTTGTTGATGATACTGTTGATGGTGTGGGATCAGCGAAACATCGACTGTTGTTACCGATGGCGTAAACATGACTGGTGTAACGTTGCTGCCGTTGTTGGTGCTAGCACAACTATATCTTGACGATGAAACAGACGTCGATGCTATCGAGCTAGGAGGCGACGGTACTGCGTTGCAGAAATTGACACTGCTGATGCTGCTGCTGTTGCTGTGTGAAATACTGCTGCTACTGCTATTGGTCAGTGGCGGTGTGTTGTTCAATGGCCACTGATGTTGCTGCTGCTGCTGCGATGATATTAAACACTGCTGAAGCTGGTCGCTAATTTTCTTATTTTCCTGCTCTAACCGGAACAGTTCGTACTGATATTTTTCTTCGCCGAGTAAGCTATGCTCTACCCATTCGAGCGCTTTCTCGATAATCTGGCTCTTGGACGGTTTTTTTGAATTCTGGAGGTTCGGTAATATGCTAGCCAAGAGTCGGAATTTGCCGTTGAGACTTTCTCGTCGGGCACGCTCTGTCGCATTGTGCTCTGCTCGTCTGGCAGGATTTGATAGCGGGGACGTTCGGCTACGTCTAATTAAAAAAACCCCAGTATTCGGTTTGTTTTTATTTAGCATCAGTTGGCTAGCTTTGTTTTTCCTTGTCCTCGAAAAATATTCCAATCTCATATATTTGCTGTTGTAGTAGATATGTTATTATGTAGTATAGTGCGTACCTTCGTGAAGTAGGAGCTGTCTCTGAAGAAGGAGAAGCCCAGCATGTCTCTGGAGATTTTTCGCCGTTTGTTGTTCTCTTTTCAAAATCGTCGTTCGTTATTGTGGTTGAGGGATAAGAATGGGGATGAAGAGGGGATGTAGGAGGAAGGAAGGAAGACGAAGAAGTAGAACCGCTGCTACCGCTCTGTAGAGCGGCATCAGAGGACTCTGCTGCTGTAGTATGTGAAAGCTGTTGCTGGTAAAGCTGGGGCTGATACGGGTGCTGTTGCTCATATGGCTGAGATAGCATAAGCGCTACAGGATCTTCCACTTGTTGCTGCAGCGGTCCGCATAGAATATCAGTGGAGTCTTCTTGATAAATAAACGCAAAGTCTTCATCTGATGTCATTGGGAATAAGACGAAGTTGAGAGGAAAGCCTGATATGTTTTTTTAGAGTTGATCGCACTACTAAGGAGTTGAGAGTATTATTATAGGGTATATGGCAGCTGTGTTTTTTTTTTGTTTTTTTATATATTGTTGTTGGTTGTGTATGTTAAATGGTAAAGATAGGCAGAAGGAATGTATAGGGATAGTAAGATAAACGATGAGATTGAAAAAATCTGGCAAGGAGTGGTGAATAGGTGATGCTTCGATTAAGATGAAAAAGAAAGGGGAAAAGAGAGAAGCTGCAAACATCGCGAGGCCTTTAAAAGGGGGTTTGCTAGGCATTAGGAATTCTCACATGATCCCGAAACAATGACACTCTATTGGGTACTTCCTTCTGTTGTGGTGTCGATGGTTGTTATAGTGATGACCCTGATGCTGTTGCTAGTACTGTTGACTGCTGGCGATTAATGTGACAGGTGGGTGTAACATTCTTGCTAGCGCAGCATGTTTGTTCTCGTGCTTAGTGGCTTGTTGTGTAGCAAGGTTGGACATACGTTAGCTTATTAAAGAAAGGAAACACATAACATGAGCAGGTCCCGTGGAGTGGGGGAAGAGCAAGCAAATGCAAGTATGGTTTTGCCAAACGAACAATGTCAAGTCCAGATTAATCCAGGGCCGCGCGACGGCGCATGTTGTTCTGGCCCCAACAACACAACAACAACAATGTGAACTGCGTTTCGAGTTTATTTGTCCTGAATGCATCCACAGAAAGATCGCTTTTACCAGCCTTTTTTGCTTGTCTTTTCTGCAAGGAAAAGGGGAAGGGAAGGCCGAGTCTTCACACGTTGCACACTTTTGGTTGTACCTCAAAATAACACGGCATTTTCGCGCCAAAACAGCTATGCTTCTCTCTCTCTTTCACTCTTTTTCACTTTTCCTATGTTGTTTCTTTCCAGCAAATGGATGGAAGAACTCAACTAGGAGATTTTCTTATAATGCTGTGCGTGCTACACCAAAATGTAAAAATGTTGAGAAGGCAACAAGATGCGGTGGAGATCTGCTCATGCGTTGCTCATTTTTTAAAATAAATCTATTCGCAATGTTTTACTCATACGTGGTCGTTTATACCTGTACATTGACATGAACATTATGTGCCCAATGTCCAAAGCCTTTCTAGGGACTTTGTTCAAGTTTCAGATTACCATTTAAGAATATCCGAAGCCGACGCGCGAACCTGAAGAAATTTCAGGACTGAACATTCTATGTTTCTCAACCACCGTTAACGATACCGATTTAGACAGCAGCATGTGTCATAGCATCGTTGTTTACATGCTCTCAGACCATGTGGTTTCTTCTCCCAGTCTCATAGAATGAGAAAATGCTGCTATTGAATACGTTCGAACTTTTGGGCGACTGCCCTCTATACTCAGGCAGATTAAACATCGTCTCTTATCACGGTAATATATGTACGTAGTATATGCCATTAATTCTTAAGTCAGTGAGCAAAGCAAACATCCCGTGGGAAGCGATACAGTGTGGTTGATGACAACAACAAAAATAATGATAACTTTTGTTTCCAATGTCCTCTGACATGTGCGCACCCATCATTTCGTTGCTGTTGTCGTCAGTGCTGCCAATGAGCTAAGATGCCCTCGTCATAGTGTTCTTGTATGAACGTGAAAGAAAGCATCATGATAATTTGTGTGCCAATATGTACAAAGCTGAGAGATCTCGATGTAAGTATGTATGGCCAAGGCAGTCTAATGCGCCCAAAAGCTTCTTATGAACTAATACCCTTCTTTCGCTGCTCTTGCTGCTGCATTTCCATTTTCATGAAATATGACCGCGCACTTCAGAGAGTTGTCTATAAACTCTGTTCCCGAAAACGCCTCCAAACACTTAAAATGCACGTATCTGCACAGGACAAAGGCATTCATGCCATTCTATATGTTCATCGTTTCCGTTGCGCAACATAGAGCTTTGCTTATATGCACTCTCTTTCTCTATACTATAACGACTTATTATGAATCTGCAAACTTTTTATATGTATGACAGTTTTTTAGGTTCATTATCTTGCAGTTTTCAGCTCACTCACATTTACCATCAAAATAGTATAAACTGAACATATATTAAAGATGACGACGTCCAACATCATGAAAACCTCATCGAAAAAGCAGGGTCTTTCTCTGTGTCTATTACCTTTTGTTATCGTTTTGTTGGTATTATTTATTGTGTTGTCGTTTCTGCAAAGTTTACCAAGTATTTGCTGCAACAGGTATACTCTGAAAGGTACATATGCACCTGATACCCCTCTCCCTCTCTGTCGGTACCCTCTGTGTGGGCCGGTGATCGATCTAAACTATCTCGCTTCTTTCTATATATGCTGTAGTAGTGCAATTGTTGAACTTTTTTCCCACCATTTACATTTCAGGTAAAACGCCCCATGCCGTGTTTACCGAAAATAGGGAACCATCGGTCCGACCCCTTTACGACCAGGTACTTTGTTATGGGAGCCGCATGACTTGCACGCTTGAATGACGACGACGACGAACGCGTGTCTTCTATAAATGAATTTTTGTCGGTAACACAGGCCGATTAATCGAGGTTCTACAACCGCTCTGTTTATCTACAAACTAAATATTGTTAGCTTTAATAATACGTTGCAGTGTTTTGTACATATGCCTTTAAAGTTTCAGTGACAGTGACAGTGATAGTTCCCCCAACACTAGTGCATTTAACATTGTATACTGGATCATTTTGTACAAAGCATCATTACTCTCAGCAGCATAGCAAAATGGAGAGAGCGAAAGGAGGAGGGAGAAACGTATCAATTGTATCGTCCCTGAACTGTCACAATATCTACTTGTTAAATTCAGTGAATTATGATGATGATGAAGATGGAGCTCGCATTGTCTGATTTCTGATCACTTAAAAGACCTCCCCGCATAATGCTCAGCAATATTTTGGTCACTAACCAAAACAATTCATGTCATATCATACAGTACACGCCAGTTGATATTTATCCGTACTCTATATATCGCTGAAAGGTATTGCCCTAGGAATATCTATTCTTCCTAGAAAATTTCACATAATCTTCCATTATCCCTATCTTTTGAACAACACGAGCAATGGCTTTGGATTGTGTCAAGCTAATTATAGCGGCAGCTATTAAGATCCGGTAGATAGTAGAAGCAAGTCTGGAACATGCAGCTCAGCTGATGATAAGTGTATTACTGTAGCGTGCATATGGTTAGTTTGATATGTCTACAAATGACAAGCTGTATCCATATGAAACAAAAAAAAGAGAGATTGTGTCTGGGCCGCTTATCTCAACTAAAAGTTAGAACATACGCAATGCATCACTACATACATACTGTAAACCTTCATCTAGGCATACTGCTGTAGAACCATCTGCCAAAGTAGTTTATTACTAATAATGATGAAATGGCGGCGGAATATCAAGCTAAGTATAAGGCTTAGATTTGTTTTTGACTTTGGAACTTAAAACGTATAGAAGCTATTGTGAACATGCGTATTCATTTGTGCATTAGAAAATGTTATGTTTTGTGCCAGGCTGGTGATGCATAGAGAGCATAGTTTACTAAAGCAGTATATACGCAGCGCCGCATGCCAACGTGGTAATAGTGGTGAATAACCATTCTGAAACAAGCCCAAGAATACAGTAGTCAGAGTCCGAGCCCTCCCCACACATATGAGCGCGCATCATCTTTATAGTTTCGCCGCGTACTACGCATACATAGTACGTGGTCATAAAATAGAATTAGCAACAGAAATAAGCACAGCTGTTTTAATTACATAAGCGCGCACACAAAATCAGGCGTTCCTGTTATAATGTTATCAGATTTATAAACAGATTCGTGTTATTAAACTTTGTAATAGATCCCCAAAATTCATTTGTACGTCTCGCACACACACACACATCAGATACTGAATACGCTTATAGATCGAGTCGAGACCCTGTATCAGGAAAGAAAAGATTTCTGATCTGCAGACTTACCGTTAAAACAGTGCTAGGAATAGCTCAGCATGTGTTTGTGAGGTCAAAACAACTACAGTACAGGCATTTTAGTAATAAGGGTAGAATGTATAAACATCATTCTGTTATTGAATCATGAACGTATGAAAAAAATGGAGATGAAGAGAGAAAATGAGCGTGTACATAGTGATTGACTCGATCATTTCTAAACTTGGCGGTTAATCTTGTATATTTTATATAATAGAAGAAAAAATAATGGCGTCAGTCATCAGGTAATATTATGTATGAATGTGAATGTATGTAAAGAGCGTGGAAAAGGGTTACGAAAATCACCCTAAAACACTTACATCTAGATTCGTTCCCTTTTTGAAACTCAAAGTTTATAACCCGCGTTTGCGAGCGTTTATTTGCATGTTTTTTTTCAAGAAATATTTACTACAAAGTTTACTGCTGCTGATCATCGTTTTGTTTACTTTCTGTAGTGTTTAGTCACAGTTGTTATTCACGGGACGAAAAGATCGTATGCTTGAGAAGATTGTTGCTGATATATGGCAATTATAGCGGATGTCAGGTGAGTAGAAAAAATGTTGTATGCATGATGTAGTAGTATGTAGTATAGTATGGTCAATGATTTAGGCCACGCCGTTCGTTACAGCAGGATTGATTTCGTACTTTTTTTGATAGTGAAGATCCTTTCTTCTATATTCAGGACAACAGTACGTTAATTGCTGTAATATTTTATAATCGTTTTTGTCTAAGAAAGCAGAACGACTGTTAGAGCCCATTGAAGGCATAAGATTAATAGAAACACGTTCGCATAAAAATGCACAGGAGGGAAATTCTATCATAATGCGCCAACACGATTATAAATATGAGTGTACTTCATGCTCCTCTTATTGACACAGACATTGTATTCTTCAGGGGTAATTCTAACAAGTAGCGACCTGATATCTTGGAGATTTGTCAACTAACAGTACTTTTATAAGTAAGACGTACCGTAGCATTGGCATCAAATAAATTTCTTGACGCCTGGCAGGATGCAGATGGTATTACTAAAAACGGCGCAAAGTCACAACCAAGCGGGGATTTCAAAAGATGTTTTTTGTTGCTGGGCCATGTTGTTCGCGGTTGGTGAAAAAATAGTATACACAATAACAACTACCCGAAGAAAAGACATAATGTTCAGCTCACTCTACAAGCGAAATGTGTGGAATACAGCCACTACAGCCTTTCAACAAATTACCAACGTACAACAACGGACTGCTCCCGCAGTATTAACGATGTCTGTACGATTCGCCTCCAATTTCTCGCCTCGTCGTACCAAGTACCGAAAATCACAAAAGGGCAAGATCCCACTGCCTACGGGCGGCTCAACAAAAGGCACGACTGTCGAATTTGGTGAATATGGGTTGCGCATCAAGGAAGGAGCTCGATTGACGGGACGACAATTGACGTCGGTTTTCACCACTATGCGACGAAAACTCAAGACAGTCAAGGGCTCCCAAATGTGGATGCGCGTCTTCCCCGATATTCCTGTCACGACCAAGGGTAACGAGGTGCGTATGGGTAAAGGTAAAGGCAGCTTTGAATACTGGGCATGCCGAGTTCCTTTGAACCGAGTCATCTTTGAAATTGGTGGTATGCGTAAGGAAATTGCCAAGGAAGCCTTCCGATTGGCAAGCTACAAGTTGCCAGTGAAGACGGAAATGGTTGAACGAGGCACAAAGCCAGTGGTGGGTGCTGGTTACACTTCACCACCTGTATCCAAACAGGTCAATCAAGTCCAGAAGACTGCTGACAAAACGAACGACGCATAAAAAACCATAACTCCACATCTCCCACCACTTTACATACACGCACCCATTATATACAAAAGGACTCAACTCCCTTCACTTTGTATTATCTTTTCCGCAACAAGTTTCTCATTTATTAGAACCATCTTTATTATGGTAATTCAATTGGGCTTGGTAGGAGGTTTGGTGGAAAATGACATATGGTTTGGATTTTTGATTGCTATCAAGTAATTGTTGCCATGCTGCCGTTGTCATAGTAAACGTTGTCATAGTAACTGCTGTCATGGTTAAAGCGCACACAAGAAATAGTAACTTATGGTTGTTAAAACAACCGAATGGTGTGGCGTGCCTGAACCTCCTATGATGCAACAATTTCTTTTACGAGAAAAGAATCATTACGTCAGTTGGAACAGGAAGAAGGGGCATAACTTAATAAGCTACTTGACTCGGAAAGTGAAATCTACGAATAGCTAGGAATGTGGCACAATGAAGTTGTGATCTCGCAACATCGTGGCAATGATGAATCCGTGTCACCTTACCGTGGTAAAAATGGATCTACAGCATTACCGGTGTGCTTCTTATACAATACACAGACAGAAACAACATTACGACACACACCGAGCGAAAAATATCCTACATTATAACCATGTTCATGTTTTATGTATTTTCCCCACAATAAAATTAGCATATGAATGATTGATTCTCTAAATGAAAAAAGTGTGACAAACAAAAAAAGGGTAGTTTGGGTATGTACATAAGATTGATTGGGTGCAATAGATTGATTGAGTGAAAGAAAAAATTATAAGAGAGAGAGACATGTAGTTTTAAAAAGAAAGAAAAAATAACAAGAAAAAGATGTTCTATAAGATGCTTTGCTTTTTACCATTGTGGAGTGGAACCGTTCCAGTTGTCACTGCTGTTTTCCTGATTTTGAGGTGTATGTTGCAGTGGATTCTGTTGCTGATAATACACGTTACGATCCGAGGGAACAACGGATTGCAATGGGGGCAAAGGCCAGACCTGCTGTTGTTGCTGTGGTAGTTGCTGCTGCTGTTGTTGTTGTTGCTGGTTCTGTGGATAGAATGGATGCACTTGCGGCGGCGATGAGTTGGCGCTACTATTGCCGTTTGGAGAGGGATATACAAAATTGCGAGCTCCGCCGGGTTGTTGAGCATTCGCAGGAATGTTATATCCCGCTTGACCCGAAAGGAGCGTATATTGTTCCTTCTTGTTAGATTCGGTAGTGGCAGATGCAGGTGCAGAAGTGCTGTCATCCTGTTCCGCATCCTCTTTAGATGGCGAGTCGGAGTGATCGAGCACTGCGCTGCATAGCTGTGAAAGAATCGTCAGTTTCGAGCCTTCCTCATCGGAGTCGGCACCGGCCGATGAACTCTCCTTGGGTTTAACTCCGGCATCTTCACTCTGCTGTTGAGGTTGCTGCTGCTGCTGCTGTTGTTGTTGCTTGATAGCAGCTGTGGGTTGATATTCCGCCTGGTACATTTGCTGCATAATAGCAGGGGGAACAGTATATGGCGACACGACATGGGTGGATTGGTGTGGCTGAAAGCCATTGCCAGCGCCGAAAGCCCGCAAGTACGGATGTAGCATTGGGTTGCCGTTGGGCGACGCCAAAGAGGACAATGTCTCTGGTACAGGTGTAGGCGGTTGAGATGTCGAAGCATTGGTGTCGGAATCTACAAATATTTAGCCATAATAAGTATAATGGGATGACAAAAACCGTAAACAGCATCAATTTCTGTTGTTACCTTGCCCTTTTCGTTGCTTGTATGGACCGCGTTTCACACCTTTCTTGCGTTCTTTGCGCACCGAATTCACACACGACGTTTCGATTCCATACTTGATGCACCGAGGACAAGGTCGGGCGTCGTCGCACTTTTTACATGCTTTTTGACAGTTGACTGTACAGGATGGATAAGAGAAAGAGAGTAAATAATGACGCAACGTTATTAACATTATTCTTTGCTACTATATTTATACCGTCACGAGTAATTCGAACAAGAAATTAGAATGAAAAGAACTTACCACAGGCGTTTTTCACCTGCTTTCGCTTTGGCTTTACTGAACCACCACCGGTGCTAGTGCTATCACTTTGCGACAACATTTGTTGAGGCGCATACTCGGCTGGGAAACCATGATGCGGTTGCTGGTGTTGCTGTTGATGATGCTGGTGGTGTTGCAAGCCCGGATTAGGTTGTTGGTGATAACTCAGCTGTTGGTCAAATGGAGGATACTGCAGTCCAGGAGAAGCTGTAGGCTGCTGTTGTTGTTGTTGTTGTTGTTGTTGCTGTTGCTGTACTGTTAACGGCTGCTGAGAGCCGTTGTTGGACGTATAGCCAAGGTAAGGCGAGTGTACAAACTGCATCAAAGTATGTCGTTGATGATATATGAGATATAAAAAAGCAAGAGAGAGAAGAAACGCACGAGTTGTCGGCTAGTACAAAAAAGGTCCCTTTCCGTCACTCTGGGATGAAAACAAGTTGCAAAGTTTAGTCTCAGATATAGGCTTAAATACGAATTGCAGCTTTTCTTAAGGGCCCTTACAGTGCTAGAAGAGGGTGTTGTATGCAAGTGTATCAAATAGGAAAGGGGGAGAGTCTCGAGGAGGCGAAAGATTGCTGCTGCTGATGTTGTTGCTGCTTTTTGGCGACAATCAGATTTCAACCGTCTGTGTCTGTGTAGTTGCTTGGAATGGATAGAACACAAACAATCGATCGTTAAAGGTTTCACAAATCGGACAAGGAAGGAGCGGCAAGTTCGCGTACTATCGGTTTTCTGTTCGATGCTGGATTTACAAACAACACACGCTATGACAGTGGAGTTGCTCTGCAATGTAGGATTGACGAGAAAAAGGATGAAATCAAAGGAAGAAAGTGAGAAAAAGAGTGGAAAAAAGTTCGGAGAGGAAAGAGAGCGAAAGTCTTATTTTTACAGAAGAAAATTTTTTTTCTATTTCGTTGCTCGCAACGTAGCAACACATCGAAATGAAACCGAGCGGATAAAATTTACCCGGTCAATAAACCACTGCCCTGATTCTATCTTATTGGAACTTGCTGATGAAAGCAAATACTTCATTTTTACTGGCAGCATTTGTGGGTACGAGATGTCTGTTCGATTTTCGAAAAGAAGAAAGCAAAAGAAGAAGTTACAAGGTGAGCTTATCGTCTCGTCTGCTAAATGGGATCGATGTTGCACACACACACACACATACACACCACTTTAAATACACAACAGATCAGCAGACTTACCCTCCAGCATGCTTAAATACGGCTGGATTGACAAATGCATCTGCCAAATCCATCATTCTCTCGGGAGGAATCACTGTGTCGGCTTCTCCAATCAAATGAAGACTGGGTGTTTGGATTTTGGTCTGAAACAAAGAGCTTGTAGCTTCTTGCGACATTGGTTTGAAACCAGCAGCAATAATAGCAAAGCGAAATGCTGGGTGCGCGAAGTCCTGTGGTATCAAATCAGGCACCAGCAATCTGTTTTCCAAAAGTTCAGACAGCATGGCTGCAAGGCATGCACCTAATTTGAGAGTGAAATAAGATTTAGTTTTATGAAAGAAAGAGAGGGGCAGGGGGACAACGTGGCAATATGTCATACATGCCTTGTGAGAAACCAAGAACTCCATCAAACGGCCCCTATTTTAAGAAAAGAAATTCCAACTAAGCGTCTTAATTTAGTCATCTTCAGTTCAGACGTACTTGTTCAATCAGGACACCCTTCAGATATTCAATTGATTCCTTGAAGCCTTGGTAGTAGCCGTCTGGGGTACTGGGGTGATTGCTGACCGGTTGCCACCATCCAAAAGGCTTAAGCTCTAGTTTTATGCTAAACAATAAGCAGATATTCACGAAATCCAGGATGTCTATTCTTCTTTTTACCTTCATGTGCCAAAGGCTCTGCAGCTGCAATGCGATGGATTTCTGTTGTATACTCTAAGTCTAGTACCAAGTGCGGAGCAGTGACGTAAACTAGAACGTGGAGGAAAGACATAGTGAGTGAAGAAACCAATGAAAGCCGAAGCTTGATTAATCATCAATCGACACGAGATCATTTCCTCACTCGCTCATTACCTAGATCAGCAACTTTCTCTAACTTCTTACGCAATACTGCTGTCTTCTTGCGAAACACTGTGCTGTTCTGAATCATGCCATGTAGGCATAGAATCTTGAGTTTGTTGGCTCCACTCATCTCTATTACGGGTTTTCCTGACGTTTCGCGGCCTGATTTTTCAAATTTAACGTAACACAAACTTCCATTTTTGCTCCGCGTCCATTATAAAATTATATAATCGCGGGATTGCGTTTTAGAAAACACTACTGAATTGCCCTGGAGTCGAAGTCGTCTCATATGTTGCGGTGGAGTGACAGCCGTAAACCCGCATAATTTCGCGGGGTCAAAGCGCATGGTCCAGCTTTCTATTTGTAGCGGTACACAATTCCGTTTATGCCTTTTACAATCGTACACCGCCTTCAAGAGCGCTATAGGTTTCCAAATGGCGTCAAAAGACAGCAAAAGGCATCAAAAGATGCAAAAGACAACCCGTGCTTCGGGATGAACAACACTATCAGTTTACAACGCTTCAGACATAAATGTTGCTATAATCCTATCACCTACAAGAGGTAAACTCTAAAAGAGTCGAAAGCTTGATTGAAGGACCATTCAATATGATATCAATGCGAGTAGCATACAGTAACAACCAACATAATGTACTCATCCAAATTTCAGATTGCCGTTTGGGCCTTTTGGGACTTAACAGGGTCTTGGGAGGTCGTTTTAGGTGATCGAAAGGCTACGATTGGCAACTAACGGTAATTTTGTATCTTTTGGAAGTTACTCGAAAGTTGCTTTTGACCTCCATATCTGTTTCTTTTTGGTACTTACATTTACTATAGAATTCGTTTAATCCTGACCCTCTCTCTATCTCCCATCCCGCTCGTCCCAGCTATGATGTAAACAGGGTAGCGCCATGTGAGTTGTACTTTGAATGCCGTGGAGCTGTAGAATCTGAAACGGTGCGAGGAGCTGTCAGTTTGTGCGAAAATTGTCAGTTAAAATAAATTTCGTTACTTTTGTTCACGTAATCCTGTTTGAAGCGCAGCATTTAACCAGAATCCTGCTTTGCCGGCCAGCGCCTTGGTTCGGTAAGTGACGATAATAAATCCATTTGTATAATTATCCGAATTTCTATCAATGAATTTACCCACTGACCTGTGTTTTCATCTATCATGATATCGAATAGTGAGGATGACGTATCCTGTGTACATAGTGGGCGTAGAAAGCTGGTAAGATTATTTGTGCTTTTTGTACAAATTTATAACCTCATCTCACACAAACTAATGTTGCTTAGCCCAGACATGTTTTTTAGTCCAAGCTATAGTCATAAGACTCGAGAAGATGTTATAGAAACTGTATGAATTGTAGAAATTGGATTTGCCGGGAGGCAAAAGCGGCGTCTAGTGCCGTACAGTAAGCTTCCTTTACATTTTCAGTACTGAAGCAATTAATAGAAGATATCCCTATCTAGCACAGTTACACATATTTAGACTTAGTATTTCGGCTACTGTTAGAGAAACGATTAAAGCTATCATCATCTTGGTCATACTACTACTAGTGTGTTATAGCTTGTTTTGTGTTAATAAGTTTTATGGTTTCTCACTAAATGAGTTGACAGGACAACGCTTGCAGCTGCATCATGCTACACATCCATCCATTCTCCCCTCATCTTTATTTCATCCTTACCTACAGTAATACATCCACGGCCAACAGATTAGTAGTACCTGATGAACTGATGTCCGAGCCGATACATCAATATCAAAATGATTATGGGATACTACTGATTTTTGTATACCTACAAATATGCACACATTATGCGAATAAGGAAGCGACATAAAATTGCTGGAAGCACGGACACAACATAGTGTTGTTGTTTGGCTTTCTGCAACCTGGCGGATGCCCCCTTTAAATCGGGAATTTCCCGAAAGTAACACCAAGTTTGTATGCAGCAAACCTATAAACTACACTAATGATATTGCAGCCTTTCTATGGCTTGGTTATACATACATACAACTGTACCTCTGCAATTAAAACACTTCCTTAAGACTACTTGGGACTACTTATGAGCTCGCCGTTTGATGAGTGGTCATTTATGCCCAAAAGAGCATGGGAACAAGAGCGATATAAATAACATATAGCTATTCGGTCGTAAATTCATGATGATAAGTGTATGGTGTATGTATAATACTTTTCAAGGTTTTAGAGTATATGGTGTTTTTCAGGAACAAGATATTTTTGCTGCGTCAAAGGTATCGGAAAGCTATATCATCTGGCCAACAACCTTGATTGAGTTTGGAGATTAAAGGAAAGGTGGCAGCATATATATGATATTAAACTATGCAGTAAGTTAACCTATATATTGTTGACGTATCTGGGAAGGGCGCCATTGCAAGCTATAAAACTAATTCTTCCTTTACAACATAGCAATACATCAATCAGCCACTACCGAAATCATCTTGCTTCAACTGATAACAAAGCTAAAAGAAAATCCAACCATAATCAATAAAAGTTAATCTACCAATGAGGATCCAACTTTGTATTCTTTGACACAAACAAAAGCAAGACCCGCGATTTCTTTTCAACCCATACCACCCATGAAATTTATTAGACTTCTGTCATTTCTAGGCTAACATGTTTATAATCCTATCATCACACTGTATCTGGCTACTTTGTATAGATTATTAATCATTATCGAGTACGATGAATGTATACTGGATCGTATAATTGCCATCGGACCCCTCGAGCCCGTACTGCAGAGGCTGCTTGCAGAGACTACGTTTGCCCTAAGTAGAGACCGTTTTAATTGTATATGCGATACATCGTCTACTGTGCTTTGAAGTTGGTTTGTTCTTTCCTGATGGAATGTGGCACGTGTTCCTTTTACAATTGCAGACGGCTCAGTAAGTACTTGATGCATTGATCGGTAGAACAAACCTTCGTGATGACAGAGTGCAGAGGGATCTGATCTTACTAATCATAGCATTGCTGATTATATCATCTCCAGCGTGTAGCTTCCCAGCTTGAACTTACATAAGCAAATGGGCCAACTTATACAGCTCATCCATAGCTTGTGTTGAACGATATGGAGGGGTGCGATATTAATGCAGCATGGATGCTGCCAAGTTGTTTAGGCTATAGATAAGTAAGTATATCATTACATTTTGCAATACAGCATTACAAAATTTAGAATTGAGTTTTGAATACACATTCCTTGCTTGTATTTCACTTCTCAAGGATTGAATGCAGTTAAAAATCCAGTACTGCTATCAAAAAATTCACTTGCTAATATACAAGTAGGCAATCTATCCCCAAACATTACATGCCCTTCATTGATTATTCGCAGCTTACACTTTGGGCTTTAAGAAATTGAGTACTACACACTTTTAGTACTATATTTGTCCATATGAGATTCTAATTAAGTGTATCAAGTCAATGTAAATGTGTGAGAGAGTTGTTTTGAGTTTATATAGTTGCCTGCCAATCTATGCAACGCATATCATAGAAACGCCCTACTTTCTTGAGCCGCATCTGGTGAATATTGTAAATAGCGTCGCGGTGGAAGCTTCAGATACTGTTTTGATTGGAAGAAAATTATCCCGTTTGTTTTCAGCCTAATCTCTTTTTCCTGTCGCGAAAACCTGCCAAGTTCCTTTCCTTCGTTCTTTTATTTTTCTTTTTTAAAAAAAAAGGTCGTCGATGGTCAGCAGTAGCAACGCCATGGCGCTTGACACACATTCAGGCGATTCATCCACAATTCAAAACACGGAGAAAACTTCCACAGTATCAAACAACGACAAGCAGCAACAACAACAGCCAGGTACTGCGTCTGTCGATTCTGGACCGGTACAAGCGTATGCCAAGCTTGAGGGAGAAGAATATTGTTACTACATTCGTACACTTCAGGTTACAATGGGACGACAAATGACCCGCCCCAACACTGTGGATATTCCTCTCGGTAATGCCAAATCGGTATCCAGACAACATGCACGCTTGTTCTATAACTTTGCGACACAGCGTTTTGAGATCATGGTTTTCGGAAAGAATGGCGCATTTATCAATGAACAATTTATTGAACGTGGTGTCACTGTACCGTTAGAAAATCGGTATGTATGAAACGATAACAAAGCTCTGTTTTTTGTTCGTGTAGTCATATGAACTTTTTTTTATCGTCAATGACATTAATTCTCGGGCCTTTTTTCCCGCTAACTCATCCTATCTTTTTAAAAAGTACCAAGATACAGATAGGAGAAACGACGTTTCTGTTCTTACTTCCGCGAGTGAGCCACCCAACATCTACGTCCACTTCGTCATCAAGAGGAGGAGGTCCAGGAGCAGGTCCAGGATCAGGAAACACTGATAATACAGGATATATTTCGACGCCCCAGTTGGAAAAGTCAAACTCGGCTTCACGCTTGAATGATGTAGAAGACGATCCTTCCGTATATGCTACAAACAAGGACGTAAAGCCGCCCTATTCATACGCGCATCTGATCGCTCAAGCTATCAACTCTACCGAAGACAAACGCATGGCACTACATGAGATATACAATTACATCACGACTCATTTTCCGTACTATCAAATGGCTCAGAATGGATGGCAGGTTCGTGTGCGTGATGAGTGTGGAGTGTAAGAGGAAGCAAAATGATGGGATCTACCTGCAACTTTTCCTCCCTGTGTGTTGGTTGCCAAGGTAACAGAATCTCACGAAGCATCCACCTTGTTAGAACTCAATAAGGCACAATCTATCCTTGAACAAGGCATTTGTCAAAGTTCCCCGGGGAGATGCTGAACCTGGAAAGGGCGCATTTTGGACGATTGATCCTAAAGCAGATATGCAGCTCTTGACGGGCAATGTCAACAAACGTACAAACAAGCGCCCTTCTGGCTCAGCTAAAGGGTCGCCTGCAGATAATGGAAGCCCGGGGATCGAGTCGCCGCAACGGAAACGGTCAAAGAAGGATACTTCGGATAACGAAGAGGAGGACTCAACAAGCTCAAAAGTACAGCGACTACAATCACCATCTTCACCGTCATCAACCTCGTCTCAACCTACTGTTACTCCTGCTTCAACTTCTACCGAAAAGACACCCACCGCTACGCCTGCCACTACCACCGCCAATACTGTTACTGCTGTATCAAACAATACCGCTTCCACTCCATCATCATCGCCATCGCAACCCGCAATTACAAACACCACCGTTACCTCGATTGCTGGTGCTGCGTCTGTTGCCACCATTACTGCTGTCAAAAAATCATCATCACCCGCGCCATCATCTTCCACATCAAACAGCACCGCTCCACTAAACACAGCAGCATCGCCCGGCTCTCAGCAAAACATTCAAGCACAGATTCAGCTGCAACTGCAAGCTACTATTCGACAACATTTACTAGATCCTATGCGATACCCTCTCCCACCATCCATTGCACAACTCTTACCCCAAGCAATTGCACAGCTGCCTCCACACCTTGCCAACCAATTTTCAGCTACGCTTCAAACTGCCTTAAGAGCGCATAACAACTCAAACTCCAGCGGAACGAATTCATCTACACCAGCATCAACATCTTCATCAACACCGCCTACATTGGCGGCAGCAGCAGTAGCAGCCTCAGCGACTGAAAGTATGGGAACATTTCCTGCTGCAGCAACTACACCCGATGCGTCACCGCCTGCACCATCATTACAACAGCCGCAGCAGCCCACACCCTCACCATCCAAAGAATCTTAACTATCTTGTTTATTCAATAACTCACCTGTAATAAAAGCTAGCTTGCTGTGGTATGGTGATGAGTATATTAGCTCCCATTTCTTCCTACCAATAGTTTGTTGTAATAAATTAAAAGATACCGCTTCTACTCAACTGCATTATATATTTATGAAAATAAACATTTACTACTACATATATTCTTGCGCATTTAGATTACAATAACAATATTATGACAAAGTTTCCACGATGATAATGGCAGTACAGTGGTCCCCCGTTAATTTCAAAGTTCAGAATCCCTATTTTTTGTGTGAAATTAAAGGGGTATGAAAATACATATACCGTTTAATTCTGATAAGAGTCATCAGGACTGGCGTGCATGCGTTTCCGTAGAAACCCTTCGCTGCTAGTTTTTTATTTCTACACTGCGGTAAACCACATTATATCACAGATTATTCAAAGTCGCTGCAAATCAAATATTTGAAGTATTTCATAATCTCCTGATAACTTTTTCCTTAGGCGGTAGCAAGCTATAGGAAGGCATGGTAGCTATATACAAACGTCATAGACATCATACAGCATTAGTGCCGTAAGTCATGATCACAAACCCAAGTGGACGGTTTCAAGCAGGGCTGAGAAGAACACTTTGACGATATGATTGCCTACCTAAACGATGCTTCCTGATGAAAACGTTGGAACAATCTTGGTCTTTGTATTCAACCTGATGCTTTTTAAGCATTTTCGATAAAGCGCGCATAATAAATAGACGCTCAAGGCATCCCTTTTTCCCTCTTTCCTGGGTCCAAAATAACCAAAGGAACCAATGTTGTCTACACCAGACAGGGAGAAACATGGATCCGTTGGCGAAAATGTCATATAGACCCGTTCACGTGAGTTCTCCGTATAGCGCGTCGCCTCTTTCGGCAATGATTTAATCTCATTTGAGTATATGCGTAAGTACCATATCCATATCACACACTACTCATTAGTTTCTGTTGCTGCGGGATGAAATATTCCAGAGAGCAGTAGACTTTCCTTCATGTTAAAAGTCGCGCTCAGACCGTCATTGAAGTTCGGTTCCGTGGGTTCTTGGTCGGGCTCAAGCGTAACACTTTGAGAGTTTGTGGATACATTGTTCTCCCCGCCATATTGACCAAGAAGTGAGGAAAACGGTAAGTAGCTGGAAGTCCTTCCTCATCGTCATATCGTCATAATGGCTATATACACTTATAAGCTTACATTATATTTACTGTAGAACAGTTCTGTTACAGTATGTTTGCAATTTGTCAGTACATATCTGCTGCAGGAATGAATGCTGGGCTCAAAAGGCCGAGACAATGCATCCATACTAGCGCTAAAGGCCGGTATATGTCGATAGATTCAAACATGTCTCTACGCAAGCATGCGATGGGTTCTATGCGATGCGTTTCGAAACGCGTGAACGCAATTTCTTTATTATAGATGTTGCAGGTTGCGATCTATAAGAAAGAGCGAGAAATCAAAAGGATATATATCGTTATCTAGACAGCACAGTTTAAACCAGGAATCGCGTAGAAGCAATTAAACCGAGAGAGCCTTTTGCCAAGCTTGTTGACTTTAAAAAGTTTGATATAGAAGTTTGTACGCTGTTCTTTGCAACAAAGACGTGGGTTGGACCAAGGATGACTAGATTAACAATAATCATATGGAGCATACTTTGTCGACCAAAAATTTCGCCCAATTAATTGGCATAAAATGAACCTTACTGTGCAGTAGAATAAATAAGTGCCAGGAAGAATCAAGTATACAGATTAACCGCAGCCTTTAAGATCGTAATTTACTTGGGTTCTAAGCTACGAAACGTTTGTTTCAACAAGCTGTTGCTATCTTTGAGATTAAACTCTTGTGGTCGATATGAAAGAGCAACAGGTTTGTTGACGACAATAAATCCCGAGAGTGTTGCTAAATGAGATGTATTGCTGCATGTTTCCAGTTCAGTTTCTTTTCTAGCAAACCGTATGGATATTAGCTAAACGAGTTACCGCTGAAGTTACTTGGCATTGTTGTAAGGATACAGGAGTCAATAGCAAGGAGGTGTTTAGTTTAAAATGCTGAATCCTGTCAACTGAATAACAAATTTATGTCGCCATATTTAACACTTCAATTATTAACTTAACAGTTAATATATATGTATGGCTGTAGGGCATTCTGTGAATGTTGTAGTGTACGTCGTGGACTAATTTTAAGAGTGAAGCTATTATCATGTTGACATACAATAGCTTGGATATCTGCTTGCTTCCGCACTGGTTTCTCCTCCTCGCCAGTATACGATTTACATTCCATAAACACTGCAGCAATAGTAAGCTGACTAACGCAGTATCTTCGTTAAAAAACATCGTAAAATAATCTAAGACGCTCCTACCTACTAATCCACCGAGTATTCGCCTACGAATTACTCATGCTATTTGTTCGGTGCCCAAGTACCGCTGTAATAAGATATGCATATGCATACACGTCTCTATTCTATATCACATTTTAATAACTTTACATTGAAAACAAATATACCCTCCCGAATGATTATATCCTCCCAATAATAAACCGTCTCTTGAATTTATCTTTAGTTATGCGACAACTTTTGTTTTTGTACATTAGCATAGAAGAGAAAGCTGGAGAGCTACACATCAAGCCAACCCATGTTTTTCTATACATACTAGGTCGTTAAGGATTTATGCTTTCGATTAATGATAAGGCTGTCAAGCAACTATTTAAGCTCAGATTTGTATTAACACACACACACACACGTTCCCACTTCGTCTTTTTTTTTAGCCATTACAGAACCATCATAGCACAAAATGGAGCCCCAGGCGAAAAAACAACGTCTCGACACAACAGCGAGTAATGACACCTCTAATACTTCCTTGTCAAAAGTCGAGGGCTCTGGCGATCTCTATTTGGACACAATCAATCGCCACATGCTCGACTTCGACTTTGAAAAAGTATGCTCAGTATCGTTGTCCCATTTGAACGTGTACGCGTGCCTTGTATGTGGCAAATACTACCAAGGTAAATCTAAAAAAGTGACTAGAAGATCATCCTGGAAGAGTTTGTTTACGATCCGATAACTCATGGTGCCTGTGCACAACTTTAAGGTCGTGGAAGATCATCCCACGCGTACTTTCATAGCATTCACAAGGATCACCACGTCTTCATTAACCTACACACTCTCAAGGTTTGTTGTTCGATATAAATATGTGATAATAAAAATGTATAATAACATCAATGAATCATCGTTATAGGTTTATATTCTTCCCGATGGTTATGAAGTCCAGGATCCTTCTTTAGATGATATCAAAGTAATATACTTTTATTTAGGGATAGAAAGCGAAACGACAAGTGAAGTATACTAAATTTTGCATCAACCACAGTACGTCCTCAATCCAATTTTAACGAAAGAACAAGTAAAGCGTTTGGACACGAACTTAAAAGCTTCCTATGATTTGAACAATAAAAAATATCTGCCAGGTAAGAATAATTTCACGAGTGCGTACTGAAATGATTCTATATCAACACTAAACATTAATAAACCCGTTCTAGGATTTGTCGGGTTGAATAATGTCAAAGCGAACGATTACGTGAACGTTGTGGTTCAAACGCTGATACATATACCACCATTGCGTGATTATTTCATTCTCCAAGATTTTGAAAGTCAAGGTAAATCACAGCTTGTCACCCGTTTTGGTGCTCTCGTACGAAAAATGTGGAATCCAAAGGCATTCAAAGGTCAAGTCAGTCCACATGAATTGTTGCAGGTAAACAAAGGCGGCATCCCAGCAATGACAGTCATCTACTATTTTAAAAAAGTGTGAGTTAATAACCAATTGGATATTTTGGTTTTAGGAAATCTCGAGCGCAAGTCAAAAACGTTTTCGGTTGACAGAACAGAGCAATGCTATCGATTTTCTGTCATGGTTCCTGAATACATTGCATAAAGATCTTGGTGGTACAAAGAAGCAAAACAGCAGTGAGTACTAGATAACGCATCTACAAAGTTCTCCTCCTCTTTGTGATTGCATCAAATGATTGACAATTACATCCAAACATACTCTAGGTGTGATTTACCGCATATTCCAGGGAGAGGTACAAGTTGAGTCACAAGATGTAGGACCAGGCGAACCACCATTAGAAGAAAGAGGCATTGCAGTTTTCGATGGGGATCGAGGTAAGTGTAGTAAAAGAAGAACACCTTTAGTTCGAAATTTAATCATGATACAACTGTCGCATTCCAGAAATCAAGTCGAGCAAAGTACCCTTTTTGTTTCTGGCATTGGATTTACCACCTGCACCTTTGTACCAAGACGAGGCTGAAAAGGACATCATTCCTCAGGTGCCACTGACTACAATCCTTGCAAAGTACGATGGACGACATATCCAGGTATAAAAATTAGTAAAAAAGTGATAATACTCTTGATTATCCGTCCATCTAACCGCTGAAGCTTGATCTTTAACAGGAAACTGCGAATCAAAAGAAACGTTACCACATCACTCGTCTTCCACAATATCTGATTCTCCACATCAAGCGTTTCAACAAGAACAATTGGACCCTTGAAAAGAATCCTACCATTGTAAACTTCCCTATTCAAAACGTCGATATGAGCAGTTGTGAGTTACATGTGTACATGTCATTGCTTTTCCTTTGTTCTCTGTGCTAACCCTTTTCCTGTTGAAATTCTCACCTAAAACAGTTACAAGCGATCCTAATGTGGAAACCTTGGGAGCACACTATGATCTTTTGGCAAACATTTGCCATGAAGGCAAACCTGGTGCGGGAGAGGGAATTTACAAAGTACATGTCCGGCATCGTGGAACTGGACAGTGGTATCAGATTCAGGACTTGATTGTAGAAGAGATTATCCCGCAAATGATTTTCCTTTCTGAAAGCTATATCCAGGTAAGAGATAATATCTATTTCTTTTGATGCTCTTGAAGAAAACGATCACAATGTAGATACTAATTACGCAAACTTGTGATTTTTTTAAGATTTGGGAACGTAAGCACCCTGCTAACGAGGAAAAAGAACAACAAAAATAAAAAAACAGCAAGTAATCATGAGGAAGTTATTTTGGGATAAATGATTTGATTACTACTGGGAATCCAAGTGAGTTTCGTATATGAATTATGGAATATACCCTTTTTGCCCTTCTGATGTCAAGCTGCTGTTGACGAGGGATGTCTGGTTCAGCGGTCATTTTGACATGTCCATGATGACAATCCTCTCGCCTATTCGTCGGTTGGTCATCATTTCGAAATATGACGTAATGAGTCAATTACACAAGGATTTTGCACCGTAAGTCTATGAAAAGATATGTCGATACACTTCAATCTCTATATGTAGATGATTAAACCTTGATCCTTTTACTTCTGTGGCCTTTAAAATATTCATCTGAAAGTCAAATTGTCCGAACGCTAGAGTCACCCGCAATTTTGTTGGTTGCTTCTACACATTCTATATACGTATAACAAGGTTCCGCATTTTACACCGACCGAAATGAAAAAGATCCAAGTGCGGGGAGAAATGCAAAAGGTAACACCATCCCAATTGGTAGCGACAAAGGGGCCTCCGCTTTTGGCGAAGAGCTGCAAAGGATTACACAGAACACTGACGATCATGCCTCAAAGCGGAATAGCGGAGCACGTGCCCCCTGCTTTGGGACAAGGTGTGTTTTGCATGCGAATAGTGTTTATTAGTGCAGTGGGTGAGCGTTGGTAGGTAGTGTGAGTCGGTAAAACAAAAGCTATAACAAGAGTATGAAATGGTGGTATTATGAAGCGGCGGCTGAAAACATATGCAGATCTGCATCGTTGCTGTTTGCAGCCGCGGTTGAAATGTCAATAATCTGGCCGGCATCCGGATAAATGTAATCGCTACGAATTGCGCTAAATGTGGCCTTGATCCCTAGAATGAAGCTGGTGTTTTTGTACATGTGGTAGATGTTTGAGCGGCGGATGATGGTGTACAGTTGGTGGAGGAGCTGGTATCCTTTTTGTCTGACTTCAGGAATTTCTGATCCAAGGAGGTAGCGGTGGACGTGTGATGCCACGAGCAATGTTTTGAGCGAAGGGTAGCAGTAACAATCAAAAAAGTCCGGGTCGTCCGCCCAGCGGTCCATGACATCGACCATCAGTTTGCCGTGTTCCATACAGCGAATGAACGGCAGCTGCACAACGTCCCCGGCCTTTGGTAAGAAGATTTGGTATAAGAGGAGCCATGTGCCGTGCCACTCGACTAAGAAATGGTAACGCAAGCGGCGCATCCAGACTTCGACCAGCGAGCGATGACAGATGGGATGGGTGCGGCTGTGCTGGTCGGGCTGGCCACAGAAGCATTCGTAGCCTTCGCACGACTCAATGGCGATCTTGCTGAGCTCCTCTTCGCTTGTAATCCATGAGGGCAGTTCGCGGTACAACTCCCACATTTCGTCCTCGAGGGCCTTGACTTGTGCACCGTCCACACTCGGAGCTTCAACCTCGTAACACGTCTTCCAAATCTGCCGGATATTCTCAGCCAAGCGACAGCGATAGTAAATGTACTCCTCCTTGAGCTTGTCGACAACCTGGAGCGACTGGTCGGACGGACGTTGCTTGTGGACGTGCATGTATGGAGCGCACAGCACGTGGTCTTGCATCTGCATGTTGTGGAAAGCACAATCCGCGGTGTGGATAGCCCAGAACAGATGTCGCAATAAATTTTGCTGCCATACAGACATGTTACCATAGTGGGCATGGAGCATGTCGATCATGATCGACATGTATTGTCGTGACATGCCGCTCTGCTGTAAATATCCGTTTTCTGCCTCGTAAAGCATCATGTTGAACGTGGCATGCAGCGTCATGATGTCGATGCCGTTGGCCACGCGAGCGTCGCGCAGTTGTTTGGTGTGGAAATAGAATGCATTCGACAGCACTTGATGGTTGTCGACCTTCATGGCGTGCAAATTGACACAGTGCGAGAGCATGAGCGTCATTACCGAGCTGAGAAGTAGATCGTACTCGCCGTTCCTCTCGAAATGCGGCGAGATGAAATCTGGGAGAGCCGAAAAGGAGTAGCAGTCGTTGTACAGCGCAATCATCATTTCAACTTCTTCGACAGAGACCATGGCGCGCGCAATGTCAATTGAAAAATGGTCGGTATCTTCGAGCATGCGCGGGAAGGGTGGGATCGTTTCACTGGGAAGTGTGCCCATCAGATTGATAATGAAGCCGTTGCGGCCGAATGCATTCTTGAACACCTTGTCTTGGACCCGCCATTCCGGCTGGCCAGGTACGGACACGTTGACGAGCCAGCTCGCCGTATAGCGTCGCATGTAATTGTACATATCGGCCTCAAGACGGATGTTACGTGCCAAGTGACGCTTGGTGCTTGCCATCACCACCTGCGACTCCCAGTCTTTGACAGCGTTCTGTTCCACATAGTTTTTCAGGAGGTTGAATTTACCTCGAGTTTCGTATAGCAGCCGTTCCAGGATAGCTGCTTGTTCCTCTGGAGATAAGTTGCTGTACGGGAACTCTTTGGCATACAAGCACTTGCGGTTGTTTTCCAAACAGTTGCGGCACGGGTTGCCTTTGTCACATTGCTTTCGCGATGAGCGACAGCTATTTTGTTTTTTGTTTTTTTGAATCGTAATATTAATACCAGCGGCAGCGGACTTGACAAGATTCTTCTTTGGTCATTCAAAAGAAGCCTCTCCCTCTCCCGTAAAACAAAACAAGAGTTTTACTTGATGCAGGTCTCGACTTGACGACGACGTTTGCTCGGTGGTGGTTTACTGGCCATTAATAAAAACGAATAAAGAAAAGCAGCAGAAGAAAGTGTGAAAGAGAGAAAAGAAAGGGATCTTTTTTGCTCGGGGCAACTGTTCCAGTATAAGGTTGTGTGCGTGGTTTGTACTACCTTAATAGAAACCTGCAGCAGAGCAATTTTCCATAGTATTCCGCTCCATCACCCCCCCTATTATTACACCCTATTACAGAGTAGAAAAAACCTGCTCTACAGTATTCAACTCTCTTATGCCACCGAAGCGAGCCTGGCGAGAGACAGACGAGGAGACCGCTGCCGTCCGATCCAGTCGTGAATCCAAGAAATGCAACGAGTAGTGGTTAATTGCTCCTTCTTTCACCTTTTCTTGCATAGGAATCCCACTGATTTTGAGTTGATGTTTTTTTTTTTTTGCAGATGCCGTCGTCGCCATGTAAAGTGTGACGAACAGCGGCCCAAGTGTAGTAACTGCGTAAAGTCAAACGCCGAATGCAGTTATTCTCACAGCGGAATGCGATATGATCACATTTCCGCTGGACAACGACGAGATGATATGTACACGGAAATCGATGATATCTCCAAACGTGTAGAAAGTTTACTTTCGACTGTTCAGAATCAGGTACGTCCCCACGCTATGTATCCCGGGTAATACACATTAGCACAATCGCTACTTATAAGTATTGTAGATGGATCTGTGTTTCTAATTAAAATGATGTGTGGCGCGATACACACACAAACAGAAACTAAAAGCGTTTTCTTCTCAGCCAACACATGACGACGTTGCACGGCTGGCGATTGATTATGGCTGGCAAGTGTTCTTGACATCTGACGGTCAAAAACGTATCTTGACCAATATTGAGACCACGGCGCAACTTGCTGCACTCGTTCCACGAGCACTCAACGATGTCTATGGTGACAATAACAATAACAGCAGCAGTAGCCACGCAACAATTACAAGCACTTCTTCTCCAGCTTCATCACACGACTCACTTGATTCTCAGGTGGTACGCTTGCCAGTTCGAATGTCGCTGAATCAATACTTGCAACCGTACGATAATACGGGAGCCACTCCTACGACCGATTGCCCATCCATGTTCGCGTTTGTCATGTCACCTTCCTTAATTAGGCGTATGTCCGGCTATCCAGACCTGTCAGTGTCAGTTACCGGGGACCTGTACTGCTGCCCACATAATACGCAAGGGTATTTCCCACCACTGCCGCCATCCGGATCTCTATCGACAGCCGTGCCTACACATGTGTTGGCACAACGGACACGGTTCAGCGACTGCAGTCTATCAAACGTGTTTTGGAATCTTATCAAGACCGCACAATTAATTGATCACGGCAACTTTAGTCAGGCGTACGTCAATACTGGCATCACCATTACGAAAGCATTCAATCTACGGCTCCACCGTTCGTCCACAACCACACACCATGAACAGCAAGGTCGAATGATTGATGCCGAAGTCGTTAAGCGGATATTCTGGGCCGTATGGTTGCTCGATACTCAGATGCCCTTGTTGCACGAACGACAGTCATCCATTCAACTGCAGGATATACAGATAGACCCACCGGTAGTATGTCAAGGCATGGCGGATGATGCCGACATAGCCTATACAGACTGTCTAAGATGGCTTATCGAAGCACGAAGACTACGGATCAAGATCGAGCACAACCTGACGAGTATGAACCACGAAAAAGACGAACACAAAGTGCTGAACATTGTGACACAGCAAATACGGCAGCTCCGGCGATTCTATGAGCACCTGGATACCAAATACAAGCTTGAAACGATGATGATGATGGTGACAATCCACACGGAACAATGGCAACGACGGACCATGTTTATGGTATTACTTGAACATGCTATGAATTGGCTTGTACTATTTGATCGGTTCTTGCCTGCTTTGCCTGACCCAACCATGACAGCTGGAACCAAGTTCCCTGACAATTTGACGGTCAGTATGTGTCGTCAAGCAGCAGATGTAATGACTGTGGTATTTGAGAAATGGATTTGGGATGGATACGACTGTCAGTTTCGACTTTATCTAAACCATTTCTGTAACACGATATCCATGCACAAGGTAATCCTTTTTCTTTATTTTCGTACGAAACGGATGTTTGAGCTCATTATTCAAAGTATGTATTCAAAGTATGTGTGTCGATGTCCCGGTGTCAGCACCGTGCACAAGTGGAAAGCCTACGCATCACTCCAGTTTCTGCGTGATCTGACGCGAAAAACACCCGAAATTGTCCAGTCGTTTCTTGGACAGCGAATACTTGAAGATGTCACGTTTGCTTTGCAGGACTTGAGCGAGGTCACTGAAAACGGCTGGAATCCACTGGAACAAACGGATCTGCTGAGAGATATGACTCATTATTTTTCAGGATGGACGCCATCGTGCGATCCAATTGCGACCGATGAAAACACAAGTTTGTTGGGCAAAGAATCGTCTACCATGTTTGCCATTATCGAGATGCGTAAATCTGCTGCCGCTTTCTCTACCATGATGCAGCAACAGCAACAACTCCCGGTACAACAACAGCAAGAGCAATTGATGTTGTAGACTTGTACATATCAGCGTCTTTGTGCGAGATACAAGGTGATTGTCGTCATTGTAAAAAGTTCAAAACCGTTTTGTCACAGCATTCGCCGTCGTCTTCGTAAGAGCCAGCGTCGTCGTCTTAGCCTACTCTTTACTGTAAACGCTTTGCGCAACCGTCTTTGGCGCAGCAGCGATCGATCGTTATGGAGTCGCAAATCGCTCATTCGCTGTATCAGCGAGTTGTTAACTACTGCGGTTTATTGTATACCGTTTTCAATAATTAATTTTTTCTTTAAAATTTCAATTCTATTTGAGCTATATTTACCATTGTCCATCGTAAACTGTAGTTTGGTATCAAATCAGAGCAGTTGTCATTTTGCCAGTTAAAAGAAGTAACAAAAGAGATCTTGGAGAAAGAAAGCCAGCATTACATTTCCGAACACGGTATGCGTGGCCTAAATTTCCGACACATAGGAAGCGGTTTCGTTATTCACGCTTCGCAACTGTACCTTTGTTGTTTTGTCAATTGCTCACCTACAACAATGGCCTCTGCATCTGATAGCCTTGGATACCTTGTCCGTGTCTTTCCCACCTACCCTACCGAAGTAGTTACAGAGATTTTTGACAACCAGCAACAACTTGACGAGTGGGTTAAAGAAACCCCAAACAGCATGCCAACTTCATCACCAACAACAAGTACATCTCCGTACCCAAGGCTTCAGATGCACGCCGAAACAATACCGGCCGTCCTCGGAAAGTTGAACGTAGTATCACTTTTCTCTGTGATCACTCAAGAGAAATATCGGTACCAGCTGTCCCTGCTCCCATCAAAAAACGTCGACTTGCAAAACCTTCCATTAAAGTAAACTGTCGTGCTCGATATTGTATTCAATACCTGGTCTCAGGCAAAATCAAAGTTGTATATCACTGGCAACATCAGCATCATGACCCTACCGAGATAACCAATGCTACTCGCTCACAAATCCCCCCTGAAACACGTAAATGGATTGAAAACTTGTCAATAACAAGTTGGAGTGGGATCAAATTCAGGAACATCTGCGTTTGACTAGTAAACAACTTCAAGATGTAAGTATCATGTATACATGTAAAGCAAAACTTTGATATCAACTCGTAGAGATGCTAACCGGTGGTATCAGCTCGAGGAAGGCGAAGGACCGTTCCCGGAAGCCTTGCGTGTGAAGCAGCATCATGTCATGAATATCATCGCCAACCAACAGTCAAGATTAGCAAGAAAAGATCCAATCGATAAAGAAAGTGTAGTCAAGTGGCTTCTCTATCTAAAAGATCAAGGTTATCAGACGTTGGAATATATCACGGAATCTACTTTTGTTGTTGCATGGATATCACCACGACAAGCTTTGGTAAGAAAAGACATATATCAAAATATAATGCAATGTTCGTATATTAAGATACGTATGTGCTCTATAGCTGCTCAAGAAATCAAATGAGATCTGTATTGATGCCACACACAAGACTTGCAAATCTATTATCAATGGTCGGGCTGATGCGTATCTGTGCTCTATCGTTGCTAAGCATACAGTTACTAGACAAGGTTACCCTCTTGCTTTTATGATCACAGATAAAGAAGATAGTGAAAATCTGCAAGTATGGTTCCGATGGCTCCGGGACAGAATCGAATACACACCAACAAGGATCATGATCGAATGCAGTCCATTTGAAACTAACAGCATCCGAGAAGTCTACGGTCATCAAGTTCATGTTCTTCTGTATCATTGGCACATCAAAAGAGCATGGTAAAAGCACATCACGTCCAAGGTACCTTTTAGTTAGCCACATTATCGTATATTCAATATAACCTTCTTTTTTTATATGTTGGGTTATAGATCAAAAGTACTCTGTCAACAGCCGATACGAAGAAAAGAAGAGATGAAGCTCGTTCTGCCCTTGGTGCTTTGATGAATTGCAAAACCGTCGTTGAATTTGTGCAGTCTTGGTTAAAAATTGGCGGGATACATATGAGCATTTTATGGCTGTGTGTTGGACCATTGGCATCCTAAGCATCATCTTTGGTGCAAGGCTTGGAGAGAGGTACGTTTTAAGCTCGTTTTGGCTTTATTTTGCGCTTCAACATAATGCACGGTTGTATATTCTTTAGAATGCGTCCTTCCATAGAAATAATCTGATCGAAGCTGGCATTCCAAACTTAAACGCAAATATCTTCCATACAGTTGCAATCATCGTGCTGATCGTGTAAACTATATGTTGACGCAGTTGTTGAAAATGATTACCGTGCTCAAGTCCTACGTATTTTGGCTGGTGTCGAAGAAACAACAGCGACTAGAGAAGCTTAACAAACGAAAAGAGAAGCCTGCAAAAAATCACCAGATGAAGCTGACCGGATGATAACTATCCATGATGATCACGTATGTACCACTTCTGTATGTGTGCGTTTACTTTTACAATTGCTGATCGTACTGTGGCAATAGGTTACCTATCAATCTTTTGCTAGTTCTGCATTGTATACTTTAAAGTTTGAAGAAACTGATAGCAATGGCGTTATTGGTTCTTGGTAGTTGTGAAGATTTTAGAAAGCGTAACCAGCCATGCAAGCATATATATCTTAGCGCATATAACACCACCATTCTAGTAATCATAAACCAAAGTTTCCCTCGCCAATCAACAACAGCATCATCGTCATTACCAGCATCATCTTTAGTCAACAACATTAACAGCATCTATGCAACTAGCACCATCCTCACAGCACCAGCAGCGGCAACATAGAAACGATCTGCTCGCTGAATATGAACGCTCGACAAATCAACTTGATAATCTATTTGCAAGAAACAAATCAAACATATCTACAACACGACTAGAGAACTGATTGTTTGTTCTACAGAAAAGGCTATACACAGTCGTAGAAAAAATCATCAATCCAAATGCATGTCCCTCTCGTCAACAATGAAGAATAAAATAAATATTTAGCAGAGATACTTATTACATATATTTTGTTTTCTAATACTCTTGGTTGGACTTGGTATATATTTGTTCGGATAAAGCTGTTGGACTTGCAATATGGGACATGGGATTTGTGAGATGATCAATGATAGCGCCGCTATCTAAATTATCAACAAAGGCAAAGCCATAAGTGTGCATGGATCATGTGCCATCATTAGCAATAGTAATACACATCAACCAAGAAGCACTAAATAGGGAAAGAAGCGTATTGAGAAACAAGAATTAGACAGGTATGATATACAGTTATCATATTGCTTAATACAAACATCCTACTCTATATTTCTTGTCGTCCCTCGTGTAGATAGCAGATCCAAGAATTCGTTAAAACAATGGAGCAACCATGGCAAACAGATTATTGACGTCCTCAACACAACATTCCCCGCTCTCAACCAGCTCTGTCAGTGTTCAAAACCAACAACAAGGTATAGAAAGATATTTTGAGCATTTGGAGAAACGAATATAATGAACACTTTGGTTGGTGACGTTTGTCGTATTCCCGGGACTCCAATAACGAACTCCCCCCATACAATCCTGCAATACACGTTGTTATTGTTCCATACTGTACATCAACTTTTAAAAAAGAACCGCACGCGTAATATTATCCTCTATCCTCTATAGTGTCCAAACATCGTCAAAAACTTTAGTCCACGAGAAAGCATACATATCTGATTACTGTAGACACAATCCTCTCAATCAGCATAATTAATTGTTTAAATTTAGAAGTAACAGCCTTCATCTTTAAATCACTGATATGTATAATTCTGCCAACACTCTCAGGGGCTTCTAAAGTCTCTTTTCATCACTTTCATTTTTCAGCATATCACGAGGCTTCTGATAATTGTTTGATTAGAGTGCAGCACGCTCCCCACCCGTAGTATTGCTAAGCGGGCAATCGTGGGCGGCATGTAATCCTAGCACGACTATCTTTCTTTCACATGCTCAAAAGGTGATATACACATGGGTTAATCATTTGCATAAAAGATATATCTTCTTGTTAATAGTCACCTGCGAATATTATCATTAATTTTTTTCAAGAATTTTCTTTAATAAATGGTGCCTTTTCAAAATCATAGTGCACTTGTGGTAAACCACACTACTTTGAGATTGATCCGGACAACTCATCCCACTCCGCCGTCTTTGTAACCATTAGAAAGCAGTAGAGAGAACACCACACACACGAATGAATCACAATATTACATAATTAGCGCCATATCAATGATCTCTCAAACATGGATCACAATCGAGAATAAGTCAGAACCAACCATTGTATACACATTGTCCTATTCTCGAGTTAGTCAGCACTTCCTTTGAATCTAGCTTATATGAGTTGAGCGAAGTGAACCTGTCAAAGAGCATTTTTTTTTTGTTGGATGAGCCGGGTAGGAGGCTGAAATTTTACTGGTTGGTCACACGTTCAATGTCAAAGAGCAGATACCAATTCCAGCACAGACAAAGGTGAAATTCGCCAAACAAGGAGCACACTGATCAAGACAAAGATGACTCTTTACAATCGGAAGGCAACGTTCATTGTCATGACCGCCAAACTCAACCTTACCATCCCTCTTCATCTTTGAAACATCCGAAACCCGGCATGCCCCCGATCCATTCATCAGTTCATCCAAACGGAAGTCTTGACAGCATATCCAAGAGTATATAAAGGGTTGTTAATTCATTCAAAAAAAATCATCTCATATTTGACTCTCACAGTATTTCATATTGTCTTTTATTCAATCTCTTTTCTCTTATTATCTATTCACAACCCACGTTCATCAAAGCACTCCTTCTCTCAAACAAGGTCTTCCTTTTCTCCTTCTTACAACTTTCTCTCCAATAACTCTCTTTCTATCTTATCACTATTGTTTTATATACATAAAGCCTTGCACCTTTTTAATCAATATTAAAAATGGTGTCTATCAGTGTTGTGGACGACAGCGACACTGATATGACTATGGCATCAACCGACTCATTTGATACCGACAATATGCTCGTCGATAATGACCCAACCACTGAAGCTTTTTCGGAAGCGAGCGACGGTGCGGCTATGATGGATGTGGACGACGAAAATATTGGTTTTGACAACGTTAATGACTACTATGACGACCTGGACAACGACACTAGCTCGGACATTACATCATTTGCCGAGAATGAGTACTCCTATGACGAGATAGCGTACATGGAGCAAGAAGGAGCAGCAGGTACTGTTAATATTGTCTTTCCGCTTGTCTTCTGTGTATGATTTTTATGAGCATGTATATAGTAGACTCACTATGGTTGTACCTTTATATTATTTCCTACATAGAACCGGAGCCAGACTTCATTCGCGACACGTTTTACGGCCGTGCAAATACATGGCGATTAGCCAGTCGCAAATGCAAGTTGAGGGTAGCATTAAATGAAAATCGTGAGCTGTACAGGGTTCGTACACCATTTATAAAGCCGACACCAAGATCATTCATAATTATCTGGACAGAAAAGCTAAAACAATCTTATATTACCGCTAGGCTTACCTTCGTTCGTTAGCTGAGTGGTACCAAGTACTTCGCAGAGACGCCTTGAACTTGATTAATCTGCATGCTCTGCTTGCATACGAAAGCAACGGTGAGATACCCATGCCAGAATTAGACAATCAAACGTATTGGGCTACGGCATTTCGGATGGTGATCACCAATCCAACGCAAGAGGCACCTATACCGGCTCGCGTGAGAATAATTTCTGTTGCTTGGGATGAATTGTGCATAATATGTACTGTATGTCGCGGAGCATGCAACACTGACAAGCTTTTTACATTATTGACTTCAATAGACTCCAAACCGCTACGCCGTTCTACGCGATATCTTCAATAATCATTATCAGCCACAACGCCGGAATGCGGAAACAGGAGAAGGTATTAGATATACCGATATGACGCTTTGAAACTGGGTAAATGTAAAACAATGATAGATGTTTGATACTGACTTTCTTAACAGCGTTATACGATCTTCCTGTTCTTCGTCAAGACTTATCAATGTCCTTGTTGGCTCGATTAGCACAGCTTTTTGCAGTGAAAGCTAAAACCAGTAAGTGTAGTGTACACGCAATTCTTACATGCTCTATGTATGATTGTTGAACTATAAAAATAGTTATTAACTGAGGAAATAAATTTGTAGATGCCATGAACCACCTATGCACCAACATTCCTGTCTTTCTCAAGCGTGTATGGGTCGCATATCTGAGTCATCTGCGCCATGAACATAACCTTACCTTTCGAATCAGCATCTCTAGCATGGGTAAACAAAAGAATGATTTTCTTTTCTACTTACATTGGTAATACTGGAGTGTTGTAAATGTCTCACCGCTATTTTTTATTTTGATCTGCTTATAGCAAAACAAATCTGTAATTTGATCACAACGCACAGAACTCATTTGACTCAGCGTTTAATTGAACGAATTCCAGCAGCAATCTTTACCGAGGTGCTTCAATATTTCAAGTAAGAAATTACACATAATTTCTTTTTAATTTGTTATGATGATTATATAGATACAACACATAGATAAACACACAGTTATAACTAAGACGGTGTACCTAATTTTAACTTTTTTAGCCAACACACTGCACGATTCGAACAAGCATATGCCGGCGTGAATATCGCACGCATAGTACAGCGACCGTCCATATCTGGCCCTGCAATGCTAGTGAATTCGCTATCCTTTTATATCTGGCTGTCACTTGAAGCCCAGCCTTTCCAATTCTGTCCCAAGTGGACTCCACTACCACTTGCCAGTCACCGCATTGGATTCATGCCGGTCGACCTTGAAACTATGTATTACATCGTACGCGAAGTGGACGAGCGAGATCCTGCACAAGTGCCGGATAATATTGTGGTAATGATATGCGTTTTTACTCTCTTTGTGTTTCCAGTTATTAAAAGATGTTATTTGTTTATTTACTGGCTTGTTTCCATCGATGCATAAATCTAGAGACCAAATAACGTTCCTGGTCGTGGACGTTGCTTGTCATATCGTGTTTTCAGACAGCAAGATCCTGAGCTGCTTGAAGGCTTCTGGGAGTCGCTATTTAATATCGGTCACGTAGAGCCGCGACGTTGCCGATACGCAGTCGAAGGTAGATTCCGTATACATTTTGAATAGTCACAAAGTGGTATCTTTTGATAGTTATATCTAAACTCATCTATCTCATATACATTTATAAATATGATGTGCCCAGGTCAAGGTGTTGTGCCCCCAGAAGACCGCGAGCTCAAACTCTTCAATAACACATTCGAAACGGATGGTGTCGCCATTGTGTTCCATTTTCGCAGGCCTGTGACAACGCGGCGTGGAGGTTGGTAGTACCCTCATAGCATGCAATATTAAAAGTATGTATTTAGTCATGACGACATCTCATAAATCTATTGTTAGAGTATATGCCTTCTAGCTCCAACCAAGTTAAACGTTTTCCTCGTGAAATTGACGTCACACAGTGGAGAAGAGGAATGTATCATCTCTCCAAAGAGCCAGATGGTCTTGATGCAGAGCGGCTTCACAATTTTCGAACAGTGTTCATAGACCCAGGTATATATCTAATCATTCTCAAAATATGTAACGGTATCTAAGTAGATATTCTGTATATTATTTTAGGCATCCGGTCTCTGGTCACTGCTGTAGACACTCTTGAGCCGCTCGAAACACCTGAAGCGAGAGCAGAGCACGTATATCAGCTAAATAACAGAACATACCAGTGAGTACTGCGTGCAGTATATTTACTTTTAGCAAGTATGAGCGTGTGTCCGCGCTTTTTACATCTGATGCCAACATGTTTGATTTTGTACATAACCCTTTTTCAGGTTCCAGTCCATGTTCAAGTGGGCGCTCCAAAAGGAAAACAAAAATCGAGCACGCTATGCTCATGTCGAGCGACAGGCTCATCCGGATCAAGATATCCCGGAGATACAGGAGGTGTATGATATGTTGAGAGGACATCCGGCTTCAGCGCCTACCTCGGAAGGTTTTCGAAACTACATCAGAATGTTGAGTGGCGTGCACAGACAGTAAGTTACTCAGCTATGTCGATATATACTGGAACACCGTGATCATCATTTTGGCATGAGTATTCACTCTAGTTTTTTTTTTTTTTGAAAAAAATAGCATCCATGAACAATTTAACAAACATTTCTTTCACCGGGAAACGTTACTCACTCTTTTTTCTGCGCGCAAAAGCGCATTGGAGAATCTTGCCAACAGATTGATAGGGTTGGATCACCGTGACGATGTAAGTATCTTTCTGTGTATGAGTACTTCTTTGATAAGTCGCAAAAGCTAATATGGTTGCTTCAAGGTACCTCTCCCTTTCTTCAATAAGGCCTCTAAACGTGAACGCAAAGCTCACCGCCGCCGGTTTCGCCGACCGCGCCGCGCACATGCAGGATTCAGAGTGCAAGACAATTGTATTGTAGCATATGGTGATGGAAGGTTTAAGCCCTCCTTCAAAGGATTTGAACCTATTCCTGTTGAGGTAAATAAGAAAAATTATCTGGCAGACGTGGTGGAACGTTAATTAGTGATGAATGAAGCGAGTGTACTTGCTGTGAATTGACGCCTATATTATAAATAACTTTGTAGACGTTCCGGGCGGTTCTAGCAAGACGTGTAATGGTCATGCTCATCGATGAGTATCGAACCAGTGTTGTGTGCAGTGCTTGCGATGCGAACACGCGTCAATTTCGAGACCGTCCAGGAAGTGTTCAAGTGTGCCGCGAGCACACAAAGCGGAGAATTCGTCGGATCCGCGAACGTGCTGAAGACGATGGACACAGGAACAATGCCCGACGGCAGCTCTGGTGTGTGGATGACGACGGCCACAACCTTTGGCCAACATCGACTTGCAACGACCGTCAAAACGCTGGTACGTAATATAGGCTTTGTTACTTTCTATCGTGTATACAAAAAGTTTGTGAAACAGTGAGAGAGCCTCAATAGCTAATATTATGGTTGTAATAATATACCAAAACTTATTTTCAGCTGATTCCCAATTATCCGTGTACCCATTGAAGTTCTGCGATCATTGTCCTGCAACTACTGTAAGTGGCTAGTATTTTGATTGTTTTATCACATCAGTCCCTTGATAATGCATCATACGACTTGCGCATAAGCTTACTCTATCTATACATATAGTTGTGGGACCGTGATAATAATGCTGCGCGAAACATTGGTCGTATCTTCATGCAATACGTTCAAACTGGTAATTTGAGATCGCGACCACCGTCGATGCGTCGTCCCGCTGGAGAAAATGTATTAGACGATGCCCACGACGACGAGTTTGAAGAGGAGGAGGAAGACGAAGAAGAGCAGGCCTTGGCGCCTGTCATGGAGTGAGTGGAGGGCCACTCCAACGAGATACAAATTGGGGGGAGGTAAGTATCATATTCCATACTCGTTTCTTTACTTTTGTAACAGCTGTCTAACTTTTGTTTCTTTTCATGCATACGCTTTAATACACTTCTTTCCTTCTTTCTGTTGCATTTATTCTCCGCTTCTTATTTCTAATTTTTCTTGGATGAATAAAAGACCCCCAAAGGAAGCTTACCAAGGTGATCACCAGCTTGATAAGGTTTTTTCAAGGATAAGGATTCATTATATATAAGGCATGTTCTCTCGTTCTCAATAAGCTCTTCAATTTAGTGATCTGCTCCTTTATTTTATATCGTGATGATCTCAAAGCAGCTGAATTACACCTACTTGCTATCATACACGTCCTCCCTTGCACACATGGGTTGATCTTGAAACCATGGTGCTAACCCAAAGTCCTATACATAACGCTTAGCTAGGTTACGCTCTCATGGTTGATACAATTCTTACTATCTTCCCCAGCTGAAGACTATTTTGAACGTGTGATTCACACACCTTCACTTTTAACGAGCCGCCGCGAAAAGCGCATAAATTTTTGTTTTTTTCTTCCTGAACCTCTCAAACAAAAAAAGTCAACAGACATGGTGAAACGACCCGATCGCCGCACGGAAAACACACAATTACGCGCATTTTCAGCATCACAAAACTTACTAAATCAAGCTGACGGTTCAGCAAAGTTCGATCTAGGTAATTTGTTCAACAGATCCCTTTTTGTCCCCATCAATGTGCCCTAACTTGTCATTTTAAGGCGAGACATCGGTCATGGTCTCTGTTGTTGGTCCGGCCGAAGTGCAATTACGCGACGAAAAGATGGACGAAGCCACAGTAGAAGTCGTTGTTCGATCTGCTGTAGGTGTGTCTACCACTACTGAGAAACTCCAAGAACAATTATTACGGACTGCAGTCGAGCCTGTCATTTTGGGTGGCATGATGCCGCGTACCCTTGTCCAGATCGTTGTTCAGATTATCAAGGACGATGGATCGGTATGTTTTATTTTCACTCTGCCTTTAAGAGTAAAATATAAGTTTGAAAGAATGGCTTCATTTTTGGTGGGTCTGTAGAATACTAAAATGTAATCACACGTTTTTTTTATATACATAGGTGCTGGCAGCAGCGGTGAACGGGATCACATTGGCACTATTGGATGCAGGCATCCCTATGAAGTTTATGACAGCTGCCATGACATGTATGATCGATCGTGTTTCCAAAGATATCGTCATGGACCCGACCAGTGAAGAATTAGAGGTAATGCGAAGAAGAAAGATCAGCCACAAAATGAATAGTTGTTGATTAAATTATTGCTATAGAACGCATCTTCGGTCCATATGTTTGCATTTGACAACCTCAACAAGACGCCTCATGTCTTGTTATCCGACTCATCCGGTCAGTTTAGTCAGGAACAAGTAAGTTGAAAAGAAGGGGACTTGACAGTTACGGTCTATACAGAAGCGTGAAGAAGCTTATCTGAGCCATCCCCCCCCCACCTTAGTATTTCGAATGTCATGACAGATGCTATGAAGCGGCAGATAAGGTCCAAGGCTTCTTGCGCGTGGCTGTGGAATCAAAAAAGCAGAAAGAATATCAGCAAACTGTAAATGAATAAAATTTTAATAACCATGTAAATATCCTATATCTTCTGCTCCTTATCAAATCATCCCCTTACTGTGCTTGGAAAGAAACGAAGAGCAACGTGGATGTTCCTGGTCTGTTTCGGAAGAGCCACTGTGTGCATGTGTTTGTTTTGTGTGTGCGGGTGGTTGGGTCCACGATATCCCTTTCGCTGGTCACAGAGATACTGTATACGGAAACCAGAAGACGACATAGCACCGTGGTACATAACGCCACACTTGGCAGAGTGCGTGATCAACAATACATTCTGTTCTCCTCTTTGAATACATGGTAACATGAACAACAGCACGATGGCTGGTACAAGCTGAACTGCAAACATCAAACGGGTACTGCACTTATGTTATACGCTAATTTGCAAGAGCGAGCCAGCATTACATACGGTTTCTTTTGGTCAGTGCACAGGTACGTGTTCAGCTCCAACTATCCGTTGATTCTCACAGCAACACGCCTGGGACGTATGATTTACTGCGCAACAGTGAACGGAGCACCCGCGGAATGTTCTTTCGTCTGTTGCATAATAACGTATTTCCTCAGGGCTGTAAGCAAAACGGCATGATTGGACTTTTCTTTGTCATGTCAGCCCGCGCGCGCTCACATAAGAGTGTAAAAGTAAGCAAAAGATTAGAGAATGAAAGAGTGAAGTAAAGAGACGTGCTTTCTTGTGTTGCCATAACTTCAGCGTCTTGACGCCGAATTATTTTTTTTCCTTTTTTTTTGCGACCACACCACACCACACACACACACAATATATCACTTCCTTTCGCCAAAAAAAAAGTCTTTCCTCCCCCCCCTACCTCTTTGTTCCTTTAGCTCACCACCAATCTCCCCATCACCCAATTCAATTCACTTTCAACCAATCGTGGCATCCTTTCATCCGCTTTGTTCACCCACGTCACCGACTACCTCTCAGCTCGCCGCCTCCCTCGTTCCTGCTACCACCGATTTGCGAATGCCTTCGGTAGGCGCAGCCCCACTTTTATCACCTCCACTACCTCCTGCTCCTCCTAAAGGAATTTACAACGTCATCTTGATGACGAACGGCAATTCCAGTGTGAGTGCCTCGAACGGGTCTTCGGCATTCCTCTCTGGTAGCTCGGGTGAGGAAATCTCGACAATCTTTGTCGTTGGCTTCCCCGACGATATGCAAGAGCGCGAGTTTCAGAACATGTTCATATTCTCACCTGGCTTTGAAGCGGCGACACTCAAGATCCCCAGCAAGGATCAAGAAGATGATATGACGTCGCCTTCGGCTCCTTCTTCGTCGTCGAACAACAACAACAACAACAGTAACAACAGCAGTAACAACAATCTCAGTAATAATGGGAGAAAGCAAATTGTAAGCACCTTTGAAAGAAGACGAAAAGCGTGTGTGGCTATGTGTGCTCTGGTAATTCATGCTTTACTTCTGCGGCTATCTGTTGCGTAGATTGGTTTCGCCAAGTTTCGTACCAGGTTTGAAGCGCTTGAGGCCAAGGAAATCTTGAGTGGTCGTCGAGTTGACGCAGAAAAGGGCTCTGTGCTGAAAGCAGAAATGGCGAAAAAGAACTTGCATACAAAACGAGGCTTGTCAAGCGATCAACAGCAGCAGCAGCTACAACAGCAACAGCAACAGCAACAACAGCAGCAGCAGCAGCAACCGCAGCCGCAACTACAACAACAGACTTCTTCACAGCAATCACAACCTCAACCTCAACAGCATCCACCCATTGTACCCATGTCCACCAGCTCGTATCCTATCATCTCTCAGCAGCCACAAACACAAACACAGCAGCTATCTTCTTCATCAAAACGTTTCTCACTTGGTCCCCCACAGGCACCATCTGCTGCTTACGAAGCTTTCCATTCTGTTCCCCCTGCCTTACCATCTGAGCTTGTTCCACCCAACGAGCTTTCTTACCCGGATTATTATTCTGATTTGTTCTCGCCAGGAGGCACGCCCATTGCACCGTCATTCCATGAATCTATGTTCGCATCGCGTGCCCCACCACCACCGCCGTTCGATACTCGGTCAGCATCCATGGGCGACATATTTAATGTCATGCCATCATCAATGTCATCTTCGCGACTGCCAAGCGGATTCAATGCAGGTCATCGCTACTCGTCTAAAAACAGCATGCTTGATATGGATCTTCCCAAGTCGCCCACTGAGCGTACTGGTAACGTATTTGGCGCGCCAATATTTTTCCCGCCTCAACAACAACAACAACAACAACAACCATCCGTAACACAGCAGCAACCACTACCTGCACCAGCCCCATCAACATCCATTTCACAACCACCACCGCATTCTAGCTCATTCCTTCCATATCCTACGACACCTGCACCAACACAGCCACAATCCCAATCCCAACAGCAACAGCAACAGCAACAACACTTCTCGCCGCCTCCGCCGAGTAACCTCAACAGTGTGCAGGAAGAGGTTTTTCCACTCCAGTTGCCAGATCCCGAAACCAATGAACTACCGTCTCGCTTTGGTGGATTATCCATAAGCACTTCATCCACGGTCACTACGCCCAATAACGGCGGCTTGCCTTCACCAGGAGTTACTTCGCCTACTGGGTTCCGCAGCTTTGGAGCATTGGGCATCAGCACCAACCCGGCGGATCAGAATCCGCCATGCAACACACTGTATGTCGGTAACCTACCGCCTAACGCAAGTGAAGACGAGCTCAAGGCAATGTTTTCATCTTGTGTAGGCTACCAGCGCCTCAGTTTCCGTAACAAGTCTAACGGACCAATGTGTTTTGTGGAATTTGAGGATATTGCATGCGCCACACAGGCGATGCAGGATCTCTACGGTAATCTGCTTAGTAACTCTGTGAAAGGTGGTATCCGACTTTCGTTCAGCAAGAACCCATTGGTAAGGCATCTGATTTCGAAGGGTTATTTTCGGTTACTGATATGTCTGCTACCTCGATTTATTAGGGCGTACGTCAAAACTTACCAACATTGGATCAATGAAAAAACAATCGCACCAGCAACAAATCAACTTAATCATTTCTTTATCCTAAAGCAAGCTTCAGACATTAAATCAATACCACAATAATAACAACAACAGCAACACATACAAAAAAATCATAAAATCGCATCATGTATACAACAACAACAACAACAAACAAACCCTTCTCTCCAATTTTCTTGTTCGCCAAGCCCTCTTTTCTCTTACTTTTATACTATTTTACGATATTATTTCTATACTTACCACATAAATATAACTCATGCCCTCACAACCCATAGTATCTTGGTCCTCAAGTTATCATACAGTCAAATATATTTATACGTTATCATTATTATTATTATTATTATTGTTATTATTTTTATATATTGATCTAGCAACACATAGCAAACGTATCACAGAGCGCGCTGTCGAAATTATACGGGTAATCGCGAGTTTGTATTCAATAACCTTATACAGCACACAGCTCAAACCTTAGATTTTTCCTCTCCTTCCTTTTTTCCTGCTTTCCCATTCTTTCTTCTTGCACTGTACAAGAAAGTTCTATCTTAAAAACAAGCCTTGCCACCCCCAATGCAGCAGGATGATCGTGATCCTCTCTTAGGGACGCAACACGGTAGCGACGACGACAACGATATTAATAACACTTCCTCGTTTTCTGTCTCTACCAAACCCAGACCTCAAGATGACAACAACAACAACAACCATAATGATAATGGCGCTTCAGAATCTCGGCATAGCGACGAAGAAGACGACGCAGACGACGGAACTAATCAAGAAGAACGACGATTATTGAACGGACATGTCGCTGACAACAACCAATACGACCAAGCCGAACGACGCACTACACCAGAACCCATGGAAGTACACGATTCAAACGAGGAACCATTATTTATTTCGAAATGGGTTAGTCGAGTTTTACAGTGCAACAGAAAGAAGTTACTTGACCTCCTTCACCGCAAAACTAATTATGTGCATATGTATTATTGTCAACCACATGCATACAACTACCAGGACAACCCGATGTGGCGATATCCACTGTTGGCTGCGTTTTTTGGCATGTTTCTATTAATGTTCAAAGTGGTCCTCATTGTCGTTCTTCACAGCGAAATGGCGGAACGGGGGCCCGATCGTGTCTTGTTTAACGGCACAGAATATTTTGATCCCACTGTTATTTTGATTTCGTTGGATGGATTTAGGGAGGATTATCTACATCGCAATATCACGCCGCACTTGGCATACTTTGGTAAGTAGAATTGTTGATCATCATTATCAAGGGATCATGGTGCGACAGAGGACTAGGGAAAAAAAAGAAGTAGACAATAAGGTTTCTGACGGCTCGATCTATCTATGTAGCTGCGAATGGCATGCGTGCAGAATATATGCACCCAGCGTTCCCTGTATGTTTCTTCTTGATCATTGAGATATGGTTCCACGTGCAAATTAACTTACAAGGCACATTCTATGTAGTCCGTTACTTTCTCCAACCATTGGACGCTAGCAACAGGCCTGCATCCCGAATCGCATGGCATCGTAGCAAACAAATTTTATGATCCAGTGTTGAAAAAAGATTTCAGCATAGAGGATGATGACTCTCGATGGTGGCATGGTGAACCGGTAATACATGGAGATCCAGAATTCGGAAATGCACGCTTTCTCATAAACTCCTTTTAAAAACCATCTCTAGATTTGGATGACAGCACAACGGCAAGAGAAGGAGTCAGCCGTAATTATGTGGCCCGGTTCGATGATTAGTGGTCTAAAACCAAAGCGTGTAATCGATTTCAACGACACGGTATCTCCTCACGACAAATTTGACCAGACATTACAATGGATCGATTTGCCACGCGAAGAACGACCCAACTTGATCGGCGTCTACATACAACAAACCGACGAAAATGGCCACCGACACGGCCCCACGAGCCAAGATATCGACAAGACGATTGCAGACATGGATGATGCTATTGGGTATTTATTGAAAGGGCTCGACGATCGCAATTTGCTTGGTCGTATCCATGTTGTTATTGTCAGCGATCATGGAATGGCTGAGACCGACCGTTCACGTGTGATTTATTACGACGACATATTATCTTCGACCTCGCGAAGCTGGCTCCGTGAACGAGAAGCTGACCCTCTTCTTGGTCTTCGACCCAAAGACAATGCCCCTAAACATGCCATCCAACAAATATACCAAGAATTTTACAACTTCACGCAATCACACCCCGATCCGCATTTCCAGGTTTATCTTAAGGAAGATGTACCGGCACGGCTTCATTATAGTAACAACGAGCGTATTGCACCGATTGTGGCAATCCCAGATGTGGGCTACGTGATGGTAGACCATGACCGCTTTGATCCCAAATCAGCAACAGAGCAGTTTTCACCGATTGGAATACATGGCTATGATAATTTGGCCGTAGAGATGCGGTCAATATTCATGGCTCATGGTCCAGCCGTCGATATGATGTATGGACGGAGGGCTGTCTTGGCCCCTTTCTATAATACTGAAGTGTATAGTTTTGTCTGTGAATTGCTCAATATTGATGCGAATCCGGCGCATAATGGCACTATGGAAGGCCAGTTTGTTCGGATACGATGATGTGGTATTGACTATTAATTCTACGTACCACTCCTCCCTCTACTTTTGCATGCGTTTTCCACTCCTCCTCTTCCTCCGTCCTTACCTTTCACTTGTTCTTTTGTTCGTCGTTTTCTTCTCTCTCTTATAGTAAATACATATATCTTCTCTTATATATCATACACATTACTTGAACCAGACCGTTTTGGCAAATTCGAGCCGTTGCACGCATATATCAGAAATATGAATGGAAGATTCGAGATCTTTGAGATAAACGCATGACAACATATGAGCTTTAAATTCCAGAAACTCGGGTCAGCAAAGCTTACGCTCTTATCACACTTATTAGTTGTTTAGCACCAATTAACTGCTATATGTAATACAGAGCAACAGTTGGGATGATATATGTTTACCATTATATGACAAGAGAAAGAGGATGTACTTGTCCAGTAATGAGTGCATAGTATGCACATAAGACCTATAGGCGAAGTGACAAGGAAGCAGTGGTGGAGATGGTAATGGCCAGTTATTACTATTTTTACGAACTCGTAAGAGAGCTCGATTTTACTGTTTCGCTTAATATAATACAACCCCTCTAATACGACGTCCTCTATACCACACAGGCTCAGTTTCTGTAAGTTTCGAACTTCACCGAGATATTGTAGAGTCTCATCGTATATATGAAGGCTAATCGATTGGATAACCGGTTGCATTTAGCAAAAGATATGTAAAGGCTTTGAATTATGGAAACGTGAGTCGCAAATAGGAATGCACCAGCTCGATATATGATAACGAAGATGCTTGCTCAAGAGAACGCAACATGAGAGACATTCCTTCTTTGTTGACTTTTTGCACGTATTCAGACATCGATTTTTTTTATAAATCTGAGAGGGTGAAGCTACTTGAAGAATACCCGGGCCGATATATGATATTCATGTCGACGAAATGCAAGTTTATCTACGCCAGCGCATCTTAATAGCATCCTGGCATATAACCCATTGTGGATGCGTACTTATTTCGTGTCGAGATTCGTGGTTTGGTACAGGTGAGGGAGAAGAGCGTACTCTACGCCTGTATGTTGCAATCAGCTGGGGAAGGGCTGTTAGTCATAAAATCCATTATCGGTTTGTCTGCCGCTTTCCCCAAGTAATAAGGCTACAGAGAAAAATAGCGGAGTCCTCTGCATTCCGGGGGTGGGACGTCGGTGTCAATCAGGTATACTAGGGGCAGTTGTATCCGAGGTTGTAAATATTGAGACGAAATCTGGAGATAACATAAAAATATCGCATAATTGGAATATTTTGAGTATCAGTCTACGCAGCCTTGAAGTACATCGTACTATCTGTTCCAGCAATGTGACGCTGACGCTCTTGTAATGCAACAACAAAAGATTTAGAAGCTGCAGTGCCGAGCGTTAGCCAAACATAATCCATACAAATACTGAGTTGCGTACGAGAGAGACAACTTAGGTTTGGGTATGATAAGCACTTAAATTACCTATAGACAAAAGTGGAGCGTTACTTTGGTGTGTGTGCTTTATTAACGTATTTTCCTTAGGCAATGGTAATTGTTTATAAGACATTCTATGTTGTAAAGTTTTTCTTTTGGTTAGTCTCGCTTCTACATTGCCATAACTCATGTATGAGTTTATATTACGAGACAGTGAAACTTACATATTGACCCCAAGTTTAACAAATTCTTAAAGCTGCCACTCATTAGAGTAACAAACATCTTTTCGCTTTATTGAAACTATTCCTCGTTTGCCGTAGTGCCAGTTCCTCAACGACCAATGTGATAATCTTGGTGAGAACAGAAGCACAGTCCTTCGAAGAATAACAACTTGAAGGCTGAGCTTTTCCATGGCTTCGAATACGATAATGACCTTTCACATCATTCCTGGGTTACGTCCATGATCCGAACCAGACCTTTCACCCAGAACGAACGATAACAAGTTGTATGGTCATATGTGACAAAGTCGACACGACGACCGAGTTGTGCTTTCGCGTCTCCTTGTGGGGTTCTTTCAGTTCTTTTCGCCTGTCTTCTTGATCGGAAGAAACAGAATGAAGACCTTGTTCATAGATTCACATGGATGCTTTGTATCAGCTGCTTAGAGTATAAAGCATTCCTGTGCGCAAGTAATCTCTTGGTCCTTCTGATACGTACGCGAATTTTTAATTGTGCATCTTTAAAAACCATTGCCCATCTTCGTGGTCAGACCATCTTTATGAAGATGCACAGTATGTGGTATTGCAGCATGTAATTATACCTCTACAGCTGTGCTTTATAAGCACTAACGGCAGCTATTGTACTTTTCACGACTACACCTCTCGATATGCAAAAACCCTTAAATCACTCCATATGCTTTTGAATGCATGCAAATGCAGTAAATTCTGTGCATTTGCAATTTTAGACGTCCAAAATGGGGTAAAGGTATTTGCGCTTTGAAATGCACCTCAACAGCTGTATGCAGAACCTTATCATAGCGCATTACATCCGAGCTTGCTTTTTGATTGAAAGATTTTTGGCCACAATAGCACTGAAATTTAACAAAGGAAAAGATAGCACTGAGCTTTACAATGGCAGTTATATAAAAGCGAAATATTCATACATAGCAATGGTATTTTTAATGAAGAATCTTATCATAAGTAGCTTTACTTTGGTTTAGCAAAAGCAAGCAAGCAGACGGGCACCGAAGCTTTTCTGCCAAAGCATTCTGGGGACAGACCTATCATTCAACTGCTTCGGCAAAGAAAAATTAGAATACAGCAGTTTCAGGCGTTGCAATTGTACAGGAAGAAGACGATCCGGATGAGGGGGTGTTTGGGAACGCGAGTGAGGAGGAGCACAGTCCTACGTAGTAGCTGAGGTATCTAGCTACCAAGATTCATTTCAAATCTCAGATTACCGTTTGGGCCTTTTTGAGACCTTAAAGAGTTAGAGTGTCGTTTTACGCGATATCCATTTCCTAATTACTCTGCGTACATATTTTACATCACAGTATAAAACAACAACACTTAACATCCCCCAAGCATCCAAAATACACCAGCACATGTTCCAACCATCCGCTTCGTCGCCCTCTCACACGCTCTTGGGCTTCATGATTCATTGATTTTGCCTCTGAATTGTCTCCGATTATTACTCCCTTGACTTCTTGTCTATATCTCTTTCTTTATCTGTTACGTATAGGCATATAACTCACGGTCACCTACAAAACCTTCAAAAGAAAAAAAGGTCGTTTTAGGTGTCCGAAAGCCTACAAGCGGCAGCAAACGACAGTTTGTGTCTTTGCATGGTAGCACAACATACATGTAAATAGTCCAACAAAGCAGTATCATATGTAGCATTGAAAAGGCCACGCTTCAATGATGTTGTTTTAATAAAAAGGACATATTAAAGAAGAAGATTAGAAGATGTTTCGCAAGTCCCATCTATTCAAAATGATGAAAAGGCTACCAAAAGTACACTCCGTTCTGTTGCCAAGCATATATAGCTACAGTAGTAGATAAATGGCAGCAGGTAAAATAAGGTATTTCATAGGCATATGACGGCAGCGCTCTGTTAAAAAGGTGTCCAAGGCGATGTCAAAGACAAACAAAAGCAGCCCTCTGTTAAAAGGTTGCTCAAGTTATAGGTTGCACAGCCTCGTCGCATTGCTGTTATATATTCTGACTCTCTTATAACGGCTGTGGCCGTATGCATGTCTTTACTGCAAGATATGCCGTGGTATGCACGTCTACACGTTTGAGCATGCCACCAAGTATGTCGTCGAAACCACGAGTCACATCGTCTTGACAATAGTCCCTTGATAGTTTGGCTACTGGACATTGACGAGGCACGATTTGAATCTTTGCTTGCTGAACTCTGCTGTATCAAAGTAGACTAGATGTTGTTTCGCGAGGTCAAGCTGTTCTGTACAGTCGTCGCTTCTGGTTGTCTGGCGCTTTGGATTGCTGATAGGTGTGGCACCGGAACTTCATTTCGTCAAAAGACCTGAAAATATATCAGTCAATCCGTATTTCTTAAACTAGTAGCAGCAGTTTAGTACCTAGGGTAATATTAGTAGGTTCCATGATTATATTGATGATATGTACCACTTTTCTGTAACCAATGTTGTTACATGTATATGTTCAATTTATGTGGTCACCTTGCCAGTTTTGGGGAAAAATGCTGTTTGTGGCTCAAATGTCCTGCGTAAGCTGTATTTACATTTTTTGATACTCGGATAGTAATAGAAAATAAACAAATATGTCCCAAGACTATATGTGAGAGGATAATCAGATAAAAAGAAAAGGAGGTTAGGCTATACATCACTCTTCAGCGTTTTTATCGATTAACCCTCTGCTAAGCTATCGTCGGTGAGCATTTTTTGCCATTTAAACAAGTGCATACACCAATCGATGAGCAGCCGTGAGCTCTGGTTATCTTTGCTTTCAATAAAAAACGCAAGGGATGACAAATGGTTTTTTATTTCGAATGACTATAGCCAGCTGTGCGTGTTTACACAAAGTAGCGCTTGCCATTTGAAGCCATTTCAAGATTACTACACTTTTGTACTTCCGACCTGTTAAGTACAACGGTTAAGATCGAATTGTTTTTAGAACCTGTCTCTTTCTGTTGCTTCTTTTTTCTTGCTCTACAAAACTCATGGCTCCTAGAAACGGCAATACTCGGACTGCCGCTGTCATTGGCACTGGGTAATAAAAAGAGATATAAACATATTTTCTCGTTAACTCACAACTTATATCTTCTCATCGTGAATATTGATCATGCATTATACAGTTTCAGCGGTATCGGTGCTGCCATCAAGCTCGAAAAAGAGCTTGGTATCCAGGCACAGATCTTTGAAATGTCAGATGATGTCGGTGGTACTTGGAAAGCGAATACGGTAGTATATTAGCCATGCACAAAATGACCCAGCAACGATAAAAGGTTTTGCGTCTATTGTTAACCATTTCTTTGCAGTATCCCGGTGCCGAATGTGATATTCCGTCGCACCTATACTCGCTCAGTTTCGACCTGAATCATAGTAGGTTTCATCAATATCGGGCTATTCAAGACATAATAGAGGGGGGTAAAACTCATGTAATATATGCATAGCATGGACCAAGCATTACAGCAGCCAAAGTGAAATCCATGCATATCTTCAAGGCGTGGCGAAAAAGTACCACTTGTATGAGCGAACGCGATTTCATACGGAAATTACTCGTGCGGAATGGATTGAACATCGGCAACAATGGTGCTTGCAATGGCAAAGCATAATAGATCGTGAGCAAAAGGGATCTGGCTATTATGATATTGTGTAAGTTGGCATTCAAGAAAAGGTATATGTTGAGAGTAAGGAAGAGATAAAATTTATTGTACCATAGCTTCGCGGGGTTAGGTCCGTTGCGCATTCCGAATATTCCGGATGAATTTAAAGGATTTCAAGGCACCATTGTGCATACCACACACTGGGATAAGAGTGTCGACTATAATAATAAGCGTATTGCCGTCATTGGATGTGGCGCAACGTAAGTGAAGTGCCACAAGCTGTCTTGAGGATGACGATGGTGTTGGATCTAACAACAGCTGTCTACGCGACGCACGCAGGGCTATTCAAGTCATTCCAGAACTGCAAAAGATTGCATCGCATATCCACAGTTACCAGCGAACGCCAGCTTGGGTGACACCAAGAGGTATATACGATAAGCACCAGCGACACAGCATAATAGCCATCGAATTGAAAACGATTCTTACCATTATTGAAATAGATCAATTTACATATTCTCGGATTGTCAGAATCGTCTTTCGCTGGTTACCATTCTTACGAAAGATTTACCGCTTTTTGTTGTTCCTTCAGGTAAAGCTTCCCCATTTACCTTTATAGTAAAAAAAGGCACATTGAGTGTAACATCACACGGGGTACTGACCAAAATGTGCACAACACTTTTTTATGGCGGGGGAAAATACCATTAGCATGAAATGTACTATGTCTATTTTGGCTACTACAACAGCTTCTTTGGCCGTTTCGTCCACCGAGTTTTTGCAAAACTAGTAGCTTGGCGTCTCACTCGCGCAGGACGGCCTGACCTTGTTCCTGTCTTGACACCTGGTAAGACCTTATAAGAAGCTACCATAACCATATTGAATAGAATTATAGCAGCACTTACTTCAATAAGCAACACACAGTAGAAGACTCACGTTATGTTTATACACAAATTCACGTTAGACTATCCACCTGGATGCAAGCGTATCGCAAAATCAGAGGTTTATCTTGAATCGCTTGCCAAACCTAACGTCACTGTGAACCGATCTGGTATTAAGAATATCAAGGGCCGTACATTGATTGATAATGATGAAAACGAAACTGAGGTTGACATACTGGTGCTTGCCACCGGATTCAACATTCAAGGCGTTTCAGGAAACCTTCAGAGTAAGTACCACTACTATCTTTATGCGCAGTCATATATGGATTCAGCATGTTTAACATATACTCACTTCTGGTGCTTAATGATCTAAGTTATCGGCAGAAATGGAACTATTCTGAATGAAAAATGGTCAAAGGAATTCCCAAAAACATATAAGGTTCGTTAAAGAAAAACAACCATAAACTCACTCAGTGATTTCCTTCCTCATTATGATATTATTATTATTTGTAGACTGTTACTATCCACGGATATCCCAACTTTTTCATGTTACTAGGTCCATCTACTGGATTAGGGCATAACTCGGTAGTTACGGTATGTGCCCAAGCTAAGCTCAAGCTTTCTTTACAATCTGCAATTTTTAACCGAAGCCTCCTCTTATCTTATTCGATATGTGATCCCTTTTAACAGATGATCGAAATGTAAGTTGTTGTTTTTTTGTCGATTAAACGAACCGGTGTAAGAAAAAATGTACAGTATTTCATTGTGCTAAATACGAAAGCGGATGATTTATTTAGTCAAATCGACTTTGCCATCAAATGCTTGAAGCATGTGGTTCGGAAAGACCTAGCAGCTATCGAGCCCAAAATATCAGCACAGGAAGCTTTTGACAACAAGTTGCAAAAGAGTTTTGACGGCACTGTATGGAAAGGAGGTACCTTGTTGGACATCATAATTTACATGTAAATCTGGCAAGTTAACCCTATAAGAAAACTTGAATGTTTCCATTAGGCTGTCGCTCGTGGTACATGACTTATACTGGAGAGGTATTTTTCAATCGTCTCTTTTTTCAATAATACAAAACACAGAAAGCAGTGTTTTCCAATCATACACAATCAATCTGATGTTTCTGCGCCTTTTTGTTTCGCTTTTCTAAAATCAGGTAGCAGGCCTCTGGAGTGGACCTATTACCTCATTCTGGTGGTCATTACGCAAGGCTGACGTCCGTGACTTTATTATGTACAAGAAAGCCACTCCTATTACCATGTGAAATAGACAGCTACCACATCGATTAAAGCGGCGGGAGCAGTAAACTATGATTATTGCACGATATCATAGGATTGTCATCTTCTTGCTTATAGAATTTTTTGCCCACTCTCCTCTTACTTCTAACATTTTACATACATTGTGCCTCGAATATTAACTCTGCTAGAATCTACGAACTTTTAACATATAATAAGAAACTTCCATGCGTGTTTTATTGATAAGCAGACATTTACATTATCATTTATACAGCGACAAATCCATATCGCGCATTAGTAACGGATTTGACATAAAATATATATTATGGATACAAATCTTATTCAAAGTCGGCACAGAATTTTTGATGATGTTCATAATACATAACACTATGAAAGACTTATCGCGACTTTGAAGATGCTTTAATAGTGTATATACACTTCTTCCGACCTTGAGTATGTGGTTAAACTTGTTCAGCGACACTTGTACTACGTCGATTCTATCTGATTTTGAAACAATTGTCAGGAGAACAAAAAAAACAGGGCAGCTGGCGTGATACGGCAGTTCTATTTTGCATACCTCTCTTTTTTCTTTTTGCTCACGCTTTCCTTCCTCTTTTCCTCCACTACCTGTTCCTTTCTCTGTCTCTTTCTGTGGTGTCATGGCTGACAAACTACCCAGACCCAGTTCGCCTTCATCGACTACACCACTTTTATCAGGCACTTCCAGTACTGTAGCCACGCATGAAAGTGCTGCTGCTAGCAGTAGTGCTGGTGCAAGCAGTCCACGATACAACTCTGTCCAACGCGTACCTACATTTATGCAAACTTCAGTACCAAGCCGGCGCTCAATCCTTCAAGCTTTTCTCGACATGACTTTACACTTGATGTTTGAGTTAGTACTGCCTATTGCATTGTACTATGCTCTGCGCACGTTCACGTCGCCGATAATTTCGCTCGTGGTAGCCGGTATTCCTCCTGCACTTGTCGTCGTCATAAAAGGCATTCGGGACCACAAGGTGGATATGATGGGTCTGCTGATGTTGCTTGGTTTCGTTGCTTCGGTATTGCTGGCCCTGTTAGAATCCGACCCAAAGCTATATCTTTTGCGAGAAAGCGCCATGACTTCGGCCATGGCACTCATGCTGCTGGTGACCCTGTTTCCGCTCCGGTGGCGCCACTCTGTTCTCCGCCCTTTCATGTTCTATGTCGCTCGACAGATCGCTATTTCCAGCACAGTCATGCTGCCATCAGAAACTGTGCGTTTGCATTGGGATTGGTTTTGGTCAAACTGGCTATCATTCCGAACATTTTTCCGTAAGGATACTCTAAAAAACCAGTATACTATCGAAGATGATATAGTAATAAGCTTCTTATATACAAATAATGTTTCTACTGCTTTTATTTAGGTGGATTGACTGGGATTTGGGGTATCGGATTATCGAGCGAGTTTTTCGTGCGTGTACTTCTTATCTATACTGTTGACGAGGTGGACGACATCATGTACTACTCCAACATCTACATGTTTACTGTGACCATTTCCCTCGGAGCCTTGACAGTGGCCAGCACCTTGTTGTTTAGACACCTGTACAACGAGGAACAAAAGCGATCCAAGAACACCCAACGAAGCATGGAGATCGAGAGTATCATTGCGAGAGCTGCTGAGGAAAGTCGTAATCAAAAATCAGCTGCGTAATAGATTTTACAGATTTTCTTTTAATCCTCGTATGTACTTCAATGCTCTTTCAGCCCCTTTTCCTGTATCACTTTCTCTTTTTTAGCGCCGTGTAAAAGATGTGATAAGGTGACATGCCTTCTTTATTATCTTGGAGACGGCGTTTTCTGGACATACTCTGTATCACTTTGACCCTTCTACATATATCAATCATACAATAAGTCTTTTAGTTGCACTCATGTACTGTACTCTTTTTATGTATTTTTTTGTTAAACAGCATTATAACATGCTCACATGTCCCTTTTAGAATCTATGCAAAAGAGAGCAGAATGCCTACAACAGTGTCTCAGATATATTATAGTAGGCTATGCCGTGATGGTGCTTGACTGGATTTACGTTGGTTGGCAAGACATCATACAGCATTCATAGTATTAAAAAATGTCAACGAGTACTGTAATTAATTTTTCATCAATGTGCCAAAACGCATCATGCAGTTATCCACTTCCACAATAGATTGATGTGTTATACACTGGAATTTATTTTCTGCTATTCTTCGTAGCCGTCTCCACTATCCAGGCCCATGGGTAATTTATAGTTTGGTGAACAGATTGAATATGCATATAGCGAAGCACGATATTCTATGACACGTCACCCGCCGCGGTCAATCCAAACTATGCAGCAGATATAGCTGCTAATAGATCAATAATGACGGACATGTATAGAACGATAGGTTCAAAGTCCTGCCAAACCAGCAAAAAGCGTATGCGTACCTACATCATTGCTGGTAACGCAAAAAAAACATGGTATGTCATAAGATCATTATTTAACGTTGTCATCAGGCCACATGTAATCACGGATTAGGTAAGCAGCAAGTAGAAGCGATCTTAACATAATTGAAAAAAAAACGTTTCGGAGAGTTTACGTCATGTAGAATGTTTATATATAAGATATGCAAATTCTTCTATTGTTGTGGTGTTGAAGGGATTTGGAAGGTATAGTTATGAAAGGCGGGACCGGTGATAGTAGGGTTGTTACTGTCATCGTGATGGCTGTTGTTGTCACTATGGGGTACAATTCCTTGTTGTTGTAGTAGTAGTAGTGGCTGTGAAGGAGGAGAAGAAGAGGGAGAAGATGTGGTGGAGGTAATAGTAGAAGTGGATGATGATTGATTGAACTGGTGGTTGACCATTCGGATTCCTTTTGGTACGCTTGCGTCTCCTGTCCGCTGCCGCTTCTTGATCACATCTGTCTTCATGGAAAGCGGTCGTTTGGAATGATGTAATTTCAGACTATAACAGTACATAAAGTGTTTAACCAAAAACCATGCTACACTCCTAGTTTTTCCTTTGTCTTAAGCCCTCTCTTAATTATTCCAGCGAAGAAAGAGTACTTACTATAGACCGCAAGCGTTGCAAAGGGGACTGCCCTGCTCATCACGACGCCAAAGTGGTGTAGTTGTTGTTGCACAATTCGAGCAAACAATCCTCGTTCCTTCATCTTGTCCTGCCTGTGGAGAGTTTTCAAAGTACCGTGGTCGAGGTGCCTTGTGTAATTTTGCACTACAATGAAAACATGGTTTAGTTTTCTAGGTCCCTCGCGTGTCTTTTGTGCGGTATACGTACTACAATCCACAAGCGTTACATAGCAATTCATCGTTTGCAGATCTTCTCCATAATGGAGTGTTCGTTGTCTCACAATTACTGCAAACCGCTTGTTTGCCTTCGGATGGCGTGGCCATGACTGGTCTTTGCTGGTCTTCCTGTTGTTGTTGTTGTTGCTGCTGCTGAGCAGAAGGTGTAAACGCTTGTTGTTGGTATTGTTGTTGTTGCTGCTGCGGTGTCTGTTCCATGACTCGGTTTACAGTGCTCACGAGTTTATCCTGCGGTACGATAGAAAGGATCTTGTTGTACAATGTTTGATGTGGTATGGGTGCGATGCATTCATCCGAAATGTATAACGCGTCTTTAATATCGTCATTTTCTTGGTGCTGCTGTGCGGAAGGTTGTTGAGGCTGTGGCTGCATCATCATCGCATCATTCGTAAACCAAAGTTCAGGGTTATTGTTGCTAGTACTACTGTTGTCACTGTACATGTGCGCAGTAGCGGTGGCAGCAGTAGACGATCGATCATCTGTCGGAAGCATGGCGTTCATCCAGTCATTGCTGTCTAGTTGCATCAGCATATCACCGAATATATCACTGTCCTGAAGCGAGATGGTTTGATTAATGTCCTGGTCCGAGCTAAATCGCGGCAATACAAAGTCCTGATAGTACGGGTCATCTACGAGTGGTTGCGTCTGTGTTTGTTGTGGAAGCATAGCGGCTGACGAGGAGGTCGATGCGTGTGCATGCGGCGCCACTGGTGGCGGCACCATCTGCTGTTGTTGCTGATGTGGCTCCGGTTGTTGTATGGATGGAGCAGCAGGCGGCTCTGGTAACGTGTTTGACGATGCGACTTGTTGCGCCACAATATGCTGCTGTTGCGGCAGCGACTGTTCGTATTGGAGATGCGGTTGCTGCTGCTGCTGCTGCTGTTGTTGTTGCTGTTGGTGTTGTTGTCGGCGCTGTCTTTGTGTAGAAGTATCCTTATTCGTTTTTCTTCGTTGGGTCGATTTGTAACTGCTGGGTTGAGTTTGTGGCCGTAGCTGTTGTTGTTGTTGCTGTAACTGTTGTGATTGCAGCAACAGTTCTTCCGAGGAAGACTTTTCTTTGTCGAGGTTAGTACGAGTGGTAGTACTGTTGTTCGGCGTTAACTTTTTGAACTGAGCGTTAACATTGTGCATAAACCATAATCGCCAAGCAAGGTTTTCATAACGACTGCCGTTCTCGAGCGAGTCTTTGACTTTTGTACAAACTCGCCAGGTTTGTGACAATTCATCCTCGGAATCAAGTTGTGCAAATGGATTGGGGGATTTGCTGTTGCCTTTAATTTTTAATATTATGGGAGCCATGCCGGTGGTTTAAAAAAACAAAATTCGCAAAGGGAAGAGAGAGGGATAGTGGAGTGCTAGTGCAAGTCGTAAGAATAAGAAAAGGTTGGTTGGTGGAAAAAAGAAATGCTTGCTTTGCTACGATTAGTGTGTGTACGCCACACCTCGGCCTAATTGTGAGACAATTTTCATGGTCCCATCATCTCCCCATTCTTTCCCACTCCTCTCGCTTTCTCTCTCTTTGCTGGCCGGTTCTCCCAATATGGACATCGACACATCGTTTGGGGTTGGTTGCCTTTTATTGTTACGAGACAAACACCTTTTTGAGCTCTTCGAACTTGAACACATCGCCTGTCCTCGGGCAAGTCACCTTGCCATCCTGCTTAGTAGCCATATCATGCATCGCCTGTTTTCAGACAAAGAGGTATGCAGTGTAAGAACACAGACACACTGCTGATCGCACACACCCGGTCTTACCTCATAGCTGTACACGCGGCCATTGGGTAACATCATCGGAGGATTATCCTCGTTCATGATCTTACCGCTAATCCGACACACCACCGTAGAGTTGACGTGGTGGCTCAACGGCAGTCCCTCTGCTAATTTCCCTAGTGTATCCGAGTCGCACACTGGACAATGCACGTTTCGGTTCTCGGGCTGATAACATTGTGGCGTCTTGAGAGCCGAGAGCCCTGCTTGTAAAGTGATTGACAAAAGTGGATGCGATGTGAGCGAGCATAGTTTGTAATTGTCCGCGCGGAACTGTGCCGTCAGTTCAGACCATCGGCGGGTATCATAGAGATCCTGTATACTCTTCTGTTAGCACCATCTAATCGATCATCTTTTCTGTCGCGGTTATCATTACCTTGTATGGCTGGCACTTTGTGTCACTCTTGAACACGAGCAGTGCCATGGCCTGTCGAATCCGTCTGAATTCTGTTGGCTGCCATGGAGACAAGTATTTTTGAGCATAGGCAATGGCTTCCATGCCTTTGCCTGCTCGTGCAAGCTCAATGTATTCTTGTAGCCGCAGGTTGAACTCGAGTGTGCTCTGTGAAAAGCGTGAGTTGGTACATCTATGCCCTTACTTGGTGGGATCTCCTTTGAAAACTTACATCCTGCTTCTTCAGCGACGACCGATTCTCTGAGCACCACTGAAGGCACTCTTTACAGCTATGATTGCGTAATGCTTCCTCCACTTTTTCAGACTGGGCAAATAGCTGCACATCCACCATATCCTGAATCGTAAAATGAATTAGCTTTTCCTTTCATGTTGCATATAAAGCTGCGCAATGCTTTGATTGCATCTACCTCAACATGGTTTGCCGCTGCTACTTGTTTTGCGGTTTCTGTCAATCCTGCTCGCAAAAGATAATCCACAATCACTCGGTTCAACCTTGTGTCACTCCATCGTTGGAACTCGGGTGCTTTGGCCGATGTGATCCCGGAAATTTCATCCAAGTGGTTTACGCGCGCTTTGAGTCGTTTAGCATGAGCTGTTTCTTCGTTCCAATACTTTTTGAGCTATGTACGTACAGTTTTTGATGTCGCCAATTCACACAAGAGAGAAAGTGTGTGTATGTGTGTGATAAATAAGACGTCTTCTTTATCTATAGCCCAGAAAGACCACTTTTTCATGCATGAATAAAAAGTACCTTTCGCTTTGTATTTTCCAACTGCTCTGTAAGTTCGTCGATCGTCTCAACCGCCTTTTCTGGTGATATCTCGTTCCGTTCTACTGATTTGGAGCAACGTTGAATCTTGTCCATTATGCTGGTCATTTGAACTTCCAAATACTTGTTGGAGTATTTCACTGATTTGCGCAGTTGTTCATAAGGCACCTACCATACCATGATAACGATGGGGTCAGTCAATTGCCCTCCGCCTTTCCAATTGATGTTTTTTTCTTCCCTCTTTTGCAAGAGAAAGCTAACTTTCTCCCTTACCTTTATAAGTGGCTGCTCTAAATCAATAACTTGCTCTCCTTTAATCTGGTTCATTGTGTGTTGGAAAAGGTTCTGTGTCTATGTGAGAAACGAAGGAAAATTCAAGCAGCAGACGACCCCAGGTAAGGAATTTGGATACCGAACTGGTTCTGGTTGATGCATATTTTTTATTTATCTCTTCCAGTTTCCGCCAACAAGAAATGCTACCAAGACAAGCACTATTACGCACACTACGATCCAGTCCATGTCTACGGCGATCCTTGCATATAGCGCCTTCTACCAAGTGGCGTTCTCCAATCACACCATGCATTACCGTACAGCACCAGCCAAGACGCGTAGCTGCCGCGCTGCTGCTGACAAATATGACACGTAGTAGCAACAGCAGCCTGTTTCATACATTCCAACCTTTATGCAAAGAGCAACAATTACAACAAGACGAACTCGTGGATCCCAAACACCAACTCTTGATTGGCTTTACTTGCGAAGTATGCAAAGAACGATCGCACCATGTCATGTCGAAAGTGGCATATACCAAGGGCGTGGTCCTTATTGAATGTCCCGGTTGTAAGAATCGCCACTTGATTGCCGATAACTTGGGCTGGTTCCGCGATCAAACAACAACGGTGGAAGATTTAGTCAAGGAAAAGGGAGAAGGCATTCGTAAAGTGATCGTGGACAAGGACGGTAATGAGCACGTAGGCGATATCATGGAATGGTTGCCGGATATCAGTGTAGAGGAACGCATCAAGAAGGATGCAGCGAAACAAGAAGCTGAAAAACTGCGTCAACAACAACAACAACAAGAAGGACAGGAAAAATAAAATTCATAGAGAGAAATCCTGTAGTATATTTATGCAACAAAAGAAAAGATAATAGAGCAAGATCTGTGTATGTATTTATTGGAGCACGATATATTTGAGGTACTTGTCCGTGATTACTGTGGTGAAGGGAAGGGAAGCACCTTTTTTATGGTACTGCATGTGTTGTTGCCAACTCACTCTATACTACTCCTCTCCTTCGCCGTCAGCCACCTGCTTGAACCATTCCAATTCGAGAAGAGCTTGCTCTATCACCGTACGATGAACTTCAATATCCTGGGCCAGCTCACTGACATGATCTTCCATAACAGCTCTGAAGATGTCTTTGAGGAGATGGCGAGTGGTTTCCGGCGGCCTGTTTCGGAAACCATCGATGAAATAGCGTCGCGCATACTCGTACACCTGGTGATGCGCTCGTTGCATAAATCCGCCAAATCCATCAATGCCAAACTTTTGCTCCATAGCTACTAGCAGATTCTTTTGCTCGCCGTTACGCGTGATGACGTGCTCCTCTAGGGCTTCATGGATCAAACTTTCCAAGTCCGGATGGTCGTTCACACCGTGTCTCAGAACTTCGCGATGTATATCATGACGTGTCTTCAACAGCGTGTCGATCGCAAACCGTTCCCAGTTATAGTTGACACGACCAATCAGCCTCACGTATAATGACGACGGGATCTCGCTATGCGGCCGAAAGTCCTCCCAGTTGCCGTTCACGAGCCGCTCCATCAGCCATCCGTCCAGTGAGAGCCGGTATCGTGTCTCAGCGTCTGCAACCTCGAAATGGCAGTAGTCAGTGTTGCATTCGAGCCAGTGTACTTCAACGATCTTGGAGACGACGTTTTGGATAGTACCAAGACCGTGCTCCACGTAGTCGTGCGCCACGGAACTAAACGTGGGATAAGAGGGTCTTAAAGGGATGCTTCTCAGCCTATTTAAGACGTCGTTGCGGCGGTTAAGTTTGGCTACATCGTGTGGAGCCATGAATGGCTCCGATGGTGATGGTGTTGATGTTGGTGATGGAAGAGACTTGTCGCTACCCCCTTTGCCTTTCCCGATCAGCTTTTTTAAAAGCTTGCTCATCTATTCCTATGTATGCTGCTGCTGTTATTTCGTTTTTACTTTCAAAGTGGATACCAAATGGAATAATGATGATCAATGATTTTGTTGTCAATGGATGAGGAAAAGATAGAGGAATTTACTCCTTAGTTTTACAAAGGTTCGTAGCCAACGAAATTTCTCCTTTTTATAAACAACCACGAATTCGTTTTGACACTTTATTGACACTTCTTTCACATGATATGGCTGGTGGTGCATACATTGTTGATGGTTCTTGATAGGGTAGCGCAAATGCTAGAACATTCAACACTCAGATGGTTACTAGTGCAAGGGAACAGCTCCTTGACGACAACAGCGATATGAAATTAAAAGCCTTTTTAATGTTATTATACATGTGTTTATGATATTAACATACTTTTATATATTCCTTTATATGTATATAGGCAGTATTACGTCCTTTTTTTGTGCTGGCAACATCAACATATAAAGCCCTCATTAAATCATATAGAAGAAGATAGGGAAACCCGATTGATGTTGCAAGTGTATAGTGGAATACGTACTGTGTCATCGAACATTTAGCACAATACATGTTTGTCATTGTATCATATATTCGAGTACTTGCGCTTTGAGCTACTACACTAGTGTAATATCTCTTCAGGCTTAGCAAAGCATCATTGTTCTTTCCTTAGTACTATTATTGTTGATCAGGTACTTTGTGTTGTTGTAACTTCTACTATGTGATGAGTTAGTTCGAGGTGTCATAGGAAGAGTCATGATCACTTGCTATAAGTGGTTTTCATCTATTCTTTCCTTCCAAAATCATGGATCTTTATCATTTAGCCATGGGATATCGATGATTCTTACTTTTGTGTCATATAGCATTCTTTAAGGTATTTTGACTATACAAAAGCTCTCCTTTGACTACATTATTGCTATAATGCTGATCAACTCAAGTTGGCATAAATACTACCTGTCGTAGTAAAAAATGAGTTTCTATCACATCCAACGGAAGCAGTGTGCATACGCGCAGATTTTTTATCCATCTTTGACCACTTTTAAAAACAAAAAATACTTGTTCAATACAGGAATACCCTTCGTAGAGGGAGTAGTACGTAGCAAAACGAGCGGTAGAGCACAATTAATCTTACATTTGGTACTGCGTACGTACCAGTGATGTCGCATAACTGATTATTATAACATGTTTGGATCAAGTGTAATACCCTATCTCTGGATATAATAAGTCGACGGCAACGCATGCCCTCACCAACAACGAGTAAAAGGAATCATTGTATAATAACGTGCTTGCTTGTATAGTAAGTTTTTGAAAGCAAAAGTTGACAATGAGAAAACCCTCTATTACAATCTCATCACGCGGATCGACATTATATTGTATCACATTGACAAAACATTCTTAAAGTAGCCAGTGTAAGTTAAGCTACCTAAACATACCTCTTTCTCCATCTCTCTAAGTATTTGAGTTGATATGGGTAGTAACGTATGGGACATTTCTATGTAGTACGTGCGAACTCTCTTTCATATCAGTGTAGAAACATGTGTCGTAGACTGTAAATAAACAGAGAGCTAACAGCATTAGATCTACCTTGGGATATTTATAAATGCCCTATGTAATAAAATATGTACTATTAGGCAGTAGTAGTACATACTCGTTATCTGATTATAGTTAATATATGATGTTGCGATTCTCATCAAAATCATGCGCATAGACGTGTGGTTTCACCTTACGGTTTCCCCACACTCGTTGCATGAAACGAGGGGTTGCACTAATCCCTAATAGACAACAGCAGCAACAATCAAGTACGTTGTGTGACGATGACACAGACCAGAAGACTGTTTATAAAAGTGACCTTGGAAGTCTAGTAACATGAGAAAATGTCTATTATATGCCAATCACCACGTTCCTGCCGCTGCTGCTAACACGGTCATCCCTCGGTTGTTTCATTAAAGAAGGAGAAAAGAACTACGTACCTTACCTTTTCATTATCTTGATGGGGTGGAGAAAATAGACGTAACAAGACGACATCGGCTGATTCGATCAATCTGTTGTCATTTTAAGAGTGATCATCCTTCATCCTCCCTTCTCCACTTTTCAGCACGCAGAATTATCGAATGTTAGAGTTCGATCAGTGAGACACAAATACTCGTGTAACCCGCATCCTGTATTTCACTTTATCCAATTTGAACAGCTAACAACAAAAACGAGGCTTTATTACTTATGTTATGCTACTGCAATATAACATATATCGGACATACATACCATTGATACATTGTAACGACGACTATTTACGACTATCACCATAAAACAGAAAAGTTATGCATCGAAACCATGGACACGTTGCTCTTTATGTTCTGTGCGTGTTTCATCAACGCTAATGTGACACGCGATAGATCAGAGTAACCACGCCATATAATTCTTATGAAAGGATGGGCAATACAGCTGTTGTTAACAAGAACCTGGCGTGTCTCACCAATAGTACCGAAACAAACTGTGCGTGAGTGTGAGAGTGCGTGTAGTTATCTTTGCCGTTTAGTTTGTCTATAGCAACATCGCATACTCTCACACACACAAATAGATATGCATGGACAGTACATTCGCACATATCGCACGCACGCAGGCTCCGTATTTGTAACAACTTTTTTTCTTGACGAAAAAGTAATTGATACTTATACTTGTCTATGGGAAAAAAGAGAGAGGGGGTCGCACCAAAAAGAAAGGTATCATCAGTTTTCTTTATTGACTGTCATTCCAAGTGCCGTGGCAAGAATCACAGTCTTCATCAACAGTGCCGAAGTTTTGAAAACCGACGACGACAAGAACACCAGCTGTCTTTGATAAAGACGAGTTAAAAGAAGCGGAGAGACAGAGAGTCGGAAAGCAGACGTGCATTAGATGACACAGAAAAGATTGGGGGAGATGGGGTAAGGCGGAGTTCCTGAATTAAACTCGAATGGAAGAAAAATACAGATTGCTGCGTACTGTACTACTACTTATCTGTGGTGTTGCCTCCAGAGTTAGTACGATCATATATACATAGAAGCTGACTACCACAATGGAACATGAGTGAGCTCATTTGACTCGTAAGATCACAATCCGCCTGACATTTTCTTTGTATTCTCGTATCCGCGGTGCGCGTATCTGATATGGAGTCAGTGAGAACAAGAAAAGATACGAACGTTACACACACACTAATCTTGACCCCATGACTCCTTGCGAAAAACGTCATACGGTAACACACCTCTACCATAGATGCATATAGTACAATATGTACGTCTCTGTGTGAAAAGGAAACCTTCTTGCCTTGTTGCCAAGAATTACAGATCCAAAAATAATGCGGTAGACGAGAAAACGTTTCGGTATCTTGTGGTCTTACGTGGCACTGCTGCTGCTGCGCCTACAGCACAATTTGATAGACCAAATACTACACAAAAAGACACTGCATGGCCAAACTGCCTGTTTCAATCTAGTTTTTTTTTTTCACTCACTCATACTGTCCTCTCTCTATACAATGAGTAATGGTATAGTAGTGACGATGTTGGAGGAAGGACCACCAACGCTGAAGCTCAGTAAGAATGGCTAAACATCGCGATAGTGAATGGTACATCCTGTGCTATCTGATCGAGGTTACACTTTTGAGGCGGAGTCTATAATGTACTCAGTCCAGTACACCAATGGAAAGTGCTACTCCCACATCACCATGCCCAAAGCAGGAGATTGAACAAAATGGATTATTTTATATGGTGAAAAAATTAGATACTGTTATTATTATTAATGGTGGCTTCCATATTAAAGAAAAGGATGCTCGTTGTTTATAAAAGAAGATGGTGTTGTTCGGTCTATTATGAACATGGGTGTTTGAACGTAAATTAAAATGAGAGTGATGATGGGGAAAAATGCCAAAGAAAGACGGGGAGTAATAGGCGGGCTAGCCGTCTACCTCAATCAACGGTGCTAATATATACAGATATAGTAATAGTAGAGAAAGTATGCGGTGGTTATTATATATATACAAATGCTTGTGGTAATAGTTGTGGTTGATGATGATGCAGGTAAGATTATTAAACAACTGTGGAAGCTGTGGCAACAACAGGAGGCACTCGCATGGAAGTCGAGGTGGGTGGCGAAGAGGAAAAGTAGTAGGTGTACTGTTCTTCATCGGGCGTCTGTGCCAAGTAGTGTTCGAGCTCGGTCAGCATGGCGTTGTCGTAAGGCAGCTCCTCGTTCTTCCAGTTGCACTTGGAGCATTCATAGCGCACACGCATGTTGTTCGCAATGCGCTTGTTGAGGACAATCAGTTGCTTTTCAGAGCGTGTGAGTTGGACAGAGGCATCGGCTTTGCATTTGGGGCAAGGATGGCTGGCGTGTTCCAAAGAGATCTTCTTTCCAGAGTTTCCGACAATGACGAATGGCATGTTTGTGTTTGCGATGAAGTGGTGAAGCAACGTAATAGTGATTTGGTAGACAGCTCGTTAAAGAGATAAAGGAGAGAGAGAAGGAGAGTTATAGAGTAAGAAAACGGGAAAATATGGTGAAAAATTGGCTGTCCTTTATATAACATTTTTCGGGTTGGGGGAGTGGTGGGGGAGAGGCGCATTTGTGTAACTACCCATCGAGCTGGAATTACACCACGTTGTTTTCGTCGACCGCCGTGTGCAACGCCATTTTTTTCATTACAAGAGAGAAGAAATCCAACAGGAAACTGAGCTATTAACTATTCTCGGCTACTTATGACGTTTTTTGTCAGTAATGAGATTACACCAGCGGTAGGAAGTTCAGCAACATCAAGCAGCAGCAACGGGAAGCGAAGTGGGGCAGGGTCTCTCTGCATTTTACACTTCTTCCTGAACAATCGATGAGGTTTCAAATCATGCCAACTCGCTCTGTACCTTCATCGATGATCTTCCATCAGAGTTCGATGGCCGGATTTCTCCGACTTGTTTCATTCTAGCGTCATGAAAGCCATCGAGCGGGTCAAAAGCTCAGAAAGAAAAAAATTTCGCTATATCGTTCAAATTCCTCATCGAAGCCGATCGAACCGAGCAATTTTAAAAAAAAAAATTTGTCGTAAACGCTGTGGGCGGAAGTGTTGACCGCCAAGCATTCCTACTGGCTACGATTCAGTTTATCCACGCGAGTCAAGCGGCAGCAGCAATTTATTACCATACTTGACCCTGAACGATCGATGATGAATGATGAGCGGAGTCAGAGTAAAGGGCTCAGCATCAAGTGAGCTAAACGTCATTATTTTGTTCGTGGCACGTCGTCATGCTATAAATTTTCATTCCACTCGTAATCATATCATGGGTTGTCCTTATCTTCTTCCGAACTTACGCGAAAAAGCACACTTCTTTCGGCATTACTACGATTTTTGGTTGCCAAGGAAACTGTTGTCGTTGTCAAGGAGAGCGAGTGGTTACCATGACAACGCGAATAATCGCTTTAAAGTTTTGTGGGGAATATTTCTAACCATCTTTTGTGCGACGTTCTCACGTTTTATATTAAGCCTTTTGAGCCAGTAACATTGCTCAGACCAGCGATGACTCGATCTGCCGGGCTTTACTGCTGCTACTACTAATAATAAATTTTGATGAGATGGTAGAGGCTGGATTATCGTTAAAGGGGTGGCAAGCCGTCTATGTAAAATGTTCTCCTTTACGTGTCCCTGGCGGTCTTTGGCAAAGGAAGACGCGAGAAGAAAAACTATTAATCGAATAAAAGCCAGCTGTAGAAAATTTATTAAATCATCGGTCATTTAGTTTTTCTAAAACGCTGCTGTTGGCCATCTTCTTTGAAAAATGTTCTATTAGCTTCATTCGGTTTCCCATATAGAGTTATTACTGTCTCTAGTTCATGTATATGTAGTTTATTTTGAGCTAAACTAAGCTGCTACTTGTATATATCTAGGAAATATTAAGTGGCTTCAAAAATATGCACTTAATAAGATCAAGATGCATATCTATTAATGAAAGGAAAGAGTCGTTAGGCGGAGGTGATGGCATGCTCTTTTGTCGCCCGGAAGACCATCGGAAAGTGAGGAGTATGATACCGGTATTATTGGGTCGGGTGTCAATTTTGCAGTAAAGGCCTTTGTTCTCCGGTGGTCGGTTGACGTATTAATTGAGGATATTTACGTAATATTGAAAGCTTACGTTGCGGAACAACGATCCGGCTTTATTTAATGTAGAAACACATTGACCAATATAGGAAGGCACTTTTCAAGATGATGACAGACACACCAAGGAGCGAGATGTATGTAGTTGTATTTTACAGATGCAAAATAAGAAGCACTGATTTAGTAACTTTTCACCCCGCCCCTTTTTTGTCGGAGGCGGTTCCAAGCTTTTGCAAAATAAGGATTTGCTATTTCTGGCGTCAATCTATTTTGGGTAGGTCCATAGTAATGGGCCCCGAAACGAATTGAGAGGAGGGAGAGAGCTTTTTTTTCCATCAAGCAATATTGCACTCCTTATATAGCATCATGTATGCCCGTATATTAACTATGGAACAACGTTAATCAAAAATAATGATGAGACGTTTGAGTATAAATAGCGGATAGAGAGGGGCACTTCGTGGTTGGCGTATTACCCCCACCCCCTTAAAAATAAAAACTAAAAGCGTATCACACGGACACCGCCTTCTACATTGCATGGTTGCGGAGCAAATAGTAATAGGAAAGAGGCTCTCTCTCTGTGTATGTGAGGAAGGTCCCAGGACTGAGGCTACACGAAAAAGAACCTCCATTCAGTCCCCCCCTCGTTTCTGCTGTTGCTTTGACACTGTCAATACAGCCAAGTGAGTTGATTCTGACCACACCTTAGCACATATGCAGACGCGACAAAAGAAAAAACGTATTAACCGAACAACAACGCCGCGAATCAAAGGACGATCTTAATGTGCCTGGTAGATATTCTTCCGGGTGATCGTTCGCCGTTTCCTCTTAACGATCGCTATCAGAAAAAAGGTAACCTATCATACACTGCACGTATTTTGGCAATGGGTTAAGATCTCTGCTACATTAAGCAACGGAGGTGGCATTCGGATCCTTGCTTGGTTTCGATAAAAGTTTCAAGCGCATGACCAATTACTTCGGGTACCAAAATCCTTGATAAAAACAGCAGACGAAGTATTCGCGTTAAACAAATCAAAAAGATCCTAAGAAGGATAAATTACTTTCGCTGCCGGGTATCCCTTTTTTTTTGCATGACTGTCATAACGAGCGATATAGTTTCTAACAATTAGTGTCTGTTAACAGAGATAAAAAAAAACCAATCAAATATACGATATATACCAAAGTAAATATGCTATGATATTCCTCGTTCTTAGATTTATTCAAATATGATCTTGCGAGATATGATTTCAATGCAATAAAATAAAGTTAATAATTTGTCTTGGTAATCATACACCTTGACTTTAGCCATCTATGAAACAGAAGCTATTGATCGTATAACATCAGTGTCACGAAAGACTTGGAATAATCAAAGGGCAAGGTTAGAGCTTAGCGGTCAGTTACAAAGCAGTGGTACATAGCGCAACATGGCTTGACATGATTTTAGTCAGACTGGATTTTTTAGCCATGGACCTTGATGAAAAATGGGCGAGATCATTTTGAAAAAGGTAAAGGCAATGTGCATGATGCTGTCATACCAAAAATGTATGCTATGTATAGCAAGCCGATCTTGGTAACATAGCCTTGCAAAACATTATAATCATAAGTATATTTGCAGGCATCTTTTCTACCTGGTTGCCACATATAGATCCCATATTCATCTTCTGTAATTGATAATGTCGAGGGATTATACTGTATTCACAGTACGATGCTTGATTAATTAAAAAAAATATTTGCCGATATTTGTGAATCGCTGCTTGGATGAAAAAAGGATTGCTAAAATTATATTTCTTGTAACATGGGATGTTGCGTACTACAAACAAACATACTAATGCCCGTATAGTATACGGACATATTATGATTCATAAAACTCATCAACTCGGGCAGCTTATATTTACTTGACGCGACTCGATTGCAAGTTGTTGTGTCGCTCTTTTTTTCTCTCATAATTACGACGGCTCATCTTTATTTTTGTGTGGTCAAATACGACTTCCTGCACTGTAACATGACCCCTTCTCCTACATCTTCTTTTTCTACCGCTTGCTTATAAAACATGCATCTGCTCACAGGTCATTAGCAGCATTAGTACTATTTGTGTTGTTATTGTTGCTGTAAGGCTGAAAATAATTAAAGTTGGTTTTTTTCGCCAAGAGAGACTAAATCTTTTTTTTTGTGTCGGAGGGCTAACATGATAGATCTTCATCATCGCCCCCACATCATCCGAGCAGGCGGTCGTGCGGTTGTTGTTAGTATAGGTGCCATCATCGCCAGTTCTTGATTAATATCAGGGACCTTTTCTATTGCACCATCAGCACCATCAGCACCATCAGCACTGTCATCAACATTACTACCAGAAATAACAAACAATAACATTAGTGGCGATGGTAGTAGTAGTGTAGCAGCAGCTATACAGCGAATCATGTGGGATCGGCTACAACTGATTCACTTTAGGAGGTTATTCTATTATTTGTATCTGTAAATCTTTGGTAAGCGGGTTGACGATCTCTAGTTGACAAACTATAATTCCAAGTACCGAATCGTCTGTGGTTTTTAATGATTGTCAAAGAAGGTTTCTATTTACTACTTCTAGTTAAAGGCCGCCGTTGCATTGTGTATGAAACTTACGCTGCTGCTGCTGCTGCTGCTATTGCAAAATAAGAGAAAGAAAAAAGCAGGGTGATATATGATGGCTGTAATAATATGCATATGCAAGGTCCCGTAAAACGTGCAAGCTCACACTGCTTCTACTTTTGCTGCTGCTGTCCACCGGAAGAGAAAGAACGTGAGTGTTTGTGGTACATACTGGAAGGAAAGGAAAAGTACAGGGGCTACGACGCCAAGAGTTTACGTATTGTTGTTGTTGCTGTCGTGGTGGTGGCCGACGTTGTGTGGATGTTGGGGAAGAAGGGCCAAGAGGAGAAAGTCGGAATGAAAGCGTGGTAGCAACACGTTGTATGACAAAAGTGGCCTGCCGAACCGGACATTCGACTGTTGTGCAAAGAAGAGAAAATATAAAATTAAGCGTATAAAAAAACCTTTTTTTTTGTTCTTATATTCCTACTAGCTGACAAACGACTTTTCTTTTATTTCCCCACCCCCTCCACCCTTTCGAACACGCCGTTCTTTTTCCCTCTTCTCTTTTTGGGAGAAGAAGGCATGTACACTTCTTTATGAAGATAAAATACCCGTTGTTGTCATAGCAGTAATAATACATCCTTCTCCACTCCACGCTACGCCTCTTTTTGTAAAGCAAGGATAATACGTCTTCTTAGTCCCTCCTCAACACACAGCTTCTCAAACGACACAGAAGAAATTATGCCTATATCATCCCTGTCTCTTAAGCGACATCGTTCCGCAAGCACGTCCCAAACACAATCCAGCACAGGCAAGCTCTCGCGACTCAAGTCCACCCTTGCCGTCTTTACAAAGCTTCGCCCGTTTACTACTGCAGCACCCTCATCCGACAACGACGTCAATGTAATACCTCCATCGCCACCGCCATCGTCCTTGCAACATCATCAAAGGCGACAACAACGACGTGCGTCTAAAGGAACAAGCCGCAATCCGCTAAACCGGTGGTCTCACCATTTCGACAATCGTCGAACCTCAGTAGCCAGCAGTTTTTTCCAGTATTTGCAACAGCAACAACAACGCACAAACAACGATATCCCACCCTGTTACAGCAATGACTCGTTATATGAGCAAGTTCGTTATCACAGTGCCAAAAAATCGCATTCCCAGCCCCGTTTGGACCTATTGCATGAACAACACAGTAAAATTCAGGATCAAAATGCACAAACCATGCCCCCAGCCACACCATCCCCTCCTCCCCCTTTGGTCGTGCAGCAGCAGCAACAACAACAACAACAACGGCTGCCACCCGTTATCACAACATCGTCCATATGGTTTGAGGATGATAGTGTCTTTATTGATACTGCTAGACAGAAAGCAGCAGTAGCAGATATACTTCCTCCTCCTGCAGGCATTTTGGTCAAACGCGACACGAATGTCAGTGGTTGTAGCGGCATGAGCAGTGGTAGCAATCATAGCTGTTGCCTTTTCCCTACCACCACGACGATGACGCCAACGACAACGACACAACAATGTGGACGTCCTCGTAGCCGGTCTACTTCGTCGCATCATATACGCCATGTCTCATCATCCAACATTACGGTCAATTCAGAAGACTTGACCGCCAAGGAGTTTGCAGAGTTCACCGGTATCAAAATCCTCGACGAGGATGACGACAACAACAACGATAATGTAAATAACGGTAGTAGTGTCTATGGTAACACCCATTCGAGAAATCACGATGACGACCGGCCTTATCAGCAACTCGACAATAACGAAGAACAACAAGATTCGGATGATATTGCCATGTTCACCATTTCCACCGAACAACGGACCCATTTCAGTAGTTGTTCATCCAATCGTCTACTCAAAATATGGGACCCAGAGTTTTGGCATGATCCTACTAATGCCATGCCTCCTATGACCAATACAACCATATGTAGCGGCAGTGGTAGCAGCAACATCATCATCAGCAGCAACACCAATAACAATACTGTCAACAGCAGCAGTAGCAGCAGCAGCAATATTTTGCAGAACCGACCATCACAGCAGCATCTTGAGGATGAGCAAGATGGTCATCATCAATCCCAGATCTTCAACGAGTTGAGACAAATGCAATCCACAGACAAGCTATCCAACTGTATCATCAAGAAGGGCCGTTTTGAAATATGTCTGGAAGGAGGAGCAACAGCGACGACGACAATGAGTGATAATAATACCCGTTCTGGCGATAGCAATGTGCCTCAGGAACAACAAACCCCATTATCACAGCAACAACTTGCGTCGCCTATCGTGCCAACAATTACCGTCAGTGACGGTGAGAGCTAACACATATTGAACAGCAGAAAGGAAGACCATAACCTCTCTGGAATACCATATCACAGCCGGAAATTGTGCAAAACTGCGACCATGAGAAAAGGGCTCGAGCCAGAAGACCAGAGTATCTGAAGAACTTTGTATATCATACGTGTATAATCTATCTAGTTCCATCACAACAACTCTCCTTTATCTCTACTTTAAATGACAGTTCAACGACCGAGCGTCCGAAATAAAACTTCTTTTTTCGAAAGAAAAATAGTACAAAACGTCAGTACATTGGGATTTAAGTTACCAAGTAAATGGCTGGTGGGCTGGCCGTTCATACATGACAATTCGAGTGAACCCATTACTCTTAACAGTTCGGAGCACATGATAATGGCTACTGCATTGCTGAGCAATTTTTATAGAAAATTATGCCCATTGTCTTGGGACATTCTATTTGATAACTGATACTAAACCTTCTACGATTTGAATGGCTTCTCTGCACGCTTATTTCTCTCTCATAAATAATATGATATATTATGATTAAAACCAATCTCTTCGCTTCACAATTATTTCTGACAACCCACTCACATCCGAGTAAGTGCAACTGCCATTAGACATGAACAAATCCAGCTTGTTCTTCTAGAAGCTATGCTGCAAAAGGATGACGACATACTACTACGCTCTCCTGACCCACATCACTATGTCTTTCCTTTCTGCCGAGTCAATAATCGATGGAACTAGCCTCTTGTTTTGACTGATAACTACGCGCCAGGGTGGTTGGATCACGATGACACGAAGTCACAAACAAAAAGCATGGAAAGAAGCAATTGCTAGCTAAGCATATGATACATAGTAGCAAACAAGTATAATCATGATGGTATATCTTCATTATGTTTCAGAAGAGAAAAAAACAACTGCCTAGTAATTAGTTCCCCAGTCAGCATTGATACTTGTCACAGCTTGATGCTATTTACATGACCGTAATCACATCGTCTGTTCTTGCAGCCGCTGCTCCAATGTGATGTCCGCGGCGATACCTTCAAAGCTCTAGCAAAGATGGATGTGATATCAATACAGCACAGATCGTCCCACTAGCAGCTCTGTGGTATTTGGATTTGGAAACAAACGAAAAATACTTGTTTATGTATACGTGGATTCAATCGTGGGATCTCTCGACGAGAACACCATTACTGTACGTCTTGAACACAGCAACATTTAAAAGCTTCACTTTTATAAACGATGACCGATCTGTAGTCTCATGCATGCCGAAGTACAGTGCTACATGCATCCCGCAACCCTATGTCAACCGGTAAGACGGCTTTTTATCATTGTACGGACATCTCGGATGTTGACGGGCTTCTGGATATGTATCATGCACATGAATACCGACGAGTACATTTAGTATTGCGAAAAAGAAACAGCCTGGACATCGTTGCTCGAGGATGACTGACAAGGAGTGTGGAACAAGAATAATCAGAGCGTGATAAAAAACTTAACGTGCATATCATATCTAGTATAACATTACTGAAAGAAATAACAATGCAAAATGAAACACCTACTTGTGCTTGGGCAATTATCACTGAATCAATTGTTTTTTATATATGCTATCAAATCACTTTACTGGCTATATCATAGGAAAATAACGTATATAAGGTATTATATTCACGATATCTTTTCTTTAGGAAATCAGATGTAAGGTGCTCAAGTATATATATATATATATATTCATGTAAACCGGTGACGTATGCCAAAATATAATAAAAAAGAAGGGCCTGCTTCTACACGATAAAAATATTGTTACAAAATCAAAAGACCAGTGCATAGAAAAACTTTGTCTACGTATAAAATTAAATTTGGCTCGTGTTATTGCGATGGACACGTTATGGATGATGCTGTTGCTGCATTGTTGGCGAGGTATAATAGTTGTTGTTGTTTTCTCCTTTAGTAGTGGCGACAGGGTTATCGTCACTGGACATGGCAGCATGGTCCTCCAAAGTCCAAGCATCTTCTTGAATAGGTGGTAAGCTTCACTTATAAAAATCATCACGATCCCCACGTTTCATAAAAGAGATTGTCAAACCGTTATAAATTGCGCTGATGAAATTGGCAGCGGCCGTTTCTTGATCGTCAGCTAAGAAAAGAAGGTCATATCGAGTATCAATAGTATTGCTGGATACGCTTCACATATAAAAAATCATCATGATCCCCAGGTTTCATACTCTTTTTATATCGCCGGTTCTTTGTTCCATTAAAGCGCACAGACCCGTCGCCGACAATTGTTGGATCAGAGCGGAGCACGGCAAGCGGAGCCGCATAGTGAAACAAACATATACGCACCATAAGAAAAAGACACTAGCATGACAGTCGTCAGACTACAACGATAATTATCATCAAGGCACTTCTTCACATTGCTGCAGTTCACTGGCTCCTTAGGGCAGTAGTGACAACAAAATTTCTAAGCTCCGTCATTTTGTTTATCGGGCTCATGAAAAAAAAGAATCGACTGCGCGTTTTGCCCTTTATTCTTTTCTTTAGTCTTCATATTCATCTTTGTACATTTGCAGTGTTTCTTTCATTATCACTTTTTACCTTTCATTTATTTTTCATCCCGCTCGAGTGTCCCTGTGGGTGTGCATAGTTGAAGGGAGCTAGTCGTGCACGACTGGCTCTTGCTCATCTTTTGTACATTTGCAAAGTTCTTTGTTTCATCTTGGTTTTTTATCTTCCTCAAAAACTGAAAGCGAGAGTGTGTGCAAAGAGGTACGTATATGTTCGCCGCTGACAGACCTTTGTGCTATTTCTTTTATTTGTAGGAACTGTGGAGGAGTAGGTTCTGTCGGGAACTGAGGCTTGTGGACAAGAAAGGGAGAGGTGTAGGTTCTGCCGGGAACTGAGGCTTGCGGAAAACAAGGGAGGGCAACCTCCCTTGTGGGTACGTATATGTTCGCCGCTGACAGACGTTTGTGCTATCATATTTCTTTTATTTGTAGGAACTGTGGAGGAGTAGGTTCTGTCGGGAACTGAGGCTTGTGGACAAGAAAGGGAAAGGTGTAGGTTCTGCCGGGAACTGAGGCTTGCGGAAAACAAGGGAGGGCAACCTCCCTTGTGGGTACGTATATGTTCGCCGCTGACAGACCTTTGTGCTATCATATTTCTTTTATTTGTAGGAACTGTGGAGGAGTAGGTTCTGTCGGGAACTGAGGCTTGTGGACAAGAAAGGGAAAGGTGTAGGTTCTGCCGGGAACTGAGGCTTGCGGAAAACAAGGGAGGGCAACCTCCCTTGTGGGTACGTATATGTTCGCCGCTGACAGACCTTTGTGCTATCATATTTCTTTTATTTGTAGGAACTGTGGAGGAGTAGGTTCTGTCGGGAACTGAGGCTTGTGGACAAGAAAGGGAGAGGTGTAGGTTCTGCCGGGAACTGAGGCTTGCGGGGAACAAGGGAGGGCAACCTCCCTTGAGGAACGAAGGATTCATAAAAGTCAGTCGACTTGTCAGGCAACATCAAATAAACTTGGTTTCTTATTGTACTTTCTTAAATAATGTAATTGTAACTATTGGGCAGATCGAGTGACGATTGTAATAAACGCGATCTTTATTTTTACATCTTCCTACTGCCATTGCGCGTGGTACTTGTTGGTGCTTTCTCTGGAGCAGTTATGTAGTTGCAAATGAGCCTTTTTGTGCTTGAGTCGTCGAGAAAACCGTAGGCTGTGCATTCTCATGTGTGCTCTCAAAAACAATACAGCTGGTTTACCTTCACGACTTGTGATGCTTCTCGCCGATCAATGGAAATTGCAGTCATAAGTTTTGTATTGTAAAAAAGGTAGACACAATTTCGAACCTGAAATTAACGCAATATGTACAACAATATCAGGGATTGCATCTGTTAGAAGTCCCCTCTTCCATAGTTGCTGATGAGGACTTTGAACGCGCGTTTAATAAGTGGGATCTTGTAATACATAGCCTAGTGAGTCATAATATCGACGTTTTTTTTCAGAGCGTGATGCCCCTCCGTCTTTGCAGCTGCTTCGAGTGCCTGCACAAACTTGCGACCAAACGCCGTTGCACCGAGCTTGTGATAGACTTACTTGGTAATCGACTGAGTGTGTCCACACTACTATCATCTTTGGATCAAACTACTGTTAACGTATATATCCGATCGGGTTTCCCTTATCATCATCCCCTACATTTGATACTTTCGCTAGTGTTGATATCAAAAGTAGCGTCAACAAATCAAAAATTTCAAAGTGGCTTCGTTAGATTGCATGAAGAATCTCAGTAGAATAGCTCCATGTAATGTATTTATGTACTCGAGGCTTGGACGCTCACAAAAAAATTATATGGACGTCAACACATTTCTGGATGTCTTTTAGAATACTGGCTTGCCGGATACGGATATTGGTGTAGTTTGATATAGTAGTACCGCCAGCGATCATTGAAAGACAAAAGAAGGGAAGGGGGTAAACTGAAATGGCTTTTACTTGAAATGTAATAGATAAAAGTTAAGCACAACATTATTATTTTGACTCATCAATAGCAGCACAAAACAATGCGCTTCTAAAAACTTGGCAAGTTTGGCGCCGTTGAAAGCTATTGTAGATAAGAAACGTCAATAACTTGACGGGATAACTTGTTATAATCTTAAGCAGTGATGATACATTCCATATTCAATCTATCTATGAGTATTACTAGTATACGTGTATCAGTAGCAGTAATGTTGAGAGACAGTAGCATGAGAGATTGGTGGCAAGACCCAACAAGTTGGATTATGTAACTTCCCTAATGAGCTTATGTACTGGGCCTTTTATACTGCAAAGAAATCAAGGCAAACATCATTTAGTTTGGGTTGGCGATCTGGTTCGTGTATATGTGAATATGGGGATGGTCTGTTTGCTTTGCGATACGGTTTTTTATTTTGCCACCAGCAATTTGCAATCATTGTTGGTATAGCCTTGTTAAGGTGATTGATACAACTGGATCGGCTGTTACGGGGTCATCCTTACAAAGTACTTACCAAACAATTACTGACGCAAAGGTGATGCACCAAACGCATGGGCCACGTCGTGGTAAGCATACACCTCTTGTGTATCATCATCTTCGAACAGGCCAGGCACGAATCAGAGATGAAGAACGCAATATTGCTTTTGTAATGATTCGAGATTGTATGGGACTAAGAGAATCACAAAAAAAAACCAGGCAAAAGATATATAACAGACCATACAGCTGCCGTGCTATGTACTAATTTGTGAAATGTTGTTTATTGATAAAGCTTAGTATGTTTTTTATCATGATCTTATGGTGCTCTTAGCCAATGCCTGATAGCAATGTTTCCAGAAGCTACCGTGAGGAGGTGACACTACCTTACCTTTTTAACCATTCAAGGATGGATCCAAAGCCAAGGCAAAAGCTAAAGCAAGAGTGATATGGTGCACGCCACCTTATACCATACCTCCAGCAGAAATTACTGTCAATTTTCAATCAACAGATATTTTTTACATCTTCTTTCGAACTTTTCAATGAGATGTGTAGATTTTCAGAGTATCAATAACTTCATGACCTTCTAAATCATTATGATATTCGAACTAAATAGGTCAAAAAAAATAAACTGTTTTTTTCAAGGGTCAAAGTAAGAGTATTGGGCTGTTTGTTGTAAAGGAGAGATTATCAACAGAGTTGAGCAACCCCCCCCCCCACCCCCCACCCAGCGGCACTGTATCCTGACACCAGCTGAACTACCATCCGAAGGTAATCGTAGCTGTATACAGTGGTCGGGAAAACATTATGTAGCATCATTTGTTATAAAGTTATTGGAAAAATGAATATTTGGCTATGTACTTGTGCCTCTATCTTTTGACTTTGGTTTGTGAAGAAAATTGAAACATACTATAATGAAGGAATGAGAGGGATATGTGAAAGGAGATAAAACAAGAGAAGAGAAAGGATAGAGGGAAATAACATTAGTTATCCACCAAGTTCCAGCTCTTTAACCAGTGACGTCCTTTATATTTTGAGATAGGGCCCGACATGCCATACGCGACCGGCGCAAAATAGATGAAAACAAGGATAACTGTTGCATAGGCTGCACCGAAAACAATCCATCGTGTGCGATTAGACGTGTTAGCGGTGAAATGCTCCAGTAGGAATGGTACCATAAGAATGCTGAAATAGAGTGCTGGGAAGTAATGATGAAGATATGTGACACGCCCCATGATATAGAACGGAATGTAGTGCAGGAACCATCCCAAAAACAAAGTCTTGCCAACGTATAGGAAACTATCCCATTGTGCTAAAATACATATTGCGTTAGTATGTTCTTCAACAGAGATTGTCAATGTATTTACTCTTTCACCCTAAAAAACATACCGTTAGAAAGATCGAAAATCTTGCGCTGCATGCGCGTCAGGTAAAATCCTGTTGTGGCCAAAAAGATCAACAAAGCAGCAAAAGATGGCCACCATACTGCTGGGTTACCAAGCAAGTAGTATTTGATGATATCATCGCCCCATCCACACATACGCAGCCCGACCGATGCAAGGGGCCATTCAGAGGGCGTTGACGAAAGGATGTCTTCTTTGTCAGGATCAGGAATGAGGGCATTGTTGGAGGTCCACATGGCTACATTCAGGTGCCAGAAATCGTGCAAAAACTTGGATTTGTATGCGTTCTTTGGCGCAGCAGGCACTAAGCAGCGTATAACAGAATGACCAGAAAAAAGAAAACAATGAAGCAGCTGTATCTGAAGTTCAACGCTCATCCTTGCTTACGTTTATCATTGTAATGCTCTTCGACGTTCCACCAGGTATGTGGGTCACTTTCTCGGTTGCGCTTGTCGCACGTAACTTCGATTTGCTTAAAACCCCACTGTGGCAACACAACATTGTTGGCAGCCAACAAGCAGTTTAATTGAGTATGGCGAAGGCGGAAGCGAGTGGTGAGCGAGCGCACGCGTTCCTTATCCTTGTAGGTCAAATCATCGACGATCTCCACCTTCCAGTTATCCTGAATATCGCCGACAGTCTCATTACCATATGCCGAAACCTCCCACTGGCCTGACGTAATCGGTGCAGCAAGGGGATGGCTGTGCAAGTTGCGGCCGGTCGACGAGTGCATAAGTCGAACAGTGTCGCCATCCTTGACAAATCGGATGCTCCCGTCCTCTGGTTCATATTCGCTAGGGTCACTGATAAGACGTGGTGGGCGGACTATCCAATGATTGTTGTCATCCTTATAATGATAGCAGGTAACTTGCTGCTGCTTAGAACCTTCCGGAAAGGTTTGAACGTGCGAATGCAGAAGACCACCGCCGTAGCCATAGTTCTTGATGGTCAATTTAGAACCATACGCCAACTCTATTTATGGTTCAAAATAAGCTTACAAATAAAAGTAAAAAGTGTCTTTTGAAAGATAGAAATACTTACCGAGAGGATTGCGATCAAATGAGTTTCCGGCCAACCGTGCTTGAAACAACGAGCTCATCTGAGCATCACCAGGACCACTACGATACAACACAGCAAAATGCATCGCAAACGAAAACAGATAAACGGCAGCTGGGAGGCAGATAAGACAGAGGATTCGGGCCATCCAATGAGCAGCATAGGTTTTCTTTGGCATTTGAAGATCACCGAGCATTTCCCATAACTCTTCAACGGTATTGATACCCACCAAAGCAATAACAAAAAGACCAACCCACTTGACACTACAAAGTCACCCGATCCGGTAAAAACGATCAGTCTTTCCCTTTCCTTTTCGATGAACTGCTTTTCAATTACCTCAGCACACATCCAAGTGAAAAGCCTGTCGAGCTCAACCATAACCACCACTTTTCCGAGAATGCTCTAGCGATGTGACATTATTATCAGCACTTCTTGTTCCTCACTATTCCTTCTTACACAAGACCACTACTTACTCGTTTTTGCAGTTGTTGAACACCGACATGCAGTACAGCGACAAGCATGTAAAGAACATCAACATGGAGTCAAGAAGAATGAACCGACTGATACATAAGTAAGCGGTATCTGGATAATTATATATACAATCAGTATCTGGACTGTTACAATCCCTCACACCTACTTACCAAGTAATACCATGGTTGCAGCCAAAATACTTGCGCGTTGTGACATTTTGAACTGTCTAGCGGTCAGATATGCGAGCGGCACAAGAAGAGAGCCCCAGAATGCGTTGAAAATACGCATCGCGGTGTAATTGACGTTATCGGGATACTTGTGTCCTGATTCGAATCCAAACGAGCCATTGTAGCCCGCAAGCCATCCAGATAAGCCTACTAACATTTTACCGAGCGGTGGATGGACATCAAAGTAAAACTCATGCTTGAGATAATGCGAGCCAAACTAAAACAGGGAATACACACATAAACATGTTCAGTTCTGTATAACTTTTTCGTGATTTTTTTCTCCTCCGTCAAGTGCATTTACCTTTCCAAAATGTGCCTAGTTAATTTGTAAATCGGAACACCCATTAGTCATTTAGTCATAATCACCATCCTCCTTTTCAATCCTTCCCAGTCAAAATGATATTTCCTTTACCTCATCCCATACGACAATGTTGGATACACCAATGTTGCGGAAACGCGTCCAAAAAGCCAACAGCGTGAGAGCTGCTGGAATCAGTGCACGCTCGTATTTTTGACAGAATGCAATATACTAGATCAAGAGCAACCGCATAAAGAATGCGAGTGTGAGAAAGAAGTGTTGCTTGTCAAAAAAAAAAGAACCAACGTGGTACCTTGTTTGAAGAATATACACGTCTTTGTTGTGGTGGTAAAGACTTTGAAAACTTGTGTTTCTCATCGCCGTAATTGTCGTATAAGCTTGTGGAAGCATCATAAGCTTGATAGACAGGTGGAGAAGTTGACGGTTGCACATCCGGTGCAATGTGCCTTCGTTTTAAGTTCTCCATGAGTATGGGATGGCCAGGAAAAAAAAAAAACGACGAAAAGAAGGCAAAATTGATTGAAATGCTATTTATGGCAAGCGGAGCATGTTCCACAAAATGACAATGCACAACACCGCGGAACAAGCGACGTGGCTCCTCATCATATGTTATTGCAAGAACAACACCCCCTTAAGGTTTTTAAGGTATGTGCTTCTGGCTTTTTTTCAATATATGTACATGCCGCATTATAAATATAGAAATTAGACAACCACGGAGAAGGAGAGAAAACGAAAGCGACTTTTTTCTTGTCTGTGCGCATTATTGCCACCAGGGTCCTCCAGTGTTTTCCAGAGTTTTAATAGCATACCAAAATAAGTATGTATCCTCATTTGTTCCTTTTCCTGTCAGCGTTGTACCACCCACCGCTAGACGCGAATATGAAGAGGCATTCAACGCTTACTTATTGAAGCGCCCATTGCTTGCTAACACTAACCAGCTGATCGTATGTTGTTATGTTATCACGATATGGAGTAAGTGCTGCTTGTGGCAAATGAACAAAGTTTCTATGGAAATCGCCTCACATGCTTAATTGCTGAATGATGTGTGCTAACAGCATACCCATAACTCAACATATAGCTCTGTAATGTCCTTCGTCCGGCTATTTCAATGTATCAGCTTCCTTTCAAAATCATAGTAGAAACGATGCTGGGATGCATTAAATCGTAAAGATAGTTTAGCTAGGATAAATCGATTCCCATGGAAGGTATCTACTAATAATATTTGGACGCCCGTTATCTCACAGTAACTGTAAATAATATCTTATATACCAGCAAAAACATGGTTTATTGCCAGACACAAGCTTGGGATACCGGTAACACAAAATGGATCAAGACTTATTGACGCAGAGCAGTTTGCTTTTGCTTTCATTATCTCTTTTATACTTATGAAACAAGCTATACTAGTTAAGGACCTGTGATCTCGCTCGCTTCCGTCCGTACACACCAGCTTGGCACGGCGCTAGTATGTACTAAGATGATAAAATACAGGGAAGATCGATGAATCATGAATATGTTTATTCATCACCTACACTAGTAGCGAAAAGGGACGTTGCTTAATTGTACGGCGCTGCAGCTTAAACCACAAAACACAACATAATGGTGTCACATGAATCCACTGTACTGTACTTTGACGGATGCCACTGCTTACCTACATACTGCATCGTGGCATAAAAAATCGCACACACTGGTGTGTTTCTAGCCCCAATGGTTTTAAAAGGCGGTATAGATACTGTTATCTCCCTTCCTCAGTTTCTTCTAAAACGTGTCTATTATACTTTCTTCATGATTTAAACCGTATCTCAACGCAATCTTACTACACTAGCTGAATTTAATAAGCAAAGTATGTTGTATATCGTCGAATAAGCGCTCTAATTGACTAAATAACCTTTTAAAGCCTGTACAGAAAGAAGACTAAAGCTGTAGCCGTGAATTTTCTTTATGCGCATATATCTGAGATCGAAAGCCGATGATGGTTCTGATGTTATTTGATAGAGCAAAATTATATGCTGCGTCCAACCCACCATTCATCACTTTTGATATTGGTGCTACGTAGGTACTTTTTATCCATTCCAACTCTTTGTGTAATCAATTGATAAGTATACTGTAAGAAGCTGTAGTCAAATGCAATCATGGGATCAGTTTTATGTACCGAGAGCAATTTCATCCTTTTTTTGCGAAGCGTTATCGTTGTAATTACGACAAAATAAAAAGGGGTAGCTTTGATATGAAGTGCTGCAGTGAGATATACTGCTGTTTCCAAAAGTTACTGACATACAAAGAGTGCTCTATACTTTTTAAACATCCATATATTCAATTGATTCAAACGCGTCTTGAGAAAACGATGACGGTGCTGCCATCATTCACTGTTTTCGATGAAAACAGCTTGGTCATAAAGTGCAAAGTGCAGCGTTTTTACATGCGGTCCAATGCTATTAAAAGGAAATCTCGATGAAAGGAATACCGTCGACTCCTAGATGGAATTATTAATAAAGTAATTTTGGTAATGTTTACTCTTCTACAGAAGGATTACTAATCACTGGTAGATTACTCAGCAAGAGTAATCAAATGAATGTGTGCATGATTTGCGCAGTAGACTGTTTCAAGCACGCTATCGCTAGCGGGAGCCTAAAGTCGGAACTATTTCAGTATAGATCTGTGGAGGAACCGCCGCACCTGAACCACTCCTTCCTTCTAATTGTGTAAGTGTCCATATTCATTACGTTACAATGGGAAATCTCTGTGTGTGGTGAATGAGGTGGTGATGATGGTTGAGCAGCATTATCGACGTTATTACGGATGATGGATGGATGGATACGGCTACTGGATGCATCGAGAAACGATTCGAAAAAGGATGGCAGCACAGTATGGATGGATGCAGATTGATTAGTCAGCCAAACGACCAACGCCCATTCCACAGCATTTTGCCTACCAACATGCATTCATCAGAATTTTGAAATACGTCACGACATCCACTATCACTTTCAGCAGCATATAAAAGCGAGAGGAGGGGGCGTGTGGTTCTTGCTGGGGGGAAGAGAGAGAGAGACAAACTGGCATTCCCTTTTTACAAACTTTCCAATAACAAAGGAAATTACGAAAAGAACAAGATTCGCTTACGACCACTGTTAATAAAAAATAGAAAAAATGGGTCGCCGTCCAGCTCGCTGTTACAGATACTGCAAGAACAAGCCCTACCCCAAGAGCAGATACAACCGTGGTGTCCCTGATGCCAAGGTCAGAATCTTTGACTTGGGTCGCAAGAAGGCTCACGTTGACGATTTCCCCTTGTGTGTCCATTTGGTCTCCAACGAATACGAACAAATCACTGCTGAAGCTTTGGAAGCCGGCCGTATTTGCTGCAACAAGTACATTGTGAAGACCTCCGGCAAGGATTCGTTCCACATGCGTATCCGTGTCCATCCTTTCCACGTTGTCCGTATCAACAAGATGTTGTCGTGTGCCGGTGCCGATAGATTGCAAACCGGTATGCGTGGTGCTTTCGGCAAGCCCAACGGTTTGGTCGCTCGTGTCAACATTGGCCAAGTCATCTTCTCTGTCCGCTCGCGTGACTCGAACAAGGCCGTTGTCATTGAGGCCCTTCGTCGCTGCAAGTACAAGTTCCCTGGTCAGCAAAAGATCATTGTCTCCAACAAGTGGGGTTTCACTCCTCTTAAGCGTGAGGAGTACGTCCAGTCCCGCAAGGAGGGCAAGCTCCAGCCCGATGGTTGCTACGTCAAGTTCGTCCCCCAGAAGGGTCCCTTGAACAACTACTTCCGTGCCGCCAGCAGAGTCTAAATTGTCCAACAAAATTTGTTTTTTGGGTTCAATAAATAACTTTGCTATCCTTCTTAAATTTTGACGCCTATCCTCATTTGAATTTTGACATTGCCTTTAGATACACAGAAAAAGGTCATTTGATTTGTTTAATGTGCTGTAGTTACTAAATTATTTTTTTTGGAATGATCGACCATGTACTTAAGTGAAGTGTGATCGTGTGTGTGCATAGAGCAACTGATTATTTAATAGCATGAATTTAAGGGTCTTTTTGTACTCATGATTGGATACTTCCAACGCGTGATCATCGTTGAGATAATATATATCTGTATCTACGGAGAGCATTGTGTCGACAGATATGCTTAGTGACAGAAAGTAATCCTTCTGAAAGTTTTGATATCAAGAATCATACTTATCACCCATATATGAAGCTGTCGAAAGCTAACTGTCATCTCGAAGAGACGAGCAGCTTTAATCTTCCGCATTGTGTATCATCATGTTGATATGTACCAAGCCAAGATGCACCGCCAAAATGCTGCCACTGACCAATTGATTTGAGCGATGGCATTATTAGCTGTCATAGTACGTACATTCCCTTCTTCTTAATGTGCTACATACTTGGTTAGATATATCACATTTAGATAACAGACATCACGGTGTTACCGACAATCACCTTTGCTGGGACACCGTGAGGTAGGATCGTCCGAGCATGGGAGTGGGGAACAAAAAAAGAGAGGGAGGGCAGTAGGAGTAGAGTAAAGGAATGCACGTTGATTCTGCGTTGTAGTAAAGTATTACAGTACAGCCACTCGAATAACCAATAAGTCTAAAAGGAGCTCCCTATAAGCGCACAAACCTTCTACAACGGCGTTGTCCGTAATAGTATGAGCATGTTAGGTCGCCCCTTGCTTCTTGCATATTGTATGGACAACCCCCCTTTTTCGTTTTTGCGCTTGACGCATGTGTATTTGGGCAAATAAATAAGCCATGGGCTTCAAAAGAGGGAAATCCAATGAGAAAGTGTCATTTAGTGTGTGTAACATCCAAAAAACGTGAAAGGCTGTTTCAAACAAATATACTTGGCTATATCATATATGCTTCTTTAACGTATTTTATGCGCGCACATTCTCAAAAAGTTGAAGTAGAAAGAGCGATGAAAACAATAGTAAGCGGTCTCTCCTTTTGTCATTTATGGACGATGAATAGGGCCATATATATGCCCCCCCACCCTTTTCTTCCCATTCTCCTTGTGGTATGTGATGCTTATCTGCTGCTTCTGGTGCTTATTGCAGCCAGTTTTTAATACTGGGAGCCTGGAGAGCGCATGTTTTATCGGAATTCCAGAACAAATACTGGGTAAGTAATAAGCGGTCGTATGATGGGATATTAGCAGATATATTGGCTTGTTGCACATTTGATTATACTTCTAATTCGCGTTTATATTACAGCGAGAAAAAAAAAGAAACGGTAGCAGAAGTGAAGCTGTGGGAGGTGGTGGCTCTATGGCCATATTAGAAACAGGTTAAAGGAGCGATATGCTTGCTATATAATGTTATAATTATAATTACCCATCAAAGAAAAATTAAGGGCCATTAAGTGGATGTGCCAAGATGAACTATTAGAAAAAAGAAGGGTGAGCTGATCCGAAAATTGCTTCAAAGAACAACGCTGATGCCGTGTTGCCTAAGCGTATCATTCTTTTTTTCACGGCCCATCATTCAACTCCAGCCAGACGCAATAAATAGCCAATCGTCCGCTCCGACCTAAATTTCGTTTCTTCTCCAATCTCACGTTTTTGTTTTATTGTTTTCCCCCTTTTCTCTTCTACCCGTACAACACACCACCAGCAACAACAACAACTCGCATATGGCGTCGCTTGACGGAACAACCGATCCCAATCGAAAATGGGCCGGTCGGCCTCAAAGCTCGACACTTCCTGGAAGGAACCAGAAACCACCACGAATGGTCGACAAGGAACTACAGCGTATCAAAAGACTCGCCGTCGTTTCGGGTCTCAACAAAGCATTTTCACAAGAACCACAGCCCATCATCAGCAGCAGCAGCAACAGTGGCGGCGTCGGCGCGGGTCCCACCCCATCCTCATCGTCCGTATCCAGCATGACATCGTCCATGCCGCATCGTCCATCGACCGTATGCGGTTTATCCGACCTTCGCCAACCACAACAAACACAGTCATCCGTCGTTTCGAGCACTTTAAGCCAGCGAAGCAGCGGCAGCAGTCTTCACTTTGATTATATGCAATACAAACGGCAAATGAAGCGACGATCTCATACGACGCCTGTTCAGAAATCCAAGGCTGTTGTTCTGGATGAGTTGGAAAAGGATTTACTGGTCATGTTTGAAGAGGCGTATCTTCGTGCCATCAGCGGCGCCAACGGCAACGGCGGCGTCGGCGTTGCACACTCGGTTGCCACCCAGGAAATGGATGCAGACAGGATCGACAGCTGGGTGGTAAGTGTTCTGCCATCGGTCGCGACCAATCCAAACCCTGAGAGCCATCATCAGGAAGACGATGTAGTTGACGATCATCACCACCAAAACCATGCGGAGAGCAAAGATCAGCACAATAGCAAAAGCAGTACCAACCATCATAATGAAAATGGCGAAGGGCGTGTCAAGGAACTTGAAGCGACCGTGAAGCGATTAAATCAGGCGCAACAGCAGCACACCCAATGGGAGCAGAGCATTCAGCAGGTTGTTGCGACGTATATGGAGCAAAAGGAGACAGAAGCTGGCAAGGCACGGCAACTCTCTCAGGTCGTGCTTAAGCAAGAGCGCCTGATTGAGCAAATGCAGAACCATCTTGACCAGGTTGTGGCTGCAAATGCTAATCTGCGGTCCTGTTTTCAGGAGAATAGTTCATGGGGTCAGATGGTCGAGTCGGCACGTGATGAGCTGACCGAGATTAAGACAGAGATCTCCGTGCTGACAGAAACCAAACAGAGTTTGGAGGAGGCGATCGCGGGTTTGCAAGCCGAACTAGGCAAAAGCCAGCGCCAGGTCCAGACATCTTTTGACACAACACAAAAGCTCGAGTCCGAATGTCAATCACAGCGGCACGATATCGACGAGAAACTGGAAGCTTTGAAACGGCAGTTATCGGAGAAGGACACTCTGCTTCAAAAGTACCGTATCTATGGCGACCAGCAGCAGCAAAAACAGCAGCATCCTTTGGATGTCACAATGCCGCGGTCACCTAGCGACGAGTCTGTTGCCGTAGCGACTAGCAATAGCAACAGCAGCGACAAGCGAACATCTAAGGGTGGTCCAGACACTCGTCGATCATCGTATGCTTCTGTCACCAGCACAAGCATACCAAGACCTCCTCCACGCGGCAGTCGACGAAGCAGCGCAAACACAACATCGAGCTCACGACGATCCTATATTGCACGATGGACAGGCGGACCACTGCCACCGGCTGCACCACCACCAACGGATCCCCTGCCACCTATCCCGGTAGAGATGGACAAACAGCGCGGTGTATCGAACGACAGCAGCAGTATATCCCATATTAACTCGCCCACATCTCTATCCTCTGCATCATTACCAAACAACTACAAGGTCGTCAACCGGCCCTCCATCGACTCTTCAGCTGCTCTTTCTGTGGATGAGGAGGAGGCTTACCGCGAGTTTGCTGAACAGCTGCAGGCACGTTTGTCTGTGTCTAAGGAGATCGACGAGCTTCAGGTCTGGCAGCCTAACGATTTTGATGAAGTCCAAAAGCGAATTGACGCCAAATGGGGTGACATGCAGGATGACGACAGCAAGCGTCACAGCCTTGCAACACTGGCATCCAAAGATGGCGGTGCCTTCTGGCGAGGCATGAAGAAGAAACTGCGAGTTTAAAAAGCAGTGACTCGTTTCCAACTCCCTGACAGACACACATAGCACTCACCTACTATTCACTCGCATTACCACACGCCACATTACCATCTTCGCCATCTTACATGTCTTCACTTTGAACCCGACCTCACGCTACTACTACTACTACTACTATCGCTACTTCTACACTAGTAATCTCTTTCCCACAAAATACCCACTTCATCGTATATTCATTTCTGTCTAGTATAATGTATTTTCATTGTTTTGTATGCCTCTTTGTTTTCTCGTTGTTATCGAATCAAAAAAGAAAGAATTTTGATTGTATTTTCTCTCTAGAGTTATCAATTAATGACTGTGGAGTATGTGCATGGGATGTTCAGTTAGACGGACAGCGCCGCTGAATCATATTTTTTACTGTGAAATATTAGTCGATCATTTCCTGATATGCAGATCCACGCCTTGCGTCTGTTGAGTTATTTTGCTGCATTACATAAAATGATGCTTTATCGATTATAAGTAACTAGATAAAAAAAAGGGCGCGTCGGCAACATGCGCATGAGATTCCTTTCCACTGCTGCTATCAGCATTGTTGAAAGCACCCTTCTATAGGCACTTTTTTATATAAAACTCTACTGGTATAGACACGTCTATTTTTACCTGTGCAACATAGCACAACGGCGATTTGTAAACCAATCATGTTCTTACGATGCTCTAAGTATAGCTTGAGCCGAGAAAGACAGTTTGTGTTCAAAATGCACAAGATATGCAGATGACCTGTCCCCCCAATGGGTGCAACAACCTGGTATACATAAAGTCCTTCACACCATTGTTGTTGTTGCTGTTATTTGCGTAACACGATTACTTTTGACGTGACAACAGGAAGCTTGGCGTGGCTGATGTTATAGTTTTCTTTTTAAGATTGGTGCATACCGCTGCTCCTGGGATGTCACTCGGGGCCCGCTTCAATAGTGGATTGTAGTTGTAAGGTTTGAAGAGTGTGGAACCAAAGAAAAAAAAAGTACACTGGTCTTTATTGTTTGTTTTACAGCAAATACAAGAAGAGAAAAAGGAAGGGAAAATGGATGTAGTATATACGTTGATAAGAAGAAAGGGTTGATGTGTAATGTACGATGTCTGTTATGTTCATTTTCTGTGTGTGTTGTTTTTTTTTAAAAAAAGAAGAAATCTACAACCTGTTGATGGTAAACGGTGGTGGGGATGCTACAGAATGAAGGTGAGGGGTAAATGGAGTTTGTAAAAAGAGCAAGTGACGCTTATTATTATTAGTTGTTTTTCTTGCTGCGGCTTCCGATCTTCTTGATCTTGGCCTTGGAATCTCCCTTTGGCAAGGCGAGACCGACCTTGAGGCTGCTTTGATCGTAGATGTGGTAAAAGTTGTTTAGGAACGCGCCGCCAAGGGACCATTCCTTCTCCTGGCCATTGCCAGCGATAAGCGTGTGACACATTTCACCTTCGTCGTCGTTTTCTCTGGTCCAGAGCGTAGGTGGCAGAGTGACTTGGTAGTGGTCAAAGGTGAAGGTCAAATCAGGCAGCTTCTCGACTTCGCAGCACTTGAGATGGTAAGTCTGGGATTCGGTGTCGTAGTGAGCACCCATTCCTTTGTGTAACAGCTCGACTTGGCGCTTCGGGCCGGTGATAAAGTTGCTGTTGCTACTAAACGATGCCAGTGACTTGTGTGCAAGCTTGATATCAACGAGATTGCCGAGCTTGATGCAGTTCATACGCGTCTTCCAGTAAGGCGAGTCGCCATATTCGCAGGTGGGCAGTGCAAAGTAGGCGATTTTGCCGTCGTAAACATCGTGGTCGATGCCGCCGAAAATGAACTCAGCCTCGGGTGTGTTCCACCGCTTCTTGCCGTAGAAGCCGCTCTGGTCGTAGGTGACCATGCCGAATTGCTGTGAGCCCTGGCCGTAATTGGTCTGGAACGCGTTCTGGGCAAAACCATTGGCATTGACGACTACACATTATAAAAGATAGCTCGTTGGTTAAGTTATTTGAGAGCACGGCTGCCCCCTACCTCCCTTTTGCGTATCACTCTTTTTTTGGGGGGAGATTGGGGAAGGAAAGGCTGCAAGTTCTAGACTTGACAAAAAGGAAATGCAAACTTACAGGCACGACGGTGGAGATCTATTCATCCAATTTTTACAAGTATGTAAGAGTGAGAAAAGTCATTTAGCTCTAATTGTTATTAGCTCACATAATGAAAATGAAAGAGAATGTATTATTACGTTTCTTGTTCTTGTCTGTGGCGTTAAAGTTAGCGGAGCCGTCTTCCGTGAAACCGCCGAGACCAAGATAACCGACTGATGAAGGGCAAAATGTGTATATTTAGTAAATTTGAGTCGTAAGCAGATAATAAGAGATACGATAGCACACATACTGTAGTTGTCGTCGCCAATGTTACTGACGCTGTATGCTGAGCCAAAGAGCTGGTTCTCAACAGTGAGGCCGGCAAGGGTCATGGTTTCCTACATAGTATACAAATCGTTGTTCGATTGATGGGTTAGCCCGGAGAGGCGATTAGCTGTTTATGGTAAAGAGGGGCCTTACCGTGTATAACTCGACATCGACACACTTGTGGTCATCGAAACGAATGGAACGCTTCTGATTGAGCGAGAACGCAGTGCTCGAGCCCTCGGCATCGTAAGGGGCATGACCGTAGTCGCGACAAGCACTGCTATGGCACTAAAAGGTACAAAACGCATTGTTATTAGCTTACTATTTTCAGCATCAATAGCAGTCCGTTTGTCGTGCTTGTGAATGGGTACCTTGGTGGATGGCACCCACGACAGACTGGATGATGTGTCAAACATGACATGGAACTCTTGTGCTGGAGAACCGATCTGTACGGTGCCTACAAGCTGGGATTTTCCAAGTCGTTAAAGTCGTTAGATCATGAATAGACAACTCTTGTGTTTGTTTTAACACATACCACGCCATTGTCATAGGTCATCGGCTCCGTCTTCATACCGGGACCGGTGTTGGTGCGACGATGCATTGGTACGCGACGCAGCATGTCGTCAGCTTGGGCTGTTGATGCGCCGAACGCCGTGAGCGATGCCAACAGTAGAATGTATTTGTTGAGCATTTCTTTACAATGGATGGAAGCTACAAAGAAAGAAGAGAGGAAGAGGAAGAAAAAAGGGGCAAACTGCTGCTGTTCAGAGAGAAAGAAACGAAAAAGAAGGAAAAGAAAGGGCCACTTCTTTTTATATGTTTTTGTTTTGCAAATTATAAAAAAAAATAGCACATGTAGCACACGGCAGCTTATAGCACCTCTTACCTTCCTTCTTTGTTTTTTATCCCCTACAACTACTGTTGGGCGCGTTGCTGTCATCTTCTGATGCGTCGGTTCAAGACTCTTGACTTTGTTCGGTCGGGTCGTCGCTAGGTTGATTTGTTGGCTAGGTGAGCACCCAAACCTCACATGTAGCAGTGACAGTAGTAGTAGTAGTAGTAGTAGGGCTGATGGGTTCTTAAAAAAACTGAAATGTTGTCATGTGGTTCGTCTGCATCAGCTCTCGGGGCGGATTGACATGCACTCACACTCTCTCTACTACCATTCGTATGGAGCGCGTCATGCATCTACTAAAAATATCACCGCTATTTTTTTTTATTCCCCGGCCTCGCCTTTTCAGTTCCACACACACTGCGGATATCAGCATTCTTTTTTCTGCAGCAAAGCAAGACACCAACTGCCACGGAAAGGATAAGAATAGTTTGGCGTCTTTTTTAGACGGTGATGATGTGATGGAAAACAAACAGCAGCAGGTACACACACGTTATCTCGAGCTCCAAACACACGCTCACTACTTTTATATTACTGCTACCACTTGTTTTGTTGCTGTTGTCATTGCTCCTTTTGATATCAAAGTATGGGCAACTAAGAACGTATGTACCACTACTTGCTGACGATCCACTCGGAAAAGGCCCGGGAGGAAAAGGTGGGAAAGCCAAGGAATCAGCAAGCATGTTTCTTCCTCCGCCCACCATCACCGTTGGTATGATATATGGTCCGATTAGTCATGGAATGACGACGCCCTCAGCCTGACCAACACAACACACCAGCTCTTTCTGCTATTTTTGGAAGAAGGCGACGAGCAAAAGGAAGAGAGAGGGACGGATGATGAACGTTATTTCATTCCCATGGAATAAAGTGTACTTTACATATAAACTAGTAGGAATGAGAATGCATCATCATCCGTCGATCCATCCTTGTGTTCCCCGTTCTAAATTTGTACTCTCCCATGCCACACCAACAGCAACTGACATTTTGGACAATATGCCGCTATTTAGCATCATCCCAAAAAAAGGGTTGTACATACTTGACTTTAGAATCAGAAGGAATCTATAGATAGCAGCCATATCTTCTTCTATTCTCAAGTATGACTTGCAACAAAGACGCGGAGCAATTGGATATGCTGATGATGATGTTCTTTCTAAGTAAAGTTGTGTAGAATCTTGGAATGTTTTATTTTACAAAATAGTATTACTATGATTATAAACTACGACACAGAAAGAAAGAGAAAAGAAATGTAATCGTAGATAAGGAGAAAGAAAACGTCAAAAGAAAGTTTTTATATCAAAAGGCTTCTTGTTTGTTTGTTTTTTCCGCTCGCTGAGAAAAAACAAGTATGAGAAAAGAGATTAATAAAAATAATAAGAATTACGCCCGACGACGACCGAGGTGTGGATCTGTAAAGGGCGTGCATGCCTCAACAGGCTGATGTTGAAGAAGAAAAAGAAGAAGGGGCGAGTGGATAGTAGGTGAGGGAAAGAGAAGGAGACCCGTTTTTCATATATGAAGGAGAATCAAAGTGGAGAAGAGAATCCATACTCCTATTGGAGCATATAGCCTGCAACAAGTGCAACGATGGTACTGGCAACATAGCCGACGTTGCCTTCAGCAACAAGCGACGAGCCGGCACTTTCACCGTTGGATTCACTAGCGGATGGGGAAGGCGTGCTGCTGGCCGACTGGGAGATTGATGCTAGCGACGTTGAAGGGAGGATGTTGCTGCTAGATGGCATCGTACTAAATCGATAAGAGAGCTATTAGTAAAGCAAAATAAGGGTAACGTTTCATTTCTCGAACTCCTCCGCCAAGTGAACATATGTGTATGGAAATACTTTACACGTTGGCACCGGGTTGTGAGCAGTACGTTGTCATCAAAGCTTCCTGAGTGCCACGCTCGGTATCATTTGGACAGGTGTCCCAGCACGACACCTTGGCTTTCTGCCACTATAATAGATAACAGTCATAGATCAAAGGACGTTAATAGATGCGTCTCACAAGGATCTCAAAGAGCCGGAGCAGCTGTAGAAGTAATAAGAATACTAAATCAAAAGCATACTTTGCAGAGACACGCATAATCTTTTGACAAGTCCGAAAGAAAAATATATCTCGTTAATTCTGGGGGGGTCGTAACTGTGTTTTTTGTCTCTCAAGGAGCAAAGAGTAGGTACTTACCGCCCTGGTTACAGGTTTTGATATAATTGTCTTCATTTTGCTTGCACAAATCGAATCTATTTGCCCATCATGTTAGCCTGATCCTCACCAGACATAGCAGAATAAAAGTCCTTCTGTCTCTTTCTCGAATAGCATCTCCCCGAGAAATTTGCCCAGTGTAAGAGCAAAAAAAGAGGGGTCGAGAAGAGATGAAAGACAGGACAGAGCGGCTATTATGTATCAATGGAAACAACTTACACAGTCTGGGCAGCACAGGTTGATTGGGCCTGAGCAGTTTGACTGAATGCAACCATAGCAACGGCAATGGTGGAAACGGCTGTCGTGACGGTTAACTTCATGGTTACTAACTTTTTTGGATCGAGTTGGAAGAAAACGATAAGAAAAAGTGTAAACGAAAAAGAAGGAAAAAAAAAGAAAAAATCGAAAACGAAGAATCGAAAAAAAGGTAGGAGGAAAGGACAACCAAAGAGAGAGAGAGAGAGAGAGAGAGAGCGAGAGAGAAAGAACGGGGGTGCAATTCTTTATAAGGGGAGAAAGTGCCAAATTTCCAAAACCAGCAGCAGCATCACCCTGCGGATCAGGAGAGGTTATAAAAGACCGGGCCAGGTTGCTTGCTCGCTTGCCTGTTTGCTTGCTTGCACACTGCACGGCAGCAACCCATCCATCCAATCCAGGTCGTCAGTGTAGATTTTGTGTAATGACTATCAAGTGTAATTTGTACACCAAAATAAACTATATTGCAGGCTGTTGTCAACGTTTTCTGTTTGCGTCACCTTACACTGCGCTATCTTCTTACTTGGATTGCAATTGCAAGCTTCGAAAGTTAATAATACCAAACGCCCAATTCCCATGCACGTTGTATGTACATAGCAGCTACTGCATCAATTTCTTCAGGAACATCACCCAAGTAAGCTTCCGCCCAGTAAGTCTAATCTCAGCCTTTAGGATAACATTACACCGTCTATATATCTCTTTCTCAGCAACCTGACGACGATACACACACACACACACACACATATGTATATATAGACTATATATAAAGCCTGTTTTACGGCCAGCTTGGGTAAATGCGACAAATTTGGATCATTAACCTTTGTAAAGCGTAACACAAAGATAAAAAAAATCATAAGAGGAAGAAAAAAGCTAAGACATCAAAAGTCCGTCCCATGTTTCCGCGTATATATCCCACCAATCTAAAAACACAGCAGGATATGTGTATTCTCTCGCTGATCAGTCAAAATCAATGTCGCTGGCCAATTAACATCAATTTCGCATTTTCAGGAATGGAAGTCGTACTTTTAGAAACATTGTCGCTTGCCTTTGAAAATGATGTCGTGTGACATTTTTTTTCAGTATCCCAGTTGCTGCCAATTTGGCTGGCGCTCAGTTTTTTGTGGATGATTATGGAAAAAATCCTCAAGTTCCTTGTCGAAATTTTTTAATTCACTAAACTTAAACCGTACAAAAGTGTTCATGGACTGCCACCGTACAGCAAAAGCAAACGTTCTTCGACATATCTTTTTATGCAAGCATTTGCTTTGGCCAGTCCTTGGGCCGCCAATTTGGAAATGGGTAACAAATGGCCACTTACTTTCATGGGATCCACTTGCCTGCATGAAGACTAGTAATCCTGAAAAGCAGCAATGACTTTGTCTGTTTCAAAATCAATACCTTGAATCTTGTCATAATCCATAGGACTTGCTGTCAGCACGCTATGGCTGCCTTTTGCAGGAGAAGGCTCGCTATTTTCACAGTCGACTTGCTACCATGGCTGTATCCGAGATTGCTGGGGGTATCAACAACCGTGAAGACAGTGACAGGTTGCAAGAGATCGGTGTCGAGGACATCGAGCGTGGCTCGCCAGGGTGCGAACGTGCTGGAGCTGTCAAAGCTTGAAATCAGCTGACGCATATTTGATACATGAGAAGGACATTGGTAATCAGCTGGCTGCTGCACCACATCGAGAAAATGGCTCACTTTAGCTTGGTCAAAGTAGATCCTTGCACTTGGTCCATGCAGCTGGATGGGC